TCCCACCCTCGTCAGCGTCACCACTGAGGCCTCAAGCCCCCCCCCACCCCAAATGAATATGGGGGGGTACCAGGTACAAAATGGCGGTACCCTTAATATTCATTGAATTGAATAAGAAAATTCATGACGGTCAAACCGGCCGAATAAGAGCTGGTATGCCTCCTAAATGTATAGGCTTACGGGTCACCTGGCATGCACATGCTACGTATATGTGCATGCATGCATGATCTCGTATTACAATGAATCAGGACATTGATACGTATATGCGGTACGTGTGCTGCCCGCGAGAATTCTAATCGGTCAAACATGTAAACATGCAGCAGAGCGTGCTTAAGATGATTGTACGGGATCGAGGCCCGCATATCTACAGCGAATCAACCTGCAAAGCATGGCGCAGCGGGCCGCACCGCTGCCGGCCGTCCACTGGCACGGACAGAAATGCGAATTGCATGTGGATTCCGGCCGGGCCGAGCTGGGCGCGGGCGACCAGAATCATGCGATATCACGACGTACCGGCTGGACACACTAGCTTAGACCGGCCTTGTTATACATCACAAGCTACCTATGGTGGGTCTCGACGGTATCGACCGCGCGACGGTCCGGTCTCAAAGTTCTTACACCGGTGTTACGTGTCGCGACGAATTGTGTACGCGGCACTGACGACCGTACTCGGCAGTACTTGAGAATCAGGTCTGAGTTCATGAATTGAACTTTTTCTGACACGTCGATCAACGGTCAAGTGCGTACTATGCGGAGGTACGGTACCGCTCGAGTCTGCGCGTACATCGATTATGAAATTTATGGTCTTGGTCGGAACTTCCGACTTGAACCACGCAGGAGTACCGCGGTACCCAGACTGAAAGGAGAGTGCAGGAATTTGATAGAGCAGTGTAAGGAAAGGCGCTCTGCAAAAATCAACAATGGCGGCCCACTTTGCGCCTCCTATGCTGTTTCTTGAGATTTGTCCTGAACAAAACATGATGTTGGAGCTTCAAAGGACCTCTAATGACGCCCTTTCAACATTTTTTTTTGCTTGTCAAAGGTTTCTATAAGCTGCATAAGCCTCCTCATAGTGTGGCATTTTTATGCTTCTGTCAAAGTGTAAATCAAAACACTCTGTTACACCATTATGACACTCGGTTACGGCCGAGCAAGATTTTGAAAGTACTCGTGTGTACATGTTACGGAAGTCCGAGTCGTCGTAACGTGAACCGCCGGTACTACTGACGAAATTTGATACCGGGTCCCACATTTTCGTCGCGGTTTGAGTCGAAGTCGACTCGGCCGGGACCCACCATAGGTAGCTTGTGATATAAAGCCATCATGCTAGGTTCGTGCAAAGAGCGTACATGCACTATGCACGCATGAGTACTTGTCTATAGATTACATTAGCACGTTCAATGCTGGAACATATGCAGCCTGTGTGAAGTGGCCGGCTCTGATAACCAGGCAACGTACGGTGAGTCCCACGGCCATTCAACCCATGCAGACCTAACATGAGTCAACGACACTTTGAATTTAGCAAATCATTACCCATCGGATCCTCTTTTTTAGCACTTGATAGATTCTACCATGATCAGTCTTCAATCAACCTTCACTCATCTTTTCTGCTAAATTGTCTCTGTCTTGTTCACGAGCGAAGAGGAAAAGTAAGTGGAGATGTAAGCAACCGTTTGATCCAACCTTCCTTCTACCATTAATAGATGGTAAACTCGTGATAATCCCAACGTGCTCGTTTTGATAAGTTCCAGTTCCTTCCGTCTCCAAACACGTGTCTTACGGTCGCCTCCTTTGTCAAACATTTCAATGGTACCCCAATGTCCCTTACACAATGGATCTCTTCTATTCCTCACACGGCCCTTCTGGTGGGCCCATTCACACGGTCTACGCCCCGGGTCCGCGTAAGAGCGTACATGCTCCTGCCGCGACCTTCATTCGCCTCTCCATCTAGCACAAAGGAAGGCTAGAACTTGTTACTGAGACGTGAAGCGTCCGAACACAGAACGTGCGCGTCCGCTCGGCTTCCCACGACGTCTTCTTCAAAAGGGGACCCCTGGATGCTGAGCTTTCAAACACAAGCTCCGGGCGTTCGCTTTACGACCTGCCCCATCAGAATAGACCGCCCCTTTGCTACTCCAGGTTCGGTCAAATTTGGGGCCTGACTCCGTTCGGAAGCGATGACAAAACTTTGCCCGATGCGCAGAAGTTGGGCTGTTCAATGAACCAGAGGCTGTCCATCGAACGGCCCAAGTTCTGAGCATCCGGCAAAGTCCTGCGATCGGTTCGAATCCGAAACCGGTCTGGCGGCCCGGTTTGACCGAACCTGCACTATGCATCTTCCATAGCTACGAAATCTGAGGCAGAGCTTGCAGACCACATCGCACGACGATCTTGAGGTCCGACCCGTTCCTTCTCCCTGCAACCGGCCGTTTAGCACCAAGGGCGCCCCTTGGGACACGTCTCCCACAACCCTGTTATCCGATGTGATGCTCAAACAGCAGTCGGGCTTTCGACAAAGGCACCAGACAGACACGTCCGACGATCTCTCACTCACCGGTTCAGGACGCTCGCACGAGCCTCGCGAAAGTTCGGACAGTATTCGGACGCCAGTTCCAGGCGTCTGGTACAGCTTCCGTCCTCGCACCCCAATGATGGCGACAGTTTGGACGGCGTTTGGACGGTATTTGGACACCGGGTTCCGGACGTTCCGCTCAGCTTCCGTCCTCACGCTTGAAGGCGGGGCCCTGGCTTTTCGTCTCCCACATCCACTCCAATGACGGGGACACTTCGGACAGCAGTCGGACACCGGTTCCGGACGTCCACTCGGATCCGTCCTCGCAGCCCCGGGGATGGCGACAGATCGGACGGGCATTGGGACGCCGGTTGGGAAAGTTTCGGGCAGAATTTGAACGCCGGTTCCGGGGCGTCCGCTCAAGTTCCGGTCTCCCGCTTGAAGGCGACCCCCTGACCCTGCATCTTCCACATCAATCCCCAATGACGACGAAGCTTCGGAACGCAGATTCCGCCGTCCACTCAGGTTCGCACCCCCAGTCATGGCGACGCTTCGGACAGCATTAGGACGCCGGTTCCGGACGTTCCGCTCAGGTTCCGTTCTCGCGTACAAAGGCGGCCCTCTGGCCCTGCGTCTCCCAGATCCTTTCCCAGTGGCGACGGAGCTTCGGACAGCTTCCGGACGCCGGTTCCGCCCGTCCGCTCAGATTCCGGTGTTCCGCTCAAGTTCCATCCTCGCGTCTGCAGGCGGCCCCCTGGCTCCGCGTCTCCGACATCCACTCACAGCGACGGCGCAGATTCGGACAGCATCCGGCGCCAGTTCTGCCCGTCCGATCGGATTCGTCGTCCGCTCAGGTTCCGTCCTCGCGCTTAAAGGCGGCCCCCTGGCCCTGCGTCTCCCACATCCACTCCCAGTAGCGGTTGAGACCTCCAAGCAGCACAGAGTATCTGGACGCTGTTTCCAAACAGCTTTCGGACGCTGGTTCCGCCCCTCCGCTGAGATTCCGGTTTCCGCTCAGGTTCCGTCCTCCCGTTTGAACGCGGCCCCCTGGCCCTGCGTCTCCCACATCCACTCCCAGTAGCGGTTGAGCATGTGGTCGTGCGGGACCACTTCTTGCCAGCGGCCCTCGCAGAAGATGGCATGTGCGTCGGCCGCGTACTTGCCGATGCCGTGGACCCTGTCGAGGGGCTTGGCCAGCGGATCCTTCAAATGTTCCAGATATTCCTGAAGGAAAGGAGTAGGGATTTTCGCTCGCTATTGTCGGGGGAAGGACAGGCGTGCGCGTCGGCCGCGTACTTCCCGATGCCGTGGAGCCTGTCAAGGGGCTTGGCCAGCGGATCCTTTAGATGCTCCAAGTATTCCTGTGTAACAAGATTAGTTGGTATGAAAAACGTACCAGGAAAGTTGCAAAACAATAAGATATAGCGGCACACAAAGATTTGTCGATGCCGTGGAGCCTGTCGAGGGGCTCGGCCAGCGGATCTTTCAGATGTTCAAGATATTCCTGTGAAAGGAGAACAACCAGTATTAAGGACGGAAGGACGTTTGAAAAATTGCAAATAAGAGGTCTAGCGGCACGCAAGAATTTGCCGTGGAGCCTGTCAAGGGGCTTGGCGAGCGGATCCTTCAGATGCTCAAGGTATTCCTGTTGGGGATGAGTCTGAGACATTCTGCGATTGACGACAAGGTTAGGATATGTCGAAGGATGTTCCATGAGCAAGGACGACCCTGTGTGAGTATCGGCCGCGTACTTGCCAATGTCGTGGAGCGTGTCGAGGGGCTTGGCCAGCGGATCTTAAGATGCTCCATATACTCCTGTGTGAGGAGAATAGGCGCCATTAAGAGCGTACTAAGCAGATGCACAGTTAAGTTGTATAGTGGCACGCATGATTTGCCAATGCCATGGAGCCTGTCGAGGGGCTTGGCGAGGGGTCCTCCAGATGTTCCAAATATTCCTGTGCAAGGGGAGAGTGAGAAATTTGAGTCGCTCAGAACGTACTCAAAAAGTTACTGAGAGGAATTAGGGAGGGGCGTAAAGGCTTTGGCAATGAAATGCAGCATCCTGGGGCCTTGGGAGGGGCAACTTGGAATGCTCAGAGTGTTCCTGTGGTGGGAGGGAATGAGAGCAGTAAGCGATGTTAAGGAGATGCCCAGGGCGTACTGAATATCGATGGACGATGGAAAAGAGCGACACACAAGGAATGGGGTGAAGCTGAAGCGTGTTGCGGGGTGGGGCAAGGGATCCTTCCAGGTGTTCCAAGTGACCCTGTGTTAAGTTAATAGACGTGAACCGTAATTGTTGTGAGGCTACACCTCGAACGTACTAGAATCCGACAGAGGGGAAAGAGCCGGCGCGAGTGAACTTGCCGATGCCGAGGGCCTTGACCAGGGGTCCTGAATAGAGTATTGCTGTCGAAGGATGACACAGGCAAAGGAAGGGCGGACTGCGGACGAGAAGGCTATTCCTGAACGGTCCTTTCGTGTATCTCAAAATGAGAACAGGAATCAGGTATGTGAGAGGCGCCAATACGTCGATACGATGAGGGAGAGGAGCATCCAAGGATAGATGTGGTGGTACGATGAGGGTGTCGGGGCGTCTGGCCTCGACACAAGAGGTCGGGCGTTTAACAACCAAGATTAGAACTCGAGTCCAAGGAGGCTGGGATCGGCTACTGAGAAGTCGGGGAAGGAGAGAAGGAAGTCGGAGGAGCTGAAAGGACACACCGTAACGGACAGTGTTAAGGACAATCTTAAGGCTCATGACAATCTTAAGGCTGCACGGGCCACCTGTTACTTCCCCGAATGGCCATGCTTGATACCGAAATAGCATGTCCGCACCATCCATTTTTCCTCAACGATTTCATCCGTCCCACCTCTTTCCAAACCGGACGTTATATCTGCCTACCATCCCTCTTTCTTGGAACACACAAAACCATTCACCCTACCTGCGAGAAACGCTGGATCGTGGCGGCGCGCTTGTTTTGCAACCCCAACGAATGAATCACTTTCCCAATTGCGTCAGTATCCGCCGCCATTGCCGCTTCGGCGGTTGGGATCAGTTTGAAGAGGTCCCAAATGACGCGCCTCATCGCGCCGCCAGTTGTCACATTCAGGAGCAGACACGCCACCAGGAGCTTCCAGGGAGTGCGCCACAACTCTTCCTGCGGGTTTGGAAAATGGGTTAAAACCTGGAGTAGCCTGACTGAAGCGGGTTTGATGAGTTAGTTAGACGGGAGGGTTTGGCCTAACCCTGAGATTAGGTCACGGACACTCATCACGTTCAGGAGCAGGCACGCAACGAGGAGCCTCCAGGAATCGCGCCACAATTCTTCCTGCGGGGTTAAGAATTGCGTTAAAATTCGTGATTAGCCTCACAAAGAGCGGGTTAGTTGAGTTGAAGTTGGCATACAACGTGCAAATCCTATACAGATCTCACACTCAAAGGATTTTGTCGAACTGCCATCCGAGATTTTATCCGTCAGACCTCTGCTGCAGTCGTCAATAAAAGGCAACGTCCGCCAAATGCTGAAGCCCACTCAGAAAGCAGGAAAGTCTAACCCAACCCTCACAGAGTTTACGGGATACTTGTTAGACTTGGAGGAGGCGCACAGTCTCAAGCTTCCAGGGGTGCCGCAAGACCTCTTTCTAAAGAAGCTGATAAATGTAAACAGAGCGTAAATGCCAAGGTGACAATATCAAAGGATGCTGGATGTTATCCACAACCAACTTTCGAATCTGCTGTACGTCCAATTTAAAGATTCCCGGGAGAAAGGGTCCATGATTCCGGATCTCGGACTTGGGAATCAATTTTCATTTCCGCTATTCCGCGTCTCAAAAACTCACTTGGATCAGCCCGTAGGGCGACACGGGCGGCACCCAGTCCGGGTCCACGACTCCGGCCGGCCGCTTCGGGCCCCCCCCTCCTCGCCCCTCCGTCCCCTTCTTCCCAGCTTCCTCCGGAATCAACTTCCGTATCTCTTCCGCAGTCACCCGCTTCCCCTCCGCAATCAGCGCAAGCGCAGTCTCCCTGACTTTCTCTCCTTGTGCTATCACTTTCAATGTCGCCCGCTGCCGCCGTCTCGAGACTTTCCGGGGGGGCCGGTGCGAGTCCCCGTCCTGGTCTGGCGCGCTGCCCCCCACGGCGGATGAATTTGCGCTGTGCCCCGCCTCGAAGCTGACCGATGGGCTCGCCACCGGAAACCCTGTGCTGAGGGATCCCCCTGACTTTGAAGGAGTCTGAAACCTGGCTGAATTAGCTGAGCGTTTCTGAGCGCTCGGTTGGCCCCTAGACAAGCGGCTCCGGACCCCCCCGCTAGAGCAGTCAGAGTGCGCTGGCCGCCGAGGGGGGGTACCTGAAACCCCTCGGTAGGAGAAGCCTTCCAACGCCGCGGCGAGACGTGCGGCGCTGGAAGGGGGGGTAGCATCAAGCTGCAAATCCACGCCCCCTTCGGAGGTCCTGGACTCGACCAGCTTGGGAAGGCATTCTCCTGGTGGAGTCGTTATGGGCGCCTTATCTGTCCCCTCCTCTGGCCCCTTCTCTGCTCTCTCCCCCTCGTCTCCCGCGCCTGACTTGTTTTGGCTAGCCCTGTCATTGCCATGATGTTTAGCAGCCGTTAGGCGTTCGAAGTCTCCCTGATTCCATCGCAGCCCTTCTTTGGCAGCAACGATGTCAGACACAGCCGTGTCCCCTGCAGGTAGCTCGCCCCCCTCAACCTCCGGTGCAAGTTCGTCCGCACCTTTCTCCTTTCCATCCCCCCCAGTCCCGCTGGTTCCCAGTCCATCTGACGAACTCGCACCCCTTCCACGTCTCCCCCTCAATCCTCCAGAAGCTTGCTTCGTCATTTGCCTCACCCTGGCGGCTCTCGCTCCTGATGCGGCTGCGTCTATTTGGTCTGGCACCTTCTCCTGCTGCGATGAGAGTGAGCAGCGCTTCCCCCGCTTTCTCTCGCGTGGGGAACTCGCATTCGCCCCTGGAGCTGCCACAGGATCACCGCCATCCAGAACGTGCTCGGCCTTCCGTTTGAGTCTACTAGACCGCCTCAGGCCTTCCACATTAGCCATGTCAGCACCCTCCTTTCGCGCCACCCCCTTCCTCAACTTCCGCATCTCTCTAGTTGCCCCAGCCTAGGAACGTCTGTGGGAAAACGTCAGGTAGCTGGTCACTTTCTGCAGTGCACTAACGCTTCATTTGGACTCCTACGTTCTCTGCGAAGACTCCGTATCTACGCGCGTCGCCCCTCTCGGCTTTCTCCTCATTGGCTCCGGTTGTAAGATTGGGCGTCTTCGCACACTCTTTATGCCCCACGATTTTCAGGACGAGGGGGCCAGTTCCTAATTCACGATATCTAACCAGCCCACTTATCGCCCCCTAAACCCCCAACCACTCGACCACCCCCAACACTCTTCCGTCCTCGTGGTGTTGCCTGCAAATATTGTGTTACATATCAGAATCAGTAGCAACAAGCTGGAAGACTTTTAGTAGACCGCTTGGGTAGCGGAAGGTGGTCAATCAGCCGCATGGCGCTGGTCATTGTGATTGCTTTCAGCAGGAAAAAGTTAGTGCCGCCAGTCTATGACTGCCCCAGTCTGTGGCTGCATGCAGTGGCAAAACAGCAGCCCTTAAAACCCGCACCACATTTGTGGTCAGACATAAGAAAGGCAGTCCGAGCAGACATGTCGCTGGCTTAACCTGACTTTCAGGCCTTCAGAAAAGTAGAAACAACAAAGGTTCATCACGGCAAATTGATAGCTTCGACCACCGATTGAAAGTCTGACAAGGGGGGGGAGATAGAGATTGAGATGACATGAAAGAAGAACGTGCACCTTTTGCCACCACTTTCTGAACCTCGGTCAACAAGTCCATCTGAAGTCCAATGCTGACCTGAAAACTGGGCACCTTGAACCACCAACAGGGAAAAGTTGTTCTTGCAATCATTGAAACGACGCCAATGCATAAAAGAATAATGTAAAGGTCTCCTCCTAACCTGCGCGTGAGACCCCCCAGCCTTGCCTGCAAAAATGTTGCACAATAAAGCTCTGCTGCATGCCCCTCTCACGTAGTCACCGGTACAGGCCTTCCAATGTCCATGTGCAATCTGGAGCTCCAGTGCATTAGAAGACAGGCAACTGAGAACGCGGATTTGGGACGTTTCTAGAACCCAGCAACTTTCCTTTGTCAAGACCTGCCCAGGACGAGCTTCTCTGCCCAGTGCCCAGCCCCTCACCTATTTCAACGTCTGGCCTCCTTCCCTTGTATTATATTCGTTTCCAAACCAACAACGAAGCAACACTCGAGTCCCGGGGACTCTCGGCAGTCAATATCCAGGAATCAGGGATGGCCAGCTTTGAAGTTTGAATGTGCTCTCGGGAATTCTCCTTGTAGCGATGCCTTATAGGACTGTACTGAGCGCTTATATGCAGACGGAATGCACCTCTGGAGTCTGGCAGCTTTGCAAATTGCCGCTCCTCACCTCATCATCATGCATTGTCGACATTCAACTTCAAGGGGTCAGGGCAATTGAGGTCTTGAAGAATTGCATTCTCACCTGCTCACAGTCATGGCGACTTCCTCCGTCCTCAGCCGCCCTTCCTCTTCCTTGAGCTGCAGAGCCATTAGTTCCTCCAGAGAGTGCTCTTCCACATATAGCTCACGCCTTACGCCCCTGCCTCTTTTGAGAGGCCGTGTTGAGAGAGCACACCGCGTAGGAGAAGGCCATGTGCAGCAGCAGCTAATTGGTCGCACAAGGCACCAATTTGGTGAAGAGGGGAGGGCTCCATTTGGGGGAGTCTTGAGAGGCCATACAAAACGTCACATTGCAGGTTAGAAATGAGCTTCCTGTTTGTCTTGAGAGAACTGCAGAAAGAGGGTGGTGCAACACTTTTTTTGAACCAAGATGTTGGCTAACGCCGCTTCCTCATAGTACACAGGACAGTGTTCTCAACAAACTTTTCAAGGGGGTTAACTTTGAGTTGATTCAGTCTCTGGTGTGCTTGAGATTCTCCACCCCCAGTCAATCAGGTGTAATCAGGGCTAGGCTCCTAAACATAGTAAAGTGAGCAGTTTTGTAGGGCTGGCTATGAGGGCCATTGTAGCTGGTTCTTGAGCTTTCCAGATGTTGTCAATGTTGAAACTTCTTATGGTGGTCGGCAGTAGGGTAGTTTCAAAAAGGCATTCACTAAAACTTTTATGCAAAGGTTTGCAAGCTCTTCACTCTGAATCAACGTCAAACGCCACACTGAAAAGCTATTTTCCCAACTTCCTACTCAAAGAAACCGACTGGAAGTTGCACTAAGTGAGGAGCGCTTTTCAGGGTATTTCATGTCCGCACTAATTTTTGTGAATAAGCAGTCAAAGTTGACAGATTGAAAGCAAAGGCTAAAACCCTCTTGGGATGCACGTAATACTGCTTGTTTTTTAAGTGTTCGGCAAGGCCGGCACTTGCAGAGTAAAAGTATGGCCTTTGTTCTTCCTGTGGCCCCTTCCGATCCCATCTATGTTTGAATGAGCAGCTTCCTCAACCTGCGTTTCAACAATATCGCCAACCTCAAGTATTGACTGGCTGTCTGATAATCCTGCATATTTGATGAAGTGGATTGTTGCAAAAACTATACCCCCTTGCGTGCAGTCAACGCAAGCGGCGAGTCACTGGCAACAGAGATCCCCAGCGAGGCTCCGGCGGCCGCCTCCTTCAAGCACATTCTCCTTCCCATCATTGACAGCAACCCGTATCTTTCCAGTGGGACGAGGGCGGTGAGTGCGCACTGAATACCCATACCAAGCGGCATTCGGTTTGTTCCAAAAACCATAATATCCACAAGTTGGTTTTAAATCAGTCTGTATACACTGAAGAACATCCTGTTGCAGACCACAACAGCTGTGGTCATTGATCTCTCAACATCGTTATCAATCTTTTGAGTGCGGTGATTAGCATGGAGCAGGGTATTTCGGTTGTCTGCTTGATCACGTTATCTTGCAAGGGGGATTGATGCAATCAGGTACCTGAAGCTCGTTAAAAGTATCTTAGTGGTCAGCTTAACAGCATCAGCATTGATTCTTTCGCAGGCCGCTTCCACTGTAACATCTCTAGCGCGTGCGTTTGGCTCCGACATCACGGTAGCTGGTGAGTAAGCGGAAGCGTCTTTGCTGGCCTCTGAGTGTCAAGAATACACTGAAAGGCGAGCTTTTCCTGAATGACAGCTCATAAACCATGGGAAAGCTTATCATGACGGGGAGTTAAGTACCCTGCGGTTTTACTGGGCTAGCCATGCCTTGTGGTCGGAGGACTCTGCTAGGCGGCATGCTGTCGCTATTCTTTGCCGGTTCTGTGATGTGGCAGTCGACTGGTACTACAAGATCGTCTAGATTTGGAAGAAATTATTGGAACGAACTCGATAATGTACTTTGGCCTGAGCACCCGCTGCTTTCATGCTTGGTCATGTTGCACTTGAAGAAATTTTGTCGCTCCCGACGTTTTAGAAGCCGACTCGAAGGTGGTTGTGAAAAGTCTCATTCGACTTTGCTAGGACTTAAAAATACACGTTGATATTGCTGCTGAGTGAAGAGTGAGAAACTTTGGTTGCTTGCATTACCATCACCAGTGTTCCAAAGGATCCACCGTGCGCTCTTATATCTGGCCGGAGAAACTTTATGAGGACCGGGCGATGGCAAAGATTCCACTCTTTGCGTTCCGTTTTGGTGCTGCTTCAAAGGAGGACCCGGTGGTATGATCTACCAAAGTCGGGAGAACTTTGCGACCTCGTCACTCGAACGGTTTTTCCTGGGAGCTAGGGTTATCCTAGTCTATGAGCTGCTCGCGTTCCTCAACTTAGAGAGAGACCCATTCTTCCTCGTTACAGTGGTCGATGAGGGGCCCTTCGCCGGAGATAAGGAGCTTCGTGCGAAGAACATTAGGTGGCATCTGGCCGAAGGTGAGGACTACTCCCGACTTCGTGCAGATGCGTCTTCTCTGTCTCAGCACACGGAAGGAGGGCATTGCCAATAATTTGATTTCGAAACCGCCGGTCAAGACCGCTTTGAACAATCTCAAAGCCATAGTGCCCACAACTCGTAAGATGCTACCAGTGTTTATGATCACTCGATTCGATCAATACAGACCACGCCTAGTATTCGACCACACACTAGAGATGGCTAACAAAAGTGCTCGACTCTCGAGAACGAGTCGACAGCAACAGTCCACAAAATGTGGCTCCCCGTTCGAAATCGTGCTTGAAGGACGCGACGTTGATAGGAGCCCCCTGCTGGTTATTTTCAAGAATCACAGAACTGCTGTTCAACATAGGAATTGCTCGAAGGAGAACGCTTTCAGTTGTCGAGGCTTAAGGGCTCTGGCTGACGTCTAGAGAAAATTTGGTACCTTTGCAGGGGGCTTCGAGAATTTTGCGCTGATTGAAAAGGAAGGTCAGAACCCTGGCGCTGCCATTGGCGAGATCGCGGACGACATGAATCTTGACCTGGTGAGGCGAAAAGACTTCTTTGTTTCGTTGGCAGTGAAATCAATGTGTGCTCGTTGCGAAAGTCACGAGCGTCAAGCCTTGTGCACGTGCTCCTTCGTATCGTCAGGGCAAGCCGGGGCTCAATTATCCACTCGCTGTTACTTGACTAAAGAGGGTCAGTCTCATGCTCCATGACATGTTTCTTACAGGTGGTACTAGGCATGGAGTCGATCCATTCCAAGCAGATTGACGGAAACACACTTGCAGAGTTTGTCCCTTGTCCCGTCCTCCTCCTCCCCTGATCCAGAGATGCTATTCGTTGTACAAATTGTTTCGTTATGTAGAACGAGAACTGCACTCAATGTTAATCAGCAGGCAGGACCAGAGCTGTATATCCAACCGTAGAATCTGCTCCAATCAGAGACAAAGCTTACGCAAGAGTTGCTCGAAGCATTGGGCAACTTGCAAGAAGAGCAGAAGCACGAGCGTCCTTGTATCTAGTTCTCGGCTTCACCGACAGTGCTCAAGTGTACATTGACCGATAGGACCGGACCAAGCAACCAGCGCTAGGCCCGACTTTGTAACCAGATTGCATATGCACACGTCTGACTTCCGCACTGCCTTGTCATTCTGCAATCATTTAGTGCTTGCACTTACTTTCCTGATTGTGCGTTTGCCATTAACAGTTGTTTGGGCTAGGAGAGCTAGGAGAGCAGTAGTGCCTAACATCAATCCGAACAACTGCACAAATTCATATCGTCCGCGCATCCGCTGGGCCTTGGGAACAGGCTTCAAGCATGTTGGGCATGATCTTTCTGCTAGACACAATTTTTTTGTTCTCGCGCCCAGTGGCATGTTTGTGAGTCCAACGCCAATATTCAATTTGGTCGACCTCAGTCCCTTGTGAATTGGCGAAATCATTATCTTCAAAGCTCCGAGGAATGAAGAATGAAAGACAAGAAGTGCTTCATATGTAGATCAGACGGGCGGGCGCGGAGGCGCACGCATTGAATTTTGAATAGCGCTTCTAATTGGCGTAGTGGAATCACCGAGGCTTGCAGTGGCGCCTGATTGACTCGAAGTGAATGGTCAAGCTAGTTCATAAAGTTCCTCAAAATAGGGTATGCATCGCAATGCGGTTGTTGATTCAATACGTAGATGAGATACCGTACCTACCACCGTGGGTTTGACTAATAGTAGCACTTTAGTAGAACATCATACCGTACGGTATATCTATCCATGGTGTGAAGAGGAGAGTTGGAGCCTGCCTGTGATAACAACTGAGCTGGTGAGTCACGAGTGCAACGACTCGAGTCACTAGTGCAGTTTCTCTCGTATGGTTTGTGTACCCGACCGGTATGTAAAACCGGTGGTCTTCTGATTTGCACCTAGAGTGACCACTCCGATTGTCGAGTCACCATGCGCTGTCGGAGACTGTCTCCGGGGCGGTCGGACAAGGATGATGTGCTCGCGCTGCAAATTATTTACCGTACCTTGCTGATCATTGATGGGTCCGGTACGGTCTGTACTGGAATACGTTGCTCAAAAGCAATCCCGCAGAATCCGGCTTTGTCAGAGTTTCTCATTGCACAGATCTTCGTTTAGTTCCTAACCATCTCCCGACTCCTAAGGAGCGGACGTATGCCCCCGTAGGAGGAACGTTTTTCCTAAGATTCTGGAAAAGGCAGCTTTGGCAAGACCCATTTGTGATATCTATGCGTTATCAAAGTAGTATAATGGTTACAAAGAAGAAGCGCTTATGAAACTCCCGGGCTCCATAAATCCAGACTGTGTAGCGGACCTGCGGAACCGGTTTGCATTTACCCGCGACAGCGGTTCGGATGGTGACGTCATGCGAGATCCTCTCCCAAGATATTTCGGCCTCGGGGGCAGCTGGGCCTCGGGGAACTGTTCAATGGAGGAAATGGCCGCTAACTTAGCTCTTGCAATGGAGGTCCAATTAGACTCAGAGGGGCCGCTAGGTACTTGTCTCGCGGCGGTGTCGTTGTCGGGGGTGAAGGAAAGAAGCCCTGGTGAGCAGGCACTGAAGTGCAAGGCATCGAGCTGCGAAATGCGCAATGCAACCCCCTCGTACCCTGCGCAATCGATAGGAAGCGACGGGAATCGAGCGCTAGATCTTTGTGAGCAGATTGTGCGAGGCTAAGTGGCAATGCGCAGAGCTCGCAATGCAGTTTGCAAGTGCAGCGTAGCTGACGGGAACAAGCACAGGGAGTGCATTGTGGTGGCCACCAGAATTTGCACCAAACAAAAGGATGAGCAGATCGTGTTGATTCGTTGATGTGTGAGGCCCGTCTTTGAGAGCTTTCTCTAAGTCTTGGCTTAAGCTCTCAGTTGATCGGCACTGAGAGTTGTCTCTGCTTCTTGGCTTAGAAAAGGTTCTGATGCTTCAACTCTGAGCACCCTTGTGCGGCGAGGGCACCCCAGGAAGGCGGGATGGCTGGTCCCACAAGCCACTCTGGTGGGTCGTCCTCCATGGCCGCTGACCTCAGCAACGACGGTGAGCAGCCGTCGCACCCGCGGCGGCCCGAGTTCGGGGGGGGTCCCCAGAAAACCTTCCCCATGGGAATGCACCCTGCGGTGCTGCCGGTCCCTGCCTTTGGGATGCAAAACGGGTTCAGGGGGTCAATGATGCCCCCCCCGGATGGGATGGTCCCAATGGGGGGCATGGTTTCGGGGCCTGGGATGGTGTTCCCATTTCACCCGGGTATGCGCATGATGCCTGGGCCAGTTCCCATGATGCCGCACGGTTTCTCCGACCACATGATGGGGCGCCAGTTCCCGCGACCGTTCATGATGGGCCAACACCCCCACAACCAGGTGGGGATGCTCAATGCGGGGATGGAGGCCGGGGTTCTGCACTTCCAGCAGAATCACCGGCCGCGCCACCGTCCTGAAGGGGGGCAGAACCACAGGAGGGAGTACAGTTCGGGGTCCGCGGGGTCCGGCGGATCAGGCGACCTGCGGTCGTCCACGTCGGGGGTGAGCGTGCAAGAAATGAAGGAGCTAGAGGACTTGCTGTCGAAGCTGAACCCCCTAGCGGAGGAGTTTGTGCCGCCTGGAACGGAGGAAGGGGGATCGGGAGTCGGCGGGTCGTCACTGCAGGGGGGCCAGAGTGGAAAAGGAAAGGTGAGCAGCAGCGAGAGGCGATCAGCAACGGGGGTTGGTTCGGCATCCAGGCAAGGAGAAAGTTAGGGTGTGTCTTGGGTTTCTTTGTTGCCTGGAGACTTGCATTGCGTGTGGACATGTCTGGCAAAGCGTGCAAATGCACAAAGTCGTTTTTGGCAAGGACAAGGAGAGGTGGCGTCAGTAGCACTTCCTGATGTGTCGACTGTTGAGGTTTCAGATAAAGCGTGCTTAGCACAATGCAAGAAGCGGACTCTGCTTTGAGGACATCAACGACCGCCCATTGCTGCATTGCATAGGGTGTTCTCATTCCTGCGCAAGCAGGCGTGGTGCTTATTCCAACGTGCGTTCTTGGATGGCCTGAGTGCAACAATTTAACTTCCAAACTCTGAATAAACAAAAGCGCACCCCAAAGTATAGCAGTTGGGGAGTTTGTGAACCTAGCACGCCATCAAAACCCAACTGCAGAGAGAAATGCTGCCCCCACATTGATCAGAAAAGCAGGTTGGTAGAGACACGGAACAAAGGAATGCAATCATGTGTGTGCAGAAGAAAAATGGTGTTTCGGGTGGGAAGAGGAAGGGTGGTCGCAGCGGCAGGGCGCACCGGGAAGACAGCATCAAGCGGACGGTGTATGTGTCGGACATCGACCAGTCGGTGAGCGTTCAAACCCTCTGCTGTGCCAAGTGTTCGGCGCTCTCTCTGACACTTCTACGTTCTAGAATGCAAGGTCCATACATTCCATATGAATTTAGTTGCTAGGCAGATTAAGACGCTGTTTCTTCTTTTCTCAGAACCTCAATGCATGGAAGAAAGAAGCTTCGATGCATGTTAGCACAAACGTTTGCGGCAGATCACGGCATCTGTATGACAATGTTTGAGGCATCTGAAGATTACAAGGTCTGAGCTCTTCTCTATTTCCTGCAGGTCACAGAAGAGCAGTTAGCTTCAGTGTTTTTGCAATGTGGTCAGGTAAGGCACTCCAGCCTCTTGCCACCAAGAGAAAGCAGGGCTTTGCATTAAGTGGCTTGCGCGCTTTTGCTTCGTCGCGACACCGGTCTCCAACCACCAAACCTTCCGCGAGTGCCTTCGCTTCAAGCGGTGCTGATCCCTGGCAATGTGGTTGTACTTGCCAGCCCCAAGCAAGGCTCACATCTTGAATCGGGGAATTAAATGCAACCCATTCTCTGTATGAGCGCTCCCTCTGCTATTTCCCTCTACATGCTAACTCTTCTCTGAAGGCTCTCTCGAAAGTCCCTTGGTAAGTCCTGCCGTAGACTGTTAGCATCTATTGCTCCTGAGATCAAGATGTCACTGGCTTGCAGGTTGTAGATTGTAGAATCTGCGGAGACCCCAATTCGGTGCTCCGCTTTGCGTTTGTTGAGTTTGTAGATGAAGGTGAGGATGTCTGTCCATCTTCCGGAACCTTCAGGCCCCAAATTCCTCTGTGACAACGTTCATAAGTAGCGGGGTTTGGCTTCTGGATGCTCGTGAAGCACGCGCGGTGCCGCTGTATCAGAAACTGCTGTGCCCTTTGCTGCTCCGATGTGCAAGTGACAATAAGAAGACATTTGATGAGACATGTCAGTAAGCTGCTTATAATGGCCTGTGACGGGGCTTGCCTGTATAGAATTGCGGGGGTTGCTATCAGGCTGCTGAGAGGAGCTTGTGAGGAGGCCACATAATTGGTGCCGTCCAGAAAGTTCAGAAGAGAGCTCAATGTCCAGTGCTGACTGTGTGTCCTCGGCTGTGCACTTTTGTTGGAACTACTCTGCCAAAATCTGTGAAGCGTCAAGAAAGTTTCCCGTGTGTGTGAAACGGTGCTAACTCCGGTTGTGGTGTGCGCTCTTCAGAGGGGGCGAGAAACGCGTTGAGCCTAGCTGGCACAGTAATGGGCTACTACCCTGTGAGGGTGCTCCCATCGAAAACGGCAATCATTCCGGTGAACCCGACGTTCTTGCCACGGGTAAGGGCCGCAACACAACCTTGGCTCGGCAGTCACTATTTCTGCTATGATGGAAGACTTATCACGAGCCACTCGTGTGGCCTGAACTTCTGCACAAACTGTACATTGTTAGACCTTTTGTGGATCTGACGGGACATTGTCCCTGGGACGGCACTTCGCTGTAGCTGTGAGCGTTCGTTCCTGGTATGGCTCTGCGTCAGCACATCCAATAGTTCCGTTTCTCCCTCTGCTTAAGCGTCAGCAGTGCTTGCGGGCCTGGGCTGCTTGCCTGCTTCTTTCTGAAGAGTCTACCAACCGGTAAACGGTTCTGATTCCGCCTTAGTTACTTGCGGAGCAGACTGCTCCAACACAGTCTTAAGCAGAACGATGTCATTTCGTCTCTGCGTTTGTCTTCGTCTTTGTCCAGCCGAGCATGCACGTTGTCTACAGTCCATCCTGGCCTGGTCACCTGGTCCACTGGTTTCCGCTGTTCCCTCTTCTCTGTCTTTTGTAATACTTTGTCTTTTGTAATACTTCGTCTTTTTCAACACTTTGCCGGCACTCTCCGCTTACGCTGCCCCCCGTTTTGCAGAGCGAAGACGACAGAGATCTTTGCAGCCGCACGGTCTACTGCGCAAACATCGACAAAAAGGTAGGACTCCTGATTCAGATGGACTTTGATACTCGGCTGGGTAGGTTTTCCCGGACTGCCAGGGAATCTCAGACAATCCGTAAGCAAATACTTAGGCAGCACGGCAGCTGCAGACTGGAAAACCGCAGAACAAGCAGACGTCTGGTTATTGCTCATTAGTTGGTGCTTAGCTCAGACACTCGATTCGCTTCATTCTGCAAGGCAAAGGTTGAGTCTTTCGGAAGCTTTGTTCGCGCGACGTCAGACAAGCCGTTCGGGGAGGCGGGAGTCCGTCTGATGGGTTTCATTCGCGGTTTGCTAACCATTGCTGGGCCCCCTTACCTGCGCAGGTTACCCAGGCTGACGTCAAGCTGTTCTTCGAGTCCCTCTGTGGGGAGGTGAGTCACGCCAACAGCCCTTGTCTCTGTTCCTCTCTCTTTTCTCATCCAAGTGATCCAAGCCTTTGTGACAGATTGCAGTTACACGACCTCTTTTGTTCCTGATTCCTCTGAGCGTGATTGCCGTTCCTGTCGTCTCCCGAAAGCCGCTTTAGTCAGTCACGACTTGAGGGGGATTGATGCACCTCGTGCATCAGAAGCTGCCGGTGATAACGCAAATGGTTAATCAGCTGCCAGCTGGAAGGTAACGAGCATCCGTCGAGCGACTTTCCAACCTTGCCTGCAGGTCGGGAGGCTCAGACTTCTGGGCGATTTCCACCACTCGACCCGGATAGCCTTCGTTGAGTTTATCCATGTAAGTGCGCAGTCCCTTTCGTGCCGGAATTGTTGCTGTGAGCGTGGCTTCGAACAGAAGTCTGAGTTTGTCTCGGAACAAGCCGATTCTTGCAACGAGGATCAGCAGCGGAAAAGGGGTGAGGAGCATACTGTCTCAACCTGTCTCTCGTCTCCGTTTGGCAATCAACCCAAAGAATTTGACAATCAAGGTCTTCAGCTTGGGGCAACTTGGAAATGCTGATACAAGGCGTGCCGTCGAGGGTGTTCCTGGGATCCGCTGAGGTCCCGTCCTTCGTTTGTTTAGAAACCAGTCCGCGTCGTTTTGTAGTCTGTCCGCACTCCGGATTTGGATCTCGTGTCGTTTTACTCGAAGCTATGTTTCAAAAAGGCAATTGAAAATTGCCGTTTATTGACCGGTCAATTTTTCAAGGAACAAAGCAATGTTTAGTGGCCCTCGTCGGTCCCTGTGGTTAGGAGTCGCTAGTTCTTCCATCTTATTGCACTGTTCCCACCGTGTCACCACTGATTGGGACTGTGAGTCGACTCCAGTCCTTACTCGCATCGTCTCCCAGCAGATATCGGGAACAAACGGGAAGGTAGCAACAAAATACGGAAAACTTGAAAGGATTGTGAACCGGAAATTGTTGTTGAATGTACAGGCGGAGAGTGCAATGGCGGCGCTAAACTGCAGCGGGGCTATTCTGGGCTCGTTGCCAATCAGGTGAGCGGGCTTCCACGCTTCCGAAGCTGGCCACGTGTCAATTTCGTTTCCTTGCGAAGCATAGCGCTGATTATTTCTTAATAACGGAGCTTCATTGGTGCCTTGAGAGACCGGCGTATAATAAACACAAGTGAAAGCTACGGTGGTCAGTGTGCTATGGCCGACGTAGCGTCCTGGGTGGAACTGGCTGTTGATGAGAAGGCTCAGATCTCGACAAGCAGGTCGTCTTTGTAGCGGGAGTCACTTTAAGCTGCGCAATATTTATGTTGGGTTGCCATGCAGTTGATATGGCTTATTACAAGGCCTGATTCGTGGACATACTGGCAGATTCCGTGGTCGTACTGGCTGCTTTCTAATGCAGTCGTGTTTCCGTTTCTCCTTCCTAGGGTGAGTCCGTCCAAGACGCCTGTTCGCCCTCGGTCGCCGCACCCCCACCACAACCGTTGATCATGACAATTTCGGCCGAGCCATGTTCTTCAATGAGATCGTAGCTGTGATTACAACGGGAGTAGGTTTAGGCCATCCTCGAGTAGATGGTGAGGAGAATAAGGGGGTGCCAGGCTCCTGCGGGAGTGCTTGAGTTTTTCAGATGTTTTGTCCCTCCAGGTGAGCGGAACGCGATAAAGACCATTTTTTGGGCGACTAGCGCCCACCTTACAGCATTGTGTGCATGCATCATCTGTGTTGCTTAACGCATTAGTACAGGACGAGCTTAGGTATAGGGGGAGTAGTGTGCATATTGTGAGAAGTTGTGCAAGGTCCTGTTGATAGCTGCAAATATGAGTACGTTGATTGGCAAAACTTAACCCTAGTGCAATTCGAAGTAGGAGCGGTGAGGCGACTTGTTGCTTTGGGACTCTGAGTTGATAACGGTTGTGGTACACGCTTGCCACTTGGATTGTTTCATTGATTCTCCTAGAGCAATCACTCATGAGATACCTGCTGCGATCATTGACTTGTTGTCATAGTCGGAATTGAGTCAGTCAATTGCACGGCGGATGGTCAGCTAGGCATATATGAGCATGAACCGCACGATGGAATCGTTTACTGATGCTAGATATGCCTTGCACTCGCTCATGCACGCACGCTGCATGCTGGGCACGTTCAATTGCAACATAACATGCATGCACTGAACGCCAGAATTCAATTAAGGAGGCAGTATTATCTGCTTGAACTGATTCGGGCCCGGACTCTATTGAATCTACATCGATCAAAAACAACTGCAGGTGCGTGTCAGAACATGTGAGCCTGTGCTTCAAGACGATTTTGTTGGATGCGGGCCAACAAGGAGACGCAGTATGTTTCGATCTGCAAGATGTTGCGTTGCGCTGCATAAAGCAGATTTTTTGCACACATCATACGTGCAAGTCCAGGCATGCAGACTCGAGCGATCCCTATCGTCGGGGTACATCATTTCATTGGCGCGTTGTCATATATATTGTATCAACGTCCCATGATGTTTACTACTTCATGTCAAGACCACATAACATGCGGAGTGGTTGCATCACATGTTTCGTGACCTCAACTCTCTCAACATTTCGCTTCATGAGACATCTTCTTCATCCCTGGACTTCGTGGACGTAGTCAAGGGCTTTGCTTAAGTTGACAGAACGTGACGCACGCTTCGAGGACCAATTGATGCTAAGTCGTATCCCAAACGTCAGCAGCGATAGACGAGCTTCTCGAAAGCTCGCTTGGGTGGAAATTTGAATGGCAATCGTCACGCGGATTCTTGCAAGGAGAAGTTAGCAGAAGCTTATCTGGACTGCTCGCTCCTCATACGTACGTCTCAAACAGTAATATTGTCGGTAGAAGGATAATGAATGGTTGAAGCAAATATCTGAAAGTGGGCTCTAGTCGGAAACTTTCAAGCTATGCAGAACACTAGATCTCGCCATTGAATGACTTGTCAACCTCAATTGGTCAGGACCCTTGAACTTCACAAGGCTGTACAAGTAAACCCCACTCTTTCCGGTGGTTCGGTCCTCAAGTGGGTATTGTTCATAGTCGTTTTAATCTACGGCCCCACTCGCTGGCTCATTTGGCTGTGGACTTGATGATTCTGCGTCGCCCACTTCGTGAGGATGTCCATCACATCGTGAACGCTTATCTCCGTCTTCCCTCCGGCCACCAGGTGATTGACGGCCGCCGTTGCCAGACCCGCATCAACGTGATTCAGAGTGACGAGATTGTATAATCAAGTTGCTCAGATGCGTCGACTGCCCCACTGCCGAGGAGCCGGGAACCGCCGAAAACGACCCCGTATTCTCATAGGTTCCCTGGGAGTACTGGTTAGGTGCCGTGACTGGGACGGGGAAATTTCCTGGCTGTCCGGAGAAGACCGGTGGTGCAGGAAAGGCCTGCGGAGCACCATTTTGAAGATAAGGCGCGTTCAACGCTGACGCCTGCCAAAACTGCGGCGCAGGATTGGTTGCGCCGGCCAACGGAGGGACAGAGTTCCAGGCGTCCTGCTGACTGTGATACTGAGCACCATTCCAGGGGGCGTTGCTGAGCTGATAAGGAGGGGTGGGCGGGCGGGCCTGCCCATTCGCCTGCACCATCGGTACCGGGGCGTATGCAAACTGGCCCGGTTGGAACGCGTGTCCGTTTCCGGTCACGTCGGGCGCTGCATAACCGGGCGGCGGAGTAGCCGGGCGGGAGTACTGGGGTTGCTGCAGGGTGGGAATTGGCACCGGAACGACGTATCGCGAGAATTGCGCGTAGCCTTGCGGTCCCCTCAGATCGTCCGCCGTGTAGGTCTTCGGCTGCGGCATCACCCCCTGGTCGAGAGGCGACGGCGGGCGCTTTCCTGGTCCGTTTTGTGGCGCGTCGTGAGCGGAATTCCGTTGATAATCCACTGCCCCGAAGCTCTCAGCCGGTCCCGACCGGTCCCAACCGGTCCCAGCCGGTCCCCCTCGGGGCGACACGGGGTTACGCGCGCGCGGCGCGGCCGCGCGGCCGCCCGCGTTTCCGCCCTGAGCGGTGTTCAGGCCGTTGATAAAGGCCTCCAGGTCTCGGATGGTCGCCTCTGCGTCCTCTCGGGCCTTTATCGTCAGCAGCTGGCGCTTCTCCATGCGCAGACTGTCGAGCACCGTTGCGAGCTCGTCCACGAAGTTGAAGCCGCTCACAATGGCCTGCAAAGCGCACGGGTGTTCCTGATGGTGTGATCGAGATCCGTTCTGCTGCTCTCGCGACACTGGGATCGAAATTTGTCATGAGGAGGTTGCAAGAAACTCTGATGAAGACTCTTACAGAGTGATTGCTTTTGCTTAGCAATATGAAGAAGAGTGAAAAGGGAATGGATTTCGGCCATGGAGTATTCAACGGTGGCTGAAATGTTATTCGACATCGCAGAGCCAAGAATTTGATCAAGATGTGCTCAAATTTGCAAGCCTGAATCCAAAAGACTCCGATCTCTGAGGACTTTCGTCAGGACTTCCCGAGAATCCTCGAGAATCTCGTTGACTTGTTGACATCAAGAAACGAAACTCTTGGCTAGAATTTAGAATTCGAAGTTGCAAAGCTCATTCTAAAAGACTCCTTTGAAAGGTTTCGTTGCCGTCTTCGACATATAAAGGACCTGCCCAGCTTTTCACATCGGCAAATAGGCGGACTCCTTGCAACATTCTGCCATTCCCACAGTCATTTGGTGGCTCTGAGCTTGCCTGGACGTCCCGGCACAGCTGCTTGATCTCCTCCAGCTTGGCCGCCTGTGCCGCGCGCAGCAGATCCAGGTCCGACTTCGCGCTTCCGATCTCCGTCTTGGCCCCCTCCAGCTGTGCGTTGGCCGCGTCGAACTTCTTCTTGATTTCCTCCATGACCTTCTCGATCGTCTTGTGCACCTGTTAATACGTGGGTATGCAAGTTTGCTAGGCTTCAAAGTGCGTCTTTGACAATGCCCTTATAATGCTTTGAAACGGATAGTCGATCGTGAGCACTAGTTCTTCGTTGTATCGAACCATGAGTCGTTCCACGTGGTTCCCACCCTAAGCCCCCAGCCTATCCCATCAAGACCAGTACGATTTGCCCATTCTTTTACCCGCTTCAGCCCCGAGCACCTTACGGCACGTACCCGGTTGAAACCTAGCGGTACCGACCACACCTTGCGGTCTAGCACCGCACCACTCAAAGGGAACGTACCGCTGATGTCATTTGATGACGTACTTTTAAAGACTAGCGAACTAACGAAGTCTGCTGACCGGACCTTCTGGATCGTGAACAGGCCGTGGTAGTGCGACGCGGCGCCGCACGCCCCGGGGCACATCATGCACGCCGACCCGCCCCCCATGCAGGCGCAGCTGTTGAAGGCCTCCCCCCCCGCCTCGGAAATAAACTCGAGGCCGCACTTTTCGTGGCAGACTTGCTGACACGTGGAGCAGAGCGTGTTGTGGTAGCCGCAGGGGATTTGCTCGACCTCCTCGACGGTCTCGGTCCGCGCGAAGTCCTTGTAGTTGTCGCGCGAGGCGACCGCGCCCTCTAGGTCGTACTGGCTGCGCTCGAGCTTGTCTTCCAGCATCTGAAAAGAGAAGATGCAAGCGTTCAAGGGTCTATGTTTGTTGCAGACGATGAGAAACGAAAGTTATGATCGATTGGTGGGCCTCTAAATCTCCAAGTTGCAAGAGAGTTTGGTGGACTTAGTCACTGGGTGTTGAGAAGCACTCTGACAACGTTTAGAATCGATCTCCCCAGAACAAAGTTCTGCTCTGACGTCCTTACCGCCACTTCTAAATCGGCCTTGGCTCTGCTCTCAAACAAGTGTTACGAATCAATAGGCGGCGGAGGACGATAACAACAAAACCGTTCATCACAAGTCAGTGTACCTCAGCTTATCGCGGACCTGCCAATGTGTACGCTCGAGCATCGTTGGATGGAAGAAGCTCATAGCGGATCGATTCAAGCTTCCCGCTCGAATGTCTTTGCATATCACGCTCGCTTAGAGGAGGAAAAACCACGGGTGTTGGTGCTCATTCGCTTACCTGCATGTTTCGGAACTCGGTAAGCGCGCTGGCCATCTTGGCCTTGATCTCATTCCGTTTCTCGCGCAGCTCTTTGAAGGCGCCGGTGCTCTCGGACGCCATCTTCAGGATCTTTTGCATGATGGTCTCGAGCATATCCATCGAAATCTGCGTTAACAGACAAAATAGACCGTCCGTCGAGGGCTTTCACTTGCTACAGCAAGCTCGCGACAAGCAACGTCGACCCATCTTGACAAAAACAGGTGACCGAGACGAAACAACTTTCTGCCAGGATCAGAATCTGCACAATCGACGCAATGGTTTATCAATCAGAATCGACGTCTTCAACCTTGAAATGTTAGAAAGAACTCATGAGCACGAGGAGTTGAAACGTCTCAAAGAATCCGCTCCTCGAGTAACCCGCCTAAAACCCACCAGCCATTACATTTTATAGCGGCTTGATGATCATCTACATCAAGCAGCCTGAGTCAATCACCAGCCACCAAACGTAGTTGCCGCTTAATTCGCGTGCTTTCCTAGAATCACAGGAACGCTTCCATACCTGCCATGCCGCCTGGAGAAGCGCAAACGCCGGCGCGTTCTCCGGCTGCGCCCACGTGTCGGGGTGCGAGCTGAAGGCCGAGTTCTGCATGCAGTACCACGTGCCCGCCGTCACGGTGACCCCCGGCAGGTCCTCGTTCAGCGTCTCGATGTCGAAGTTCTTGGCGAGCCGGTCGCAGTTCGTCAGCACCACCAGCACGCTGTTGAGGGTGACGTCAGGAATGCTGCCGCGGAAGCGCGCAAAGACGTTCTTCATGGTCGCGTCCAGCCGCTGGTTGGACCCGTTGGCGACGATGATGAGGGCGTTCAGGTGCGGCAGACTCTCCGCGGCTTCGAAGATCTTGTTGAGGTTCAAGTCGTCCTGCTCCATGCCCCTGATGTCAGCCAGACCGGGGGTGTCGACAAGCGTGACCCTCTGGCCCTGGTACTTGAAATGGTACGGGGTACACTCGTCCGTTTTGGCGACCTTCACGTTAGACAGATGCATCTCTTTCGCGTACTTGCCCTCCGCCTCCGTCGCCCGAAAGTACCGGTTTGGGATCGCCACTCTGAGGTTCCGGCCAAACGGGTCCAGGGATCCCCCGCGGAAGAAGTTGACGACGGTGTTGATGAACGTCGACTTGCCGGCCCCGCTTGCGCCGATGACCATGATGTAGTGCGCGTCGCTCGGGAAAGGGCCATGCCTCTCGGCAAAGCTTAAGCTTCCGCCGCCCATGGAAACCGGTAGATGCCCGTTTGTGGGTCGGCTGATCGGGTTCAAAGCACTGCCTGCAAATTGGTCAGCAAAGGTTCAGAGCAAGCTGTCCTGTGTACGCAAGTCACACCCTCGCTAGGGTGCTTGCTTAGAAATTTGGAGCCAAAACCAGCTTCAATAGGATTGGCACTCCCGTTCCACCATTGGCTGCCTTAACCATCCTTGTTGATGAACGACACCTTTCCAATCAAGCAATAGCAGAGCAGCCATCAAGAAAAGTCTGGGTTGCTCTAAAAGGGTGTTCATCATATATCATGCACCTACTTGAGTAGATAATTATCTGGGCTTCTTTCAAAACTTCGGGTGCTGCTCTTGCCCATCTAGAAAGTTTGTTGGCAGAGACTTGACCAGATACTTTGACCAGTTACCTGACCATATACCTGATTCAATACCTGTACAACTTTAATTTCTGCGACCATTTCAAAGCAGACAAAGTTTTCCAACTTCTCTGGAAGTGGTTGATGCTGGTGAAAAGAACCACCGAGAATGACAGTGTAGGATTTCCTGTACAAGCGTGGTCCGTTTCAAATATGTAAGATGATCCAAGTCATGGCACATTCTTGGAGAGTGTTCTCTCACCGTCCAAACGTAAGCAAGGGGCGGGAGTACTTACAGTGGCGTAGCTGGCTTCAATAGTGCCGTATATTGGCGCACTCCCTAGTTGAAGTCCGACGCAGACTTTATTCCGCAGCTATAAATTCATGCTTCTCAGGTGATTTCTTAGGGTAGCATGGCCGATGCATATACTGCAGAAGCTCTGCTCAACCAGATCAGGGGTCCCTGGTAGCGGCTTTGAGACTGATCAGTATGTTTCGCGTCTGATAGAGAGGCGTTTTTTGATGAGAGTACGAATTTTGCAGCATCCAAGTTGTCTCGAGTAGAGTCGACAGCTGTACGAGGTTTGCTCTATCAAACACTTGAACGGGCTCCCTTGCCAAGTCACAAGAGCAGCCCCGTGATGCCGTGAGGCGTGCGTTGTTCTTTTATTGTCTTACCTCATTCGTATATGTATTGTGGCCATTCAGAATCGTAGACGAACTGAAAGGCCGCCGCCCAACCTTTCAGACGACCCGCTTGAAAATCACCACGTGCACGTACACATGTGCACATCGTGCGTGACAACTAATTTGAGGAACATAATGCAACTCCTTTGAAAGCTGTTTGGACTCCGAGTCAACGAAGGCCGCAAGCAAGTACGGGTCAAATCAGCAAAGACACTACAACGAGATACAAAGCATGTCGAATCTCGATGCAGGTACCTAACTTGAGTCTGTGTTCACACGTGAAGTACATCTTAGTATACTGAGCACGTGCAAAGCACCGGTCAACATGCTCGTGTTGACCGTCGCTAAATTAACACGGAGTCTCTCTTTCAAGTTGCAGCCAGGTCATGGGCCGTGTACACTGTACAGTGTACACATTATGTGCCTTGTTCAGGGCTGCAGCGTGACTCCGCTCGTGGCGGTAGAAAGAGGACTCGAGCACACCTCGTGAGTGTAGGTGTTGACACTAGGTATCATGCAGCTAGTGTTACTGGTCAACTGACGGCTGCATTACATTATCTGTGGCAACTTAATCGACGGCGTAATACTTGCTGCCGGCACCTTATCGACGGTTTGGAAGGTGTTAGGGACGGTGTCCGCTTTCATGGGACCCAGTAAATACTTCATTGAAGTTCAGCCGGTGCCGGGCTGAGCGTGCCAGCTGGCAAATCTCTTCGTAAGCTAGGGAAGTCAGAGTGTACTTTATCCATGTACTCGAATGTACCTGTCCCAGAGAACTCCAGAGGCGTTGCGACGTATGACTACAGCTGTTATTCCAGTGAACGGGCCCAAAGCTGACCGCACCATTGCATGGGTCCAAACTATTGTCCATGACTTGACTCAGTACAAAACCGTAATTTCCGGAATGCTCCTTGGCTGACTGCAAAGATGCAGTAGCTTGAGGATGTAAAAGAGTGTGTGTATGCCGCAAACCAGAGACGTGCCACTACTAGTCACGTCCACATTTTGTACAAGATTACCGTGCTGAGCTCCAACGCCATGCCAACTTGAAGAGCAGAACCCAGTGCATTGTCTTGTCTCATGACCATTGAAGATAAGGACGACCCACTTGGCCATGTAAGGGGTAATGTTCACAAACATCAGCTAACGAGAAAATGCCGCGGGAAAGGTTTGTCGCACTGAGCGACGGGAGGCAGCTCCGCCTCTACCAGCGGCAGGATGGAACCTGGTATTACAACGACCTTGGGCGCACAAACTTGCGGAGCAACCAGAGGACTTTCTACCGTCAGTCAGCGGCCGGTGGCGGAGGAGGCAATGGCCAGCCTCGTCAGCAAGCGGCCCCACGTGGCAGAGCTTCACACGGTCAGTAGAAGCCCTCAAGAAGTTGGGTTTTCCCAAGCGGGGCCAAATGAGGAGCAGTCTTAGACTCTGAAGGGCAAGAAGTGCCAGAGGTCAAGCATCCCCTCCAAGTCATCCTGGCTTTGGTAGGAATGGTCGAGGCCTGATCTTCATGTGGACTGAGATGGCGTTCTAGCTATATCGTTTCCAGGCACCCGCAAGAAGTCATACTCTACCTTTCGGGTCTTGTCAAAACTGAAGTAGAGAGGACCCTCTTGCAGATCTCTTGCTTTTTTACTTCTATTTCCAGACTGGGAGGTGCGACATACTGTTCACGTCATGTCTGTAGGGTTTCTACGGGCGTCTTTGCTTTAAGCTTGCAACTCGTGATTTTGGCAAGGGAGTCTAACGCTTGTTCTCGTCTTCACATACGCATTGTTGAAGCAGCGAGCAAAGTCAGGAGACAGCTATGTTCAGTCAAAAGAGCATGCCATTTGTGTTTTGGAAAAGCAGAAGGGGTACCTGTTTTGCGTTCTTCTTTGAAAGATCTGGCACTGGAAGGACAACATTAACTACCATTTGCTTGTAGCGTATGTCTACAAAGTGAGACTGGATGTGACTGCGTAGCTGAGTGATCCTGGAAGGCAGGTGGGCAGTCTTGAAACACTTTTCTTGGACTCAGGGCAGCATTGGGTCAAAGGAGTTTTGAATACCCCTCCCGGTACTCTCTTTGAGGCTACACGCTGCACAAAATACTGGTCGCCTGCATGCTTCCTGGACTGGATCCTTCTGTGCCCCTCCAGAAAGTCGTCCTCCAGATCAGAGCCACAATGCATCCTTCATTTTTCTCCTAGCCCCTTCACACGCTTGCGACTTCGCCGTTTGACAAAAAATCTCGCGTCCCTTTTCACAGCCTCAGCGAGCCAGGCGCGGCGTCAAGGCGCGCGCGTTCCTACAGGGCGGCCCGCCACGTGCCCCTACAACGAAGACGGGCCGGGACACCCTCGGTGCAGAAACTACTCGGCGGCTGGCCGCCTTCTCCGGAGCAGCACGGCCAAGAAACGGTTCCTAGAGGCGGCCGGCTACCTCTACGGCCAGCCGGCTGGCACCCACGTGGACCACGTGATTCCGCTGTGCCTTGGCGGGGCTGACTGCCCGTGCAACATGCAGGTCAGTACGGACGACTCTCTGCAGAGCGAGATTGACGAAAACATCTCTGCAAATTGGCGAGTACGTCGGGAGGATTCTGGGCACGTTTGTCTGTACGAGGCTTGAGTAAGCAATTGACGGCAGCACCTTGAACAGAAAGATTTTTTTGCACTGCGGGCGGAAGGTGCCACTCAAAGAAGGGAAGTCTTGACAGTTGCAATGTTTCAAACACCTGCCAGTGCCATTTTGACAAAAGCGGCGAAGTCTTGACAAGGATTCTATTGAGACGACGTGGAGAAGTTGTACTACGCGTTCAGCAATGAGGTCCGCGCACAGAAATATCAGCGGAAAGACATATCGTAAGAAAGCTGGGTTCAATCCACTTTCTTCTTTTGCCTGATCTCGATGCCATTGTTTCTGTGCAGCTTCTCACAGAGGCTCAACACGGCGTCAAGACTCGAGCAGACATCGCCCAATGTCGAGCAGAGAACGTGCGTCTCTGAACTTACAAGGAGGCAGCTCGCAAAGAGTTCGGACTTGCCAACTGGCCGGCTAATAGCCGGGACGCGTAGGTTTGCGAGACGTATTTGTTGTCCGATCTGCCTCCAGTCCATTACTAGGAAAGACAGATCCGAGCAGAAACTTGGAAAGCAGACGGTCCGCATGACGGCATCTTCCTCATTCACTCAAGTGACGGAAGTAGGCCCGAGAAGAGACCGCCTCCGAGCTTTGAGATTTCTGCTAGGATAGTCGTATCGAAGATAGACTTGGAATTGTAAGCGGTAAGCTTCTCATTGAGGCATTCCAAGCACCTAATATCTCGTACGCATTGCGTGACTGAACGAAATCGTAGTTTACATGCATTCGCGTCCAATGATTTTGAGCATTACATTGATACATTCTACAAGCCATGAATCTTCGATTGCGTGAGCGGAACGGAAACTTGGACCGACATGCCCGGATAGCAGATTATGTTCATGTGTCGACAATGGTCATGTTGAAATCTAGCGCGCTTCGTTGGGCTGATCAGGTAAGCTGGAAGAGCTGTCTGAAAGAGGCAAGCACGCGGCCACCTTGCTTGGATGCAATGGTCTGATTTTAGCAGGGCGAAAGGGTGTTCACCTACAGCGTTAAAATGGATTTGCAGCCCCAGACCAGTCTCATAGTCTGGGCAGTGGACGTGTCAGGATACCCAAAAAAATCAGCGCGTTGAGATGTCTATGAGTATCGAGTGCATCTCGTATTCACATGCCCGAACTAAAGGGTTCCGTTGCAAAGAACGACTCAGTACGAGATGAGGCTTTTAGCGCGGCTCTTGGCAGCTTTGCCGCATCGGGGAATGCGAAAGGAAAGCCTTGAAAGCTATTCCGAGTCACGATGCAATGTATGATGGCCGAGGTGAAATCTGAGTATTTTGCTACACTGTGAAAAGGGAACCATCCAAATTCCAGCGAATCAATCGGTTTGGAAAACTCTCATTCCAACCCATGAAGTAGCGAGAGTGAAGCTGCAGCACGGCAATGACGATTTCAATGGTGATAGTTCTGACAGAGAATTCATCATTCTCATCAGCTTAACAGAGATCTCAAGTGTCACTAAACATTTCAGGAACTTCTCTCAAAGAGTGCCCCGACTACTAACTTGATGGGGTGTTCCAAGAGTCAGTAGTCACCAGAATCCTCTCTACCTGCAATTCTAGATTGCGGAACCCTGCAGATAACATTCTGCTTCCTAGTCAGAGTCATACTCACAGTCGTCCTCTTCCAACTCTATGAACCTCACGTTCGGGACTCTGCATTCGATTCTGCGGGGTGAGGGGCGGAACATGACGGGTTGAGGGGGGCCGTGCATCATGCACATACGCATGAAGAGCAGCATGTTCCTCTCGTATCTCTCCCTTTCTCTTTGCGCGCTTGCCGCGATCTCGTTTCGGATCGCCAGTAGTTGGTCGTCCATGCGACGCATCCAGGCAGTGTGATCGGACGTCATCTGCTGGGACCTCTTCTCCGCCGCTTCTACCTGCGGGTCAGGACCGCTGAATGTCACATTTTGCGAGGTTCTGTGGACACAGGACCTGGCGTCCGCATAGAGCCGTACTGATACACCAAAAAGCTTGGAACCGCAGGGGGATGAAACGGGCTGAATAGACGCCAATAAAGCTTTGGAGAAGGATAAATCTGCACATAAGATTGTGCGCTCGAGAGAAGATCTCCCTACATGGGGAGAAAGCACAGCGGTCCCGGCAATGGAGTTGTCAGAAGTGGCCCGTACTGGAGAATTGAGTAGCCGTCAAACAGAGTGCGTCGCTTGACTGGACACGAAGTGATTGGGCGAAAGCTCTTAGAAGAAGGCGGCTCGGTTCCGAACGCTGCGAATTTTTTTGGAAATGTGTCTGTCCCTCCCCTGAAACTGACGTAAATGACGCCCAGACAAAAACAGCTGCACAGTTGAAACCAACCGAGACCCGAAGAGGAAGACCTCGAAAGAAGGTTCAAAGCCCAGGAGAAACTTTGCAACAGATGTTAATGTTGATCTCTTGGCCACGAGAAGATTCGAATTCCTGAAAATCTAACCCAAAGCTTTGATGAAGATTCGAATTCCTGAATATCTAACCCAAAGCTTTGATGAAGATTCGAATTCCTGAATATCTAATCCAAAGCTTTGATGGAGTTGATACGGCAATTTACCCCAGCAACAAATATCTGAAAGAACAGACAGATCTCGGAACGGGACACGCCATCTTCTCTGGGCCCGTTCACGAGTTGTACAACCTGACCTTTAGACTTTCAACACCACTACTAAATCCAAAGATGATGACATTCTTTATCAACTCTATAGCAGGGAATTTTCCCCAACACGTGGGTGCTTTTTAGTAAACCGGGATTCGGCATTTGTTACCTGAAGTTTGAGCCGCTGCACTTCTTCCGCCGCCGCTGTCGCCTTCTTCTTCTCCGCGTCCAGGTCCGCGCTCGCTTGAGCCGCAGCGTTGCGAGCCTCGTGCATCTTTTCCAGCCCTTTGAACAGCGCCGTAGAACTCGCCTCGCGTTCGCGAATACTCTCAACCGAAAAGAGTCCGTTTAACGAGTCCAGCAAACTCTGCCGCGCCCTGTCAAAATACCTCTTGGCTGTCGCATGAAATTGATTGCCCAGAAGCGGCAGTTTACTCGCGTCAAACTCCGTGTCGAGGTCTTGTTCTAGCGCGCTCTTCGCCTTCGCAAAAAGCTCGTCGCTGAGTTTCTCAGCCGCGGCCGCGTGCCAGCCGCGACACGCGGCCTCGTACGCGGTCAAAACCTCCGCCACCTTGCCGTTGTACTCCGCGAGCACGGACGGGAGCATCTCCGCGGCCGCGCCGTCGCCCTCCCAGGCCGCGCGCATCGTGCGCACCGAGTCGCGCAGAAACGCTTCGAGCTGCGCGGGCGCCATCACGGGGGATCCCTCCAAAAGCGCGCGGCGCTCGTCGCCCAGTTTCTGCATCTTGGCCACAGCCTCCCGGCAAAGTGCGCCGTGCATCGAGGCCGTCAGGTCGGCCACTCGGATGACGTCACTCTCCTGGATCTGCCCCAGCGCGCTCTTCAGGATGACGACATTCTGCGCCCCCATGAGGGCCGCGCCCGCGGCGCGCAAGAAGCGCGGCCGCGTCGCGTCCTTCAGCTGGCGCGCCATGACGGCCGCGAGGTTTGCCAGGCTGTGCTGGAACGCGGCCGGCAGGCGCTCCGCGGGCAGCGCGCGGCCGCGGGTCAGCTCCGAGTCGAGCACGGGGAAGTAGTGGAAGGTGATGTCAGCAAAGGTGCTGCAGAGGAGCGCGCGGCGCCGGTTGCGCTCCGCGGCCGCGGGGCCGCCTTCGGGTTCCATGTGCATGATGTGCGCGTCGTAGCCGCCTTGCTGGTTGAACTGACCACGCGAGGTTAAGGGAATACATTAGCTGCTTGCGTGGATTGAGTCGTAGCGGGTTGCGTGAAGGGCGTTCCGATGGTGCTTTCCACGGTTGGTATCGCATCCGCACTCATTTGCACGGTACTCTACAGTACCTTGTTTGGGACTGAAATCCAGAAAGTCAGCTTCAGTGGACTCGGCTTGTTACTTACAAAGTTCGAGACGTGAGAACTTCCAACATGCGAAGTCTGTGTAAAGGTCTCGAGTTATTGACGCAGGCGCGACAATTGTGCGAAGTGCACCAACAGGTTTGCAAGCTTCAATTGCACTGCGGGCAGAGTTGCTGGACAGGACGAAAGAGTCGGTTGCAGCTCACGTGAAAGTCGCGACAGACGATGTGCAGGTGTCCGAATGGCGCCTCCTTCCGTTGGTCCGACTCTGGCATGCCTCGAATGTCCAAATGGTTTCCTGAGAAAGACACAAGATGACTCGGGCACGCGACGACGTAGCTCGTATAGCAAGATCTTGAACAAGTCTTTTGGCATTGAAGCCCGATTTAGAGTTCCATGTGAGCAGGCGGCTTTTCTTCCAATGAGGTCGCACTGATAGGAAGTTGTGGTTAGTATGAGCGGTTTAAAGCTGGTTTGGTTTCGGTAACCATTTCATCTGTCGGTTACGATGCCCCCGCATTTATCAGATGAGCTTTACTATTGTTGAAAAAAGTCAATCCGGAAGGATCTGCAGCATCAGTATAATCAAGCCACAAAACAAAAACCTCAAAGTAGCGAAGTGGGCATTCTCGAGGATTCTAAAGAGTTTAGACAAAATGTTTTACCTGCCAAGGCCAATGGAGCTAGCGCATCCAGGAACTCATCCCTGGGCTTGTATCCAGAGAAGTTGAAGATGATGACTCTGCTAAGCAGGAAGACTGGGTAGTAGAGAATCAGGTCGTGTCTGCAAAGAAGAAAAGCAGAAGTTTCTGCCGCATGGACCGATTAGTTGGAGAGGGCCCCTGCGGATGCATTTTATTGCCCTTGTGTGCCTTAATACGTCACAAGTGCCTGTGTCAGAGACGAGCGGTGAGTATGTATCCGTTCTATTTACGCCTGTCGGCATCCCCGCGGCTTGTGTTTTGACGACTTCCTCTTCAAAACCGTATTTTGACAGATGCGCCAGTCGCTCTCAGACTGCTTCTGATGAACAAAACCAATGTAAGTAAGGCATGACGTGTTTGACATGCACTACTCTAAACCGCTTGTTTGAAAACTTGCTAAGGATCCGACTTGCGCTACTTCCGCTTCCTTTTGCATCACCTTACAAGATCGAAGACAAAGGACTCCAATGCTTTGTTAGACGCGACTGTCCGGGGCACAAACCAGCCCACAGTCTCTACAGCTTTCCTCTTCTGCTTACCGTTGATCTTGATCCCCCGAGCCTTCGAGATCGATGATCTGTACTGAGGGCGCCCGCCCGTTTCCGCCAGGGGGAAGGTTGAACCCCCTGCAGAAGTCCTGGTAAGTCCTCCTTTCGCGTGATATATCCGCTCCCTCAGTGCAAGGCGTGGCGGTGTTATCAACCTGCAAAAAAACGGCCCTTGATGAGCCGTCCATGCCGTGAGGAAGAGTACTTAGCTCGTACCAACTTCTTGTAGCTTCCTCTAGAAAACGGATCAGAAGTTCAAAACTTGCCTCTCACGCTCATCATCGAAAAATAACCCCAATTACATGCCCACCTTGAATCCCACGTTAACGTCCTGGCTCCCCTTCTATCAGACCCTACTCTGCCAAAAGCTGGTCGAGAAATGGAGTTTGAAACATTGAATCAAGCTCCTCGATTGGAGCCAACAACTTTCAGTGAAGTATCGATAAGAATCGGGATGAAGTTGAGCCGATGGGATCAAATTGACGCACTTGAAATGCGTCCTGGCGGTTCCTTCCGAGCAGCGCATTGGCCAGGGTGCTCTTGCCGCTCGCGCAGGACCCACGATACAAACCAGGTTGGTGTTGTCGCCTTCTTGCAGAGCCTTGGCACCTTCATCCCCGACCTCCAGTCGGCCAGAAGTCCTTGACTAACGGATCAAGGGAATGGAGGCCTGCCAAAAAGGCCAAGTTTACGGTTCGTCTTTGTTTCCAGTCGGCTTTTCGCATTCGTTTCCTACTTTATCAAGGAGTGATTGCGTTGACTATTGTAAGATGAGTGTCGAAAGGACAGAAACGTCCTCGACGTCTATGCTTTTCTGTGAAGGAGCCAAAATCTAGAGGCGCGCCAGTTTCAGCACATCTTTTGCGCAAAAATGGATGTCAACCAGAAACTTGACTTGACAGCTCTCTTAATCAGACCGGATTGAGCCAACCCACCATCTTCAGCGGTCTCCTTTTGGACGTCAGATCCGCTGTGCTTGCCCTTGACTCCCGCTTGTCGCCTTCGGTTGTTCAAGCTTATATGCTTCCAACGTCTGGGCTGCTTAGAAAGAGGGAGCAGATGCAGTTGCCGAGCTCAAGCGCACTTGCTCGTTCCGTTTCCCTAGCCCCTGAAAGTCCCTGAAAGTGACCGCAACGCTTACAGTATTATCAGGATTGACCAGGTGAGCGACAAGCAGGGGCCACCATGTGTTCAGGAGAGGCGCGCCGGCAGCCCCGGTCTAGTAGATTTTCCACACCCTAGTGGCAAGCTGCGGGCAAAACTTCGGAGTCTTAACCACTTCTGCTCGCTTGCCCTTTCTAGCATGTGACCAATACAAAGGGAACCATCAATGTGATTCACACCATCTCACAATCTTGTTCAAGTACCCCCCAATCGGACCCTTCACTCTTTGTTTACTTAGGCTGGAGGTAGATGGTAAAGGTTCCCGCTCTAGTATGCAGAGGGGACGTTGAGAGGTGAGACTCAGACCACAGCAGAACTCACGATCATGATGACAATCAGCCTCAGCACTGGCCAGACGGTCAACCCAAGTTTGCACTGATGCACACTTTTATTGACTTCGACTCTCCCCTCAGGCATCAGCAGTACTCCCAGAAAGAAGCATTTCAGTACATATGCTCTACACAAGCGTCAACTTACTCGGCCTCGATCGTTTGACGGCCACCTGACGTCATGGCGAGCCAGCGGGTGTTGCTGGATATGCGGAAGCAAGTTGACCACATGATCGACTGCTGTCGGATCGGTCAGTAGGAAAGAATCAGTCCTAACCCTTTGGGCTAATGTGTCAACTGCAACGCTCACGCTTCTGGGTCGCCTTGCAGACTTGGCGTCGCACTGACCAGCGCCCGGTATATTGCCGATTGAGTATTGAATCCAACTCAATCATATAAGCAGTGTCCGGAATCGCCCGTCTACACCGAAACGCCGCGCGCGCGGTTTTGTTCTGACCAATCCGGTCAATGCCTTCCGTAGCTTTGATGCACGTGGCGACCGCTCATTCGGCCCGGAATCTTCGCTCGAACAGCCGTGCTGTACGTCGGTCAATCTAATCTTTTTCGGGCCTCCAAGATGACCAAGCGACTGTACGATTTTGAAGAACCCGAGGTCAAAGCTGCCTTCCCTGCATAATGATTGGATTGCGGCGCACTAGAGCTACAGGTACACGTGCTTACACAACAAACATGATTTTAAACCTGTAGGTCAACTCATTCTACCGTATAATGCTGTAAGGACCATGCACGTGTAGCTAGTCTAAGTGGCAGCTACTGTAGTCTGCCTTCAGGCCAAAACTCCTGGCGACTCTCCGATGTCAGGCTCAGCATCACGAAGCAAATCAGTACCAAATCAGTACCCATGACCGCTCAGTACAGTAATCCTTCAGTACGTAGATGTGACCGCTGGTCACATCTACTTAGATCTGAAAGGTGCAGCTAGCCTATCGTGAGAGTGGGAAGTTTGTCGCATGTACTGTCAATACGTCTGTGGCATGCCCACTTCAACTTCGTACCATTTTCCTTTGCGCTATATAGAAGCGACACAAAACCGCCGGAAGTTGCATCGTGGACCTTAATGCAAGCTGCAAACCAATCGTCCTTCACAGACTTGTGGGTTTAAGCATCTTTCAAGCACCTTTCCCTTCAAGCCCTCTCTCCACCGCTGGTCTTAACGCGCTCGCTGCCAAGGCTCGGCTGCGGCTCAGCAAAGTGACGCCTGACCGTCCCAGAGTATTGTTCCTGGCAGCTGCGAGGTCAATCGAGGAAACGCGTCATGATGGCGAGTTTAAAGGTAAGCGACAAGCTGCATCTCTCCAGAATGTTTCTACGAGCCTAAGATGTCGAGGTGTGTACTGAGGAGATGCGGAGATAGATTCCTCAGCACCATGTTTCCAAGGCGTGCAGACCAGTCATTGTGCATGTCCCTGGCTACAAAATGCTGAAGCGGTGGCGTGATGATTGCGAATCTCGTTCAAGACTGCAATGAATCTGGCGACTGTCTCTAGACACTCTTTACTCTGGTTTCGTTCCGTTAGCTCTGCTACAAGTAGGGTTTTGACGTGGTTCTACTACAGAAACGTTCAGTCAAGAAAACCAACCTGATGAGTCTTAATATCAATGGTACGGAAAGGAGGTGCAACAACTGTGGTTCTTACACAGTACTACTCTCATTTGAGTAGCCCTCAAAGAGAGGCGCAGGCTTTCGGTGTTGGATATCATGGCATGTCTGAACGTAGGTAGAAGAGTCATTACCGCGTTTTCTGTAGCTGTCAATCGAATGGTTGCAAAGAGCCCTTGCATTGGAGGCTTGACATGGCCTTTCATTCAGCAGCAGTCAGTGAACACGACAGACCTCAACCGGAAGGAGTAAGCGCCCCTATCGCCCGTCTGTTGCAGTCAGCACTGGTCACGTCACGGCGGCCTTCCTCCGCCACCACTCAAGCCGCTACTCCGCCCAAGAAGAGCGTCGCTCTAGTTCGTTCCACCTCGCCCAACAAGCCCAGCCTGAGCGTGCAGTCCCCCGCGGCCGACCTTTTGTCCACCAATGGCGGCCCCGAAAGCTGGGTCCATCGTCGGTTCCGCTCGGGGCGGGAAGTCCTTCCTGATCGACCTCCTGAACGGAACGGAGGGCGTATTCACATTGGACAACGGCGGGCCCTGCACCGAGGGAGTGGACATGAGCCCCGCGCTGCTGCCGCACGCGGCCTTCGCCGCGCGCTTCGGCGCAAGGCCCAATGCGAAGGCCCCCCCGATCCGCTTCCTGGACGTGGAAGGGTCCGGGAACAAGGGCGAGGAGTATGACGTCAGGCTGTACGTGGGCGTGCTGCTGCTGTCCAAAGTGTGCATCCTGAACCTGTCGGGCCACATGGGAAAGCAGACGTTTCTGAGCAGAGTGGCGGCGCTGACCGCGGCCGCGGAGTCGCTCGACTTGGCGAAGGGCCGCACACGCTCCGAGGCGCCGCTGTTCGGCCACCTGCACGTGGTCTGCCGAAACTTCCAGTTCAAGGGAGCCGAGACCAAGGAATACGAGGTAAGATGGGGCTTGGCACAAAGGGTGTACCTTTTGTGTACCCTGAAACTCTAAAACCTTCAAACCCGTTTTGGTTTTCCCACTTTTAAAACCCTTTTTCTCTTAAAACCATTTTCTTTCTCGTTTGTGTACCCAAGGAGAGAAGTCGTCTATCACGACGGAAGGGGTCGCATTAAACGATATGACTGATGCGAATGCTTAGCTCACCATCATGACTGTCACACCATATGTTAGTTTGTGGAGAAAGGATTGACGATGAGGTTTCCATACGGGACGTAACTTGCAAGCAGATCGGCACATGCTGAATCCAGCTTAACAGCTCCAACATTCTCTTTTCTTCAATCTCATTGGGGACTACTTCAAAACTCTTTGGTTCTCGTGACTCGCCTTATCTCGAAACGACGACACTGATGATATCGAGGAGTTGTACGTGCAAATTGACATTGAAACTGCATGCTTTGGCCGCGTAAAGCAGGACTATTTTCCAAATATCTTCCAAATATCTTCCAGGTATCTTCCAGATACCCTAATAACCTCTCCGGGGAACTGACCGCTTCCGATGATCACTTTGTCGTTGCAGAGGTATATTTGGGAAGACGAAGCTGGAGATGACGCCAAGGATCGCAACTATCTCCGGAAGCAGCTGAAGAGGAGCTTCAAGAGCATCACGGTCCACCTGTTCCCGAAACCAGAAAAGGGCCTCGACCAGAAGGTAAGAAGCTCGATAGCCTTATATTCGTAGAGCAAATCCATGGTTTTCTGGTGAATATTGGGCGAGAAGGTGGACCAAAAGGAATCACTTTTTCAACTGAAAAGGCTTTTCATTGGGAAACGCTTTGCCTCGAGTTTCGATTGAACAGGCTTCTCATTCTGAAACGCTTTGCCCCGGCGATTTTTGAACCCACGACTTCCATCTCGAACGGATACATATGTTTTCGACTCTGAATCCCCTGACGGTTTACTGAGAGGATGAGTTCAGAGGTATGACAGGACAATGTCAACGAGGCAAGGCTAGGCAAGCCTACAGATGTCACCAACACCTTCTATTTGCTCCGATCATGTCAGGTTGGGCGTTCGAGAGTCTCACACCGTTTTCGCTTTTCCTTCACAGCGCATCCCGTGGGCCCAGATAAACGACGACAAGCCTTTCCAGGCCAGCCTCACGAAGCTAGGCGCGGCCATAAGCGATCAGCTGTCCGACGCCGCGCCCGCGCGCGCCGCGGCCGGGGCCGTCGTTCTCGAGACCGGTGCAATCATGGCGAGCGTCTTGAGAGTGACGCTGGAGAAGGTCAATCAGGGCGACCGGTTGGCGATCCCCGACCTCTGGGAGACGCTATGCCAGGCAGCGCTGGCAAAGGAAAAGCAGGCGGCGGACGATTTCGCGGACGAGCTCCCGAAGCGGTTTCCCCTGAAGCCCGCGGACCTCGCGCAAGCGATCGGCGCGGCCGCGCGGCAGCGCGCTACTGCGCTGGGCGTCCAGCTGGACACGTGTCAGGCATCGGCGGCCATGCGCGCGGAGCACGTGGCGCTGCTGGAGGCGCACCTCGCGCGCGCGCGCGCGGGGCTGGAGGCGGCGAACGCGGTCCTCGTGGGGAAGATGTGCTCGGGGATCGTCACCGAGGAGAAGGCTATGCTCGTGGCGGAGCTGAAGAAGGTTCCACAGACCCCTTCCGCGCCCGGGGGTCGAATCTCGAGCACGCAATACGTGGCTTCCTTGGCGGCCGTCATGAGTGCGCGCGAAAACGGTCTTCTGCGGCGGCTCCAGGAGTGGGGCCCGCCCGACGCGTACCGATCGGCGTACGTCTCTGACTGGAAGAAATACGGGGAGCAGGGCTCGGGGGAGCTGCGCGCGCAGCACGTCGAAGCTGGTGGCGGAGCAGGCGCGGCGCGAGGAGGCCGAGCGAAAGGAAAAAGCGGAACGGGAGGCGGAAGAGCTGCGCCAGCGGAAGGAGGCGGAGCGGAACCGGCAGGAGCAGCTCGACCGCGAGCGGCGCGCGCAGGAGGCGGCGCTTGAGGAGGCGACAAACGAACGATTTTCGCGGCGCTTCTATTCCCCGCCCTGGTGCAATCCAAGCATGTACAGCTATGGTCCGTCGCCGTGCGATTTTGACTACGGTCCGGTCCGAGGAGGGTACGGGGGGTACGGAGGGGGTTACGGAGGGGGATGTGGGGGGGGAGGAAATTTTTATAAGGGAGGTCAGTTTCTGCCGGGGGGGGGCCGTGCTCCTGCAGGAGGCTGTCGGATGTGATAGGCTTCCATGTATGCCATGGGAGCCTATGGCCCACGTTTGATAAGAGATTATCGAAGTCCACCTAGATCTCTGTCTGCTTAAGTAGGCTATCTACGGGAGGATTGCGTAAATTCGAATGGCGTCACCGCTGAAAGAGGAAGTATCGGTCTAGTCTCGAGCAACTTGCCCTGCATCGGCAGGCTTTCGTATCGGGAATGCGCTTGTGATTCTGGAAGACTTTATCGATCGTTTGCTGAAGTTGTCACGACCGGCCGGCGACAACATGCCTGATCTGGCAGCAGATAGAAAGAAGCAGATTAGAGCTGATGGTAGAGTTCTGAATTCAATTGCGGGTGACTTCGCAGCGCTTGCATTTCAAGCACCCAGCGAACAATGGCCAAGTCTTATACCCTCTTTTCTCTTGGCCTCCCCCAGCCACAGCTTACATACACGTCGGGCACGAGAGGCACATTTTCAGCTTCGTTGTTCTCACATGCAATGATCGCACAGGAGGCGGCGATTGAATCTCGTCCACAGGCTCACAATTAAGTTACGCAGTGCACTTATGGCAGGTTTCCACGAACTACAATCGGCTGTCTATTGTATCGAGCAAGCGGCGCGCGGGAGCTGAGTGATCATGCTAGTCTATATATTCGCGCCCAAGTACGCCGGACTGGAGTGACAACGATAAATTGCCGTCGCATATATATGATGTTTGGATCATGTTGATCGGTTGGTACGTGTCTGGCCGAGATCATTCTAGTAGTTGCCGCCCAAGAGTTCGACTATCATAGTCCGTTGTTTAAACCGCGTCAGTGCAACTTCAAGCATGCTCATGAAACCGCAGGCATGGCTCCAATATCTCTAGGGGCCAGCTGCTGGTCGTTGAGTCCAGATATGATTCCCACAAACTTATAAGATCTTGTGATTCAAACCGGTAGAGCATAAAACTGCATGGCAACATGTCGCCTTCCGTGGCGCCATCAAGCCATGCACGTTGTGCGAATTGTCATGGTGAGCCAGGCGCGCTGCAATATGCATGCTACACATACATGGCGGAGGCAAGCTGTACTACGAAAGCGCAAATGCAGAGCAGATCGAACATGTAACATGATTCTGAATTAAGCTCAAGCTTTGGACAACTTAAATACTCTTGTTGAATGCGGGGCCATTTAAGACTGCGAGATACATTACGCGACCCCTGCTCCATTGCTCAACAGTTACGAGGCTCACAAAGCGTTTTACAGTCAAATTTCAAGCGGACCTGACCCAATCGTTATTCCTTCTAGAGTTCGACCAAGCGGTGCAAAGTTTGAGAAATTATACAGCAGACTCAACTCAATGTTAGATTCCTGCAGTTTGACTGCAGTGTATGATACAACTCAACTCCAACTCAACTCCAAAATGATCCAAAGTAAACATCAAACTGACGCAGAAAGCGTCTTTTGCGCCTGTGTCCTGCGCCACTCCGCGCGCAGCTTCGCATTGGAGCTCAGCACCTTCTCCACCTCTCTGGCGTGGATCCGTCTCATCTCCGAGAAAGGCATGTTAGAGCCCACCATGGCAAGGATTGGCTTCGGGAAGAACCACGGCAAAAACCTGCTGAACACGCCTAGGGCCATAGTCCTCAGCTGGTGCCAGAATGCGACGTTCTTATCCAACGGCCCTTCCGACTCGGACAGGTCCACCAGTGCGTGACCCTCGCGTACCTGCGCAAACGATTTTGCGCAAATCACTGAATTTGGGGGGTCCTAGACAGAATCTTGGACTTATTTGGGCTATTCAAATGTGCCAGAACGCGACGTTCTTATCCAAAGGCCCTTCGGACTCGGATAGGTCCACCAGTGCGTGACCCTCGCGCACCTGCGCAAACGATTCCGTGCAGAATAGTGGGTGGATTGGGGAGTGATTTATAAGAATCGCAAAATTGTTTCACTATCAGAAGTGCTAGAATGCGACGTTCTTATCCAACGGCCCTTCGGACTCAGACAGGGTCCACCAATGCGTGACCCTCGCGTACTTAGACGGTTTTCTGGAGGGTGTCAAACTGAAAATTGAGTGACAGAGACAGAGACAGTGGATCTGATCTGCTGTTCTAAGGCTGAAAGTACTTTCTTGTCATTAGAACCGAATTTCGTTCCGTATTTGACTTCCCCGCACATTCACCGACGAACTGGTCTTGGAGTGTTCCGGGTCCGTAGGGTTTTTGCGCGTCCAAACCGACGCAGAGCACATTTGTTGTCGGAAGGGCTCTCAGGAACGCGAGCCAGAAATAACTGGAAAAGAATCCAGCCGCTTCTGCGCCGACCAGACTTTTTGTACTTCAGAAACGGAGTCTGGAAACGCCAGAAAGCAACCGTCTATACCTTTCCCTTTCCGTCTTCTCTCTTTTTCACCTGCAACGCAGAATACCGCTCCAGCGCGCGCGGCAGCCGCTCGAAGAACGCCTCCCGACCGCTGCCGGACGCGTCCGCCACTTTCTCAGACGTCCGTTTCTCCTTGAGTCCCAACCGGTCGTCTTCCCCGACCACTTCGCCGAGTAACAACCGGGCCAGAACCGCTGCATCGACCATGGAAGAATTGCAGCCCTGCCCGATAGAGGGTGACGTGGCGTGCGCAGCGTCGCCCACCAGGACGGCGCGGCCGTCCGAATGGTGGTACGGATCGCACCGGACCTGGGAACGGATCCGGACGCTTTGGGAAAGTGGAAAAGACAAGAATCAAGCGAAAAAGATGATGGAAAGCTAGGTTGATGTTTCTTGAGCAGAGGAAGGAAGGGAAAGAGTACAGCTGGCGTCCGAATGGTGGTACAGCTCGCACCGGACCTGCGAACGATTCGGACGGGTCGTGGGGAAAGTGAAACGAGCAGGTTCGAGCGAAAAGGCTGACAAGATATGATAGATGGATAGATACTTATTAAGCAGAGAAGGAAGGGAGAGCGGCCGTCCAAATCGTTAATAGGAAGAGTGAAAGAAGAGTGAAGACCAGAATCAAGAGGAAATCTCAATAAGAAGAGTGAAGGCCAGAATCAAGCAGAATCATAACGGGTCGTTGTTGGCCCAGCCGATGGCGAGATTTAAGCTCTCGCCGTCGTGGCCGTTGGGGTAGAAGACGCAGCGGAAGGAGGCGCTGTCGGGGCAGCTGGGCACGATGTTCAGGCCTGGGGGGATGATAAGCACGTATCTTGAGCCCCCCGTTGAGGACGAAACACCTTGCTAACCCTGGGCACAATGTTCAGGCCTGGGGGAATCGCAAAAGCGCAACTTGAGTTCCCCTATTGCAATAGGATTGGAGGTTTAAGCCCTGGTGGGTCTGGGACGATGTTTTGGCCTGGGGTAATCATAAGCACGCACATTGAGCCCTCCGTTGGAAATATTCACCTTGTTATCCCATAAAGCAGCTGGGCACGGTTGTTCAGGCGGGCGGTGGATCGTAAGCACGTGGTCTCAGTCCCGTGGCGCGAAAGAAACACCTGCTTTACCATAAGGGTAGCTGGTACTATGTTCGGGCCTGGGGGCGATCGGAAGCACGCAAATATAGCCCCGCGTTGTAGAGGAAGACGTTGTTGATACGCACCGACCCGCTACCGAACCCTTAGGTCAGGCTTTCTAACCCAACGGAATCAAAGCCTCAACTTTGCGATCAAAGAAACAAGGCGTAACAAACCCAAGAAGGTCAACCGGAATTAGATGAATCTCCATCGAAGGGCTTAGCGGATATAAATGTCCCCGAACAACACAGCGATAAGGAGAGACTCCGTGAAGACGGCAGCCCGAACTTTCCAAACAAGAAAAACAAAGCCCGAGAGGCTGTGACGGCACAGTATGGACTGACCATTGCCCAGCCAAGTGGCAAATCACCCCTGTCGGTTGGCACTCTTTCCAACATCAGGGACCCTGCTGGTGTCCTGAGCATATTCACCAGACTCCGTGTCGATGTGGGAACCCTTGATTGCCATGCTTTCACTTCACATAAACAAAGCACGACCACACCGCTTAATAAAGGAAACATCTGCGCGTCACCCCTACATCGTCGGCTACACAAAAGCGTCTGAAAGTTTGAAACTTGACCAAAAAAGTACCCAGTATTGATCAAGGCTTACAAACCTGTTACCAAGAAACCCTCAGATTATGGAGGTCTGAGTCCTGCAAGGTTTATCTCAACCTTCAAGTTAACCTGAATTGTAACTCTGACCTTACAAGTGCGCCTCACCTGAGGGGCTGATATGCGGCGGTCTAGGCACGTGAAGGATGTAGAAGCCGGTAAATTGGTCGATCACCGAGCAGTCAAACCCACGTGGCTCCAGGGCCATGGTGTGGCGCACCATGGAGTTGACACCTGGCACGACGCAGGAGATGACAGGTGGCTCAGTTTTGCTGCTCTGAGCAGATGACACGTTTTTGTCAAAGTGGGCCATGCATGGACATCCCAAGACTACTACCGTAATGGGGGCCCAAATTGGCCGAAGTTGGAAAATGGTCCGTTCAAAATTAGAGTTAGATGCACTGAGTGTGCGGTTCCGAAGCTTTGACCCGGATGCCCACTTTAAGAGGGAACAAAGGCTTCAGGCGGTTGTTTCATAACCGGGAGCCGGACTTCCAAAATGATTGCGTACGCGACTGTTGAGCGGCGGGGATCTTGCAACCAGTTCTCTGAAGCATCGTAGCAATTACGTTTTTGAGTTCCTGAAACTACGCAGCATAAAATTAGCGACGTAAACCTTCATACCAACCTTCAAACCTGAAGGTTCAGATCAGCCTTGTAACGAGACGGCTGGAAAAGAGAAAAGGATTTCACCGAATCCGTGGGAATTAAGCGCCACTATTACAGAAACATCGCTGGCACGTTTCGCGCCTTCTTTTTCAAAAAAGAGATGTCAAGAACGGAAAGATATCTCGAAAAGAGCAGTAAGGATTGTACCATCTGCGCCCACAATCAGATTGTAGGGCACCGTTTGCAATTGGACGCCGAACGCTGTTCGCTGGGTGTCTTGTCCGGGGATGACGTCAACCGACAACCCCTTGCTGCCCTCGGCCTCCACGTTCTCCCTCACGTCTTCGAAGGAGGCCTCGTGCTTTCTGAAGTCGACGCCTGGACGGGAAGGAAACAAGTGAGCAACAGAAACACAGGGGCTCGTGTTTTCGTAAGTCGAAGCCTGGGATGAGAGAAAAACGAGTGAGCAACAGAAACGCTGGCTCCCACAGGGCCTTTCTGAGCCACTCTTCGGACGAGGCCTCGTGCTGCCTACAATCGACGCCTGAACGAGATGGATAGCAGTGAGCAACAGAAAGGCTTGCTCGCACAGGGCCTCCAAAATCTGGCCTTGTACCACGTCTTCAAACGAGGCCTCGTGCCTCCGAAACTGGACCCCCTGACAAGAAAGGAAGGAGTGCGCGACAGAAACACTTTCTCGAACAGGGCCTTTCTGAGCGACGTCTTCGAACGAGGCCTCGTGCTTTCTGAAGTCGACGCCTGGACGGGAAGGAAACAAGCGAGCAACAAACTCGAACAGGGCCTCCACGTTTTGCGCCACCTCTTCGACGGAGGCCTGGTTTTTCAGGAAGGCGACGCCTGAACGGATGCGAAACGAGCGAGCAACAGAATTGTCTGCTCGCACAGGGCCTCCACGTTTTGAGCCACCTTTCAAGGCCTTGTGCTCTCAAAAGTCGGCGCCTGGGGTGGTGAAAACAAGCGAGCAACGGGAAGGTTTGCTCGAACAGGGCCATTAAAATAGCACTCGCGCCGTCAAATGAAAGTTCCGTTTTTCCGAAAGTCGACACCAGGAGAAGGGGGAAGATCAATTCGCTCCCCCCAAAGGGGGGTAAGACTACCGATCCCTTGTTTGTCATAAGAGTAGACGTATACGTTTCAAAAAGAGCAAGAAGATAAGAGTCCAATCTCATGTTTTTGAAAAAACAGTTTAGGAACATGAAGGCTTGCTGGCATGGGGCGTCCTACCTTCTGAAGGCTTTTCAATACTGACGCCCGAGAGAAAACAGCTTTGAGATTGACAGACAAAAGCCTCTGCGTCCCAAATAAAGTCCGACAAGAACGCCTCCCGGAAGCCGACACCTCACCAGAAAAGGTACAAAGAGTTCGACGTACAAAACGTCTCTTCCTTGAACGCATAATTCGAAGGTGGGTGTGCAAACCGGCCAGAGTCCAATCTGTGAGGACAGAATTCGTTTTCAACAGCTTGGACCAACTTTTTCTGGGGGGGTACAAATGCGGGCCAGACTTGCCCCCCACCTGCACACCGCTTGAAGAAATGCACGTCGAGCAGGCCCGAGTCGCCGTGCCTCTCCAGGAGCTTTTCCAGCATAACTGCGCACAGGTTAGCGCGGTCGATATTTAACCCGCCCCGGTTTTCTCGGTCGCCCCCCCGGGCCCTGACCAGGTCGAGTCGCATGGCAGAGGCACCGACATACCGGCCGACCTGCAAAGAATATGAGTGGTATACGACTTGAGATAAGTTGGTTGAGTTGACTTGTATTGAGTAATGTATTGCATTGATTGAAGTTAGGAGAAGTTAACTAGGAACATTACCAATTTCAAAATTCAACTACGGTGTGTGAGAAAGCAGTGGGGGTCCCTAAGCAATCAAGCCGACACTGATATGCCTACAGTCCTGTTGACTTTTCTAGACAAGAAGCTGTACTTTAGTTGAGAGATCCTTGAAGATTCTATTACTGTAACCGTGAGCGTTGGCATGAATCGCAGGGTCATGTAACAACCCTACTGCCCCAGAACTCTGTGCCCCGACTTGACGTCCCAGACACTTCTTGAACGCTGAACGAAGTGTCTGCTACTCATAAGGGTCGGCATGAATCCAAGCTTGGAACATCGTTGAAACCTACAAGCATTCAACTGCCCAACAATCGTAAGAGTCTATCGCCCATGTCCGAGATCGCCGTCAACTCGAAAACTTTGGGAGAAAAGAACTCACGTGTATGTGGAGTTGGTCCAGCGGGCGGCTTATCTCTTTGATAGCTTCCAACAGTCCCGGCATCGGCTTGCACACCATTTTCCCCTTGTACTGCACAAAGGGCAAGATCACAAGTGTCTGTGAGACTGCGTTTATGCTTTGTGCATCTGGTTTGTGAAATCGAGAAGTTTTGGAAAGGATGCAGAACCCCTCATTGCAGAGTGTTGTTGCCAGAGGCAAAGGATTGGCTGAGAGTGGGTATCTTTTGAATGAAATTGCAAATTAAAAATAAAGAGCCCCGTGATGATTTTCCGTTTGAGACTTCTGTGCTGGTGAGCAGCTGGCATGGTGGCCTCTAGAAGAATCTTAACAATTAGTACCCCTTAACGATTCGTATCTCATCACCTCCAAGCCAGGCTCCACAGTCTCTGGCAATGTTTACACATCTTGCAATGGATGACACTCTCATCTTCACATACACAGAAAGTTGACAAAAGAGTGCGATCCTTGACGAGAAGAGGTGGTTGGAAGTAGCTTGTGAAACGCCCTTTTGTCTGACAAACATTGTCTAGAACACTATCAGCAAAACAGAGTCACAAAAAAAGTCGGGCTGCTTCTGATTGTCATTGTTTCGACAGACGACCCTGCGCTGGAGGTTGCAGCACAATTGAGGAGTATGCCAGAAAGAGTTGGCCCTGCCTCATTGGCACCATTGAAAGGGCAATAAGGAGGGGCATTAGCGGGTCGGTCCTCACGAAATACCTGTCAGTCCAACAAGCTTCAAGTATAATGTACAACTCCCTTCTTTTCAGCAGCCGAAACGGTTCAATCCAAACTGAAGTCCTTGCCCCTCAACTGACAGTCAACCAGCTAACTAAGCATCTGAGGTTTTTGAGCTCCGCTCTAAGCTCAGCAGCGTGGGTGTGTTATCTGTTTAAGTAAGCCCCCATTGCCCAGCTCTTCAATGAGATTCCCTCGACGATTCAAGGTACACTACAGCTGGTCACATCAGTTGTCAACTGACTGAAACACCAAGGTACGCTCTTCTTTTCATGCTACTCCTTCTGCCCTTTCTTCTACAGCTTGCATTACAAAGAAGTATCAAGAGCCCATTCACACCCACCCCGCAAGCCCTGTCGCCACTGGCAGCCATCAGCACAGCATTGTAAAAAGGCCCCTCACCGCAAGTGAGAGGGAATACCGCCGCGCGTTCAGCTCTCTCTTTGCTGTCGTTCGCAGATCTTCCCGCGACTCGTAAAGGGAAACTTTGAACGATTTGTTGCCTCGCTCCAAAAGATAGAACGCCAGCAGCAGACCCGCCGGCCCTGCGCCCACAATAACTACGTGGACGGGCATAGACGTTTTCTCCCCATTCTCGTTCCCCTGTGGAGTCCCTGCAGCGGTTTCCCCCATGGCTTGGGGTTGAAGCGTGTCACAAACGTAACTAGCAGAAAATCTGTGTTCAATGGAAAAGCTCAGTGGCAAGGCCTGCACCACTGCCAGCCAAGAAAGAAAGCCCTTACACGGTTTAGACGCCTAGAGCATGCAGGCGCCTTGTAAAGAGGAATGACGCGTGATAGTGCGAGGAAGAATGCTAATGACGAAGCTCAGAACAGATTGATGAGGAGAAGGATTGGAAGCATTGCATTTGGCGTATACGCGCTGAGCGCTCTCATTGGATGACGTGGCAGCTTCTCTAAAAGTCGCCGGCAGCCGGCTTATCGATCAATCATTACATGTCAGATTTGTTACTACCGTACATCTGCGTGTCAGTCTGCCTCTGCTGTCACGCCCGCCGTTGATGTCGGCCTTTTCAAGTACGGACGGTCAGATTCGCAAATGCTTCAGCTTTCGAAGCCTCTTGTCGCCATACTAGTTCTGCCCTCGCACGGCTCCATGATGTGATTATTGCATGAAGTGATTTTAGGTAGACCAAATTACCATATGTATATGCCTTCTCTCCAGTGCATTCGCATGAGGTTTCTCTGACCCAATTTGAGCTGGCAAAGGCGTACGTCGCAATCTGGAGAATGGCCGGATGTCCCGATGGTAGGATCAGCTAGCTCCTCCAAGCGGGCGCTCATGAAGCCAGGTGCAATGGACCTGCGTCAAGCTTCCAGGAGACGGGGGATTGGGATCGTCTGCTTTCTGTTTCTAGTGACCTTTGCAAGTGAGCTGGAAATTCCGTCCTATCTCCGTGGCATTTGTTGCCTGAGGCGAAATCAGACAATTGCGGATGTCCTCTTCATTACAGTCGCTTGGAAGCTCATTGTCAGGGACCTGTTGCCGAATTGTGCAATCAGGATTTGGGATGCGGCGCTTCTGAGCTTGCTCATTTAGCATGGCGAATGTCTGAGATTTCACGAAAGACAGGCAGTTTCTCAATTGATGATGCTGTTGCTCTCTTTTCACTATGATAAAACAGTGTGCCTACAGCAATCACATTTTCACTTTGAGCTCTATCCTGAAAGAACCGGCACGAAAAGCGACCTACTTAACAACCGGACATTCACTCTTGCTTCCATATTTTAACACCGCACAGGGGTCTTTGAATCCCTTTTTTGAAAGTGGCTGCTGTTCACAGCTCTTATTTGAAACTCGTGAGTGATGCTTATCCTGCGCATCATACACGTCGATTTTTACAGATGGTTTTCTGGAGCATGTTGCCTTATCCACAATTGCATAACATCTCCTTGCGGGGTTTCATATTTCTGGCGCACAACATTGCGCTTCCTTGACGGAATTAGAGCAACCAAAGAAACCCCATCATGAAAAACTTCCTCACTGAAGATGACCTATTTGGGGGATGCCATGCTCAAAAAGCCAATTGGCGGCAGCAACACTCGCAGATGTTACGAGTAATCTGATCTTTTCCCCCATGAGAGACTCTACTCATCCAACCACTATTCCCTGGGGGAATGTGGGATTCTCTCCAACCACTTGTAATGGCACGTCAGATGGATTCATGGATCCGCATAGGCCCAAGCAACTGTCAAATCGGCAATGAACTGACATGCTGTTCCTGACACGATAAAAGACCTTTAGCACTGGATACCCGCTGGCTTCTCGCAAATGATGTTTTCCACATTTCCTGGCCTCCAACCATGGGCTTATCTTTCTGGAAGCAGCAGAATGACCATTCCTCCGCATTCTGCACACTGCAACGGGAACACAGGTGTGTATTCATTCTCTAAGAGACCATGGGGCTAACGGCTTGTTTCTTCTTATATTTTTGCAGTTGCTTTTCTCCGGCCAAAGAGAATCGCCACTGTCGCCTCATCCAAGGGAGCTCAGGACTCCCAGGGTCGCACCATACAAGTGCCCCAGAACTTGAAGGACCAAAAGGCAGGCCCCGACTCCCACTTTGAACGGCTGCATGGAGCAGACGTTGTGTGGCAGGTGCGCTTACCGTTGTTCATCTGCTTGCCGGCTACGTTTTGTATCTCTTGGGGTCTGGAAGGGTTGCAGAGTCTTCAGCACTTTCGGGGTCTGAAAAGGTTCAGACTACTTGGCGGAAATGCAAAAGGCGGGTCTCGATGCCCACTTTGAGCGCCTCCTTGGAGCAGACGTCCTGTGGCAGCTGCGCAAAAGAGTCGTCACACCGTCCGCTCGTGGCTTCCTTTCTGCACTTTTGTTCTGCAAGCCTGCAAGCAGCTGAGCGATTGTCCCACCGCACGCGGCGTTCCTGACTTTCATGTAGTGCTGAAGAGCTTCTCGATCGAAGAGTTGTCACCAAATTTTCGGACTCCACCACTCACATGAGTCGCTTGAAAGGGTCTCCGTCGTCGAAAACTACACGTTGGGGGTCCCAAGACCAGCCCGTAACCTCCCATTTGGCTCCCAAAGCTGTGGATCAATCATGACTAGGACGTAAATTGGTTCCAGAACCAAGGGTCAGCTGCCGCGCTGGCAGTTGGCTGGGAACTGGTCAGACCGCAGCCTTTCCGGTTGATGCTGACCCGAACGCTCGGCCTAGTTTTTGGGTTGGAAAATTTTGTTTATTGTAGAGGCATTTTGACCCGTTTGCTAACCTTGTCGCCAGGTGCCAGTGAATCCTCGGGCGGTCCTTTTCCTGGCGTGTGGGTGTTCGCATACCGCACTGGACTTCTGGGAACCTTCGGAAGGTTGCCCCACGTGTCGCGGGTTAGCTTCTCTTCTTCTTTCCCTCTCTTGTTGCTCCTTTTCTTCCTTGGATCTCTCGTTGCTTCCCCTCTTCCTTGGTTCTCTCCTTGCCATTCTTTTCCCTTACTCCTCTCCTTGCTCCTTCTTCTCCCTTGCTTCTCTTGTTGCTCTTCTTCTTCCTTGCTTCCCTCCTTGCCGTTCTCTCCCTCCCTCCTCTTGTTGCCCTTTTTCCCTTGCTTTTCTCTTTGCTTCTCTTTTTCCTTGCCTCTTCCGGATTCGGCGCTGCAGCCCGGCTTCATAGATACGACCAGTTTTATATCGCATTGGTTAAATTAGCTTGTATAAGCTATGATAGGCGGTCGGCACTGGCCTTGTTTTTTGGGAAGGGGAAATGGAAGGCAGTTAGCAAAGAAAATAGTGTAACAGCGAAGTCAACTGGACAAGGTTACCTACTTTTTCCGGGCTCAACTCACTTCCCCCATTCGTGAGGTTTCAATCATCGTACACAATGATCTTGTCAGCAGAAAAGCTTTTGCGAAGAAGGCCAGGCTTTCACTTAAGAAATGAGTTGTAGGTTTTTTGAAGACTCGATTTTGATTAAAAGTCAGGAACATGGAAGACTTGAGGGGGGAAGCCAACAGACAAAGTGACTTGCCATCACTTTAGCAGCGTGGTAAGGGTATGCGAGCGAGAGAATCTTACAAAGTTGGAATGATGTTTGATTTGGAGACAGGTGGTAGTGAGTGTATATCGCCCTCAAGTTTTCTATTCGAAGCTGCTCTCTTGGTTCAAAAGCTGGCACTTCCACCTCTCCCGAAACACCACTCCCGGCAATTGTCTGATGTCATCTTTTGTTGCGCAGTTTTCCAGAGGATTACACCCTCAAACAGGCAGCGATTGAGCGGGGCTATGCCGTAGTGGGGGTGTCAAGCCAGGAGACTTGCTGGGACTCGAACTTCCCCCCCCAAGATTCACTCGACGCGCCCCTCGTCAAGAAAGCCATCGACGACGTCATCAAGCGGGAGGCGTTGCAAGAGCTGCCGCGGTTTGCGCTAGGGGCTTCCTCAGGGGGTTACTTTATCACGGTAAGCGGGAAAGCGCTTTCAGTGAGAATAAAAAGAGAGTGAAAGGAAGCAATGATAATCCAAAAGTGGTGGAGCAAGTCGTCTCAGTTCTTGCTGTGTGAAAAGATATGGTCCGAGTATGTGGAGCGATCCTGACATGGGATTTCCAAGAAGCGGCCAAAGTAGGAGCAGGGGAGCCGTATGAACGGCGTTTTGCCAGGTGTCGTTGAAAGAGGAGTCGCTGCATTGCCTTCATATCAGTTTCTATTGTTATCCTAGGCCTCTTGTCTTGTCGTGGAGCAGTCTTTGTCTTTCTGAGTGCTCCTTGGGAGGCCCCTGAAATTTTCATGTTTGGTCCCACTCATGTCCAAATATCGACGGCCTTATTTGTGCCGCATGTCGAGCATAGAGAAGGGGTTGGAGTCGCTTGAAAATAGAATTTGATGCAACGTCATTTATTCGTCACTTGTTGATTCTCTAGTGATCGCAAGGTCAAGATGACTCCATGTTGCCTTTCTGAGTGCTGCTTGGCAGGCCCCGAAATTGTCATGTTTTGCCGTCTCGCCTTTCTGAGTACTCAATGGCAGGTCCCTGAAAACGTCGATGCCGTGTTTCGGCGAGGAGTTGAGTGAACAAAAAGGTCGTGCGGGCGTTTGGGATTCCCGTCGGTACTGGATCAGAATGCAGTCCCACGGATCACGGACTGTCATGACAACACCTAAGATTGAGCTACATCCAACCGCGTTAGACAATCTAGATTCAGCCCTCTAGGCCAAAAAGATTGGAACATTGCAAGCCCCGCTCATTCGCTATCATTTTCTGTGCCGATAGACGCTCGCCCACATAGTGGAGTTCGACGCGCTGGCGGTATACATCGCGGCGGGCGTTCGGGGGGCTCTCCGCGAGCCGCTGGCGAGCGGGAAGCCGTACCCCCCTACGCTGTTCGTGCATAGTGAGTACATTTTCCAAATTATTTGACTGCCCTAGCAAGCAAGAGCGACTCTCCGTGTCGCGCTCCAATCCCCCTCTTCAAGTCTTTTGGCAACTTTTGCCCGCTCTATGCCCCTTTCAAGCCCCGCCAATTCACACAAACCCCTCACAAACCCTTTTATCCTTCCTTAACCCTGATTACAAACCTGCAGTGCCCCGGAACGACTGGACTGCCGCAGCAATCAAAAGCGCCGGTACGCTCTGAATGTGTCATTCAGGTTTTCTAACTTTTATTACCCCCACTTTCAAGCTCCGCCGAGTTTGACAACCCCTAACAAATCCTTTTGTCCCCTCTTAACCCTGATTACAAACCTGCAGTGCCCCGGGACGATCAGACTGCCGCAATAGTCATGAGCGACTCTGCCTTCGTACCACGCTCTAGATTTAGCTTCAACCCTTCTAACTCCTCTTGCGCGCTCTATGTAACTTCCAAGCCCTGCCAAGATTCATCAACCCCTCAAAAACCCTGTAAGTCTCCTCATCCTTTCGTATAACATGCTGTGCCCTGTAACCGTCCTTACCCTATTTACAAACCTGCAGTGCCCCGGGACGATCGGACGGCCGGCGCAGTCAAGACCGCCATCGAGGAGCTTCGGGAAGTGGGGTCGGAAGCAGCAGAGCTGCGCTGCCCCCCGCTCCGAATGACGCCCGGTTTTTTAGCCGAGCGGATACGGGGCCTCGATCGCGCCACCTCCGAAAAGGTAAAGTCCATCTTCTTCGGTTTAAGCTGGCCGGAAGCCATTTTAGGTCGTTTGGGAGTCGGATGCTGACAGAGTATAGCGCCAGAAAAAGTCCGGGGAGTAGCGGAAGAAAGTCAAGCACGCGGTTTTTGCTTTTCGCAGGTGGTTTTTATTAATGCGGAGTGTGACCAGTTCTGAGACCTGTCACGATTCATTCCTGAGGGCAAAGACTCGATAGTTGAGCTGTCTACACGCAACACGTAGGGATCCAAACGTGAAAACGAATCGGCAAGAAGCGCTTGCCGCTGAGTAGGCAATAGCTGAACAGGACACAAAGCTCTTTCTTTGAAGTTCCACTCTCCGACTTTGACCTCAAAGGTATCGACTGTCAATCATGATATTAGAAAAGGAAATATGCATGCGACATTTAGAGAAGTCAGGCGCAGAGGTGCTCGTCATTTCCTGCTTTCGTTTTGTTCACTGCTCCAGCACTCCATTTCTACGTACGTGCCACTTCTCCAAATACGTTTTCAAGACCATTGTGCGGAGGCAAATTTCAGATCGATCACGAATTAGCAGCAACGAGTCCTCGGGATCTAACCGTCGGCACTAACGTCACAGGTTTTCGTCAGCTTCCGGAACGGCGGCTTCTTGGACAAGGACGCCTTCCTGGTGGAAAACCCACGCCGGTCTGCATGGTAAGTGACGTCGGCATGACGTCACGTCAGAGGGGGTGTCCTCGCTCGAGGCTCTAGACTGCTGGGTGATGGCAGAACGAGACGGAGGCAGAACCGCTGATGCTATTGAAGACATCTCGAAGGCCGACTTCTGAATAACGCTTCTACTAGACGGGACGATACACAGTCAAAGACCCACTTTGAAGAGGAATTGCATCTTTGTTTGAAGCGTGACTGTAGTTTAAGGCTTGGGGAGGTGTTACTCATTCCGCCGCTTACGGCTGGTCGGAAATGTCAATTGGGGGGTCTGGAATTGGATTGGAAATTGCCCGAGCAAAGCCCGAGTTGCCACTTTTGCAGACTCATGCACGCTGCAGCGTAACCTAGTCCGCCGCAGAAGCTGCCCTAGACTAGCAAACTCCTCATAGTTTTGCTTCTCAGCCCTTCTACCCACAAACGGCGCAGTTATCGTTCGGGCTTTGGATGACGATATTAGACAAAACCAAAAATCATCCTGGCCCGCAAGTTAGCAGATTACTTATGTCCTCTTGGCGCTTGGTTCAGCCACTCATACCAACCTGAATCTCCTATCTCATGCAAGTTGTCTTGCCTCTGAAGCGTCCGAAAGTGAATACTCGTTTTCGGCTCACAGGAGTTCTCTGCTGACGTCAGCGGGTCCCGAGGTGGAGAAATTCACGGAGCACATTGCGGAGGAGCTGAATGTGCTGTACGGTGAGTGACACATCTGAAATTTACCGAAAACCCTCAGTGCGCCGGTCTCTGCGGTCCTTTCTGGATCAATTTTGGCCGGATACTGTCACGTTTTCGACGAGGCTTATGTCGCGGATTTGGACAAGACAGAGAACCGCTTCGCTTGCCTACATGTCCTTCTTATTTTGGGCAGCTAAAACCTCACGTTTCGAGATCAGGACGTATGGTTTGCTGATTTGAGGTCGCACAGGAGTTAGAGAGCGAGTGACTTTGCCCGTCCGAGATTGATGCCTTAGGTCTTCAAGTATGCAGAAAAGAGGGCTCTCTCTGCTGAACAGTCCCAGGAAAGTTGAATCAGGAGAACCGGTGTCGACTCTGCTGGGAACCGAGAAATTTTATAAAGCTCGACACGCAGGTCCGTTAAAGATCCACAGACTCACAGACTTCCTACGACGGATTGCGTTTTTCAATGCTTCGTCGTACCTACCTGACTGGCTGCTTATCGCCGTCTGTCCTAAGAGAATGTCTGGTAAACACCGTTTCTCTTGAGCCGTCCTTCTCAATGCCAGCGGTTGTAGATCCGCCGTGGAAAGAAGCACGATTGGCCAACCGCCCAATTCTAGCTTACCGCCTTCCTGTAGAGGTACTAAAATTTCGGATCGTGAGGAGTGTGTTGAACTTTTCAGGCCCCTCTGTCACCCGTTTGCCATCGCCGCCGTTGTTCCATCAGGTTCCATTCAAAACCCTGTCTGAAACCTCGTCTTATCCTTACCTGACTGAGCCACTTTTTGAACGCCCTGCCCTAACTTCGATCATGGCCCTGTTCAAAACCCTTCCAATACTCGACTTAAACCCTGTCAGGCTCTCTTGAACGAGAACCGTCTTCAAATTGACCCTGACCCTGTTTGGATTCTGTGTAAACCTGTGTCTATAACCTATCTATGGACGTCTTCATGGTGCAGGATGGCACGAGCTCACCAGTCTGAAGGCGTCCGAAACGTTCGACTGGTTCGAGAACCAGTGTACGAAGAACGGGCAACTAGTGAAGGGGCGCTGCCGGGAGTTCGATGCGGACTTGGCCGACGCCCGGCGCTAGCGCGTGATGCCAATAGAAATCTGTTGTCTGCGCCGTAGATTTGCCAACGCTCAGCTGGCGATGCTGGTGGAGAATAAAATGCTTGGCAAGTTTGACCGACCACTTTGTAAGATATTCTCAGCCTAACAACCGGCTGGCAATAGCCAATCGGTCAGTTTCACCGGTTTGACATGGAATCAAGCTATCATCCGGGACAGCTTAACGTCATTTCGACGACTTTGCAGTGTATATTACCCCTAGATATGGCCAAAGACGCTAAGTGTATGTTACGAATACGTGATCTACCTGTAGCAAGGGGTCTTCAGATGTTTGGAGCGCCAAGCTTCCTTCGGCAGCGGGCTGGGGGTAAGTTTTCAAAGTGGGCGAAGGCGATGTATGTTTGGTTCATGCAATCTTCAGTGTCGGAAGCCCATGCACTCCTGGTAGTTTAGAACGGTGACGGTGAACCTGATGTAACTCAAGTACTGAGCTTGAGCTATGTTAAGTATTGTTAACCCATGCTTACTTGTCATCTGTATGGGAGCCTGGCTGGTAATGGTTCGAACTGAGGGGCCTTGCTTTTTTGCCAGATGTGAGTTAGGTTGGACTAAGAAGGTCTGCTAGGCTGCTCAAGAGCAGCTAGTGCAGGCTTGTCACTCCTATCGTCAACTTTGAACCTGGCAGCTGTCATGTTGCATCTAGCACCCGATAGTGGCATGTTTGAAGTGCGCGACGTTTAATTTGCGCATCTATCATTTTCACGAGCGAACCGGCTAGCTTTCAAGTGCGATCATGCATATCAGCATGTATACAATTCAAAATTGTCAGGATGCTGTGACAAATCAAGTGCATTAAGCTCGGATCCCATGTATACCACTTTCTCATGTGAGCTGAATGGCCCTGCTTTTACCCGCCACCTATCATGGCCCCGGCCATACACTGCATACATATGAATGTGGTTAACCCGGGGCCGCCCACATCCTAAGAAGTTCACTAAACGACTCAATGTGCTTTTGAACAGGAGTGAGCGCAAATTTGCAATCATTGCAATGTAAACTGAGGCACATATCCGGACAAGTAATTTGACTACATGTATATTTGATCAAGGAGGGGCTGTGATAGGATTGTTTATATGTGGCCACTTTGAGGACATGATGATGCGAAGTCTCTATGACCTTCTTTACGTTGTGGCAACACAGCAAGACTTCGTACAAGGTAGACCATGTCTTTTATCAATAGCAAGTGCAAAGAGCAGGTACAGGATGACTGGCTTGGCTGTTGCAAGGGAGCACATGAACCTGAACATGAAGCAGTTGCATCACATCCGAAGTCGGGTTCCAAGAAAGTAGCACAACAATCATACGTGGGTATGGATTAAATTCTTAGAACAGAACGGTCCCCGGTATCATCTACGTTAAACCTCATCCATTATGGGATTCTCTCCCAACAGTATGACTTTACATTTGAGTCTTGAGGAGACTCGGAAATGAAGCGAGAATCTTCAGGACGTGACAGAAGACTTCTTCAACAGTGCCTTCAGGACAGAACAAAAGACTCTTTATAGAGAGCCTGCAACAAATTAGCAATATCAATGTTCTGTTTGCCTCTTAGAGGCTCTTGTCATTAACAAGAAAGAGGTCTTCCAGTTGGCCAGTCTTTCTTGACTGCTTCTCAAGTGCCTCAGTTGATTGTTTATCCTACAGTTCTAACTTACAATTTCAAGAGGCATCTACAAAAGCAGGTAAGGATGCATACCGACCACTTTGTTTGACAACCGACTGAGGACTGGAGGTGAGGGACTCTAGCTTTGACTGAGAGTTCCTATGGTATGCTTCCGAGTAATGCCTCAGGGGGTGGTCCTGAATCTAGGCCCCCAGATTATTTCTACTGTTCAGGCAGACAGCCAGAGGAGCTCCTCCAAGCAGCTCCCGCAGTTACGCAAAAGACATTATATCAGAGAAACGTCTGCAAGGTATTTTTCCCGCTGGATTACCAGCCTTTCGCTCCATCATTGATGAACAGATTACAGTACTACTCTTACAGACGTCAATTGATTTTAAAGGCAAATGGAGGAGCCATGAGACTCCCTGTCAGCTCCTAAGCGCCTCTTCCAGCAGCTGCTGCGCGCTCTCCAGTCTACTCATCCTTCTCCGCTGCTGCATTGCTGCATCCCCAGGGAAGGCCGCCTCGAAGTCCGCCTTCAGGATCCTGACTCCCTTCCTCTTCCCCTTCGTAGCCTTCCTAATAGGCCGCAGCTTCAAGGGGGCTCCAGGACACCGCAGCACCAGGGGGACCCGATTCTCCTTCGGCGTCTGAGGGCAATCGTCTTCCCCTTCTGAGAACAGATCATCCATTCTGCAGTCCAGCACGCTGTTCGGCGATAAAAGCTGCAGGCTTGGCTCTGCTGAGCAGTAGTTGCTCTCACAGCACTCAAGGACTGGCCGCAACTGGCTGCGGGTGAGGGGTCCTGCGTTGCTCATTCTGAAGTCCATTGCCGTCAGGCTCCCGGTAAAGAGGGACACCAGGTCAAGCGCCATTTGGTCCTTGACAAGTGTTGCAGAGGGGAGTCTCATTTTACCCATGGACGCAACTCCTTCCCAACTTTTATTGAGAAGCTCAATGAGGGGAGTACTGCAGAAGAAATGGCCACTTCTTGCCTGTGGAAATGACTTTACCCAAAATTGACCGCCGGGCCTGCCTTGACCCACAGGCTTGCCTCCTACCTACTGTATTCGTGAGGTCGTGAGTTGCTCCTGAGTCCTGTGATTGGAGAAGACAACAATTGTGGCGCAAGCAAATCCTGTGTGCTGCAAAATCGAGTCTGGTCGAATCTCATGAGAGCTTCGTCAGACGTTTGCAACTCTGCGACTCCCAATCTCTGACATGGCTTCACTGCGCACTCTACGGCCAAGCGAACACGCCGCGCTTGTACAGCCCTGAAATCAAACGCACGTACAATCATTGTACGTGACCATGACCGCAGGCTACGCAAGACTATTTACCGTAGAGACATTGTCCATTCGCACTAAAATAATTATTTTTAGGGCTTGCGAAAAAAGTTTTATTACTTTCGACGCAGGTGCGAAAATGCGAATCAAAAATAATACCTGTAGAAGCTTCAAATCCTTCAAAATGAGGCCTAAAAAAGTCCAATTTTGGAAAAAGCGAAAATTTTAATAATATCGTCGATGCTAATTCGAAATGACAAAACGTTCATAAATAAATATTCGCACCAAGGTGGTGCGAATGGACAATGTCTCTACGGTAGGAAGGTAACCGCAGTGCGGCGCAGTCCCCATTGTTTGGAGAGTTGCTTCTTGAGTACACATTGACGGTACGGTACCGGTACCAAATCTGGTCGCGCTACCGTTTTCCATCTCAGCCTGAGGCTTCTGGAACCTGGGGGCTCTGTGTGGTTGAGTCGCTCGAAATCAGTGATAAAATCTTTGATATTTGCACAGTATCGACGACCAGATAAGCGTTGTGGCTTTATCTGACGGCTGAGTTCAAACTTGGTTCGAGATTGTTCCAAATATCTGAATTTTGTGGCGACGGAGTGGTCACGTAGCTATGTCCAAGTCCAAGATTGAAAGATTCTGGCGGGAAACTACGAGGTAAGTCGCAAATAAATCTCTGCCAGGTGTCATTGTCACGTGTATGGACAGTTTTTGATTGGTCTGTGAGTTTCTGGCAGCTGGCCCCTCGCAAGCCCTGCCACAAACTCGCCAGAGAATCTCGATTTAAGTACATGGCACCATGGGCAGCGGTACGGCAATGTCTTCCCTCGGGGGCAGTACACCGACTGTTTAGCGTCGAAGTCGTCGCTGGTCAATAATAAGTTTTTATTAGGTAGACCTAATAGAACGATCTGTTTCAGCGTACCGTAGTTTGACCCTCCGCAAACCATGCCCTCGCCCGTATTAGGTACCGGGTGAATAGGTAGAAGTCGGGACTCGGTACCCAGGTCCCTGGGCCGGACTTACGGTCTCGTGCTACCGGTACCTGGTTCCGCGGCGCGCAGTCCCTGGCAACCCGGCTAGCTCAGACTCCAGACTCCAGAGTTCAGGACCAGAGCCTAGACTGCTAGCTCAAGCCTCAGATACCTGTAACCTAGGTACTCAGAGGCCATGGGGGCCGGGGCTGCGTTATCCTTCACCGAGTTTCGTACAATCATGTGGGTGCCTCTTTAAGAAATTCAAGCGTCAAAAGAATATCCATGCGATTATTGGAATCTGTAGCGTCGTCATGCGCTAGATTTGTTCGCGGAGGCCTTATTTAGCACGGACTTGCCAAATATACACGCCATATCAGGGTCATTTGGGCGACCATGGAGAACTGTCTATTCCCCCTCTTTCGCTCCTTCTTGCGAAATCAGGCTTCCAAAATAAAGCAGATACCTTCATGGACAACATGAATTTTCGATAGCCTCTATGATCACTCAACAAATTCAAACTCAATGCTACGATGGTACGGATCAGCCGGGAGTCGCTTCGACTTCAGTTCGATATGTATTTATGAAGGCATCAAGGGAGTGCCAGCTGGCTGGTCCTTCATGATGCAATTGGACAGAATGGGCTCCGACCTGGCGACCATGCAAAGTCACCATGCACATTGCAGAGTCTTTCGATCCTTAAGATTTTGAACATAGGTTGCTACTAGGGGCTCGCATCCCGTACTTGTCTACCTCCTTACATTCGTTGGGCTGATCGGCACTGATCCGACGGTGTGGCTAGGGCCTGATAGTGGGGCACCATGCAACATGATTCTCACCACTTTACAGGTTCCCATATTTCATAGGCTGGGCGCCGCTTATTATGCCGGACCTCTTGCCATCAAAGACCGCGAGGAGAGTTGCAAAATATTGCTGACAAACGATAAAGATATCCTTTCCATCTCATGCATCCTATGGTGAAGACGATTGGCTCGCACACCAATTGGTCTTCCATTCGAACTTCAACAATCTTTGCATCCCATCGTCGCCCGATTAAAGCCTAACATTGCCTGGAAAGTTTATCATCCGAGCTCCTGTGAAAGCTACGGAGCCAAATGGGCCCGGCTCTAAACCAATCTTGCCACAAGTGGTGACTTGACGACATCCTAATTCGGAGAAGAGTCTCGAGTAAGGATACTAACATTATGGAGGAACGATGAAGTATTGGCCACTTCCATCAATGCGAAACTGCGGAGCAGCTGCAGCGCTTCTTTCTAAAGGTTCCCCTGTGTATGGATCAAACCGGAATTGTGGAGCCGGCGTCGCGGCAGCACCTGCGAAGTTGCAAAGCGTCGTACATTAATTTTCTCCTCAAGGCGGCTTCGGAGGTTGGGAATCCAGAAGTGGCATACAAGGACCTGGTCCTCACGTATTCGATTCCTCCAAAGGCTTTTGTACGCACTTCGTTGTTGCACCCCGCTAAAAGTGACAGTAAAGAGCTCGCCCCGCCACAGCTCAAGGTGTGCTCGCATGGTGGCACTGTGATGCCACGGAATCGATTGTTGTGAAGTTGAGGGCAGTAGCAGCAGCAAGATTCACCCGTGTGGACCAAGACAACAACGTACTTATCGCCTGCAGACTGAGAAATACATAAAGGGCGGCAGCTTGCAGACTGAGGAACTGTTGCGCAACGTGGTTCCTTATCATTGCTGAAACCTTGGGGACGACCCTCGTAGACGGAGTCTGGCCCTTGCTGCGTAACAAATCAGGTTCAGTCCTCACCCATTGGGGCCAATCTACCATCCCAGAAATCTGCAAACGACTGACTCCGATTACGCCGACTAGATCCACAATGACCACACACCTGGCTTTCAAACAGCAAACAAGAACCTTGGCCATCTGTGCGAGGCCACGCAACAGTTCACAGACCCCTCCCCGATCCCTGAAGCATCCATCCGGTTGAGAACACCCAATGTCCGCAAGCAGAGAACGAAATTTGCACAAGGGGACCACCAACGGTTGAAACTTAATGGCTGAAATTGAACCTCACAGTCAAACGTTTGTGAACACTATTGTAAGCTAAGGCTGACGCGAAGCGCCCACCTGCTGCTCTGCTCTGTAAGCCGAGCGCGTGTCCCGTGAGCTCCGCAGAGTAAGCGCCGTACGGTGCGAGTGCCGCGGCGTCACGTCCGTCGTCGTACAAGAGCTCGTCCTCGTGGGGCAAATTGTGGGGCGGCCGCTCCAACCGACCGTACGACCTGTGGGGAGGTCGATTCAATTGGTGAAACATGACCTGAGAATTCTCGATTCGACCATCGAAATCGATCATCCGACCTGCAGAAACTCGATTCGGACCATGAGAAGTTTATCACACGACCTGCAACAGATTGGATTCGACCATGGTGAGTCGGTCGTACAAAAGCCAAGAGTTTCAGTGCGACCATGATGAACGGCTCATCTGTAGAAAGAAAGTTTTTCATTGACGAGGGTTGCTCCAATGAACCACATGACCTGCACGAAGATTGGATCCGATCATCGGCCATCAGTGAAAGAAAATTTATCCAAAATGACGAAGGTTGACATGACTGTCTAGCAAAAGGGCAATTGTTACCGCGGATAATCTGCAGTTGGCAAGGGCGACGAATCCCAAGAAGACTATGGAGCGATGGCCGGGGCGAGCAATCTGCAAGCTTGAGGAAGCTTGAGCAGGCAACGACGATGCCGAGCGACTACAAAATAAAGGTTAAAGAAAATTTATTCAGAACGAAGAAAACCGATGGGCGAGTGAAAGTATTATACAAATCCCGCTCGATTACTTGGAAGCAAGCAGACAATCTCGGTACTGCTGCTGCTGTTCAGACCGGATTTCACATTATACGTTCAGGCTGATCATTTAATCACAATGTGCCCCTACCTGGGTGCCTCGGAAAGAAAGCTTCTGCCGGAGCCCACAGCCAAACCCGAGGCCGGCCGCCCGTAGCCCTGCCCCGTGCGGCCAAGCGAGTAGCCGAGGGGGGGGTCGCTCGCAGAGGGCGCGTTTGCCCCTCGGGGCGGGTAGTCCCAGTCTGAATCAATCTGCTCCACGTAGTTGGTAGCACTGGCGGCGAGCTCTCGTCGAACCTGACGAAGGAGATTCAGCTTTTTCATATCTTGCTTCTTGATGATGCGCTACTGCGCATTAGTCGGTTATTAAAGAAATCAAGGGGTATTCTTTGAGGTTTTCATGCTCGCTGCTAGGGCACGAGTGAACGACCTCCGTCCTGAGAATAGAGAAATCTAGTAAGCGCCGGAAATTTGGCGTCTGGAAAGAAGCGCTTCCACGTCCAAGTGGGCCCCTTGCTGTGCCCTGCGCGTACACAACGTGGAGCACTGTTCGAGCATGCCGGATCAACGCACTCACAGAAACCGGACCGATTGACAAGGCGCCTCAAACTTGGAACCTCACTCGTGCAACCGCGCTGTCCAATACAACCCCTCTTCGGGCCTTGCGTCCGAGTCCTAGTCGCCACCCAACATCAAGCACTTCAGATCTAAAGTAGATGAGATTCGCGAACCTCCAAAAGTCCGACTCGGGCACGCTATATGCAGGGTCGACTATTGCAGGGCAAGACTGTGATACATGTCCGAGGTGCGGTCTTGGAAGTCGACAAATCATTCACACTGGGCCTCTCGGGACGAATCAAAAACCACGTCGAAATTGACATATCGCCCCTGTGTCTAGGGCCCCGAGCAGAACGCTGACTGTCAAAACCTTCACGCGTGCAATTTCACCGTTGAGAATGACTCCTTTTCCAGGCGCCGGGGTGCAGGTCTTGCTGAAGCAGACAATCAAGCACGGCAAGTCGAAGTCTCAGAACAGGGCGGCCAACTCGGCAAGCCTCCAAAATCCTGAAACTCTGTCCAATGATGCCTCACCCGCGCTACTTCTCCGTCGAGGTAAGCCCCCTTGCTGCGCACCGCCTGCAGGTCCATGCTGGTGAACTGGTGAAGCACGGCAAATCCAAATCTCAACTCCTTGTCAGAAACTTCAGCGAGCCTCCGGAACCCTAAAAACATGACCGTTGAAACCTCACCCGCGCTACTTCTCCATCGAGGTAAGCCCCCTTGCTGCGCACCGCCCGCAGGTCCATGCTGGAGAACTGGTCGAGCACGCTCGCAGCCGCCTGCTCCGGCAAGTCCCGCAGCGAGTCCAAAATGTGGATGTCGACGTCGTGGCGCGAGGCGACGCCGTCGCGGAAGATGCGCGTCAGCTTGTGCGCGACTGGGGAGGGGAGCGCGTTGATCGCCTCGTCATACGGGTCGAGAGCCTGCAGGGGACACGCGTTCTGTGAGTTGCAGGCTGAGAAGGCTGAAAAAACTTGGTGCAGACCGTGTAAGCATCTCTGCGCTCATGAAAATTCAATTAAAGAATAGCCAAGTGAAGTCTGTTGGTCTCTGTAGCCATGGGGCAGTCTTTGAATTTATTTGTGGACTACAAATTATCGTGCAAGGATTGTGAAAGTAATGAGGAAACAACTCGGTTGACAGGAACCACCTCAGTCCGTACCAAGGAAGAGGCGCTCCTACCCAACGACCTCCTTCTGGTTAACAAGTCAACCGCTCATACCTCGACCTCGAGCTGATCCCTTTGCAGGAACGGAAATCTGCAGTTCCAAAACAATTGAGGTTGGCGTGGCCCCTCACCTGTCCCGGATACTTGCCCATTCCCGCTGCATAACTCCCCCCCCGCTGCAGCTTCCTGTACGGCTCAAGCTCGACCCCCCTCGCACCAAACCCCCCCTCCCCGATCCTCCCAAAGTCCCCCTTACGATCGTCAAACGCCCCCCTCGCCACGTCAACCTCCCCGCGCCGCCCCACAAACCCGGGCGCCCTTTCCAGGTCGTCATACGCCGCCCCCATGACGTCAACGAACGCACCGCCTCTGCTCGCATACCCGCCCCCCGCCGACCGCCCCTCGTATGGGGGCCGATCGAGCTCCGCATACGCTGTCCCAATTTCGGGGGGGTAGTCCCGCTCGTAACCGCCCCTGCTCCCATACCCCCTGGAAGGAGGCCCGTCCCGGCTAAATGGCCGCAGGGGCTCACCGAACCCCCGGTCATAGCCGCGGTCGTAGCCACCCCCCCCAAACCCCCTGTCGACATATACCCGATCCCCCCGGTCCGCATAAGCACTCCTCCCGCGCCCCCTGCTACTACGACCGAGTCGGCCCCGGTCGTAGGCGTCACCATAGCCGGAATCGCTGAACCCAAGCGCGGGTTTGGGGTAGGAAAAGTCGGAAAAGTGTCCCGGTCCAGGGGGCGCGGGGCTGCGGAGGGCGGCGTGGCGGGCCCCGCGGGGGTCTTCGCGGTCGGGACGGGGGCGCTTCTTCAGGGGGATCTTCTCGGCGGGCTTTGCGAGTTGCACCTACGAGGGGGGAACATAAGGAGACGTTGAGGTCTCGGCTTGCCATCCTGATTTCCTGTCGCCAATGAAAATGTTCTACTGGGGGTATAGAAGCGCAGCAACTGGAGGAGAAGAAGACTTCTAGAAAGCGGCCGGTGCGCTCGCAACGTTGCACGCACAGAAAGAGGAGTAACGTAGCGGGTCAAGAGAGAGACTAAGACGACACCTGAACTCGGAGGTGGACGAACGTGTATCCATCAACGGACGGGCTCCAGAATTCCTAGCTTGCTCGTCCGCTCTCCGCATCAGCACAGGAGAGCACTTTTTGACACCTCAAATATTGGAAGCAGAGAAGTCCCTACGAATTTCAACCAGATTGGAGAATTTTGTGGCAGCACGAGCAGCATCTTAGAACGTTTATCTGCTATGTCAGCTTCGGACCATTATAGCTTTAGTCCACCAGGAGGGTCAAGTCAAAGTCCATGAGAGAGTCTGGACTCACCTGCCGCTTGCCACTCGGACCGCCAACTTTCAACGGACATCAAATCGAACTCAATAAGATGTCTTTTTTGGACAACAAGCGAATTGACTGAAAGGTCTGACTGCATGCGCCCGCCTGCAGCTCCAATTCTCCGACTCTCGACTACTTTCCAGGTTAGGACAGAAGCAGGCTCAACAGAGACACATGTGTTCACCTGCAGCTTGAATTTCGGACCGTCCGGGATCTCGACCACCTTCCCGTCCAGCTCCTTGATCGCAGCGTCCAGCGACCGGCGCTCCTCGTAATGGACAAACGCGACGGGCGTACTGGTCTTGCGAGAGATGGCGACGCGAATGATCTGCATTCACCGACCAAAGTGCATCAGGCATCTGCGCATTTCAAGATCAAAGAAAGACGAGGAAGAAGTACGATCAGTAGGTCATTCGACAAAGCTGTGAGACCTCGTGCGAGATGACTGAACAAGACTCTTGACCTCAGTCGAGATGACGAAGATCGCTGTTGTTGTGCGATTGAGGATGGAGACCGCTTGCAAGAAGAAAAAGTAGATTGTTGGGATTTTTTTCAGGCTTACGTAGCTATCCTTCTATACGTTTCAGTGTCCTTTCGCTTTAGTAGAAGACGCCGTACTCGCATTAAATACGTTTCTCCTTTTGCATTCGTGATATAAAATCTTCGAAAGGATACTGTATCGCTCTGAAAGTGGTTCGGAGCCTTTTCGCTTTTTTCGGTGCTGCCCGGATGGATCATGACACCACTTGTCCGCCCCGATCAAAAAGGAATCTGCTTTTTCAAGACGTGTCGACTTTCGGATGCAGGCATTTGAGCGGGCCCAAAGAAAGGGAAAAGTCGTAGGCGAGGTGGGATAGCCATAATCAGCAGCGAGCAATTCGTCAATCATGAAGGCTTGTTATATCGTCAACGTCCTCAATTGCCTCGCTCTCAGACCGGTTAAGTACAAGGCGATGCATGCAGTTTTGAATCTCAAAAGGGGCCACACTAACTTATGGACACCACCATTTGAGGATCGTGTAGCCACAAATTGTCCGTGGCCCCGAAATACAAAGCAGAGCTCACCGGTCCAAAAGGCTCGAAGTGCTTCGCTAGGAATTCCTCCGTGACCTCCTTTGGCAGGTTGCCCAGAAATGCAGTCGTGACCTGCACGCGAAGCGCGTGACATTTTCAGGATAGCGCGAAGATCCCTTCTCTATCTCACGGACGTTGATCTCAGTCCATTGCCAAGCAGAGACGCGCTGTCTGAAGCAGAAAGAATCTCTGCAGCAACATTGTGCAACTTCGAGGAAATAGAAGAGGAGACAGGCTGGTGAACACCTCACTCAATTGCAAGATAGACTTGATAAGCAGTGAACGCGGTGGAAGACAAGCTCTACACGGTTTACGGAGAGGACGAGATCTGTGGATGGGCTCCAGAGTGCGCCTCATGCCAAAGACCATCTCACTCCTGAGCTGGCAGCAAATCTTACGGTTTCTACTAGAACAATCCCGGCTTTACTCAGTACAACAGGTTGAGTATGTCAGGCTGAGTATGTCCTTCTGCACAATGCTCGCCTTTGCCATTTCTTCCTCAGGAATCTCGGGATCGGTGTCGGCCCAGTCCACTACGGGCTTCCACTTGCCTCCCAGTAAGAAGTCCCCGCGCTGAGCAAGCCGGTACGCACGGGCCGCAGCCTGCAAAGAAACACGGATAAGCCTAAAGCCCGAAGTTCTTGTTCCCTTTCCGCTGCCTTTCTGGAAGCTTTACGTGCCTTCAAGACCTGCGATTTTGGTTCTTGGTAGGACGTAAAGCAGCGAACGGGCGCTTCTCGATGCTTACAAAGGGCCGCCACAAGAGGAGACGAAATTCTGGAGAAAGGTGACGCCACCAGGCAAGCCACGGCACTGGCCAAAGTTGTGCTGCAAGATTAGTCCAGGCAAGCACTCCCACGCGCTTACAGTCGGTGGTATATCTTTTTTGGTAGTTGGCCTACTCATGGTCAACCTGCTATGACGACTGCTTGTCACCATTCTCATCCAGTTTGGAAACCAATTCGAGGAGCCTTGAGAAACATTCAACGTTCTCCCAGTTGCCTTTGTCTCAGGGTCAGGAAGTATTCACTTTCAGTTGGCGGTATTAGACTAGACCGCTGATGGGACAGAGGGTCACTACCGGCACACTTCTTGAAGACTGATTTCAGCAAGTGATGACCCGAGGGTCCTTTCTAGCATTGATCTTTGCACTTCGGTTTTCCTGGACTGGCTACCATAGTTTCCCTTGGCAACGATTCACATTTCTCCCTTGATGAGAATCGATTATCTACACTTGAAACTCTGAACTGAGGTCGACCTGGCTGCAGGAAAGACCCTCCGCATTCTCCCATTTCAGATCTCAAATCGGTGAACTTTCGGATTCAAGATCAGACTTCCTTGCGGCCGACCTGGTGCAGATTGCGCTGATCCAGATTGATTGAGTGGACTAGGAATCCAACCCGGCTAGCTTCAGGATTCATGCGCTGGCTGGCCAGATAAGATCCAGATGATCCAGATGACTTTGAACTTGAGGAGAAAGATTCGGGCTCCGCTTACGCCATGATTGGTGAACTTGACAAAGCCAAAGCCTCGGTTCTGCTTGCGTTTGGGATCGGCCCTTGGGGGCGACTCTCCGGTGGATGGCGGCATGGCTAGCTCGATAGACACGACGTTCTGAAAGGTCTGTCTCACGAGGGCCTCTAGATCTGATGGGCTCCACTCTGATTGGACACAAAGAGATCGAAGATGTGAATAGGCTCTGGTTGGATAAGCTGGAAGGGTGCTCATGCTTTGATTGACAATACAGATGCTGATTTGAACAGGCCCTGATGTGAATGGGCGAGTTTAAGAGGCGAGGTGCCTTAATAGCGTCAATTGAACCCCCAATGAATCACTTTCAGTACATTCTCAAGCCGATTCAACCTTCACGATCCCACCTAAACAAGCCCTAACTGATACTGCCACTGCAACAAGCGAGCAGGATAAATCCCACGTTGATTCTGGGGTCTCGCTCTCATTTAGAGCAGCCGTGTCATCGCTCTACTACTCTTCCGAGGGCGCTTCATCCCAAACATAACTCACCCTTCCTCAGGTTGCCAAGGAACAATGTGTCCTGCTCGTTCGAAATAGTCACTCCGATCCTCCTCCCTTGTACCTGGTGAAAGGAAGAAGCTTGTTTAGTACAGCCAGTGCTTGTTACAGCTTTGCAGGCAGCATACTCGAGCAGGATTTGAACCATAAGATGCTAGGAAACACTCTGTTGAAGACACCGTAAAGTAAGATAAGCAGCACGGGAACCACTGGAGAACATACATAAGAAGATGAAAAAGAGGAGTTGAAGTGTATAACAACTCCTCTTAGAGCAACAAAGAATGTTGAGAATGAGGTTTGAAGATCTAAGCAAAGCAACAATTTCCAGCCCAAACAGGTCAGGACAGAAGACAATCAAGCTAGAAGACAAGGAACACAAACTAGACGCGCTCGGATCAAGTGAACAAAACAGGGGACTTCTAAATGGTTCCTTGCTACGAATCCAATGAGAAAAAGGTCACAAAACTGGTCAAGAAGCCAACTCACGAAAGTCGCGTCATGCATATGCACTGCGTTCTGCGCCGACTCCTTGTTTGTGAATCGGATGAATGCAAATCCCTGCAACAGACATACCGGCACCGGTCACAAACGCTGTGGCACTGAAGTCGTCCTTCCACTTACGCTGATGTCCAAAGTCATGGATAATTCGTAACGGCCTATCTAACTTTGGATTTTATGGCTCCATGAAAGGCTGAGAGATGTAAAACCAAGGCATCAAAGCTCCCTTCCTGGCACATTTTCAAAAGATGGACACGAAACTTTGAAACTTCCTCCTGCAACATGGCTTGGGCTTCAGGGAACCCTTAGCAAGCAACTTACCTTTGGGCCCCCGGCCTTGTCATGCATCAACCTCAGCTCCACAATCTCGCCCGCTTTGCAAAACATCTACAGGCATTGAGGCAATGAGATCTCCTGGAATCATTACAGAGGGGTTTGCAGCAACGGGGTCGCTGCATGCTATCTACAGGCTGGTCTTAGCTAGCCAGAATGTCCACGCAAACAGATGTCCCAAAATTGGAAGTATCTCATGCCGATATGCTCCCTTGTATCAATTTCCGACGGTTTGTAACAACAAAATGAGCTTCCCAAGTAAAAATAAGTGCTGCGTCAAAAGCGTTATGCTGAGTACTGTGAGAATTGGCTTCGGGGTCCAAACTGAGCTGAGCCTGGTGGCAGCGAATGACCTCCTTGGGGAACACATGCACTAGCCAATAGATCTTCGGACCAAACCCAAGCACAATGATAACCATAAGTCAAAGCATAACTTGAGAACTGCCGCGCCTGTCTCACCTCTCGGAGGTCCTCCTCTGTGGTCATCCGCTGGAGCCCTCCCACAAAGACCTCGGCCCCCTTAACCCGGTTTACCATGTTGTTAGCGTCCTTGACCCTGTCTCCACCCCTTGCCTCTTCCCTCTGCCCCCTCTGCTCTTCTTTCTCATCCTCAGCATCATTGTCTGTTTGCATCCTAGCCAGGGCCTCTTCGACCTCCGCTTCCTGTTGGTCAATCAACTTACCCCTGCTCTCTTCTTCCATGCTTTTGGGTTTCACGGTGGTGGCTTCTGGGTCAGCGTTGCCGGCTTCTCCTTCAACCTTGGGACTTTTAGAGGTTTCGGGAGGTGGTGCATCAGTTTCTGGAAGCTCCATGGCCATAGGGGTTTCTGGGGCTGCTTCGACGTCTTGGTTGCGCTTTCCAAGCTCCTGTAGAAAGAATGACAACATGCGAATGACGCGGTGGTGCCAGAGTGCAGGCAAACGCTCCAAGCGAACATCATGACTGGTTTCGCTGTGCAATGCAGTTGCAGCTCTGAAACAACATACAATCAACTAAATATATATGTATGCACCCAGAAACTAGAGATGGTGGTGCATCCTAAGGTGGTGCATCCAGCAAGAGACTCTTTTCCAGACGTGTAACGGCTGTCTGATTCTAAGCAAAGTGCAAGTCGTGAAAAAGACTGGCAAGACAGCCGCTCAAATGCATCTATGCTCACATTCTCAAGTTTTCGCACCTTGGAAAGTACATCTGCAACCTGCACATTTGTATTAACGTCTGTTTGATCAGCAATTCTTGAACTGGCCAACGGAAGAAAGAGATAAATTGCTCTCAAAAAGCACCCACTCACGTTGGTAGCTGCCTCTTCCTGCTTGTCGACTAAGGTCTGGTGGCTCTCCTCGGGCTCCGATACCTCTCGCGTTGCCTCCATGTTCAAATCAATCAACAGTGGACGCTCCTCACTGCTTTCTTTCGCTCCGCCACTGCCTGTCGTGGATAAGGAGAGCGGAATGCAAGCATCGTTGTCGGTCGCCATTGTCTTTTGCTGCCTGCAGTGTGCTCAGGCTCTCCAGCTTCATGCAGAGTGTCCCATGCAATATTATACCTCTAGCCTTGGGCGCGCAGATTCTGCCCTGGTGTGAATTGCAGCCTAGCTGTGACCTGGACGTCATGCCATGCCAGGGTCAAGGCTCAAACCTCAGGCTCAGGCAGCAGGCTCCAATGTCTGAAGACCGCAAGTGATCCTTCAAGATTTTGTTGGATTTGGCAGCTTTCCGTACGTTCGATGAAACGCATCGACGGATTGCACTCGGGATGCGGTGTTGAATCCGTAGGAAGCCCGATATGAGTTGGATATGACACACAGCCTGCTCCGCCAGCGACGGCCACACTAGCTGCACAGCCTTGAGTCGAGAAATTGTTTCATGAGTTCGTCTCCAACGACCGACTGTCGCAATTTGCGGATCACATGAGGGTCGAGAAGGATGCATTACACTGCAATTATAATGGTTTCCAGCTTCGTTGCTACGAGAATATCCAGCTGTTCCAGACGTACGTGATACAATGAAAACGGACAGCCTTTCCCAATTTCCATCCCTGACTACTGTAACTTGTGTAAGTGCTGTTTTTCAAAACTGCACGAGCACATAAAGAGTCGATAAATCAAGCACGAGACACTTCAGATCGTTGCGTTGCATCAGCGTCTCCTATGCGACATGCTGATTAATCTGCGTATGTGGCTTGCAGTATGCCAGATGCAATGCTGCCAATAATTTGTGTTGTGACTGACAATGTGTTGCATTCGCAGCCTGCGCAATATCTGCTATTGGAATATGCTGATCACATACTTGACGCCAAGCAAGCTTGATCCGCAAGGTCGCAACTTCAAAAACGTCCCTAGATGATGAAGCAGGCTCTCATTTAAAGCTCGTCAATATGAACGGACAGGTTGCGAAAGTAATACATGTTTGACTCCAAGCAAGCGCCGCCTAGAATTGCATATCTACGGGGAAGCATTCGCTGTCCCTTTAAGCCAGCTTCTTGATTCCCACGAACGAAGGCCGCACCTCCACAATTGGCTCTCCAAAACCGACCGCATCTGCAAAGAGCCCTTGCTTAGTGCCACTGGATGTTGGTTTTTTGAATCTTGAATATAGTGGCCACGGCATGGAAAAGATACTTGATCTACTTCGTAGCCTATGTACTCGAGCTCTTGCTAGACCACCTTCTTCGCGTTCCTAGATGTTTGACAAACCAAGGTTCAAAGCGTGCATTCTGGTGAGAATTGTGTACCATAGAACATGGCAAGTCAGACCTTGTTCGCCACGCTTAGAGCTGATCACAAGCATGCAGGCGGGAAATGATGTGCTTGAGTATTGTGACATAACTCACCCCCGTCTTCCACCAGGAAGTTGATGATCTCTCCAGAGACAGTGGACTGCAAAACAATCGTACTCATGTTCAGCGTGAGGCTTTCTGACGTCATAGATAAGTACTAGGTCTTGAAAATCACCGCGTAAGAGAACTGTTTGAACTCTCAACGAGACCAAATATTAATACAAAAGTGATCTCGTGGCAAGGGCCGATCAGTCAGTCGCTAAATTAGAAGACCGTTGCAAGCTGCGTGAGCCATCCACGCAGTCATGCAACTTCTTCGCACACCATAACGCGGGTGACCGAGCACCTTCTCGATGCCTGTCCAACGCTCGACAGGCCCACGTTCGAATCGACCACAAGAAGGACGGCACAAAATCTGTCATCTCAGAAAGACGACATAGAGCAGACCGTTCGGCAGACACCTTTTAGGCCGTCAAGCAGGCGCGCACCTGCCTCCGGTCTGTCAGAAACAAGCCAGATGTAGATAGAAGCGAAACAGGGTGCAAGGGTTCTCACCTCGATGGGCTGCTGTGTGCCCAGCTGCTCGACGTAGCAGATGACCTGGCCCTCCTTCACCACTTGGCCCTGTATCAAAACAACGAAGGCGCGTAAGGATGAGTTTTTAGAGGCAAGCCTCAGACACTTCTGGAGCAAAGGCTTTTCTGAAGCACCAACTTTGATGAGTCGACGGTGAATGGAGCAAAACATCCACGTGGCACATTCGTTATACAAGGCCCCAGCTCTGGCAATGACATCCGCATTTCCAAATGCAGATAAGTTTTCTGGAAACACCAAAGTGTAGCCCTTTTTGAGTACGATCGAGGCAACTCTTGACTTCGTCAGACAACGTCGCCAGAGAGACAGGTCAGACTTCAATGAGCGCAGGTCCCTACGTTTTCAGCCCCGGAAATTACCAATCCTGGCAAGCAAAGCTGGGAGTGAAGCAAAGGCAACACAGCAATACGAACGTGCGCGCAAACCATGAGAAGCTACCTAAAAGGAAGCGCTGGCTCGTCAACCTACCTCGTTAGCGACGGACCTGCCTTGCTTGCCCTTACGCGCCCGGCCTCTCCTCAACACGCCGACCTGTCAAACCGATCAGGATGATGGGACACACATCAACACCTCGAAGAAGTTCATCTGGTCAAAAACATACGAGACTCGCCCGTTCAATCTGCGTCAGGCTGCGCATTGGGCCCCTCTTGAGTGATCCTTTCACTCTGTCACCTTGACATGGGACAACTAGGTATGTGTGGAATAATAGATTTTGTGTTTATGATTAGGGTGATAATTGGAAATCGAGGCTGTCTTGTAGCGGCCTTTCAAAATCCAGCCGAATATCTCTTTGTACTTGCCCACCACATCTTTCAAAGCTTGCTAAACTCAGCAGAACAACAAAAATATTTTATCGATCTAAAAAGCTTGAGCACGCACCCTGGGTGCCAGCACAAAGTCGAGCCCCTCGTCCGGGCGAATCTCGTCTTCCGCCAAAGGCGCCTCCTTCTTGGGGGCTTCCGCCGGCGTCGTCTGCCTGGCCCGCAGGACTTCTTCCATGGAGACGTGAGGAGGCACGGGGGGCGTCGGGATCTCGAGCAGCGAGGCCTGGTGCGCAGCATGATGCGCGGCCCGCTCCCCGCTGACATCACGCAACACATGCAGCCGGAAGCTGCCGACCTGGGGGGATGGGAGATACGAGTTGATACTGGGGTCAGTGTGGCGGGCATAGCAACATCCGTCCACATCTCACACTTGTGATATTAGCAGGATGGGGGATGGGGATTAATGAGCAAGATCAAGGGTAGCACTGTGATTGGAGGGTGAGATGCACTAAGGAGGTCCAAGTAAATGGGTCCACCTGGGGCCAAGGGAAGGGTAGACAAAGAGGCTATTCTATCCAATCAACTATATGCAGTTTTGAGCTGCTAGGTCTCAAAGAAGTAGAAAACATCTGGAGAAGATGGTGTGCAGATTGACAATGGAGGGCACTAAGTTGCACAGGCCTCTGACTGGGTTCTTTGCACTGATTAGCACGTGCAAGAGATTGGTGTTTCTCTGAGGCTCGCGCTTTCATTGCAGTTGCCGGGGGACGAAGCTTTACCTTCAACTTCAATTCTGCAATGCTAGTTTCATCGCAGAGTTCCACCAAAAGTTGCTGGACCTGCAAGCACCAAAGACCGAGCATGATTGTGTTTCCGGACCGATCGCTTTGCAGACAACAGGGCCCAATCAACAACTGGTCGGACGGGCAGATTTTAAAGAAATTATCAAAATAGCTTCAGCTGGTTAAGATGACAAGTGGATCGAGTGCCTGGAAGTGGAAAAAGTTGCAGAATCAACGTTGACCCTTCCCTGGTCGAAGGGGACTTGAGAAATGTTTTGTGATTTCTGAAGAAGGCCCCAAAGCCAAGAATGTGCTTCTCAGCTGCGTGTTCTGGCACCCTCACTGCAAGTCCAGAACGTTGATTCAACAAAGCCCTGAAAACTTGCCCAGCCCCATGTTGCTCAAAGAGACGCGGGCGGGTTTTCATCAAAAGCCTACCTCAAGTGCATTTGGCGATAGTGCGCTTTCTAGGAAGGACTCCTCAGCCTCATCTTCTGCCTCAATGGCTTCCGCCGCTGCATTTCAATCCAGCAAACACGTCAGGACTGATCAGGAACCGACTCATGACCACTAGCGTTTAACAGGAATTGTGGGGTTGCTACCAACCCTGAAGCAATGTGTCTTTGTGTCCCTGAAGCCAGCCTGATGCACTCCTTATTAATTTCAAATCCAGTGGCAGTAGTTTCGTGCGATCTTTAGCAAGCCACTTGAAAGCCAACTCGTTCACTCGCACTCACCTTCGACCGCCGCCGCACAGCGAACCCCAGCTTGTCTAAAATTCGGCACATGCTGCCGCGCATTTGTCGCGCATGGTACGAGTCTCCGTCCGGCCCAGGCCTTGGCCAAGGGGGCATTCACACCCACTGCTTTACACCGGCTGCAACCGGCAGAGCCAGCCAAACGAGAGGCCACCGAAGCTGGAAAACCAGGAACTCGATCAGTCATCAATCAGAGCACAACGCAGGACTGGCAGCTGTACTGCACTCAAAAATATGATCGGGCCATTTTGGAGTAAAGGGTTGAAGTAGGAGCAAGGCATCGGTGGAGCACCCAGCCTTCTTTACTTGTCATCCCTTCACCTTTTCATCGACGAAACTGGCACCCTCCTGCATTCTTGAATTATCGCACAAGCAAATCATGAAACGAGATGCATGCTAATAATGCGCAGTGGCAATAAGAAAAAGCGCCCTAGATCTCATGCAGCTACATGGATAGTCGTTCAAGACTTCACTACCCGGACGTCACAGATCCAGTACCTTTCATGCTCGTGGATGTTAAGTTTGCCTTACTACACTTGACATTGCGGCTAATGCGCCTGCTGGATTGAATGTGCCGCTGTTTTTTTACATAGACATTAGCGCCACGATAATGAGACGACAACAACTGTCAAACTGCCCCCAACATGACTCACCAACTGAGGTACGGGACAATGCTGCAGCCATTGCACGAGCAGGATCAAATGCGCGAGTCCTTTCTTGTGGCAACTGAAGGACTGCCCGCAATGAACAGACGCTTTTGCCGTTTGACGCGCTACTTTTTGCCGTTGCGCATTGCCTTCAAATGAGGCTCAAACACCGAGCAGCGACAACCAGAAAAAAAAGTATGTACAAAGAAATCAGCTGGCTGCACTGCCCGTTGCTGGCAAACCCTAGCTACTTTCCTGTCAAGTATTGCACAGAGAGGAGTAATGAACAATGATCATTGATGTCCAGCAAGGAAAGACGAAGCGCAATTAGCGAGCAGAATGCAGCCTCAGGATGGGTGCAGGTGCCTGCAGACGATTTCGCACAGTGCATTTGCCACATGCTGACCTGGCATGTGGGTTCCAAATTTCCCTGTAGGCAGTACTGAAATCTTTGTTGAGAATTAGTTCCGAAACGATGTAAGGCCTCGGCTTTGAAGGTACCGAATCTAGCTAGAGGGAGTGTGGACGAGATGAGACTCTTGAGGGTGCAAGACCATTCGATTAACGGCATCGGACTTGCTTCAACCGTCGATAAGTCGGATAAGTACTTCACAGACTCCACAACTGCACAGTAGCCCGAAACCTCAACCTAGTTCGGCAGGATGGTCGTCGTCGAGAATTTTGCTCAGAGTCATGGCTTTTGCCTTTCGCACTGGCACTGTTCAGCTCATTGAAGAAAGCTTTCACAAGTTCAAGTTTCAGCAGTGCAGCAGCACAAGCTTGTGCATGATGCAGTGATAGGCACAGACACCCCACTATCCTCTTCTCGTGTCCTCTCCATCAGCACACGTCTTCCTTTGTTCCTTGCTTTCACAATTTGTCAACAGGGGTGTCCATGATGGAGACCGCGACGGCCACATTCTCGAATTGCTTGAGGTTTCCAGCCGCCGTGAGGAGCTCACCTCCGTGCAGCAAGGTGAATTGGTTCAATTCTTGCTCCAATTCAAATGTGCTTGAAGCTAGACACCAATTGAGCCTGCGAAAATGAATGTGCTATGTCAAAAGAAGTTGGACTTCGAATGCAGTACTTTGCAATAAGTCTGTCTTTCGAAAAAGGTGGGTTTCTTGCCATTGGCCAAAGGCTTGCATTGAAAAAGTTTTTGGATGCAGTGTGCAGCTCTGCTTATGTGATTTTTTGTAACACAATGGTTTATAAATACACCGCTTCACCTCATTGAAGTTTCTTAGTCATTTTGTGTCACTTACTTGCCCAGAAGCAGAAATGTGCACATGAGGCACTGCCTTCGTCAGTGACCTTGACTTATGGGAGCAGCCACAGGGAAAAGAGACTGTTCAGAGGTTGTAACTCACATGAGAAAACCAGAGAATACAGAGAAAGTTCAGCAGACAGTCTGCTTTCTTCCCTATCCATTGCACTTCAGGCTCAGCTCAAAGGTCCTCAGAACCATGCTTATGCACGAACTCCAGCTCTCTTACAGAGCATGTGCCAAAACATGAGATTCATTTAGTCTGTGCTACTGTGTGAAGAAGTAAAGAGTATGCTGAAATGAACTCTTTCTTTCTTACAGGTCAGGGGGCTAGTGCTGGTAGCGTCTACAATCCTTCAGCGCCAAAGCTATTTCAAGCAATGCTGCCTCCCCCTTTCCACCCATTTCTTGAAGCCGGTAAGCAGATTTGCGGTGGGGCCATCCCCAGCCACCAATGGAAGGCGGGCTGCACCAATCACAGCAGTACAAACAGCGGAAGCAGGTATGATCTCCAGATTAATCTCCTTGTTTTTCTACTGTGCCACCAGAAAACTGCAGTGGCCCTACATCTTGACTTGATTGACTTGTAGGCCCTTGCAAATATTTGGGCGCAAGCCCCTTCTTAGAAGATTTGAGCACCTCATGATTGAAAAGCAGAGAGGTAGATGAGGGGGCACTTTTCCTCATCCAGATGCTCAACTTTTTGATTTCTTTGAGCTGATGAAGAATGACTGTGAGTCTAATGCGCACTCTGGTGTACAGCAGTGCGAACGTCCGAGCTGGACGCCGTTTCCCAATTCAGTGAGATTGTTCCAGACACCATCAACTTTGATGACAGCGAAGGGTGAGTATTTATTCTACCCCTTGCGTGCTGGGTGAACATTATGGGGGAATTGCAGAAGATAGAACAAGGGAATTGCAGAAGATATAAAAAGGATGACTAATGCATCACGCCCCTCTACACCTGACTTTCATCGTCGGTGTTTGATGGTACTACAGTGTGCTTGATCCTGAAACCCCAATCTCTACTTGTAAAGCAAGCCTTTGAGAGAAAGACTTTCACGTTCAGGAAGCCAGAAACTTTGCTTCTCAAAGTTGTGAATATGTTGGGATGTCCTTTGTTTTTCATCTTGAAGACAAAATTGACTGTGCAGCTTCCTCGCCACGGCTGCCACAGTGACGCCAGGGTTTCTTGTCAGCTTGAGCAACCAGGCAGGGGGAAAGCTCAAGGTCAGTACCACATCCTTGTCCATCTCCCTCTCAGGCTGCTTATCAGGTAGACATTCTCCTTGCTAAGCTCAAATTTGCCCTCCTGATACACCAGGAGAAAGTGCAAGCTATCAAAGCTGGCATTCAACACCACCACTGGGCTTGATTTGGTTGTAAACTTCAGTTTCACAAAAGTTGCACCCTCCTGGCTGAGTTTCTCATTGCTCTATGAGTAGGAACTTCGACCTCCGCTTCTCCTTTAGTACTCCCGTCCGTCAGCTGATGTGGCAAAGGCCAGCACGAATCTTAGAATCTTCCCAATGGGTTCGAACAACGCTCAGTTTAGAGTTGGGACCAAAGGACTTGGGGCACACAATATGACCAAATTTAAATGTGTCTTTTGCAGGACGCTGTGGATTCTGCTTTGGGTGCTGACTGCAAGCTGGAGGATAACAGCATGTCGTGCTTCTTGGACAAGGTAAGCGGCCCCTGATGCGTTTACACCAGTTTTCTGGCGGCTGATGACTCCCATGAATGACACTATCCTGAATTACTTCTCTTTTGACCCGCATAATGATCAGATTTCACTTGCTAAAATGTTATGAGCTTTTCAACTTGAAGCCCTTTCACTGTACAGGGTTCGTGCGATATTGACAGCACACTGGATCTCAGTCGATCATCAATAAAGCAACCCCCGAGCCTGAACCGGCTACTCCGCAATGCTTCTAAGCTTAAGTCTCGCTGGATATACCCCGAAAAAAGACTTCATACTCTACTCCTTTGAGCCTGGAAGGGTCGGATTGATGAACTTCTCTCGTTCGCACAGGCCATGGTGAACGTTGGAGCGATCCTCTCCCGGCGTGTGTCCGGCAAGGTGTCGAACGACATCGACGCACGGATTGCGCACGACACGCAAGCCATTCTCGACAAGGTGCGTACGATTCTATGCTTCGGGCGCTGTCAGAATAAACTGCTCTTTTTCTGGATTCCTTTTCCATTCTCTCGTATGGTCTGCCGGGCTTGACACATTTCCCTGCTGGAGAGCACGTGCCTCGAGCAACGAAGCGATGAACTTGCCCCTGCTTTCTTCGTGGCAACGGATATCCTTTCAAGTATACTAGGGATTAGCTTCAAGAAGCGATTTGGCTCTCTCCATTGCCTACGCAAGCGCTATGTGGCAGAAAGAACGACGTTTCTGTTTGAACGAATGCAATGAGAAAGTCCTTTCAGACTGCCAAGGAAACCGTTTTCAAGAACGGGTTTTTAAGCCGACGGTCCCAAAGTGGTCGAAATTAGTAACCAGACCGTCGACAAACTCGGGCTATTGCCAAGGGGGGTCGTTGGTATCGGCGCCTGAGTCTACGTTCTCCCTATATCCTTTCTGTCTGATGGTGAGGCCAGAACAACCGGTGCCTTTCCAGGATGCGTTTTCTGAGCCGAAGCCACCGGTCTCCTTTTTCGTCAGAACAAAACCGAATTCGTATTTCCTACAATGTAAGACCTCCGTGATGGCGTCCTCTTCCAGTCTCCAACGTTCTCATCCAAAGTCGTATCCTAAAACTCAGATTTCTTATTTTGTTTCATCTCAGGTGCACAAGTTGATCCGCGACTATGCTGAGTTAGAGGTGCCCCAGGACAAGCTCCTCTTCAGGATCCCAGCCACGCTCGAGGTAACAAAAGCCGCGCCCCTACTAAGAGGGGGCACTGCAATGAGAATAATGATAGTCGGATTGTTTGGCGTCCCTTCCCTTCTTCTCTATTTGGCCTTATGGAAGCGAAACTTCAAGCTTGTTGACAAAAGTGGCCTCTGACCTGCAAGAAACCCTCTCTTTTGGTCATCGTCGACTAGACAACCTGCTCTAAGGAGTTGCGTACGGACTCTTTAGACTTCACGAGGGGCAGATGTTTCATAACCTACCAGCTTCCCTCAACTTCGACGGGCGTAGTGCTTACGGAATGTACATAGCCTATGCTTGCGTCGCAGGGAATCGAAGCTGTGAAGCAGCTCGAGTCAAAGGGCATTCAGACGCAGGTCAACTTCGTCTACAGGTAAGGCACAAGACGCTTAAGCCTTCTCCTGACCGTCGTCTTTCTGTGGGCTCTACTGAGCGGCTGTCTTCCTTTCGTTCCGTTCTACTGTCGCTTGTCATTGATAGAACCTAAAATGCTTTGTCCGGAAAGTGTTAATTTCACCACGTAACTTCGGGGCTCACTCAACGGAGTACTGCTCGCAATCCTGTTGCGGCCGAAGTACTACGTGGGTTGGAGATGTTGTAGGGAAGGATGCATACTTATATCAGGCGACATGAAAACATCTTGTGAGGACTTTTCAGGCTTCGGAAGGCCGGCGAGGTACAGAAAGCGGTGCCGCAGCAATCCGATCCACTTTCGGAGATATCACTTCGACCGATGTAATTGCAATGAAGACCTCTTCACGAATGCCCATCTTTTGAGCTGTTCAGTACTCCTTTTAGTAAGAGCTCTTCAAAGCCCTGGTCTACACGGCGTGTTTCAAGGGATCTCAAGCATATGATCCTGCAACGACTGGACCCTTAGTAAGTCGGACTCGCGTTCCTCCTGCAGTCTTGCACAAGCCGCTGCTGCGGCAGACGCAGGGGCGTCCGTCATCCAGATCCTGGTGGGCCGGCTACGGGTGAGCAGAACATTCTCGCCCCACGTTTATTGCTCAACCAGCTGTCCGCAGGGTTTTTGACGTATAGGGCAATAGTCCTTGATCAAGAATTGAAGATCTCAAGCTCTCTTTGCATGCGGTAATGGAGTCAAATGCTGCATCCAAAAAGCCTTGAAATCAAAAAAAATCAAAAAGCCCGAGGGCCAAATGTCTTCCTCTCGTCTCCGCTTTCGCGCATTCAGTCGAACGCACCCCTGTCGTGCAATACACAGGCGCTGCAAGACACCCGCTCTTCCACTTGATCTCGCCGAAGGAACCCAACAGAATCGACCAGTTACCAGTCCCACTCACGACGCATTCTGATTTGACGGATGCTCACAGTCAGCGAGCGCCAAGCAGATACTTCAAGCACCCATACCGTGCAAACAGCTGTCTTCAACTTCGTATGTTGTTTTGTCGGAGGGGCTGGGAGCCTGCACAACACGGTTAGGAGGCGTTACATGGTCTTTAAAAGCGGAATTGACGCGAAGTCTGGCAAGTAGTAGTATCCAAGTTTTGATCCCAACAGGTTTGTGTGATATAATCTTCTTAACGACACTCCCTGTTACTGCCAAGCAGTACTGCTCTGGCCGAGAGCCTCGACTCGGATTCAATTTTCGCCCCCAGCCTAGAAATTACAATCTTGAACAAATTGGCAGACAATTTTCTGAAATGAGACATCCTACGGTTGCAGGACCACGCACGTGCCAACTCTCAGGACGTTATCCCGGATCCAGGCGTGAGCTTGGTAAGCAACGAGGCTTTCAACAAAGTCCCGTGTTCGGCTCATAAGTAAAGTCCCCGTAATTGAACGCCGGGCAAGAAGGGACTGAGTTGTGTATTTGGCTGGTAACGGCAGGAGCTGTCAGCGTCTATGACGGAGAAGGACTTGCAAAGAAAGATGCACCTGTGATAGCTTTCGGGGATTTGCCTACAGAGGGCGAAATGACCTCGTTTACTTGAGGGTTGAGTGGCAACTCGTCAATTGGGTCCCGCCGCTTTACCATAAGCATGATTGGGTTTGGCAAGGCATGGAGCGCAGGTCCTTCCCGGCAAGTTTGATACCGTTTTCGCTTACGAACCCTTCTGGTCCAGATCGGTTACAGCCGCGTTAAAATTGATTATTTCTTTGGTGGGAGAATCATCGTCCTCGGTCGAACACTTACCCTGCTGTTTTGCTATGATTATAGTGACGTCGGCAAGTATGAAGGAAATCTGTTTAATTATCTTGCTACCGGGGCTTCTCAACACTGGAAAACATCCAGACCGGACTATTGAGCCGAGTGAAAGCATTTTTGAAGGTTCACCCCGGGGATATTCCGATTGGATCACGAGAAGATTCCGCATGGCACTCTTCCGTTGCAGGTGAAGAATGCGTACAACTACGTCCAGAAGAAAGGTCTCAAGACCAAGGTCATGGCGGCAGCTCTGCGCAACAAGCAGGACGTCTTCAGCCTCCTAGGGTGAGTGCGTTTTTGCGTTTGCTTCCGGGATTCCAACGGTTTTCTGGCGCCTTTGTGTCGAGTCTGCTTGTCACGACGCGGTCTTTTCGATAGAGCTTTTCAATTGACGTTCTTGATGAAGCGACTTCTGACAAGACTTTGCGACGTTTCGGAAAGTGCATGAGGACTTGATTTCATCGCTGCCAACACCGGTGGCCTCTTCTTGATGCAAGGCGATGTGGTTGAATCCTCTGAGCCTCTTCGACAGTGATGCGTACTTTGCTCTCTTTATCTGTCAAGATTTCCGACGGCCGTGCAGATTCTTCAAATGCTTTTCGGACAGTTTGCTGCATTCCGCTGCTGCTATTTGGTGCAGTTCTTAGGACACATGTGGTGATGCAGACTTGTTGAAATGTCTGACTCGTACAACATCCGAGGTATGGACACCATGTACATCGGTTTGACAGGTTCTGAGGCCGCCTGCAAACTTCTGACGCCGAGGAGAGGTGGTGGGAGACCCCGTAGAAAATTGTCGTGGAAAAAGATCTATGTTTAAACAATTAATATTATGTCGCTTTTTTGCAGCGTGGACTATCTGGTGGTTCCGGGCAAGGTCCTGGGCGAGTTGCAGAAGTCGTCGGCGGACCTCGACGAGAGCAGCGGCTTCTCGCGCGTCCTCTCTCCCGCGGGAGCGAATGTTGCCCAGCTCGAGAAGGTGACCACGATTTCCGTGTTAGTTTCGTCTTTTTGTCCTTCGAGGTGATCTTATGAGTTGTGTCCACTGGCAGTCGGGCGGGAAGTGGTTTGTCCTTGGGGTGAACCACACGAATGAGTGCATTTAGCTCCGCACATACAGAATGAGGGAGAGAACGTGCGTCTAGCAGCACGGGGCCGGTCCTTGACCGGCGAAACCAACGAAAAGGGGCTTGCAAGAAAGAGAAAGGCAGCTTCGGACACCTCTCAAGTAAGTCTCTCGACTGATTTCATGTTTGTTCCCTCTGCTGTTCCTCCTACCGACACATAAAGATACTAGTGTTGTTAGGTTGATCAAACAATTTGTCTGCAGGTGCCGGCCCTGACCCAGCAAAGCTGGAGCGCGGCCATCGGTGAGGCGGCAGAGCACTTGCTGGCCGCGGGCTTGAAGGCGGAGGCCGAGCAGTCGGAGAGGGCAGAGGAACAGTTTGCCAAGATCTGGCCCCCTGCCAACATGTAGATTAAAAGTTCTCGGCTCTTAGTATGTCGCATCTGCTTTTGAGTGTAGAAAGTTCAAAGGGCGGTATCACGCCATAGTGTTGCGAAGTAAGCTGTACTTGTAAGTGAGGGTGATTGTCGAACCATGGGAGGGCCGCCATGTCAGAGACAGAAGCTGCGTTTTGCAACCGCTTATGGTTGACACCCAGCAGCGCGCAGATTTTCCAAAACCGAGTTGATTAGGATAGGACACAAGTACTTCACCTGTCTGCATCAGTACAATTGTTGCAAGTACTCAAGCAGCTGCATCAACCTGTTTCTTATCAACATCGACTCGAGGATCACAATGATGGTTGCGTGCATGGTCAACAACACCGACATGCTCCGCTGTCCTTTTCCAGAGATATCATAAGCTACTGATCAGCTATATCCCATTGACCGAAGTCACGTGCAAAGGAAGTTGTGACAATTTTTTGATCAATAAGGAATCGTGGATCGACGTATGCATGGCCTTAAAGGTTCAGCTCGGCTGCACCGTAAATTTGGAGGGATAGGGCCGAAAGGAGCCGCGATTGCATATATAATTTGGCATGGCCGGCTGATATCATGCTGGGCCATCTGTCAGTGGGCCGCTGATCAGCTAGCCATGATCAATGGCATATGACTCAATCATCATGCGCTGGCAATTAAAGCTCGAAGTGCCAGGTTTACCGGAGTCGTCATGCATGACAAACGTACAGGCTGCGGTAGTACGCGTTTCAATGGACTATCACAACATGATTGTGATGCACAGCGTGCTGCAGCACGGTATGCATCACATGGTATATTTCTCAATTCAACATGTACGTATAGCCTTAGTAAAACGGAAGATCCCAACCTAGCCTTCGTCAACGAACGGCTTTAAGCATTGCTCACCAAACCGTCGAATTACCAACGCAGTATAGAGTAAGAAAACTAAGCCAAGATGATCCCGTGCATGGTATATGTCCTGCTAACATGATTGAGAGCCCAATGGCAGCCTCACTGGCAGCGGCGATTGTAATCACAAACAAAGCAAATATTCATTCCCGCGATTGACCTGTGTCATACAAGAAGCTTGAGAATACGGTAGTTCCAAGCGGCGCTCCCTAGGTGTATCACTTCTATAACTCCTAATGCTCCTCGCCTGCTTTTGCACCAGCTTCTGGAGATGTCTGTTCTAACTTCGCGAGTCACCCCTTTCTCAAACTCGAATAAGACCATCGTGTTGTCCTTGTTTCATTCAAAAATTTGCAAAGGTTGGGTGCCGATTCCCTTGCTACTGTTGTGGACTTCGTTCTTTCGTCTTCTTGTCTTTGACTTTGTCTTCTTTTCTTTGACTTGACCGCTCGCAAATTTTCGAGAACACAAGCTGTCTGCCAAGCTGGGGACTATAGTGTAGTCAGAGCTGCAAATCTAGAAACGGCATACTCCGCACCTTTTTTGCATCTGATGCAGGCCCTTTGGATTCGATACTCCAAAGTGTTCCACACAGGAACCATTTGTGCGCACAAGGTTTTGTGCATCGAAGGACGTGACGAGCGCCCCTTGGCGCTCCGCGTCTGCTTGAAATGGTCCAGCAGCGCAGCCCATTTTCACCCACCACTCGCCCCCTCCTCTTCCATGCTTCTAAGTTTCTTTTGAATGGCCGCAATCTGCCTTTCCCTCTCTGCGACCCCAGACCCACTCTTCTTTGCTGCTTTTGGCCCCCTCCCCCCCTCTGCAAACCGCACGACCAGAGGCCTGCCAAGAAAAGACCTCCCATCTAGTTGCGCCACCGCTTTTTCCGCCTCCCTCCGGGTGGAGAACTCAACGAAAGCGTACCCCCGGGGCTGCCCCTTTTTGGGACCATCGCGGTGCCACATGAAGTCCTCCTGGACGATTGTTCCGTGCTGCGAGAAGAGCTTTACGAGCTGATACCTGCATCAATACAGGAGCAGAAGAAGACGCAACGATCAGCTCGGCATCAGATATTGGCATCCTCGCTTCACTGACAGTGCACTCATCACCAACTAGCTGATTCGATTGGCCTTTTTGACGTTCAGACTTCTGAGGTGGCCGCCTGATTGGTGCATTCAGAAAAGATTGAAGGGTGCGCTATAGCAGCGATATCAGAAGGATGGCAAGCGCCAAAAAGCATCCTCTTGACAGAGAGGAACTCAGATGGTGTTACCCTGGAAACTAGGGCAACAATCTGAGACCAGCAGAAGACTCATGTTTTACTTTAGCATGGATCCACACATATGCATCCATGTAGTATGGATGCTGAGAAATTGCAGCCTTTCTGCATCAAATCCCAACTGCAAACAGACGAGCAAACAAACAACTGCATGACTTCCTTACTCTGTAACTTTGGGGCTCAAGTTTCCGACGAACAACTTGAAGTGCAGATCTTTGTGGTCTTTTGACATTGTGGTGCGAGCTAAGTGGGCCGGGTCGACTAAAGCAGAACAACATTCATATTCATACAGAAGGCACTGCTGCAAATGACCCCAGTGCCAGAAAAGACTGGTCCACGAGGGCACGACATGTAGAAACAAGCCCTACTGCATGAGCTGCGCGTGCATGGGCTTGGGAATCAGAAGGTAGGCAGGGGAAAGACTTCTAAAGTGCAGAACTTCAAACCAGCTTTCCTGTTGGCAATGGGGCTATGAGAAAGCTATATAGTCATTAAACACGCTCCTGATGACATAGGTAGAAATGTTTGCGTCCTTGTACCTCACAACTCTATTTCTTGCAGGACTTGGATGATCCCTCTAATCGTCAGGCCGTTCTGCAGTGCCTAGCTCGATTTGACACATTGGCATGCCAGGACTCAGGAGATGACATTGATGGGACATTCAAGGGAGCTTGCGCCGCCATGGCGGCAGCTAGGGCCCGCGCTGCCGCGTATCGGCACAGCCTGCGAACCAGGGGTTCTGGCGGGGCGCCAAACGGGGCGCAGAGCGCCCCGGGGCAAATCCTGGCGCCCCCGGGCGGAAGCCCGGGGCACCTGAGCGCCCTGGGCCGCAGGCCCCGCCTACTCTTGGAAAGTACTAGATCCAGGCCGCCACAACCGGGAACTCTAATTTGAATTCTATCAGTACAGATTATCAGAGCAATTGCCTGCACATATCAGGACACAAAGGAAGCCACATGGTTCCAGGAGGTGGAGATCTCAGATAAGCAGTGTTTCCGCTAACTTTTTCAATTGGTGGCACTCGGGCCCCCTGGGCTCGGTCTTCGGGGGCCCGTTGGGCCCCCTCAGCATCCATATTGGGGGCCCAAGGGCCCCCTCGGAACTCTGATTGGGGGCCCAAAATTGGCTTGAAATCGCCCCCTGTTTAGATTATATAGGACGTCTTGTCGCAATATTATACGAAATGGGGGGCTGAAGGCCCATTCCACAAAGAGTAGCCCCCCAATAGATGAAATGGGGAATGTTGAACACATTTCTGCTCCATTTTAACAAGGAATATTCTATAAAAGCTCAAAAATGCCTGTATAAGCTTGAAATATTCCGTAAGCTTAGGCCCCCTCACACCGATGTATGGGGGCCAAAGGGCCTCCAGCCAATGCTCTTTGGGGGCCGGTCGGGCCCCTCGCTTCTATCTTTGGGGGCCCAACGGGCCCCCAAGGCCCTCCTATTGGGGGACGATATCGGCCATTGGGGGCGATAATGGCTGGTGGCGGGCCCCCAGTGGAAACACTGGAGATAAGCACTTGTAGTTAATTGAAAATGCTACAAATTTCATGAGTCAAGCTATGTACACTTAGCCAAAAATCATGATAATAACAGTAAATCTGCAAGGATATGCTTCGATAAGGCAATTGTTCCTATAGTAGGACGGTGGACCTGCTTTGGATACGAGGGCACGGATTCTTTTTGACTTTTTGCCGACCGCTTGTACCGTATACCTAGTCTGTAGACAGACGTCTTGAGGCACAGGAGGCAGCCCAGGACCGGTATGCACGAATTCGGCTCGGTTAAACACAGCTTCCGCCAGAATACCTACTGTACCGGGCGCTGGCGCCCGGGCTTGGGCGCCCCAGGGAAGCTGGTCGGCGCCCCGGGGCGAAGCCCAGGGGCGCCACAGCACCTCCGGGCAAAATCCTGCTAGAACCCCTGCTGCGCGCACAGCTGGCAACATGCAAATCTGCTGAACAGTTTTGTGAATCAGGTAGGTACCTAGCTCCGATAACATCGAACATTCGAAATTTGAATTTTGCACATGCAGTACGGTACAAGAAGGTACACATTTTCGTTTCCTAAAATAGGTGATCCTTGTCAGATGATAACCCTGATTTCTCTCCCGGAAGAAGGGACACCTTGCTCGGTTGGTTCTTCCCGCCCACTTTCGTCTGCAATTCTATGTATGGCTGTCTATCACCCGAGCGCCTTTTTTCCTCCCGAGGCTCCCACTGGGTTATGCACAATAATACACCAGGCGCTGCGTATCTGGTAGACTGGCAGATTGTGGCGACCAAGAAAATCCGGGATATTGAGATCGCCCGGCGGCCGCACCCTGCACGTCTCCGTAATTTACGTGCGCGATTGTTTGCACCCTGTGCCAGACCGCCAGTTCTGGTCCAGACGTTTCTTTCATGTCTGTTTCCCTCAGTGTCAAAGCTTCACGACACCATAGTCAGCATTTTTTTTTGACACAAGCGTTTGCATGGCGTCCCGCTGCCAGAACGCCCCCGTACCCTCCGCATGACAACAACAGACCCTGTGTCCAGGAATGCGATTAGAACCGGGCTTTCCACCTACGGTTAGTTTCCGGTGTGTCTCAGAAACCTCGCTTTGTGGTAGAGGTTCAGAAATACCGTAATCAAATTGCATACCTATTCTCGTGGCTTTGCTACCTATTAAAACAAGGAGCCGGATTCTAAAACTATGTGGGAGTCGGCGCGTTCAACGGGTCGCCCGGAAAAGTCCCAGACTTCTCGCGCTTGCGCCTGGCCGTACACTGTCCGTACTGCCTCGCCCACAAAGATGCCCGGTCACGACTCCAGTGTCAAGGCGCCCCTTCGGGCAATGCTGTGATTTGCAATTTCAATCTGCAACCTACTAGATAGCTGAGTGAAAATGCAGACCTTCGTCTCTCTTCAGCAGCTGTAATTTGAGTCCTGGCTCCCGAGTACCCACAGCGCATCGTGCTCTGGCCGCACACAAATCGAGGGAAGGAGGAGGTATTTGAGAACAAGATTATGAGAAGGAACGCCATTCTTTGAAGCTGTCATGGGGAGCAACTGATGTGTCCTGTCTCCTTTGCCATCCTGCAATGACGGCGCTGCAGCGGGATACTTTGGCTGGCCAGCTCGTCTCGTGCGGTGAGGTGCGGCGGTGAACTGCTGGAATGCCGCGCAAGCAAGTGAGATTAGTTTCGAGCAGAGCTAAATAGGTCGTATATCTGATATAATATAGAGTTTGCGTGGCGATCGGCTTAAAAGAAGCGGCTGGAATGTAACTTGTTGGCGCGCAGCACGCTCCTTTCAAAGACTTCGTTCAGCCCTCCTTTGCATGAGTCCTGTAAACCTGCAGACTCCGCCACCTCAGATAGCTTGCAAAATCCTCCGCTTCTACGAGTAACAGACCTCAAGATTGAAGTTTGGGTCTGTGAGCTAGAGTGGGGGGGCGGGGAGGGAACGAGATACGAGAGGGGAACGATGGGGAAGGGCTCGGACGCGGGCTTCGACCCCACACCGCTCAAACTGGCCAACCGCTTGAAGCTCTCTGGGGAAGAAAGCGGGTTCCTAGAACACATCGGCAATGTGCGCTCCTTTCTCAGCGCACAGCCCCCTGTGGTGGACATTCCCATTCCGGAGCCTGAGCTCCGGGCAGCAGAAGGAGAATGTGCCCCAGAGGACGGTGTGAATATCTTCTGCCAGGTGCCCTGCCTGCAGAGCTCGTGCCTGACGGCCGACATGATCGTCTCCCCCATGCTCGTTTTCCCCGGGCAGTACGTGGGGGTTATTCACACCAGCCCCGCGCGCCGGCGCGCCCCAAAGGTGCCCTGCGTGCAGAGACTTCTCCCAGTGGAGGTGCTGGAGTGTTTGGTGAAGGTGGCGGATAATAGCTTTCACTTTCTGGGGCGGGTGTTTGAGACTGCCGCCACGCTCACGGCGGGGGGGACCAAGCTGGAAGACCATGTGGCTTTGGTCCGGCGGGAGGTGCTTTACACCACTGCGACGAAGGTGTTCCCAGCCTCAGCAATTGTTGGTGAGAATAGGCTCCGCCTCCTTACTGGCTGCTTTTCTATTTCTATTCCTAGGCTGCATTCGGGTAGTTGCCACTTGCTGGCTCAGTTAGAAATTGGTAAGAACTGGTCACTTCATTGATTGGCTGCGCCTATACAGAAAGTTTGTTCAGTCTGGCGGTAAGTGCTTTCACTGGAGGGTTGGATAAGGTTGGCTGTCATTGCTGAGTCACCAGCGGAACATTAGCGGCCGTTACAAAGCTTTCAGGCTTTCAATAGAGAAGTAGTGAGGTGCTGAGCATGCGACGTTCACTAAGTAAACTGACTGCGTCTAATACGTGCTCATATGTGCATAGGATGTTTTTGGAAGATTCTACTAAGGGAAGTCGTTGTTTATTGACCTCGAAAATGTCAGCCTTTGTGGAAGTCAATCCTTGCGAAGAGCAACCTCGATTGTTGCTATAAGACTCGGTTGACTTTCCAATTATGAGAGTTATCTCATATTGAATGTTACCGTTGATGAACTGGGACAAAATGCACTTTGGTAACTAAGAGCTTGCCTTACCAGAAACTTGGTGACATTACAAACCAAACTCAATCCTTTGAAAGGAGCCTAACAGGCTTTTGTTTGTGGATTGGCTGAGGCATGCAGTGAGCTTTATGCAACCAGCGGACAGTCTCGGTTGGGTAAACCGGCCTTTACATTGCTCTGATCGAAGTTAGTCATACTTAAAAGATATCTCTTGCCACCAAGTCATTGCGCCCAAGAAAATGAATTGGTGTGCTGGAATTTCCCTCTCAGATCTGGAGGCTTTTAACAAAGCTTTTGGACACGAGAGGATGGCATGCTTCTCAAATCAGTCCGCTGCATTGCAGAAACTTGAGTAATGCAGGGAACAGATGAGGTCCTGCGTCTAGAAGGAGATTGTTGCTTAACCTATTTGTTAATGTGGGGCTGTCTAAGTATCCTAAGACCCAAAGACAGGAACTGGGACCTGGGGTATCCAGAATATAGTCAAAAAGTACCCTGACTAATTGGTAAAACTGACACTAGCGGCATGACTTCTCACAGCCTGCTCATACTTGTACTGCTTGCATTGGCTGTTCCAATCTGAGTCCCGACCCTTCTGTTACCCAGTCCCAAACTAAATCGCTCTTCTAGATATTCTTCTGGATATATGTTCGCTAGAAGTTTTGGAACCTATCCTCAACTGTCAAGCTCATGTAAGGTCGTCTGAAAGCCAGGTGCATCCATTCCCCCTTCTAACATTACCGCTCAACACATCTTACCTCCTCTACATAACCATCGTCTTAACCCAAAGATTGCTAACCCCCTTCCGCCCCCCTCTTTCAGGTCCATGCGAGGTCTTCTACCAGCGAGATCCTTTCATCCAGTGGGAAAAGCGGATGCCGTCCGATCGACGCTTTCTGTGCCGCTACATTGTTCAGGACAAAACCTCTCTGACCTCTGGAACCCGGGTCGCTAACCTTACCCCCCTCTCCCTAACCAAAAAGCGCCACCTGGACTCCCGCGTGTTTGGGCCCCAGGCGCAGGTGCTACCAAGTGACGCGGCTGCGCCGCTTACTGCCTCTATTAGGGTGAGTGCTGTTACTAAATGTTCAGTCCTTTTTCACTGACGTGAGTCTGCGACCTTGTAACTCCAGGTGCCTGAAGCTGAGGCACTCAAAATCCTTCCCCTTCTGGTCGACTAGATCCTTCCTTTGGATCTTCATGCTGCAGACATCTGTAAGGGACTAGATTCTTCCTTTGGATCTTCATGTTGCAGACATCTGAAAGGAAATTGATCTACCAGCTGTGTTTAGATGGCTTACCAGAGACGTTGATGGTCCAGTCGTTGTCAAGCACAGGCTCGAGTCCAATCACTCCCAGATCTGGTGACATTACTACAGATCTGGTTTCGTTCCGAGTCTCTAACACCTGTAGGCTCTGCTCTCTGTGTTACCCTAAATGAGATGCAAGACTGCCGGAAAAGGCGTGCACAGGAGCTTCTCCAGAGCCTACCTGGACTGCACCCTCAACTAAGCACAATTTGATTGCATTCTCAGGAACTGCTGTGAAGAGAACAGCATGTTTGTCTCTCTGGATCTTAAACCCCGAGTCGTTTTTGCCCTGTGCAGGAACACTACTGGCTGGTAATCGCCGAGCTGGTCGAAAAGCGGATGGGCGTGCGCAAGAGCTGCGAGCGCGCAGAGATCGAGCTGCACATGCCGCTGGAGGCGTTTGCTGCTTGCGTGGAAGTGCTGGGGACGCCAGAGGCCAAGGTGGGGAAGCAAATCTGACGCCTTTCGCTGGTCTTCACCCTTCTCCGTCTGTGTCGGTTGGTTGCTCCATGACACCTTTCTTGAGAAGTTGGTTTGATCTGGGACCTAGCTTTTAGGAAGTTGGTGATACTTGGGACCCAGATGAAGATAGGGGGCGAAAAGGAACACTGCAACTGTGTAGGTCGACGAATCTGCCAGGGATCCTGGAGGAGGTTCTGGTGCGAAACTCTCAGTCTAGGACACAATGTTTCCAAAGCAAACCTTCGAACAGAGGTAGGCGCTCCAAGCCTGCGCGCTACTTGTGAGGCCAACTCGATCGGGTAAGACGCTTGATTCCTGATCGAAGGTATCCCTCGTTGCTGATTGCTTGCACGCCTTCCCTTTCTTCCACACAGAAAAAAGAAGGCCAACGTGGGCCAAGATCAAGATCGCGACTGATTGCTTCCACTCGTTTCCTCCGGTACAGGAGGGCGTGGTTTCAGTGGAGGTTGACGACTTTGACCGGTTGCAGCGATCCGTGTTCCGGTCGTTCCGCACCTTTCCGCTGCGGGTGCTGGACCCTCCCACCGCCAAGAAAAAGCGCTACCAAATGCCCCAAGAGTTCACCCGCAACGACAGGTTAGTCGCAGGACGTTTGTGACCGAAATCTAGTTTTGTAAGGCTCGCTTGATTGACATGGCCCTGGCTGTCCTGTCGCGTTGCTGAGTTGCATTTTCCCTTGGTCGGAGTGTCTCTGCAGCGTCTTTCCTGCTTCTTTATTTCTCTTCGCCTCACGTTGAACTGCACAAAGGGCTGATTGCGAGTTGGGGTTCGACTCTCTTGCGGTTCTTGTCCTTCTGTTTCCTCGAGGTTGTTTACTTGCGATAGCCACGGCAGCTCTTGCGAGTCAAAAGTTCGAAGAGGTTCTGTCAATAAGAAAGTGAAACGAGAAATTGAAACGATGTCTTGTACGTGCGACACAGATCAAGCCTTTGGGTCCTTTCCCTGTCGAGGCGGATTTGTTAGGCCTCGCTTCGTTTTGCGTGCTGACATCTGCTTTCTAAAAGACAAGGGTATCCTTGCTAGCCTCCTTCCTTTGTTCGCTGCCCAGGACCAAATGCTAACCCTCTCGTTAACCCTCTTCTTGACTCAGGTCCGAAGCACGTGGCCCCTTCCGCTTCGAGCTGCACACGGACCAGTACCCCCTCCGGCTTACGGTCTCCTTCACGTACGTCATCCGAGCCTCCGGTTTCGGAGTCGCCCCCACCCTTCCAGTGCTCCCTGCCCCCCCCCCGCAACTCCTGCTAACCGCACCCCCCCAGAAAAAGAAATCGTCCAGTTCGTCGAAAAAGAAGCCGGGGATGCCGCCCATGGCAAAGCTGCTGGGGGAGTTGTCGTGCAGTTTGATTGAGGTTTAGCGTGGTTAAGTCTTGATTGAGTGCCGGTTAGCAACCGGTCAAGTGTTGGTGTACCGCGGGTCACATCATTCTAGACGTTTTGCTGCGCTTAAATTTGTCAAGAAGGGGGGAAATGTGGTGCTCATGAGAGCACTTTGCATGTCAAAGTTTCAGAATCTGGTCTGCCCCGACGAAGAGTGAATAGGGCCGTTGGAAGAGTCTAGCTCGTCGATTTGACACTAGTAGCATGCTATTTTCATTTGGAATTTGAGATTTGGGATCTGACGTCCAACCAACGATAAGGTAAAGTCATGGTACATGGAGGTTAAGATGGGATGAGGACTCTTTTGCTTCTGTGGAGCTGTACAAGTTACCGAAAAACCAGATGTAGAGTCTCGTGTCAAGTCCGACCAATCTGTAAACTAGGTATCCTTGTATTGGATCTGCGGTGAAAGCCGCTAGTTTCGTTCATTTCGATTTATTTGTCCAAGAGCCGTCATCAAAGGCTATTGCAACGAATCTTTGTCGGCTATCCAATTACGTTCATTCATGTCCACGTTAATGTCTCTGAGTGTGTCCGCAACTTGCGCGGGCCGGTCCGTGAGGGCCGGTGACAGCAACTTAAGGAACTACAGCACCTGGCCAGCGCTATGTCATCCGATTGGCACTTAGAGTAGAATTTACAGATACGTTATGAGTAGTTTCTGATGACGGGCAGTGGCTAAGACCAATTATTCGCGCCAAGAGCCACAACAATCGGGTAACGCGATTTTTGTGTCTTGTCTCTATGCCGTAATGATGACCAATTCTCATGCAACTTCGTAGCTAAGACTGTCGATCGGCTGCAAAATTCAATTCATCTAGCAGGCGGCGCGCCGCGTGGCAACGCAGACGGGAAGAATGTTAAAGGTGAAACAATATGCCGTATGTGTAGCATAAAATCGAGTCTGGAAAGTAGGCTATAAATGTTGCAACGATCAAAATCGGTACACTGGATGGTGACGGGGAGGATGCATGCCGCATCAAAGGGGTGTGCAAAAAGTTAGAGGTGAAGCGGAGCCTGCCTGGGCTCCCTGTCCGGGCGACGCAAAAAGGGGATGGGTTCGTCACGAGGACTTCCCGGAAGGTCACCCATTCCGGTACTAGGTATTCTCGCCCACAGGCGTTTAGCTTCGGAGGTCTGATGGGATCCGGCGCAATAGCCTAGGTATGAACGAACCACGCCTTGGAAGTTGGAGCTTGCATGGCCACTGCAGCCTCAGGAGGCCAGTGGAGGCTGGAGCACTAAGACTTACAGGGTCCTAGGCGCTTCAGCTTGGATTTATCAGGTATCAGCTTCAAAACGCCCCAGCCTTCTTGAAAGCAGTCTAGACCATGTAACACGCGACAGCATTGCCCTAGCGTTGGCTGCTCCGCCCAAAATGGGTGATATTTTGGACCCAGACTTCAACGAGGTGGCGTTTGGGGATGACAGCAAGCACACGTGGCATGCTACGCCCGTGCTTGATCCGGGCCTTTCGCACTACCACTTTGGGCCATTCCCTGAGATCGAGGCGCCACTCTTGCAAGGTGCGTGGTTGGTGTTCGCGGTGGTCTGAGGTGTAGGCTGCGAACTGTCCAACAGTAGCTGTCGGTTGGTGATGTGCACAAAAAGTAGAGGTCTGACGGTGCGTTCTGGCTAGGATCAGCTGGTTGATTGTTAAGTTCATGCAAGGGGGAAGAGCTCGGCGTGGCGGCAATTGTGGGGAAACCATTCATGCATGAATGTAGAGTTCGATCTGAAGCAGCAGGCTTGATCAGAAGTGGTGCTATCTGTAATGTGGTCCTTTGAAAGGAGTCTCTCAGCTGCAATCAAAAACAGAAAGCACGACTTGACGGTTGAACAAACAAAGCACATGCGCTGCTGCATGAAACGCGTTCGTTTCACTTGAATGGCACACAGCGTTTGGAAGCTCGACACTGAGTTGTATTGAAGGAGCTGTCTGTATGTTTATTCGGACTCAGGAGCCCTATCAGAAGCGGGCGCACCTGAGTCCCGCAGTCAAATACAAGTCTTGATCGCCCTCTGATTCAACCATGACATTGCGGAACCAGCTTACTTCAAACATAGTTGTGAAACATAGTTCTGGTTGATGCTGGCAGTCTTTGCATTCTGTGTCCAGTCCTCAGAAAGGAGATTGAGTGAGCAGCTCATAAGGTTTGACGTCTCCGTGACCAACTTTGGCTGCGAATTGTCATTGTGTCTTTGACACCTCAGAGAGCTCCTTCTATCTTCGTCGAGTTTTGCCTACTTGTTGAACCTTGGTCCACCTAAGCCGCACAGAGGAGGGACACTTTCCGTTGCATGCAGAAATGTTATTTGCTGCTTTTAAAGCAGAGCAGGAATCATCTGAATCAGGACGTCCTCAAGTCAGACAATCTGCCATGGGATGCTTTAAGAGCTCCGGGGTCATACTCAACTTTTTAAGGGCCCTGAAGTATTGTGATCATGGGCCTTTTGTGAGGCGGCGCACTGAGGTTCTGAAGTGGTATACATCGCTGCAGGAGAGCACATCTGATGCTTATGTGGAGGGGAGTCAGGCTGAATTGCACAGCTATGATCTTTCTAATGTTGGATCATCTTTCCGGACTCGCATTCACCATGCAACTCCCTTTGTTAACAACCTTTTTGCCTGCCAACTACTCCTCGATCACACAGTCTTCCAGATGATCGACACTCCAGACAAGTCAACCCGGCACTGGCCTGAGTGCCATCAGATCCATCTCGTAAAACCACCCCTCTCTGTACCTCTATCTACTGACTGGGCACGTTAGTAAATGCAATTTCCAGACACTTTTGCGATCGACAAGGTAGGAGAACCCATTGAATCTTTCGTCTTGGCAGAGGCCAGGCCGGAAATGGACCTTGAAAGTTGGAGGACATGAAAGTGAACTATTTTTGATCTTGTTGCGCAGTTTCAATCACGAATGAGATCCTCTTGCTTCTATATTCGGCAGGCGAAGTCCAGGATGTGCACTTTCCAAACCTCGAGGAGCGCCCCGACTTGCCTCAGGAGGGGGCCGGAGACCCAATGAGCCGGCGCGACGAGCGGGGGGTCCAGTTCGACATGGTCGATTCGATCATTCGAATTACGCTGTACAAAGCGCTGGTTCCTATAGTCCAGCTGGCGTTCGTCGGAAGACTTGGGGTGACGGCCCTCGCGGGGGCGTCGGTCGCGATGAGCGTCGCGAACCTGACGGGGTTTCTGACGATGGTGAGGAAAGTGTCCCGTTTTTGTCTTGCGAAAACGGGATGAGCTCCATTGAACGGCATTCCGACGGTTCGTATTGGTGATGCTTTACCTGTTTGGGGAGATGTAACACAAAGAGCCCGTTGGAAATAAGATGTCTTGATCCCTGGTCCGTTCCATTGGTCGAAGCTGGCTGTCAGGGCTGTCGTAACCTGTGGTGGTCGTATATGGATCCGTTTCCTGGGGCACGTATACCGTACATCGAACGACCTATTCCCTTTCTGCTCGATACCGACAAATTCAGACCCATTTTGGAAAGGTTCCAGCGGATCTGTCACCTTTGCAGAGTCGCCATAGTTTCCAGGAAGCCCAAATCACGATCCCCCTAAGGTGGCCCTTAAGTGATCTATGAGAGTCCCCATCCGCTCCTTCTCCTCTGCCGTTTCTGACGCTTTTTGGCCCTCTGGACCTCTCAAGAAAAAGATTCCTTCACCTGCGCTTTTTCTCCGATCGCAAAATCCGGGATCAAATCTAAAAGCAAGGATCTGACAATTCAGTCTAGACTGCAGGCCGTCTTTGCAGGCACGATGGAGCGCATGGCCATCCAATCCTTCGGCCTTGGCGGAGGGAAACTGGTGGCCCTTCTGAACCAGAAACTCGTCAAACTCTCCCTCTCCCATTTTCGATTTCGAAGCAACCCCGGAGGAATCGGTATTTGACACCTTACTTGAAATTTTGCACTGCAGGCGGGGTTTGCAGGCACGATGGAGCGCATGGCCATCCAATCGTTCGGCCACGGGGGCGGGAAGCTAGTCGCTCTTGGGACGGTCGCCCAAAAGACGTGCTTCCTTTCTCTCCTCGCGTGCATTCCGGTCGGCTTCCTGTGGCTCCACGCGGAACGGCCGCTGTCGTTCCTCGTGAGAGATCCGGGAGTGGCGGAAGGTGCGGCGGTGTATCTGAAATGGCTGGTGCTTGCGCTGGTCGCGTCGGCGGGGTTGTATCCGGCCACGCAATACCTCCGGATACAGGTGGGTTTTGAGCATATTTTCTGGAATTTGAGTTTTTGTGGGTTTTGAGATGGATTGATAACTACATTTTGCGGAAGGCCGTATATCCGAATTGGCTGGTGCTCGCGCTTGTCGCGTCGGCGGGGTTGTATCCGGCTACCCAGTACCTCCGGATACAGGTGGGTTTTGTACTCAAATTCTTAGTGCTTCTGTGCATTTTGAGAGAGTTAAACAACTAATAAGGGCGGAAGATGCGGCGGTGTATCAGAAGTGGCTGGTGCTTGCGCTGATTGCACCGGCGGGGTTGTATCCGGCCATGCATTACCTGCGGATACAGGTGGGTTCCGAAACTTTTTCACTGAAGGTTATAAAACGGAGGGGTCAGGGTCTATGTAAGTCCAATGCCATAGGGGCTGGTGATTGTGTTTATCGCCTCCGTGGGCCGCATTCGATTACACAGTACTTGCGGATACAAATGGGTTCTGGATTGATTGTCTAAAGTTTGTGATTTCTGGGAGTTTGAGGGCATCGAACAAGTCTCGTGGCTGGCGCTTGCGCTGTTTGCGTCAGCGGGGCTGTATCCGGTTGTGCAGTCGTTGCGGATACAGGCCGGTTGAGACTTATTCAAGCCGAAACTTAGAATCGGTGCCTAGAGGCTGTGTGAGTTTTGAGGGGGATCGTACCAGTCATTTAGTTGGTACTAATGTGGTGACGTCCCCACAATCGTTCGGTAGCTACACTTTACCTGCGAATCCGTGTGGGAAATTTCGAAACAATCTAAGATCTCCCCGTCCGAATGTTAGGGATGAGGAAGAAAACGTCGGTCGGGGCATGCGTTAAGAAGCACATACTGGCGATTAGGGCAATCTCAAAAGCACCGAGACGTTGCCTCAAAAAACCTGCTTTGTGCGGGCGTCAACTTTTCTCTGCGGTCGGCGAATGCCGCTCCTTTCGTACGTTGCCGCCAATGTTTGACACTCGCAGGATCTTACTCACAACGCCTATGTTTCTCTGCCCCCCCTCTTCGCGCTTGTCTTCCCTCACCACTCGTCATACATGGGAAAGCCCAGAATATCTCTCTCCAAATGTTTGATAAAGAACTAAAAGGGGTACCAATACTGCAAACCGCCTGCCCCACAGAACAGCAACTTCTCCCTTGGCATGGCTTTTTTCCTTGCGCTACTATTCAGCGTCAGGAACTTAGAAAAGCCGGTCGACGCCCAACTTCACGGATTCCTAACGTTAAGGAAGGCCTGGAGATGACATAAACCCCTGCTTAAACCCTGAAACTCCATAAACCCTTGATTGCAGAACGTCAACTTCCCCCTCGGCATGGCCTCCTTCCTAACGCTCCTCTTCTACGTCCCCGCCAACTGTGTCCTCGTCCACTACTTCGACCTGGGCCTGCAAGGCGCCGCCGCCGCGCTCTCTTCCGCCGTCCTCTTAAACGTCGGCCAAATTATTGACTACTTATTGCGCTGGGAGGCGAGCGCGCTGCTCCGGCAAACGTGGTCGGGGTGGTCCCCCGAGGCCCTCCGCGGCTGGCGCCAGTTCTGGGCATGACCGTGTGGAACACGGTTCCGGTCGGGTGAGCTTCCGCTGGTCTGGTTTGCTGAAGTTGCCCGCCGAACGGAATGAACGGAAGGCAACGGAATTGTTTCACCTTCTGGGCATGAACGTGTGGAACACGTTTCCGGTCGTGTGAGGCGCCTTAAATTAGAATAAACGGAATGAATGGAATGAGCGGTTGAACGGGATGAGCCGCCTTGCATTGATCGGAATGAACGGAATAAGCGGATCGAACGCGGGATGAAATGGTTGACCGTGTGGAAAAACACCTCATTTTGGGTCGGAATGAACGGAATGAATGTTTTGAACGCGGAGTCCACGGAGTGAATGCGAATCGGACGGAATGACTGTGTGGACCACGTTTCCGGTCTGGTGAGGGCGCCTCGCATTGAACGGCATGAACGGAATGAAGACCGAAAGATCAAAATGGACACGCGCATCGCCTTACTGGTCGGTTGGGGCGCCTCGCATTTATCAAAGGGATCGAAATGAACGCGAAGTAAACGGTGGAAAACGTTTCTGGTTGGGGGAGCTTCCTCCAATCTGTTGTGCTGAAGTTGCTCGCCATGCAGAATGATCAGAAGGAACGGGAATCTCTGCCAGGTCCTGAGCATGAGTGGCCTCGTTTCGGTTGGTTGAGGCGCCTCGCATCGATCGGTTGGAACAAAGGGAATGACCTTGTGGAAAAATGTTTCCAGTCGGGTGAGGCGCCTCGGCACCTTCCTCCGGCCTTGTTTGCCGAAGTTGCTCGCAGCGAACGAGAGTCTGGCGAAAGGAAATAAGCGAACGTATGAATGAACGGCACCCTTACCCTATTTCCTTGACCTGCAGGCTTGACTGGTTTGCGCACGAGCTGCTGTTACTGCTCCCCTGCGCGCTGCCCGACCTCGCGCATCAAGTGGCGGCCAGCGCCGTCTGGTTCCAGACGGTCAAGCTGTGTGTCGTGCTGCCAAGAATCCTGAGCACTTCTCTCACGTAAGTCGAGAGGGAGCGTATTGCGATCCGAAGCACTAAAGCTGTTTGGTAGCTGACTCAGGGCGTTGGTTGTGCATTCAGAGACGTTATCACCACCAATCCCACCATAAAAGTGTGGGTTAAAGCCGACATTCTCAACTTTGGTTAGCAAAAGGGAAAGTGTAAAGTCCTCGCGTTTAATTCCTCTGGATATGAAATGTTCTATTCCATGCACCTGTCAGACGGCCGGAATTCGGAAGCTACTAGCATGGTAGGGATTGCAGCCCCCACCTGCAGCAAAGCGCAGACATGTTGTCGCGGGAAATAGTTTCTCCATTCTCGTTGCAGTGTCCGGCTGACAAACGAGCTCGCCGCCCAAAAGCCCGGCCGCGCGCGCCTCGCCTGCAACACCGCCGTCGCGTCAACCTTCCTCTACGGACTCATTCTCCTGATCCTCCTACTTTCAATACACGGACACTGGGGAAAGCTGTTCATCCCGTATCAAACGGACGGCCCCGGACACGATTCGGACGCAATGGGGGCCAAATCGTACGGCTCCGGACGCGGTTCGGACGCCATCGGACGGCTGCTGGACGAGGTGGCGCCGTACGCGGCGGTGCTGCAGTTCTTTGAGAGTTTGCAGATTGTGCTGCAAGGTGAGCGGCTTGCGTGATTATTGGGGTCCTTAAAGAGAGTGTCATGTGCGTAGCGCTTCGGCGACCAAACACCGCGCAAACGGCTGCATTGGTCGCCGAGGCGAGCAACCTGCTCCTTCTTGGGGCCCTTACAATGGGCGTAGGACGTGCACGTCCTTTCAGATCGAACGGTGCTCGGAGCGTCACCAAACTGAAAAAATCGTGGGCATCAAAAACATGGCGTCGTCAGTACTTAAGGGTGACAGTCGTCAAATCCCGACGCCCACTTTAAGGAGAGCGTTTTGTCACTCGTACTGCCTTAGCGACCAACACCGCGCGAAAAGCGCCGCGGCAAGGTTCTAAGATGCTATTGAATCCTTACGATGACACTCTCCCTTAGGATTCAGATGCCACACGGAACAACAAAGCGGAAGGCTTCTTTCATCCATTTGGTTGACTCGAGCTCTTCGAAACGACCCGAAAAACCCACGTGACGTTTGGAATGGTGTTGGCCCATTCTCGAAATTGACGGCACTAGACAGGAGCAGTAGAACAATGATGACACTCCGCCGGTTCCATTCCGTTCCAGTCCCATCTCAAGTCTCTCAAAGGGCGCCGGATAGCAGCGACGGAAGAATAATGACATGCCCCCGCTTTCATGTCAACTCGTTCCGATTCCGGTTCCGTTCTAGGTTTCCTTACGGGGACCGGGCAGGAGCAACGGAAAAGTCATTGCACGCCCTGCAACCATTCCTTTCCGGTTCCGTTCCAGGTTTCTTGAAGGGCACCGGACAGGAGCTCGCGGGGCGGACCATCGACCTCCTCTCTAAGTATGCCGCCGGCGTGCCGATTATGCTCGTGCTGACGTATTTCGGATTCGGACTAAAGGTGAAGGATTGACTACCTAATGAACTTAGAAATCCATGATTCAACAACTTTTGCCATCGGGTTCAGATTGAAGTTGAGCCAAATTTTCCATCGAACTTCTGTACTTAAATAAGAGAGCTTCTGTCTTCTTGTTTGGACTGATGGTGAAAGATGACTCCCATCAAACTTAGTAATTCCATTATCTTTTACACCTTCTGTCTTCGGTTCGGACTGACCTCCCTAACTCAAAAATATTTATCACCGCCCGGGGATAGCGGCCCCCACGATCGGTTGCGGAGCGAGCTTGCAAGATTCGCCAGACTCTCGTTCCTTATGGCTTGACGAGAAAGTTTGTCGCTCCCGGGGTAAAACTGAAGATTAAAGTAGGAATGGGTCCGTTCAACTTCCGCTGCTGCATCGTGGTGGAACGGCGAGAGCTTGGCGGTTGAAACTAGGAGTCCCTACATACGAAGCAGGGACGAAAATGTGCAGCCAGAAAGCTTGTTATAACAATCCTTTTGTCGTCGTCACGGTCAAAAGAGGGCGTTGGTCTACATGCAGCCCACGTGGATTTTGGGCGACGCTCGAGGCTTGGCACACCAGTATAAGGTCGCCACGGACAGTAGCTTGTTTGGAAAGGGCGATTAGTACCGGTGCTCCGTATGCCCTCTTCTGGAGCCTTCCTTCCTTAGCAGGTGATTGGAACTCCTTCATAAAGGAACTTTTCCGTTGAGACGCCACCAAAAGGGAATGAAACAGTCCTGAATTTGACTTCGTCGTTTGCAGGGCATTTGGCTCGGAACCATCTTAGGACAAGCCGGCCAAGTCGCCTTCCTCTACTTCGTAATGCTCATGACCGACTGGAGCTACGAGGTGAGGGTGACGTCGGCGGCTCATGGATATACTGGGGCGCGAATGGTTCTGTTGCTGTTGGAGCCTCTACGAAAGCGGCCGTCTGATTGATGTGCCGCTTTTACGAGATATTGATATATTCACGTCCCGGAAAAGCCGTCGGGGACTTGGAGGAGAGTCGACAGAGTTACCAAGCTATTCATTAAGGCAGCCGTTCTTGAGAGACTTGAAAAGCTACGGCCGTCGCCCCGTTGTACGCAGATTAGGAGGTACTTTCAGGAGCTTCGAAATAGAGTGACTGAAAGAATTTCAATGTCAGGAGGAAAGAAGTGGCGACCACCCTGCGAATCCTCCATAGCCGTTAGTCAAATCATACTGGGTCCTTTCCCCCTCGCATCTCACCTTATCTTTTCGAATTGCTGCAGGTCGAAAAGACTGCAGAGATCATCCAGAAGAGCTGATTGCAAGAATGAGCTCCCCGTAGGCAATCAGAGTGGGCGGCAAATTGCTCGCCCACAGAAAACGTCCGTTAAGAAGGGTGTCACGCATCAAAAGAACCAGCATATAAGAGCATGTCCGCTTCTGCTTCTGAGTTTGAGCATGCGTGAAAGCTGCTGATAAGACGATCAATGTCGAAAGATGCTTCGCTTAGTGTGCGTTTAAAGCAGCGGTATTTCAACTTTCAATGTTGGATCTGTAGATAAGCCTGTAGCATTGAGAATTGGTCAAAGCCCCAGTACGCTTTTCCCTATGGAGTAGGTAGGATCTCCCGTTGGTCAATGCATCCAAGCATTGCATAAGTTGATCTTTTCGCCTAACGTATCTTCCTTTGATAGCCCCTAACACATTGCCATGGCCAGGTCCGATGCATGAGCTTCGGATGCTACTGATCTGGGTACTGGCGGCCCTTTATGCACCCCACCCCAAATGAGTCCGTACGTCGCTCGTTTTGCTCAATGAGTCTCAAGCTGGAGCTGCGATTACTGGCGGCCGCCACTGCAATGATAGTGAGCACATGGAGTGGCCGTTTGCAAGCCCATGCCGATTAATTATGCGGCGATCGCAGTCTAGTGTTCGGTTTTGTGCATGCAAAGTGCCGGTTCCTTTCTCCCCTTAAATAAAAGATCCCCAAAGCTAGGAAGTATGGGGCACGGGTTTGTTCTTGGCCCGGCGCCTTGCATTCCGGCCAGCCTAAACTGCCATCAATTGATGACGCACAATCGCCATCATCCTTCAATGCGCCCTTCCGGTATACCCGATCCGCTGCTACCAGCATCCTGGGCCTTATACAAAATAGAGTCGGTGACATGCACTTGTTGGTAAGATGTCTTCAAGCCCTCTGAATTAAGAAGCCTAAGCATTTCAACGATTAGTGAGTTGCATACATCTGGAGGTGTAGCGTCGGTACGGTGTATAAGAAAATTGCTGGTAGGTAGTTGTTTATATCATAAGCAGATACCGTCAACCTCAAACAATTGGATGCCATAAGATTGAAGCCTATGGCCGCACTGGGTACGACGTAACGAGACCACTGTTGATTCGACCTGCCAATGGTGTTGTCGTATGTGTGTCGTACTTGCGCGTTTTTGCTTGCTAGGGCACGAAAGTTGCCCTTCTCTTGATTACACCGACTACGTTTATTTTATGGCTGTAAGAAGAAGCGTCTAAATACAGATGTCCGATCAAACTTGGGCCAGGGCCTTAATCGACCGTTCGGCGTTCTCTCTTGAGCGTCCTTGTCTTGATCTGGAGCAGCTTGCTTAAACACAAACAAAAGTCGATTGCATTGAGTTCTGAATCGTGTCGCCTTGAGCGCAACTATTCTAGAGCCCTCCCCCTCGAGAGGATTCGATTGAACGCATCCGGGCCTACTTCGGGCTCGGAAGCTCCTTCACGGGACTCGTTGTCCCCAACCAGAGACCTGCCCATAGAAGGCACTCTGTCACGCACGTTAACGCCGAAAGGGTCTGCTGCAACCTCCAAATCCAACCCGTCCCCACCCCTCCTTTGCCTCAGCGTCCGCCGTTCCGCACCCGATCTTTCGTCGAAGAAGCTATCCTCAAAGTCATCGGTGGGCGTCGGAACTCTCTGGTGTGTCGGCGAGCTCGGGTAAGGGAGATCCGTCTGCACCGGCGTCGGTTTCCGAAGCCTTCCCGAACCGCTTCCCATCCGTGCCACGCTCCCGCCACCACCGCTTGATTCGCCACCCATACTTTGCCCTGCGGCCACATCGCCCAAACCGCTCATAATCTGCTCAGTGGGCGTTGGAACTCGACACAACGTCGGAGATAGGAGCGGGAATACATCGGATCCGGTGTCCCGCGCCGCCGGCCGCGCGGCGCCGCCCCCACGCTGCCGCCGCCGGAGCGCGGTGCCGTTACCGCCCAGGTCGCCGGAACCGTTACCGCTCTCGTCGTCAAGGTCGCGGGTGCCGCTCCCGTGGAAAGTCTTGCTCGAGCGCACGCGCGCATTCATGTTTTCGTCGTCGAACATGTCGCACGCCTCTGCTTCCGCGCGCGCGTCCTTTACTTTGCGCGCGTTCTCCAAAAATATTTGCAGGTAGTAGTCGGTGGATGCGGCGAGCGAGTTGCTTTCCGACGCGCGGCGTGTTCCGTTCTTCCTCTGCTTGTACCGCCTCCATGCCGCCTGCAAAATGAAATCAGGACATGTTAAAGACACAGACGCTTCCTTCACTTTGCGCGCCTTCTCCAGAAACGTTTGCAGGTAGTAACTGGTGGATACGGCGAGCGAGTTGCTCTCCGACACACGGCAAGTTCCATTCTTCCTCTGCTTGTACCGCCTCCATGCCGCCTGCAAAACAAAATCAGGACATGTTAGAGACACAGACGCTTCCTTCACTTTGCGCGCGTTCTCCAGAAAAATTTGCAGATAGTAGTCGGTGGATGCGGCCAGCGAGTTGCTCTCCGACACACGACAAGTTCCATTCTTCCTCTGCTTGTCACGGTTACGCCTCCATGCTGCCTGCGAAAGAAAAGTAGGAAGATTAGAGACACAGCGGGGTCGACATACACTTGCCACACAGAAGCCCGCAAAAGGCAAAGTCTCAGAGAGGTGCGAGAACGGCGACCACAGCCTTTACTGAACTCTAGCAGGGACGAAGAAGCGAATCTAAGAAGCGAAATACACCCCATCAATGCCCTAGACACCTAGACTCCTGTATTAACGTTCAATGAACCATCGTGGATCAAGCGAACGAACGTACTTGTATAAAGCTCGAGAGGACGTCTCACAGACTCTTCGTTTTGTCAAACGAAAAGCATCCCCCGAACCGTTCCTGAACACACTTAGAAGGACAATGCTCAGTAGCCCCAGGCCCAGGCCCCCAGTAGCGGACCTGCATCTGCGGCGCCCTCCTCAATGTACCAACGCAAATGAATCTCCAAGCGGAGCGATGCCCTCTTCCTGATTCGGTTCACGACTGCCGTCCCCCAGACAGCGCAAGAGCAAACAACCCGTTTCATCTTGATCTGCAGACGCCCTCATTCACAGAACCGACTCCAAGCAATTTCCTAGCGACGCAAGAATCGCCTTCTGACCAGGACAGCAGCACTCGTCCCATGACAACCCCAATCGAACGAGAGCGGGAGCGGCGTTCTGTCAGTTCCAAAGCTAGGCCCTAATTCTGACTCCAGCTATTTTCATTTCACCTTCAGAGGCATTTGCCCACATAGGCGCCCAGAAGACGGGTAGAGTTAGCAAGGTCACTCGGGTGGATTCAGATGCGGAGTATGAAATCTTTTGGTCAGGATTCTCATATGAAGTACCTTGGTAACTCATTACTCAGTTTTCCTAAGTGAATGCTTCTTACATAAAAAGGAGTTACCGGGATCTTTCGGGCCAGTTAAATGCAGGGTCAACGTTCGCAGCGCCAGTCTGCAATGCGCTAGGCGCGAGCTTTGCGGAATTCGCTGATACACTGTACCCCAGCGTTTCTGGGACGTATCGAACACCCCGTCAATAAGAACATGTTGTCCCTGCTTTAAAGGGGCCCGAATCTGTCTCTGACCTGAATTGCAAGCGAGCCTCAGATGCGCCAGTGCGTGTAAATTTTAAGGTCAGGGTTTTCAATCAAAGTACCCGCATAGCTCGAATCTCAAGTGAAATGGAACACAAAACATCTCCAATCTCAACACAACTCTACGGAATTGTTGGCCAGAATCATGCTGGTATAGTAATGCAAACATTCTTACAAACGTTCTTACGCAAAACGGGAGTAACAAAAAGTCTGTTTCTGACCTGGATCGCGAGCGCGCCCCAGATGCGCCAGTGCGGGCTGTAGAAGCGCAGCGCGCGCCGCAGCTCCATGCGGTGCGTGTTGCGCAGGAAGTGGCCCGTCACGTAGCGCAGGTCGTCCGCGCTCAGAGAAAACGCCTCCACCTGACTGTCCGTGACAACGGTCCGCGGGGAGGACGGGTAGTACTGTTTCGGCCTGCCGGGGAGGAAGAGTGTGACGTCAGCCGACAGGAAAATGGTGACGTCAGCTAGCGTGGGCTAATGGTGACAAGTCCAGAACAAGTTCGGGCAATCTGGATTTGACTGTCCACGACGACCGTCCGTGGGAGACGGGTAGTACTGCTTTGGCCTGCCGGAGAGGAAGATCGTGACGTCAGCCGGCAGGAAGGTTGTGAAGTCAGCTAGAATGAGCGGTTCGTGGCAACGTCCAGAGCAAGCTGTCTAGAGCAATGTAAATTTGAGTGTCCGCAACAACCGTCCGCGGGGACGGGTAGTACTGCTTGGGCCTGCCGGGAGAGATTGTGACTTCAGCTTGGTGGGGAATTGGTGACGTCAGCTAGCGTGAGCTATTCGTGGCAGTGCCCAGAACAAGATGTTTAGGGCCATCGAACGCAGATTGTCCTCAACGATAGTCCGCGGGGAGGACGGGGAGATTGTGACGTCAGCCTGGCAAAGAGATTGTGACGTCAGCTAGAGTGAGGCGTTCGTGGCAACGTCCAGACAAGCTAATCAGGGCCAATGAGATTTTGACTGCCGCGACAACCGTCCGCAAAAGGACGGGTAGTGTTGCTTCTGCCTGCCACAAGAGCGGTTTGTGACGTCATGTTGCGTGAGCTCTTTCTGAGGACCGTCCATACGGGTGACAAAAGATTCTGCTTGGACCTACCGGGGAGAGGGTGAGCGGTTTGTCGTCATCTGATGTAAGCTGTCAGTGGGGACGTCTAGGACGAGCTGTTTGCAATTCGTTTACATTAAGCTGTCCGTGGCTCTTATAAGATAAGCTATTTGTGCCGCATCAGGCTGAGCTGTTTGCGAGGTCTATTGGGGATGAGCAGCGGTTTGGAGCGTCATCTACGAAAATGCCATCTCTGACGTTATACGAGTACGTTTCATTTCATGAGCTGATCACAATGTTGTGCAAACATAAGCAGGCGGCAAAGAAGATGAAAGATGGTAGCACGACGCATCAAGAAAGTAATAGATTCAACGGCAGGAGGTTAGCGGCGTGGTAGTTGACGGGGATGCGCCCCGGGCACTATCAAGCGTGCCGAGGGGGCTACCGGCCCCCAATTTCCCCCCGGTTCTCTCCTACTGGGGCTTTAATCCGTGTGAAAGAACAAAAAAGAAATTGCCTTAGCAGATATACGGAGATTGCTAGAGACGCCTCGTGGCTTTTGTGGATACTTGGAAACCCTTTCCAAAAAGCCAAAAACCAAAAGCCAAAAGCCAAAAGCCATGACATACACATGCAATTATGAAATCGGAAGGTGGCATCAACCATCGCACACCTGGGGTCCAGGCACCACGTCAGCAGCTCGTCACCCACGAAGTCTCCTGACGTCAGCGTGACGGTGTCGACCAGCGTGTTCGACTGGCCGCGCTTGTACTCGACGCTCTGGAGCGTGCCCCGGATGACGAACAGCATGCGGAAGGCTGGGCCAATACGAGAGCGACACGTGGCATCAGTCCTGCTATTTGGAAGTTTGGATCTTGCGAAACAAGCGCAGACAGAGCTATCAAGCCAGAGGTCTAGGAATGGATTTTGCAGGGCCTGTGAACTACCTGCGGTTCTGTAATCTACTGAGTACAAACGGAATCACAAGCGGATACCAAAAGCTTGCAGGCCAATATAGATTCGCCTCCTGCACAGCAATCTCCATAGAGAAGCTCGACGACTGCCACTTATTTGAAAAGCGGCAGACAAGTCTCAGAAGCAACAGGGGCATGTAACAGCTTGATGTTAAGTCATTACAGATGGCACCGACTCAAAGTGAGACTCGCAGGATTCTTCGTTCTGCAAGTGGTCATTCTTCGTATTATGAAGCAGGAAACACTCTCAAGTCGTGAGCAACAAGTCGTATCAGAGGGCGGGCCCACGTTGTTAAACATGAGACGTCATAACGTCGTCAGAAACCAACCGTTCTCGACGTCGCTGACGTCAGATTCGATTGGGACAACTATCAGATTCGCACCTGGGTCGCCCTGCCGAATGATGCAGCTCCCGCGGATGAAGAGCTGCGGCTTCAGCCGCTCGCAGATGGCGTCTAACACCAGATAGTCCAGCCGCTCGAACAGGGGGACCTGAGCAGGGGTGAAAAGGCGGTAAGGTCAGCCCTCTGGAAAGTCAAAGTGGCTGTCCAGGCTGACCATGCTTTCGTAGTGAGAGGTGCAGTCCTTCATTCGGTGGACTCCATGAGGGCGCCAAAGAAATAAACAAAATCCTTCGAGAGCGTGATGCAAGAATCAGGAATACCTCCTGAAGAACACGTGTACGGCAATCTGAAACGATCACAGATGGACGCCCTAGGGATAAAACTGCGGGCGAGTAGCCCAACTTCTTGACGAGGTCGAGACACAGGTGGCGCTTGATGTCGCACGCCAGATCCTCAGGCTACGCTTCCAGCAGGCTTTTCCTCCTTCGCCCTCCGATTCAAACACACGAGCCTGATATTAAGATGTGAAACCCTAGATCCCAAACCCCAGAATCAGAACCCACCTTCTTGACGAGGTCGATACAGAGGTGGCGCTTGATGTCACGTTCCAAATCCGCACTGCTTCCAGCAGCTCCGATTTCTGAAACCGCAACCAGAAGCGAACCCACCTTCTTGACGAGGTCGAGGCACAGGTGGCGCGCCAGATACTCCGGGAGTGCCTTGAGCACCTTCTCCCAATCCGCCCCAAAAACGTTCTCCCGTAACTCTTCAAAATCAAAACCCAAAACCCCAGTATCCGAAGTCCCTGCAATCTTAAAACTCACCTTCTTGACGAGGTCGAGGCGGAGGTGGCGCTTGATCTTGCGCGCCAGATCCTTGGGGAGTGCCTCGAGCATCTTCTTCTCATTCGCCTCCGTCTCATCTCACATTAGCCTAATCCTCAAAGTAGAAACAAATAAACCCGAAATGAAAAAACCCACCTTCTTGACGAGGTCGAGACACAGGTGGCGCTTGATGTCGCGCGCGAGATCCTCGGGCAACGCTTCCAGCAGCTTCTCCTCGTCCACTCCGTGCATCGCGCCCCACTTGAAGCGGTCAAACTGGCGGATGCGCTTGCGCAGATCGGTCGGCAGCTGGCGGTGCTTCATCCACGCCTCCGTGTCGCGCAGCATCGTGCGGTGGTCCTCGACGCGCCGGCCCAGCGACTGGAGGTATTTCTGCGGGGGCGAAGGAGAACAACGTGACCTTAACAATGGTGATTCGTCAAATGACTGTAGGGCAGTCTCACTGATTGGTAGAAAAGAGCTGATCAGGCGATGGAAGTGCGATCGGTCGCCTGGGTCCAACAAGCGGGCACGATCTTGGGGAGCGCAAGTAACTCTGGTGACTCCAGGTACTTTTGCGGGGGACACAGCAAGTAACAGGAGCCCTCGAGAGAGCTGCGGTGCTTTTAAGAAGGAAAGAAACCTGGAGAGCACATAGAGGAAAAGACGAACCGGGAAATCTAACGAACGTGCCCGGTTTTTGCGAAGGTACCTCGCGATAGTACCCCCCCTCTCATGCTCTTTTTGGTTTACTCAATCCTCCCACACCCGCAGGTGTGCACACACATCACAGGCTACCGAAGGCGCCCCTCATTTGTGCCAAAACCTCCAGTTCCTGATAACAGAGAAGAAGCAGAAGCAAATCATCCATTTCTATAGTCCAACAGCGCACCTGCATGTTTCCCACCAGCATGGCCAGGAGCAGCATTCCCGTGAGTGCGATGATGATGCAGAACCAGAGCTCGCCCGTGAACGTGCTCGGAATCAACGGCTGGCCCATCGACCTGCGAATCAAAGGGCACGAGTTTGAAAAATTGAGGTTTCGGCCTTTGCGATTGGAGAAGCGGCTGTTATATAGCAAAGTTATGCCAATTGCAACGGTAAGTTTCCTGAGCCGTCCTGCCCGTTTCGAGTTTCTCTTCTTTGTGTTGAGCGAGTCGCCGTGGTTCCTTGCGACTGTAACAAAAAGCAAGGCCCTCACTTTCCATGGAACGAAACAACCTCGTCTGGACATTCCTTCCACTCAGCGGAAAGAGGGAAACAAAAGAGAAGCAAAGGAGAGCGAAATATGCCCTAGAAACGTCTTGTGTACTCAAAGATTCAGGCTGATACTTCCGAGACGTAGCTCGACACGGGTCTAGGAGCGTTGAGTCTCAGCATCTGAACCTGGTTTGACGGGCGGTGGTCAAGTATCTATGAGAGTCAAGGGGCTTAAGGCGTCACAAGGTTGAGTTCCTAACGCTTGGCGGTCAGAGGAGTTGAGGTCTCGGTGTCAATATTAAGTTCCAAAGGTTCCGGAAGGATTTACGGGATTATTGGGGTTCCTTACGTGAGGTTCTTGAGACCCCACCAGAGGGAGTAGAAGTAGCGCTTGACCCCGAGGGTGGCGACGATCTTCAGGATCGGCTGGTAGATACCTGCACGAGTTGCTACATGTTTGTTTTTTTGTCCTCATCACAGGACAACAATGCTTTGTAACCACTTGATGTCCACTCGTGGCACCCTTATATCGCCCACGTCGGCCTTCCGATATTGGACCTTCATGCACGGAGCGGCCGAAGAAACGAAGTCATACAGCGGTTTGAAGATGAAGAAGGAGACCCCAGGTCGAAAGATTCAGGCAGTAGGCCTAGGGAGGCCAATCGGAAAGAAGACACAATTTGCAATCACAGTCGGCGTTTACAACAAGGCTTACTTGCCTTGAACCCGTAGGTTGTCTATCAAAAGAAGCAACATATAAAGAGTCCAGGCCGCACCCAAGACTTAATAGTGACCCTAAATCGACGAGGCAAAGAGATTGTCAACCGCGTCAACATTCCCACACCCGCGACTCCCTCCTTCAAGCTTAGATCGGCACAACCTTCTTCTCAGGGGGTCCTCTCCAGGCCCGCTCACCATAGTTGAAGAACCCCCCAATCTCCATGCTCTGGTCCACGCACAGGTCCGTCACCTTCGTCGCGGCACTCCACGCCATGCGCCCTGGCTCACCCACACTGCTGCAGTCGAAGAAGTCGGTGTTGCAGTTGATCGCCGCCTCACTGGCGCACACCTGGCGCCAGCAGTGGTCCACGCGCTCGACGCCCAGTAAGTACCAGATGGCGGCGATAACCTGGAAGTTGTGAACGGGCTCGGGTTTAGGAATATCGAGAGTCGACGTTTCCTGGTGTGTTTTGAGAAGACAGACTTGATTGTTTAGGGTTTTGAGTTGAGCAAGTGGTGTCTATGGCCCTGGCTTTAGGCGAGAACTAGAATGTGGACAGCTTGGTCCGAACCAGGTTGTGATAATGTGATGAAAATGAAGGGTGTGCATGCCCCGTTCCAGGGATTTCTGCTTTTCACAGGTTGGTATCGAAGGCCCTCGGCCCCCTGGACGCAATTTGTGGTGAACTCCAGACTCACTATCTTTCCACAAGTTCATAGCCTTTCACCACCTCGAGATTCGTGAAACACCAAAAATGCAGAACAAACATGAGGAATCCTTAACCTTTGAACAGAGCGTGATGAGACGCGGAGATGAGGATACTTTTCAGTGATGTGGGATGCCCCAGAGGGAAGGACAGCTGCCAGAAACAGACCAGTCTCACCATCTCCAAGACCCCCTGAATTTACGAGGCTCCAACTTAAGCCAAACACTTGTTTGATTCACGAGCAGGGAAAGCGAGATGCGAGTACGCAGCCAGGATCTTGACTCTTACAAGTCGACAGGAGAGTATACATCTCCTTGAGTCTTAAGAATCCGTAAAGCGGTCTCGCTCTCACGAGGTGGATCTTCCCCACAAATGATGCGTGATCGAAAAGGGCGTTGGCCCCTGCTGGATTAAGGGGGGCGGATCGTCTCCTTTTTTCTTACGCACGCAAGCACTTTCTAAATGAACACAGAGAAAGAGGGATCTTCTGGATACACTTCCGAGGGGGTAGAAAGCAAACACGATTGCGAACAAACTTGAGGGAGAAAGAGAAGGAGACACCCAAAAGCAAGCGCTCACATGGGAGGCAAGCAGGAAGACTAGCAGGTTAATGACGAAGCCGGAGGAGGCGGTCTCGAAGGCGAGCGTGCCGGGGCGCTGCAACGAGGACTGGATGGGAACCAGGCGAACGATGCGCGGAATGTACTGCAGAATGACCACGAAGCGCAGCCCGTTCTTGGCAGCGCTCGCGGTGCCGGGCTGCTTGAAATTGGGGATGATCGCCCATAGCACAAACTGCAGAAGTTAGAGCAAGAGAATGCTGTGAGACAATCTGCGGGACAGTCTGTGGAACATGAGACCAGTCTGTGGAAATACCTTGTGATACTCCTGATATGCCTGACTCCTTGAGCATTGGAACAATGTTCTAGATCTGCTCAAACATCTTGTCAGCATTCTGACTAACCTCAGATGGGTCCTATGGTGCAAGGAAGCTTATGGGTTTGACTGATCAACAATTGGTAAAAGGACTCCCGTAGTCCTTCAGATCCTCAAAAAGGACCCTTACAAGAACTGTCGTCCCTTAAAACCATCTTCTCATGCAAGCACTCAATAAGACATTCTGCACATCCCCGGGTCTCACCTGTGGGATCGGCAGCCACGCGAAGAAGTCGAGCGCAAAGTTGCCCTGCAGATAGTGCTTCGCGATGCTCTCTTTGTCCACCACCAGCTCCCCCCGCCCAAAGATCCTCGACGATGGCTCTGTGTATGCGACCCTAAACTGCAGCAGCATCTGCAGAAAGTACACCAGGTCCGTGACGCACCGGAGCACCGTCACAGTCACCGCAAAGCTCCGCTCGATCTGCATGCACCGTCGGTCGAGGTCCACTTCCACCAGGAAGAAGAACAGCGGGTCGACCGCCGCAGCAACTAGACATGCGATCACAAACACCTTGTTCCACTGCCGGATGAGCTTCCCGTGGGGGTCAAACACGCCCGACTTCCGCCAGTTGAGCTCTTCCGCAAAGATGCGCCGCGAGTCAACTTGTCGGCTGGTGAACGTCGGCCACGAGCGGAAGCTCCTGGAGGGGGGACTTGCGGTCGGGTCTTCGAGGCTGAAGGGAGCAACGCGGGGGCCGTTTTGGGGCGCATTGGCTTGGGGGGAGGCGGTGGGGAAGAAGGGGCGGGGAGGGAGGGGAGCCCTCGGGTCGACGGGCTCTGGCTGACGGCGCTGGTAGCGGGGCTCTTGTAGCTCCTGGGGCTCAAACCTACAAATGAAGTTGGTTCCTTCTTTTGTTAGTGGCGGCCTTCAACCTTGTTTTGAAGATTCATTCAAGAGTGCCTTACAACTGTGCAATCCACCGCAATCTGCTGGAGGTTGCAAGTAGAGACTGCCAGTCTGCCGAATGTATTTGGAGGTTTCAGTTCTGCTAGCGAATGCCAGAATGTGATTGAAATAGTTGCTCCAAGAAACAATGAAGATGGCTGCATCCTCTGAATTAAAAGACCACTCTTCAACTTGCTGCTAGATGAAAGTTTTAGGTAAGTGAACAATATGAGTGGACTGTTTGGTGGTTTTGAAGTGAGAGCACTGTGACACTCCCTCAGTTTTGGAAGATTACGCCACTTGTTGGGGTCCTCTCTTCCTTGCATTTGTGGTGCTCAACACCGTATTCAGGGCCTGTATCATTCAATTGGCATGCCGTAAAACTTGTCTGATAGGCAGTCATTAGCATATTTAAAATGTCATAATTAAAGTGTCAGTAACCATGTCAGTTTTGACAATGTGGAATGGTGAAAGGAACTCAGAAGCCTGGTCAACTGTTGCTAAGTGCTGGAGCCACTAGAAAAGCTTAGAAAAGAAGCATCACACAAAGTGACTGTAACAGGGTACTTGGTTACAGCGCCAGGCAAAAACATCCTTAAAGAACCGGGATTGAGTGGTGTCATATTGACAAACTCTGGCAAGATTCAAGCATCACGCTTCCCACCTCTGAAGGGTTTCCTGTTTTTGAGACTGTAGTTGACTCACAGCCACACATGACGACATGGGGCGATAGGTCCTTGTCCCAATATCTGCGCGTCAAGAAATGCTTTTGAGGTCATGGCATCACGAGATGTGAATCCGCTACATTGTAGGCGGCTAACTCTCCAGGAACTCACCTCACGAACTTGAGGGGTCCCTTTGCAGGTTCCATCATGTCTGATGGGCTCAAAGGTGTCTCCAGCTCCTGCATTTCCCCCTGCAAGCGCAGACTATCTTCTGTTGCCAGCTCGATCCTCCCTCTAGCCTACGCAAACCCCTCATCGCCTGCATCTGTACCTCCAGAAGAAAGGCCACCGCTTTGAAGGTGAGGAGCTAGCTGTTCCAAAGCAACTTCCTCTTTGAAAAGGCCTTTGACGAAGAAGCTGCGGGAGTGCTTCAAGTTTGTTTGGACGCACGGAACCGGGCGCCCGGCCGGAACGGAACGAAGAGAAACCTGCCGCAAACCCGCCCGACGCGGCAGCGCGCCACCGCGGTCGAGCGCGCCGCGGATACGTGATATCAAGGCCAGAATGCGCTCCTCACTTTGATTGTGTGAAGGAGGACTTGTCAGGGGTTGCTGCGTCAAATTGCATGCGCTCTCATGGACTCAAGTTCCCCAGACAGCCAAGGAACCAGGATGAGTTTCACTGATGTTCTAGTGGATCCAGTAGGCAAAACAGGGCTGACGAGTGGAAGCGAGGATCCTCCTGATAGTTGTGTCAGCGGTTTGCTGGGGTTTATAGTAGGCAGAGTAAAATTGGCAGTGACAGCGATATTCGGACTGGCCGGCCGAAGCCCCCAGGACCGGCCTGCAGAAACCAAGACTCAAGGGCTGAGCACAGGAAAGTGGGAGCAGCGAAGAAGGATTCTCGTACCTGAAAGGTGCCGCTGCTCAGGAGGACAACAACTTGATGCAGATTGGTTATCCAGCGGTTGATTATTTCCAGACGTATCTGGCTCGGCCAGGCTCAGATCAGGTAAAGCTATTTATCCTTGACTGCAGAAGAATCTATACTATGAGTTTGCCAACCGTGGCGGATAGCCCTGAACAAAATTTGCCGCTGCAATCCAAGTTAAGGTGTTGCTGTACCATCTGCTGCATTCAAAGCTGAAGGAGGTTCGTTCCGGCTCTGACCTCCAGCTGGACTTGCTTCTTGTGCCAGCAGCGAGCTGACACCCAGCAATTTAAGGCGGCCCGACGTCAACACTACAAACTGAAGGGTGTCATCAAGCGTCCACTTTCCCGTTGAGCCTTACATATTCTGCTTCTCCAACCTTTGATAGGCAAGTCGTATCTGGATTGTCTCTTTTACAGTTTTTGATTGAATCACTTGGTCAACAGAAGAAGCCTTCAAGTGTTCCCTGAGCATGTGTCTCTAATTCATATCCGAAGCGCTTGTAATACGATTCCACTTTCAAAATATGGCCACGGGCATGAATCTAGACCCACCGGCATCGGTGCACTCAGTGTCTTATGCAGCTACCGTTCCGCCTTTGCAGGCCTGGTGTAAGACTTGTCTATTACCATACCATACTTAATCACGTGTCGCTCTTGTTCGACGTTACTCCCTACACTTACCCCAACCGTTTCACCGTCGAAGCGGACAAGGACTTGCCAATCAACTTTGACGTCGAGTCTGGATTGGTGGTCAGTATCGAAATGGAAGACACGGATGAGTTCCTGCCATATCATAGCGATTGGACTGAGGGCGAGAAGAGCCGTCTTCCATTTTGTCTCGAGCAGATGTACACGGAGAATAAGGATCTGCTGATCGTACGATTTTCGCCGGGCAAGTATGATGTAAGCAGGCTTGTCTGGGAATCCACGACAAATAAGGACATATTCCTTTGGAAGGATGAGAGGGGCTTTCTCCAAATCATTGAGATCAAGAATGCTTCGAAGACTGTAGTGATGCCCTTTCCATATTAGAACCCTTGACGGGTTGCTGGCTCAAGATCCTGGAGGATACTGAGGTGAGGCGGGACTTCAAGTACTGGTGGACGTTTTTTCTTTCTCAGGAATGTCATGCTGAACAAACACCAACGGCCTGTATAGCAGTTGTTTAATTTGTGCAGAAGCTGAGCTGCCAGTGGTAAAACGTCCAGGGAATCTGGCGAACATTCTCGTATCACGGAGGCGACCTCATTGTGTGCGCACGCAATCATGGGCGGCGCTTTAGGCCACGTACGTAGCCGCCTCCTGCTCACAGGAATTGAGCGAATCAATCATCAATTTCATTTCAGATACGTTCTTAGCCTGGTAAGCTTTTCGGCGAGTGTGCTGTCAAGGGACACGGAAAACGCAGCTCGGTATCCCTCTAGCGAGTCGAATCTGCTTTCGAAGCTCTCGTCTCCCGACTCCTTAACACTGGTCGACTTTGAATGGACGCAACTACTAGTACAGACCGCCGTGATGGTGAGAGATTTGATCGATCTCGTATACTTTCATGATATCAAGGGTGACAGTAGTGCGCGTCCAACGATCGCGACATCATGTTGGGGTAACGAGATGGATCACTCCTGGATTCTGGACGTGGGAACACTCCGGCCAAGGCTCCTCGAAAATGATTTGGCAACCGCTGGAGCAGGTTTCCCGCTGCATGATGTACTGCCATCTTACGTTTTCCTTGCCGGATTAGCGCGACTTTGTGGCGCCAAACTGTCGGGGGGGCAAGTTTGTCATGTCAAGATGCGGGGATTCTGTAGTATGCACACATAAATTCGGGTGGACCGCGTAAACAAGGAGGGTCAGAGAGCCACCCGAGTCATGAATCCTGCTACTATTATGGCGTCCGCCTTGGTTTCAACTCTCGTTTGAGATTCAATCCACAAAATCTGTGAGAAGCGTCTGATGGCTCGACTGACTTCAATTTGTAGAGAAGGAAATGGATTTGCGTAGAAAATAAGAATTGTTCTATACAGCGGAACAGGCGATATTGTTTTTTGCGACCTCATTGCACTTAGTTACTGTATCTCCATCATATACGAGAGTACGCCACGATTTCACTTTGCGGCTCAGTGTGAAGTTAGAGGTCACCGCTACTGAGATTGCATCCTGTCCCAGGGCATGATAGACACCAATGGCATCGGTTAATTCTTGAAAAGGGCCGCCACGTGCACAAACGTCATTCGGCGGTCCTGAATCCTCTGCTACATCAAGTTCGGCGGTCGATTGCTTCCAAGTCGGATCAGATATACAGAGCGTAATCAATCAGGACGGCCTCCAGGCCAGTTCATTTGAGTTGGGAACGAAGTTCGCCGATCTAGCAACCCGCTTCTGCCGCGGCCCCTGAACCCTGAACCCTTCTCAGTTTGCGGACGCCGCGGCCGCCGCGGCCGCCGTGACCGCGCCCAGTAGGATATATGACCCTATGAGCATTAGGCTTATGCTTAGGAAGTGAAGGTCGTGATAGATACAGTACCTCCGCGAACAATCTTACTTTGACAAGGTACGCGATGGCATCCGGCGCATCAGCCTTCGAGTTTGCCTTCAACAACAAGGCCTTTTCTGATAGAGTGCTTCTCTTGGAGCTGGACGCTTCGTCCTCCGGAATCGAGGAGGACCTGCAAGAAGAAGCAACAGGATTACCTGAAGCAACGGGGGCGCACAACGATACTGCTCCCCGCAGAAGAAGAAAACGGAAGGGACGTGATGAAACTGAGGCTTCTGCAACAAACGATGAACGGATCATAGGTTTGTGGTTCACCCCCACTTTAGCTTCAGGCAAGAGAGACTCAAATTGTTGTCAAAGAAAATTCTAGAATGAAGGGCGTTCCGATCCGTTACTGATCGCTTTCTACTGTTCAGTTTACAGTGATTTTTAGACATCGCATTGAGATAAAAAGCTGAATAGAAGCGTTTTAATCTTGAATAAAAACGTGGTGCAGGACAAAACCATGAGCAAGAGGTCAAGCTGGGAGGAATTATATGAGTTCTCAAAATTCTCGAGCATCTGTAGTGTGGTTGAAAAAGGATCCTTCTGTGCGATGCGATGATTACTTGTTTATTGAGGTTCTGTATCTTTCTATGATGTGCTTACCTTGGTTCCAAGCTCCAAGCACCTTAATAGCAGGCTAGAGCTTTGATTATACAAGCCTGTGCTTTACTGTCTGCTTGGCTGAAAGGGTTCAATCAGGAGGTGCAGAAAAGGTGACTCTTACGAGTAGGACCGGCCCAGACGGAGTGGCCAGGAAGGAGCTGTTTGTATCTTCAGCCATCCTGGCGGGCAAATCGGAGTACTTTCGCCAGGCAAGCTTGGATCTTGGCCCCATTTGATGTTTTCTCGTGCTCAATCGGGATTCTGTACAAAAGGATGCGCGAGAGCTTCTGAGACGTACTCTCTTTTGGATGCGTATTGCAAGCCAAGGCGTATGCAGCTCAAAGAATCCCATCCGGTTGTCGATCAGAAATCAGTCTCGCAATTTATCGCAATTTATTCTGTCTATGTTCAGGAAATACAAAGGTCACTTCGCGATTAAAATGACAGAAGCGCAGTGTTTGATCTACCAGAAGCAGCAATCAGGGGTCAGAATAGAAGTAACCGAGAAGTAATAGCAGTACACGCGGATTTTTGATGCAGTTTTGAAGACCTCCTGTAAGCCTGAACAATTTAATCGAATGTCATAGTCCATGACGAATCCTGAAGCTCAGGGCGTCGCTCACTTATGAAGATTGGTAATTGCAGCTGTTTTCAAACGGGATGAAGGAGTCCGAGGAGAAGGAGCTCATCATCAAGCTTGCTGCAAAAGGTATGTTCCGTATGGAAGAAAATTCCCCCTGTTTTACAACAATCTGTAAACAAGAATGCAAATTCCCTAGTTCTTGCTTCTTGAACTTGCAAGCTCTGCTTTCGGACCGTGTGCAAAAGAAAGCATATGAAGGTTTGTCGATCAATGTGGCCGCTTTGGTCGTTATATCCATCGACTTGGTGCTAAGAGTTTCTTCTATCCTCCATGTTCTACTGCCCTCCTGATTTCTTGCTGCTTTCACGAAGACACAAGGATCTCTTACAGCTACCAACCACAGGCACATGAAGACCTTTGTATTTTTTTTCTGCACGATTCACCGCAATGACTCTTGAACATTGAAGTGCCTGCGACATTTCTAGAGTTTCGAGATTGAACAGTCGCAGAAGTCAATCATCCGTTTTGTACAGAGGAGGACGCCTTCGTTGACGCCATCCGCTTCATCTTCTGCGGCCACGTGGCATCCAAGTCCGTCATCGAGCTCATTCGCCTCATCCTAGTTGCTGACCGCTTCGAGATCCCCTCATGCGTCCAAGGCGCGTGCGACGCGCTCGCCGGAGGGGTGCTGCAGGCCCAGAAAGGATCCCCCTGGGGCGTCGTAAAGTGCCTACTCGCGCTGCCGGATAGCGTCCGAACGCACAAGACGGTGTCCGAACTCCTGGTGAAGGCACAAAAGCTCATGTCAGAGTACTACAAAGATTTTCAAGCCCGCGCGGCCGCGCCGGGGGGACTGTCCGAGCTGTCCGAAGCCGGGCTGCAAATGGTCCTAGCGTCCGACGATCTGGAGGTGGAGTCCGAAGCGGACGTCTTCGATGCCGTGTGCGCGTGGGTGCGCGCACGCTTCAAGGACGCAGACACGCGGGCGGCCGCGATGGCGCAGCTCGCGCCGTTCGTCCGCTTCGCCTGGATTCCGCCGGAAAAGCTGGAGGAGTATTTCAAATCGGACGAGATGCAGAGCGACGCGTGTCAGAAGCTCCTCACGGAGGCTCTGCTGTTCCGATGCTCGCCCAAGGACGCGCGGGCGCGCCTAGTGGAGCGCGCGCATGACGATAGGCGCTTCATCCGCCGGGGCTCAACCCTGGCAGTCGAGCACTTGCCTGCAAGAATTTGTTGGGACGATTCCGCTGCCTTCTTCGTCGAGCTTCCGGAGGACTCCCTGCCCGCGCACCGGAGCGGCGCGTCCGTATTCACTGAGGAGCTGTTCTTTGAGGGACAACCGTACCAAGTGGAATTCTTGCGGAGTATTGGTCAAACATTGGGCGCCTTTTTGCATGTTCTCAAAAAGGTGCCCCGGTCACAGCTGCCGACCATGAAGATCGAGTGCCTGCATGGATTTCCTGGAGTCGACCCGCAATGGTCCCTTGCATCCTGCACGCCACCCGCGTTCGGTTCCGCGAACCGTTATGGCAGCGACGACATACTTCAGACGATCGGGTGGAGATTCAACTCAATCGCGTGGAGATTCGGCTCAGGCGGTTGGCAGATCTTCAGAGGGGAGGGTCGTGACAAGGTAGCATCCATCAGGATTGCTCTAAGTAGGAATGGCTAAAAGATTCACCGACAATAACGAAACCGTATCAGAAGGTCACGTTGGTTTCTTGCTGTCTCGGTCGATGAAAGCGAAACTAGGTATCGACCGTCTTTGCCCTGGAGACGCGCTTTAAGCAGCGAGTATTGCATTTGGCGGGGCGGCCTCTTCTTGACAAATCGATTTGATTGAGCTTGCTCATGAAAAAACTTTCCTGCCTCGCTTGAGACGCGGTACAATCGGAACCGTGGTGGTTGCAACTTACATGGCCTCTTAATCAAACTCCACGGGCAGAATGACGTATGGATCAAATATGTAGTGCGGCTCAGGACGGCAATAGTGAGCGCCACTTACAAAACGGAGTCTCTTGTTCCTTCTCTGCAACTGTGTGCAAATACACCACTAGAATCTGGTTACATCATTGACTTTGATGAACGTTTCACGTTTAAGATGCCAAAATACTGCAACACTGAAAGTATATGGATCACCCATGGGCGCTCATTAAGGTCAACCGACGTGCAAATGGATCCACCAGGCTCACATGGTGCAGGCACGGCTACTTGCAACGTCAAACGACTTGTGCTTAAGCCCAAGGCAGGATAACGTGAGCTTACTGGTAGTTGCATCAGTTGCGCCGATGTCAGGCCTTGATGAGTATCAAGGCATCTACCTAGATCTAAAACTGCTTCTGCCTGGGGCGGCGGGCAGCCAGGCGCGGCCGCGGGCCCAAAACCCCGAATTTTTTTCAGACATGTGGCCGCTGACCGCGGCTTGCCCGCGTCTGGCCACTCAACGATCCGATCAGTCGACTGTTGTTGACCAGGCTCGCATAACGTTGCACTGTACCTACAATGGCGTCTGGCGCATCGGGCTACGAGTTTGCGTTCGACAATGAGACATTTTCTGACAGGGTGCTTTTACTGGAGCTTGAAGCTTCATGCTTCGGAAATGAGGAAGAAGAAGAAGCGCCAGGTGCTGTTGGAGCAACATGCGATGCACCTCGGAGGAAAAGGAAATGGAAGGGAGGCGATGACAACGAGGCGTCTCTAACATATGATGAACAAATTGTAGGTTAGCATTCATCTGCAAGGGATGACGGAAGGCTTCAGCATGAACAGCTCTTTTGATACTTCTTCCAACTGTTCTTGTCGTCTAAGAGTAAGCAAAGTTGAAAGCACCCCTTCATGCATTTGCGATGCTGAATAGAAGCACCTGATAGCACCTTATAGCACCTTGCTTTTGAACAAAGCTTAATAGAAAAGCTTGAGCAAGAAGTCAAATTAAGAGAACACATGTGACGGTGTCAAGAGTCTCCAACATACTGCAACGTGCTTTCAGAGTGATCCCCGATGCTATGGAGGAAGACTCGATCTTGTTTGATCACCAAAACTTCGATCCTGTAGTAGTCGAATTTCATGCTGAGCCTTATGTCAAATGGCTGAAAATCCTCTCAGATTCATACCGAAGTCTTCAACTTGGCTTGTGGGAAATGAATTTGTTGATTCTTGGAGTGATGCAGTACTGGAGGCGCTTTGCAATCCTGTACTTCGCCTCTTCGTGACATCCATGACTCTTGGTTCTGCTGTTAAGAAGCAAGGGGGTTAGCTCAGCGTACTTAAAAGGACATTTATGGTAGACGAGGCATAGTAACCTCTGGCAGCAAGACCAATCCGGTTCAAATGAGGTGTCCTTTTCAACAAGCAAACACCGTCCAATCCTGAGGAGGGGTCCTTTCCACAGATCAAGCTTGAGGCCAAGCAAAAGCGCCCTAACTGCAGAAGAGACCTCTTAAGAGCTTGGGAAACCAAGTTATTTCAGATTGAAGATGCGTAGACTGTCTCCCTGACTGAACTGGTTTAATTGATGTGTAGAGAAAGTTAACCTGTCCAGTAAGACAGGCGCAGATGGAGTGGAAAGGAAGCAGCTGTTCGTGTCTTCAGCAATCCTGGCGAGCAACTCGGAATACTTTCGCCAGGTGCGTTTCACTTTCTGCAAGGTCATTACCGTGGCTTTGTGCATCTGTCCACGGGTTGGATGCATGAGATAGTCTCCAAGACGTGCTCTTGATCATCCTGTTTATATTAAGCGGCGTTGAGTGCAGTGCATGGATTAGCAAGCGTGTTGCCCTTCGAAGAAGGAGTGTCTTCTCACTCGCTTCACGTTCAAAGAACAACGTAAAACAAGAAAGGAGGATGACAGCGAGTGAATGGCTACAAGCTCCATAAAAATAAGGAAGACAAAGTTTTCTTTGCTGTCTCAAGGAGCTCTTGGGGGCTGTCTAACAGTCGTAAGGTCGAGTGAGAGAAGCAAACGGAACATGTTTCGAAAGTATATGCATATTCTTAAAGAGGGCGTCGTGGGACATGTCCCACCTCCGGCGACAGAAAGGCCCGTACATAGCTGTTTTGGTCGCTCAATGCCCATGACAACATACTTTTGGCAGCGACACCGCAGGTGGTGCCCATGCCATGAAGTCGCCGCGGAGCCACATGGGGTATACCTAGTCTGACGCCCTCTTTAAGAGAACCTTGTATTTCCCTCAATTGGAGCATGACAATTTCAACGACTCGCTTGATCCTCAATGCTTTGATTGTCTCCGGCAACTGCAGCTGTTTTCGAACGGGATGAGAGAGTCGGAGGAAAAGGAGCTCATCATCAAGCTTGCCGCAAAAGGTATGCACAGTCTTTCGGTGCCTATTTCCCCCTGTTCACTAATACCTGACATGATAATCGAGTGCTTTATCTACAGATCAGATCTGGAGGCTCTCCTTTAACACCTTGTGCGAAGCACTTACTGCCAAAGGCGTTGTCTTTTCGAAAGGCTTTGAGCCTTTCAACCGTTGAGGTGGCAAAGACTGACTGTCGGATCGATCTTTATGTCCTACCCAGTCCTACGGCCCTTCTAACTGCTTGCTGCTTCTGACAAATCGGACACGAAGATCCTTAACTATTAAGTGCCACAAGCCGTTTCTCAAATCGCTTAGCTGTATCTCTACGTGGAGATGCTGAACCGTGTCACAGCAAGGAAACTGATCTATCAAAATGCCTACTGCGAATCTGCTTCCTGGGAGATTGCCGCAGACCCAAATCTCAATCGTCCGTCCGCAGAGGAACAAGCCTTCATCGACGCCGTCCGGTTCATCTTCTGCGGCCACGTGGCATCCAAATCCGCCCTCGACCTCATCCGCCTCATCCTAGTTGCCGATCGCTTCGGTATCCCGTCCTGCATCCAAGCCGCGTGTGACGCACTCGCTGGGGGGATGCTGCAGGCCCAGAAAGGATCCCCCTGGGACATTGTAAAGTGCCTTCTAGCGCTGCCGGACAGTGTCCGAACGCACAAGACGGTGTCCGAACTCCTGGACCAGGGGCAGAAGCTGATGGCCGAGTTTTACAAAGACTTTCAAGAGCGCGCGCGCGCGCCGGGAGGGCTGTCCGAATTGTCCGAAGCCGGGCTGCAAATGGTGCTAGCGTCCGACGACCTGGAGGTGGAGTCCGAAACGGACGTCTTCAACGCCGTGCGCGCGTGGGTGCGCGCACGGTTCAAGGACGCGGACACGCGGGCGGCCGCGATGGCACAGCTCGCGCCGAACGTCCGCTTCCCCTGGATTCCGCCGGAAAAGCTGGAGGGGTACATTGGAATGGACGAGATGCAGACCGAGACGTGTCAGAAGCTCCTCACGGAGGCTCTGCTCTTCCGCTCCCTGCCTGAGGACACGCGCGCGCGCTTGATGTCGGAGCGCGCGCGCGATGGTAGGCGCTTCATCCGTCGAGGCTCCACCCTGGCAGTCGAGAGCTTGCCTGCGAAGTTTCATTGGGACGACCTCAAAACCTTCTTCGTCCTGCTTCCGGAGAGTTCCCTGCCCGCAGGCCCGAGCGAAGCGTCCGTCTTCACAGAGGAGTTTTTCTTTGAGGGGAATCCGTATCAGGTGGAATTTGTGCGCAGTACTGATCGCAAGTTGGGCGCGTTTCTGCATGTTCTCAAAAAGCTGCGCCGGTCACAGCTGCCCAACATGAAAACCGTGTGCCTGCATGCCTGTCCCGGAGACGAAGAGACCTGGTGCCCAGCACTCTGTGCGGCACCCACGTCCGGAACCACAGATCGTTATGGTAACGACGACATACTTCGGAGAATCCCGTGGACCTTTCCGATGGCCGAAGACGAATTTGATCAGGAGGGGGATATCTTTAGAGGGGAGGGTTCTCAGAAAGTAGCATCAATCACCTTTGCTTTGACCAGGAAGCAGCTACTTCTAAACTACTAAGGCTTAATAAGGGGAGCCTAGTCAATGGGACCGTCCAAGTCGGCCGTATATCAAGTCACGTATCCTCTTTAAAATCAGACTTTGGGCCTTAATCAGAGCCGTTGCGACTGTCTCTTGAATCGTGCCTACGTAGACATCGCTTCGACTTCACTTCCTAGTCAGACGCGCCAGCTTGATATAGTTAGTAACCCTTTTGATTTTTCAAATGGTCGTCGCAAAATACTCGCCGGCCTTGCAAATATCGACGGTTGCTAGACACCGTAGGGTAGTTTGTGTGCCACCTTGCAGCTACAGCCCATATCTAACTTGCATACGTTGCTGATTGCCAAGAACTTGCCACATGAGCAAGTAATGATGCGCGTCGTATGTTGACACGGCTATTGACTCAATGATCCATGCAATTAAAGTTACCAAACTACCGTCTGCCGATCTACATACACAGATCGATGAATGGCCTGGGACAATTCACCACAATACGTTGAATGCGGATGTGCGTATACACATGCACCACTCTAATTGAAAATGGCGAGCACCGACTTCGATCAGCCGCACGCATACCAGTATTGTTTCTCCGTATTTCAGCATGTATCAGAAGAGGAGGAACCCTATGGCATTCCGACGTCTTCACAAGATCCGCGCGGCAAGTGCGTCGGATGCTTAAGAGCAACGGTTTTGAACTGGCGGCTGACTTGAGACCCGCCAATTCATAGGTTCAAGTCATATCGCGACTACTCCATCGGGTCTACGAACGCCGCCGGGAGCCCTGTCAGGTTTGCTGCTCCTTTGCGCTGACGAGACCGGTCCCTTCTTCTGTTGGGCGTCAACTGCACAGAAGGGACATACCAGGGACTGCTTTTCAATTGAAGGTCTCAAAGAACCATTTCACCTACTATGAGGAAAAGCTTCATGTGACTACAAGTGATATACTGAGTGGCTTGTAGCGGGCTCTCCTTGACCCTCAACCTTTCGGCGAACCGCAGGAAACAGCGCTTACAAGATGCGGAAACCTATCGAGCGTGGTGTGACGAATGTTTGTTGCCACGATCACCCAAAAGGTGTTGTCAGATGTTCCACAGAAATGATGCAGTGCCAGACCTCTGCAAGGAGACTTGAGCTTCGCATAAAACCTATGCGATATTATCCGCAAGCTTGGAAAAGAAAGATTCGCTACAGGAAGAAAAGCTTAAATACCAGAACCAAATCTACAGAAAGCTTACTCGGGGCTTGACGACCACCTCAACTTCCGTCCGTTGCAGAATGTGGACATCGACCAGGATGCCCTGCAGAGGTTCGGACAGGGGTGATTAGAGCGTCCAAATCACGGGTTGGGTCCGAAAGGAGGTCCATCGTTCAGACGTTTCTGTAAACGTGAGAAGAAGGTTCTATTGCAACCGGCAGCAGTGATTTACCTAGACCGTATTACCACGTAGCAACGGCCGTTTGAACGTGAGCGGTGAACGCGCTGTGCGGTCAACGTTCAGCCGCGGCGCGCGGCTCTCGCAGTGGCCTTGTTTCTATGAAAGTTAAAGGATGTTGGAAACGGCAGTAACGCTGGAAAGTCGGATGTACGTCCAAGGATAAGCTCATGGCTGAGCACTTGCGGCGTAAGACTGGCATCACAGTCCGACGACATTTAACGGCAGGGCAATCATTGCAGGTGCAGGGGGTCCACTGCAACAAAATTCGATCTGGGCACTTGATAACCCATAAGTCGACGGATTTCCGGGAGATCACAGTCGGGGGTACAAAAGCGCACCTCCATGTCTATCGAAAACGTCTTTTCCAGGAGGAAGAAGTCTCTGGTTGGTACGCGCTTCAGGTCAGCCCGCACTTTGCGCCCTTGGCACAGCAGCACGGCCCGCCCTGAAGGAAGAAGCATGCATTTCCCAAGCTTGAGATGGAATGACAGGAGCTACTGACGGAATCCGTAGGTTGTGAGAGGCCGCCAAAAAGTAGAAGTGCTGCGAGCTTAAGGGCCTGACATGGTGAAACAGATGACCAGTCACAGTCAAGGAGGGAGAAAACTGAGATGACACTCAGGCGGGAAGACCACCTGGACTGCGGTTTCGACGTCGAGTGGCCGTCGTAGAAAGTCCAAGCAACAGCACTTCAGATAGGTGCAGCTTGCGACGACGCTGACGTTCGAAAAGCTCTTCCACGTAGTCTGACGGTTTGACTTTCAGAAGGTTTCAGCACATTCAATCGAAGCTGACGTTGCGCGCTTCCCGGATAAGATTCAGAGACTGGTTGAGGGCGAGATACCAAGCTTACGGTAAAAGATTAAGAATCTGGTTTGAAGCTGGGTTGCTGGGCTGCCGGTCATTGGTTCAAACCGGATTTGAAGAAGACTCCTGCCTGCTAACCAGTCAAGTTAAGCAGGTGATTTCATACTAGGGTTGGCCTTACCAGTCCCAGGCACCAGCACTCGGGCAATCTCCTTCAGGACCGACGGGAAGACGTTGTTACGCTCTTTCGGGGAACCTGGATGGAATCAGACCGTGGTCAATACTTCGTCTTGTTACAGAACGTTACCCCGGTCACTGACCAACGGCAAACTCGTTAATGACACAGCACGAGAGGAGAAATGTGTTCTCTGGAACGGTGCATCCCTACCCGACATCGGGTGCAGAACGCTTGTCAAGAGCACGGTAATCCGTCTGGCTAGAGAATTTCGTTTGACTACTTCAACGACTCGGCTGCTTGACAAGATGTCAGAATTATAAGCTGACTGGTGTATTTGACTGCGTCTGAAAATCTTGGCTGCCCTAGAGAATCTTCTTATGTCGCTGTTCACGTCCCTTGCATCAGCTGGGCCACTCACAACCCCGTTTCAAAAGGTTTTGATTCATCGTTGTTGGTCACATGTTAGCTGGACCCAATGGGTTGTGCACAAATTGATCTGCTCACTTATGTGCGTGTCACTAGGGCCTTCACGTTTCAGGGCTACGAGAAACCACAAGACGATATCTTTTCTCTGCGTGTTAACACGGCCTCCAGACTTTACATTCGTGAAAGATGTGACAAACGAAGGAGCGGTCAAGCGGGATGTGTTTCGGCGAACAAGCCGGTCCCTCACCGCACAGGATGCCGAAGGGCATGTCCGATATGACGCGGTCCACCGTCCGGTCGCGCCACGGCAGGCGCGTCGCGTCCCATCGGATGACGTCACACGGCCCGGGCCTTCCTCCTGGGGATCAAGCGACGGAACTTATGAGACGGGGCAAATAAGAAACGGGTGGCCAGCAGCCTTAAACGTCCCGTCCGCTCTGTGCTTGCAGACTGTCGACCAAAGCTGCCGCGTGCACAACCGCATCGGGTGTGAATAGCCCCTTCAGGGAGTCCAGGTGTTAAGAGTGCAAAACAATATTGTTCTATCAGACGTAAGTAGAGGGGATTGAATGCCATCTGCCGCTGGGGAAACTTCAAAGGACCTCGTCCTCAAAGCCTTGAGCGCCCATGAAAAACCGGTCAGCATCGGGGTGAAAAAGAATTGGTGAATTTGACCCCGATTTGGCCGGAGACGGTGTTGGAGGGGGTGACGTGGCGAGGTGCCGAGTTTTGGTCTTAGGCATCGTTTGACTGGTCGTGGTGTCGTTAAACCACCTCAAATCCTCAAAAGCTTGCCACGTCATCACCTCCAACAAAGTCCTCAATCTTGGTCCAGAAACTACTAGTGCTGCTTGACCTTGCTCAGATTGCAGGACGGGAATGCGATGGGGACGTCAGCACCTTGCTGCCCGGCCGCCAAGTTGCGCCCCGCCTTTGCGACGGCGTCCTCGAGTAGCTCCCCCGCAAAGGCGGCGATCGAAGGTCCGTAGAAGTCGGCGGCTTCCAAAGGGATTGTTCCGCAACCGCAGCTGTAACACGACTACGTATGTTTATCTATGTCGTCTTGACAAGCAGCGCTTTAAGACGCCGTCGGAAGCTTCCATCACACCACAGCGTTTGATACTCCGACGTATGCGAGAGCGAGCAGGGAGGGCTTCGAATGTTTTCACCGTGAGAAGCAGCTTTTGAAGACGCCGTCTGGAGCCATATGGAATCATAAAAAGAGGTTTAGAGAAAGAGCAGGGGGGGTTTGGTGTAATTCAACCCTGAGAAGCAGCCGTTCAAGACTCGTCTGGATCTAGCCGGATTGGAAGAACGGAAAAAGCAGGGAACACTCACATTGGAAGCTGAGATTGACTGTAAAGAAAAGCTTACAGAGGGTCTAGGACCACGTGGCCTGGCCGGATGTCCGCCAGCTGGCAGAGGGCATATGCCGTGCTGCAACAATACGCCAAGTGATAAGAGGTCAGCGTTATGTCCACTCAAAATTTTGAACGAAAAGAACTTTGACACCTACAACTCTAGAACCACTCTTTGCTCTGTGGGAGTACGTTCCGGCCGTATAAGTATGGGTGTGAATGCTCGCCCACAGCCTCAGAGACAGAAGAGGGCACTTTTGACAGGTCGAATCATCGGTCGCGGGGATAGCCTGATGGTAATTCGGGATACTCTCTCGCACCTTGGCTTCAGCGACGTCCGCACGAGGTCCGAGCGGTACGGACGATGGGAGTACAGCTGCGACAAAGGGACACGTGTCAAAAAGTAGAGACCTATAGCAGCGCGGTAACGCAGCTCACAGTTTCCTCGTTTACCACATAGAGTCGTGATTTGTCGCGCAGTCTGGTCTTCATGATCTCATCCGTTATGACGCGAGCAGGAAAAAGCATCGAGTACGACGGATGGCAGGATAGACGTGCACAATGCTACGAGGACCCTCCAAAAAGACGATGCTACGAGGACACTCCAAAAGGGTGACGCTGTTTGCTCGTCCCAGCTACCGGAAGCACCCTATATGCTGTTGTGACGAACGATACGCATAGACGTGAAAGGCCCGTGCTTTTGTCACAAGCTGACAGCTAAGATGTAGCCGTGAAGGCATTGAAGCCCCTTTCAAATGCAGACACTGCCGCCTTCCTTAGTAAATCAGTTAGGTAATCGTGAAGCCCCTTACCTGCCTCGATTGATGGTGCGCTTTCGCCTGCAAGGGCTCCTCTTCTCGTCCCATCTCATTGGCTGCGTCCGGAGGCCCAGTGGCGGACGCATTCTGCTTGGCCCTCGGACTGCGGAAGGAGACCGTCGGCAGTAAGTCAGTTACGGATTGAGGGACGACGGATTGGCCAGCTCACAAAGAACCGGTTTGTTTGAGAGTATCCGTTGTGTAAGAGTGTGAAAAGAATGCTAACGGGGCACAACTTGAAGAAGACGCGAGCGTAGTCCAAGATTTCGGGTGTCAACCTGTTGCGCGATAGATCTGGAAGCTGCGGAGGCGAAACGCGACTCAAAGTCAACGGTATGCGCTTTTTTTCGCGAGGTCGAGAGATTAACGGACAGGCAAACGAGCAACCGACCGCACGAATCTTCTTCAGTTTGAAACTGGAGTTGCTAACAGCCTGAATCTGCGCACGCAGCGTTCGAATCTCCTGTGCTTTTGAAGTCAAGGGGCAATCGCGTGTCCTTAATCAGAGGGACGCGTTTTACCAAAGCGCATCGAAATCATATTGAGCATAGAGAAGCTTCCAGATTGTCTCGTGAGAGCAAAACGAACGCGCGTCTGCCTTACCTGTAAAGCAGGCTGAGAGACAAAAGCACTTCATCATCCGTAATGGTTGCGATGAGTTCCACTGCAGAACGCAATATTTCTGTTAAAAAAGCGGGGGATTCGTTTCTGGGGATAGACACAAGCTAGATTCTCTGCGCTCAGGAAACAGGTTTTGTCTAAGCTCCAAAGGTTGCAATCGGTGCCTCCGACCTCCACATAAGAACCAAATAAAATGAAAACTGAATGCATGAATCAGATCTTGCACTCGTCTTCCTCGCACGAAGCTTTCTGCGCATCTTCTCGAGAAGTTGAAAATGCACCGCTTGCCAAACACCATCTTCTACCCTTGTGTTGGAACAAACGCACGGCCCCCGCCGCGGAATTGCTCACCGTCAAAGTGCGTCATGCTGACAGGCCAACCGAGCAGGGCCCCGACGCCCGCCCCCAGCCATCCTGCGCTGTGAGAGAACAACCGGTGCTCAACTTCCGGTTATCAAAACGTCATCAGGCTTACGGATCTTGAGAGAGTTGGTTCAGGATCTCGCGTCCTGACTCCGATGCCTGGCGAGAGTATACATCAAATCGAACGCAATTGCTTTGTTTGCCGAGAACGTGGAACTCCCTCAAGTCTACGAAAATGCGCGTACCTTTTCAAGTGCACTCAAAATACTTACTCCGAGTGGATCCGACATCACAATCCTCTTCAACGGATTCTTCTTGAAAGCATACCCCCTCTTGAAACGGGCATAGGAGTCGCTTCGCCACTTGCCTGCGGCTTCCATCGAAGTATACCCGTGCTTCGGCAGCTTGAGCGTTCTCCGCTCGCAGGTCACCCGGAATCGAGGAAGCGCAGCGGAACAACCTTCAGAGGAGTTGGATGACGGCCAGGCAATTATTGCTACCCCAGGATTCCACTGACGGAAGGTCGCGAGGGCCCGGCCCCAATCAATCTGCACGTACGAGCTGGTTGACTCAGAAGAAGTACCAATGGTGTTTCGAACTTACGACTCTACCAAATTTACTATAAGATTCTTCGGAAGTCTGCCCTGTCCATTCGGGAACAATCTGGCTGACAGCGTCGGAATTGAACGGCTCAAAACTGAAGCTCCTGAGCTTTTAAAGGGTGGCCACCTTCAAAGCCGTCCAAAATCTAGACCAGGTCGAAGATCGAAGGCAGTCGGATCGACATGGTATGATGTTTGCAAGCTGCAGCATGTCGCATCTTGGCGCCACAGTATGCAGATAAGGAGAGACGAGTTTGAAGGACCTGGTAACAACTACAAACGGAAACCGCATAGTAGTGCATACCTCCATTGCAATAGCTTGCAGGTATGCGAGTCCCTGTTCCTTGTCAAGCGGGACTCCCTTGCAAAATCAAAAATCAGCCGTGGCGAAGTGAGACTGCTTATGGAAACAAATGCAGTATGGAGAGACTCGTACCTTCAAAACTGTCAGGCGAAGATGGATAGAGAGCGGATATGATCTAGTGTTTTTTCAATGGTCTTTATTTGTGCCAGGAGTCAGACGATTCGCTGATGCAATACGATAATGAACTGCAGATCTGCAAAGTTGCGACCCTTTGAAGAACTCTGGTCGCGCAATGATCGTGCAGTTGAGCCTGCGCACAGTTCTGACCTGACCAGCACGTACCTCTTTGTGAATGAGATATGCATAGATGTTGTCGGCAGCCCGGAGAGCTTTTAGGTCCTGAAAGAGGAATGGTGCATCATTGTGACAAAAGAAGTTCCAAGAGTCTGGAGAGGCAGTTTGCTTTTGAACCAGAAGGACTCTGTCTGGTTTTCTACCCGCTTTTGATCATCAGATGAGGACGGTGGTACAGAGTATACCTTGAAGCCGTAGCTCTGTAGCGGTTTCGATACTGCGTTTTTCAAAAAGGTTGCAAGAAATCCAGATTGGAATCATACTGTTACATCATATATCTTTCTCGTATACGTGTTTTCATGCCAAGGGCCTCAACAGTCTCGTATGCACCTTGTGAGTAGCTGTTCTGCCTACCTCTGGCCTCCCTGATGTGCTGAAGACCGTCGCTCCTGCATGGCTGGACAAAACTTGGACGCCATAAAGCCTGCTAGCTAGCTGCAAATGCAGAAACAGAGCAAAGTAGAGAGGAATCATCAGAACAACCAGTGTTGTTGTAACTGGATGCCGGAGCTTTACATGGATCGTTCAGATAGCTTCGTTTGATTTTTGTCCTGCAAGGTACACTTAGCACCTGAGCTCCAGTCTAGTTGACCATGCAATCCATCATGCGACGCTGCCATAAAAGGCAGCTTTGATAGACAAACTTTAGCTGCAACGAAGATTGCCAGCTCCTGCAGATCTTTCTTTACTACCTACAAAGTGATTCTGGAGCCATGAGATTGTGGCCACATGGCGGTACTAAGTACAAGACAAGCTACAAACTTTGCGGTGCACTTGGCAAAGAGACAAACCTCCTCAAAGAGTAGCACGAGTCCTTCTCTCACCTCTTGCAGCAGCACGTTCTCGAGTCCGCCAGCACACGTGCTCAGGTAGGGTCCAAAGGAACACCCGGCTTCCATTTCTGATTTTGCAGAACTTCTCACTAGAAAAGTTCTGAGTCTAAAAAGGGCGGTGAAGCAACGTTGACGTCAAGCTCAACTATGAGGCATTTTGGAAGCTTCTGAACACTCGTTGAGCACTCCTCTTCCTAGCTTGAGAAGGGATTTTGTGTTGACAAAGAATGTAAGCTAACATTAATTCATTAATGCTACCTATATTTCACAATTCAAAGGAGTGCAGTGGCTACACAACTTCCACAGGAAGAGTGACTTCTCCATTTCGTAACTTGACGCCACGGTTCTGCCGGTCTCTTTGTATCTGCAGATTTTCAGTGCAGTCGCTGCTAAAACCGGCACTCTGCCGGTTCTGAGTTGGAATTGTCCTCAAAGAATCGGTACCACGCATTGCTCTCGTTGACAAGCTGTCCAAGCTTCAAATTCTTTCACATTGCTGGTGTGTTGAGACTTGAGTTGTGAACAAACCGTCACTGACAGTCAGACAGAGATGGTTCAGCAGCAGGAACGGGAGAGAAGCGCCTGCTGACTCCTAGGCAGTCTATTTTGCTGGATTCTGGGCGTTCTGCAAAGCGTACAACCAGCAGATTGTTGAAAGCGCCACTTCATGTCAGGGTTGTATCAACAAGCTGCAGCTGTCATTTGGATGTATTGGTCCATCAGATCAGCTCCATTGAAAGGTGGTACCTTAGCTGCATTATCCAAGCTAGCAAGCTGCAGTGCTTCTTAACAATCGTGTATTTCTTGGATGTTGAAAGCTCTAGGCATCAGAACCCCCTTAAGAATGAGGACTTATCAAAATGCTCTTTGACAGCAACAAGCATCCTGTAATCACAGCTGTAAAGCACAACGGACTCAGTAAGGCTTGACATCCTCAAGAGCTTGAGGTGTCAGCAGCTCCAGCCTTAAAGTAGATATGGTTGTAGGCTTAACAAGGTTTGGTTGAATTCAACAGATCATAGTGTTGCAGCATCGCAACCAGGAGCCTATCAAAATTCAAACAGCGTTTGGGCTGGCTGCTTGCTTGATGGACAGGGACAACGATCCTGCGGCTATAGGTGGGGCAAGTAACGAGGAGGAGGAGGAGGATGAGCTGGAGCTAGAGTCAGAGCCAGCTCTGACACAAGCTGAAAGGGAGAAAAGAAAGGAGCGCCTCCGTGACCGCATGAAGGTTGCTGTCGCTCGGGTGGTGGAGAATGAAGGTATGGCATGAGGACTAGGCAAACTGCAAACATCCACGAAAAGACAGTGAAGTGAAATTGTAGATATGTTCTCTTTGCAATGTTTCCTTTGGAGAGACACATACAAAAAGACTTCATCGTAGTTCCTAGGCAGGTAAGCAACGCTTGCTTAGAGTTCGGGGTGCCCCTATCGGCGCAGCTGTAAGGGACTTTGGAGCAGTGAAGAAGGTCACCAGTACTGCTGGTGTAAAAGTGTCATAGTCCAGGTTTCAAGACTGTCTGATCGAACATGGTTAGTGAGCCTGGAGTGGTTGGGGGCTCAGAGAGTGCATTTTAGTAACATCAGGAATCAACCTCTAACGGAAGGCCCATTCACTTTGTAGCAGTGACGGCACGGACGGACTTCCGCGTGGAAGTCAGCCCAGTGGTGGTTTCGGCGCTCGCTGAATTGACGAGCAAGTACGCAGGTGAGTCGCTCTTCTGATTGAGTCCTGATGATGAGTGAAATCTAGCTGCGCAAAGTGCTTTGTAGAACGGAGTTGGCCAATCAAGTAGATGAAGGTTAGAGTACGTGCTTCCTGCAAAAGACTGCTCGAAAGCAATGTCTGCATGTCTCGTTCTGCTTCAAGCAGCAAGAAACTATCTAATGACTTTGCCAAACCCACTGATCCTTATTAGTTTTCGAGCTTGTAGCCTCGTTACTTGCAAGGCGCTGTGCAAGCGGTGCCTCCTGTTTTTAATCTTCAAGTGATTCCTTCACCAGCGAAGCAATGTGGGGGAAGCTTTGAGTCTCTGCCAGACTTCTGACTGCTTTCTACAGTTGCTTGGATGGTTGAGAAGTAACATAGATTGATCCCAGAGTCGCTCCTATGGCTGAAAAGTAACCGAATCGTCTCTGATTCAAAGAGCAGGTCCATTGCTGATTTCAAGAAAAAGTCTTGGCTACTTCGGAAACACCGTTTGATTGAAAGCTTCTCTTTGCAGAGTCGCTAGCAAGGGATCTAGAATCGTTTGCGCACCATGCTGGGCGCAAGACTGTCAATGTGGAAGACGTGCTCCTGGCTGGTAAGTCTTTTAGTCCACCGAAGCTTCTTCTTGTCCACATGGAAGCTTCGTTCGTTCGTAAATGCTGGCGGAGCGGAGCGTCGGCTCTAAAACAAGGGTTGGGTGGGTCTTTTTCTAATCGAGGCCCCGTTCTGAACTCCGGTTCAAACGAATGATCCGCTGCGGTTCTCAACACTTGCAGAGCTATCTGCCTTGAGCATTTTCAGAGCGCAGCAGCAAAGCTACTAGTTGTTGCATTAGGAGTCATGCAAATGCTGTACACTTGGCGTTTTCAATCCCTGTTAAATCGTTCCCCAGAACTGCTTTGGCTTGAGTTTAGTTATCAGAGTCGAGGAAACCCTGCATTTTGCTCCACAAGAGATTCCATTCTTTTATGATTCAGCAATCATTGTACACTGCTCACTGTGGCCGACAGTTGTTTGCAGCCCGTCGCAACCCCGATGTGAAAGCGGTTCTTTCAGATCAGGCCAAAGCGTTGACGGGTCAACAGCAGCCGAAGAAACGGAAACGACCAGGGTTGAAGGTGAGTAGAGCCTGACGTTTTCCTGTACGTTTTCCTGTATCGGCCCTCTCTTCTCCTCATATCGACCCCCTCACCGAAAAACAAATCGTTCTTATGACATATTTCCAGAACGCGGCCCCGTCAAATTCTAGTGCTGCTGTGTTTTACATAGCTTCGTCCTTTATATTGCATTCAGAAACCTGCCTCTAGCTCGACTGCCAGAAATTATCGGGAACGCTTTCCGATACAAAACTTGTCAAGCCGCTCAAAGGCACGTACGTTTGATGCAGGCGTTGCCAGGGGACTAGCTTTTGCGGTATGGCCACGTGCCCCTTCGACTGTCTTGTAGTGAGTAACGAAGTAGATAAGCTACCGCCTTGAGCTCAAAGAACCTATAGTAAGCCGCTCTTTGAGACTCGATTCTTCGCAAGCTGTACCAAGACGGATGCCATGATTAGGGTTTAAACACGTCCAACACTAGTCTCATTGATATAATACTTCGCGATCCGACCGACACGGTTGATCTGCAGGACTTTGATCGCTCATGAAGCGTAGTGGACGATCCTATTGAGCTAGCTCGGACGTGGCCTGGCCGCTTTTTAGCAAGCGCGCGGCAGATTGACTCTTTCACTCATTCGTCTGACCAAATTCGTTATGCAATTAAGAGTTTTCGGGAGTCCATGCATGCAATATCATGCAAATCGCTGGTTGGTTTGCTTGCTTTTGATGGCGCCGCCCCTTGGCAATTGTCAGACTGAGGACCCGCGAACAAATCAATATCATAGGTGACCCGCGATAAGAATAGGTGCATAAGATCTTCGAATCTGCTTGCAAGTATGCATGTGCTTAAGAACGTCATCCGTATGCAAGCAGCGATTTGGCATATCCTTCAATCGAGGATCAGTAAGTCACCTGGCACTTGTCAATGTATACTGACAACACAACTTATCGTGACGCGTGCGATGAAAATCATATTGCCTGGGTATACTGCCACCATCGGAATCCTGTCGAGCATACCGCAGAAACCTCCAAAATGTGTTGGCCTGGATCTGCAACTGAACTGCCGTATCAGACCATGGTGGCTGTGTGCTTCCAAACTGCGTATACTTACGTCAGCATTTTAATATGATAACGGAATCGAGTCGACCTTCAATGCCTGCATTACTTCAAGCAAGCAAGCGGGGCTCTCCAGCCTGACGTACCAACTTGCATGATCCAACGTAGATCTTTGTGAAAGACTTCTCAGCAACCCCAACAGTTGAGTCGTTTCGGAGAGGAAACGATCTATGAGCTATAGACCGACCCTTCGTAATCCACTACGGGTTGTACTTGCTGTCCTTCTTCAACACATAATCTTGGTCACAAGGGCTACCAGAGCATTCAGAAGCGGGCAAGAAGTTTCTACAATAGCCAGTGGTATCATATGGCTGCGAGTGTAAGGGCTCTCCTCCAAGTAGGAAATGTACCAAGTGCTCCATAGCATCTCCCTGAGTTGTTGCGCCCCTCTCCTTTGCTACATTAGGATCTATGTTCTCTTTGCTGATCCATGGTTGGTTTATTGACCAGATCTTATCAGGGTCGATAGGCCCTGTATAACAATAGTCACCCTCACCGATCATCCTATATGCGGCTTCGTAATGCGATTTCGAGAACCTTCTGACTTGGTCGCGGCTTATGGCAAACTGTTGGCAACAATAGCAACTAACTACGGGTTCAAATACTCCTCCGGGTGTCAGCTCTAAAGCAAAGACTTCGGCAAGGCTTCGCCAGCAAGCTTCGTTCAACGGAACAATACCCTCGTGATTCCAGAAAGAGACACCTCGGTCCCCGATAAATAGGGTGTTGAGGCTGGTATAATTTATGGTGGGGTTTAGACAGTCAACCCATTGCAGGATGTCTCCGTTATGCTCGAAGGGACTGCAAGAATAGGCGCACTTTCGAGATTCAAAAAGAACGCAAACGTTTGATCTTGGTTGATTGGATCGTAGGTCATGCAAGCAGACAGAGTCATTTGTTGGTGAAAGTTGCTCAATGTGCAAGAACGGATCTGCGATACCTCAGAAGCTTGACGCCAGGGTCCGGTGCTCACTTTGCATGGACGAAGACCATAATATCTGGCAAGTCGTCGTAGTGATCCACCAGATACTTCAAGTAGACCCCTCCTTCCAGGCCATAATTGGGGGCGTAGTTTGGGGCGTTGGCGTCTGTCCTCTGATAAAGAAAGATATCCCTCCCTTGCGTCCAATCAGGCCAGCCATTGTCCCATTCACGGTAGACGGCTGGGATGATGACCACCGAAGGCTTCCGTAACTGTGCACAAAAGCAGATCTTGTCAGCCAGACACTATCGCAAGTGAAGCTGAAGCCTTCCTCGCCGTTCGTGCCCTGGCCCTGTCCTCTAAAGGGCCTCTATCTGTATGCATTTTCTCCCTATACCCTTGCCACCAATTATATCAATAGGCCAAAAAGGTAGCACCCTGCCATTAGCAGGATAGATAGACGACTTCTAGTGCAGCTACAGATCGAGAAAGCCACTGCATAGGTAGCTTCTCAACCGTCCGACTTGTCACAGAAGCCTCGAAGGACAAGGACATAGTCAACCGGTGAGCGTTCGATCGACTCACCGGTTGATCTTCCATAGCCTCCCGCTCCTCCGTCACTTCTTGAGCCTCCAGCTGCTCCGTTACAGTGACTTCGGGGTAGCTGCTTTGAAGATCGGTAGTGTCCAACTGCGTGCAAGAGTTGGAGAAATGAGATGCAGTTTTAGCAAGTGTCCTGGTGACTCTATCCAATGCCAGGTTAGAAGTTCCTGCCATATGCAGCTTGTCCAACTCAACAGAGAACTTTACAGAATCTGGAAGTACTAAGAAGTCAACTTTACATCACCTCACCTGTTGATCAGTTACACCCCCTGACTCCACCTTGGGAGAAGATTCGGCGTAACTGCTGTTAGGTAGATCGGTGGTATTCACCTGCGTGGAAGATTGTATGAGCAATTTATTGCACCCCAAGGTCAGCCTGGCATGGAGGAGTGTCATGAAGAGACCTGCTGGAAAGTGACCACTACTTTCCCTTCTGTAACAGATAGAAAGCTCTTAGCCCCGATTGCTGATAATGTATAACATCAAAGGAATGGTTTTCTCTGATGGATTGCACTGCTTGCGCAACCTGCTAGGAGAACTCAGAGTCTCAATACAACAGTATAGCTCAAACTGAGTACCGACGGCAGGATAGGCAGAAGCGCTGCTCATCTGTAGCTGGGGGCTCTCAACATGTAAAAATCACATCTCCAATTGTATCTTGCTGGTGTGCTTTCTCCTGTAACAATATGGAAGAGGGCAGTGGGAGAGAGCCACAAGCAGCATTTCCTGATGGAAGAACAAGCTTATCACTTGTGAGCAATTCTGAGAAGCCCTTCCTCTTTGATTGATATACAAATTTGATCAGCAAAGCGATACAGTGAGCCGTACCAGGAGCTCCACAGGGGGCGATGGCTTTTGCAATTGCCTGCTTAAAATGATCATGGGGCCAATTGCTATGCCCAAGTAAAGGAAGCAGACCACAGTCCCACAGCTGCGGATCCATCGCCGCAGCACCTGCTGCATACCTGGGGCTGCAGCACTCTCTCGTTTGAAACCCAGACCTTGTGACCTTTTCACCTTTCTGGCGACCATTTCAAAGATCAGACATCAATAACCACTAGCACATTGCAATGCTGCTGCCCTGGAACTTGTACAGAGACAGGGAGCTGATCGAAGTCCCAAATGTGGTCGGCCATGCCCTTTGAATGATTGGACTTTCATCTCACTTGAGCAGGTTGGTGGTGCGAATACAACGGAGCGCCTCTTTAGCTTGTGAATGTGATCTACCGTATGGCCTTATGCTCTTTGTCTCGAGCTGTGGCAGCCGGGCACCGCAGAAATTGGTGTCTTCTCTTCAACATTGAATCTGATTGCCTCCCAACTGCTCTACAAATCCCTGGGCCTCAGCATCAAGAGGGTTCTGAATGCATGATACGCGTCACAGGCTTTGAAATTGCAGCGTCGAGCCTGCCACTCAATTTGTGCAAGTTGATTTCTGGCTAGATACCGGTAGCTGGTTCGAGCGACCATTGAGGCGGAGTTTCGGGGGATCAGTCGCCGTTTGGGGTATCACAGATGACGCACCACATGACCCCCGTCGACCAGTACCGCGCCTCTAGTTGTTCGGTTGCAGGCGAGTTAATTCCGATTCTGTATGTATGTATGATAGCGAAGGACGGTATCTGTGCTTTATATCCGCGTTTGTGCAGCCTGGTTGTTGGTGGCCTCATTCATCCTTTCTTCATCCTCAAGCTCTCGCCCTTGAATATGTCTCAGCATGCCTGATTTGCATTGAAGCGACCAAATTACGGCGTTGGTGCCAGTGAGCACGTCTGATCATGTCGGAAGACACTGTGGCACCGGGGAGGTTTTGAAAAGCGATCGAGAAAGTGCTTTAATTAAGTTCATGGTTGGCCGGAATCTGGCTGGCAGTGTAATACTTCATTTGCACAGAAGCACCGAGAAACATCAGTACGAGAAGCATGCATGCCGCTGCAACGAGTTCTGCAAGCACCTTATGAATTAGTTATACTCATGAGATCATGATGCATGGATTGACGCTTCTTATTTTTAGCGACACAACTCAACGATCAATACTTGCGTCGCAAGTTTCATGTATTGTGGCTTTCGCTTTTCAATCAGGCAGTTTTCGGCACCATACAGCATTGCAACCAACTTAGGCACCTCCTTTGACACGCGAGAGGACCTAAAAAAGATTAACGCACATGTTGTAAGCTTTTTGAGCTGGCCAGGCATGCTCCGCCAATCTGTTGTCTTCCCCTCCTGCATGATGAGGACGGGTTGCAGCTTGCTGTACTACGTGCACAGAACGTAGGCATGGTCGATGACAGTAGTAACGTCTTGTCGGACCGGGCAATCAAGATATGCACGAAAGCTGGACTTAGTCAGTATGCAGAAGTAGTGAAACCATGGCTATGATCACATGCGGCAACTTCAGTTTCAGCATCCTCTGGACCACAGCTGCTTGACAAGAAGGAATTTGATCTCTCCGAGAACGTTACAGCAAATTGTGCTCGACAATGGTGAAACGAGCTTCCTAATCAACAACTCTTGGTTCGTGCATAAGCTGAGCATCTTGGACAAAAAGCAATCGACGCTCTCCGCTGCGGTACAGTGACTAGTCAGGACCGGACTTATCAACACAAAGTCTCACGAACTTTTTAGTTCTCGTTTGACGTCGCCTCGACTAGCATGACTGTTTTCGAGTCAAGTTATCTTACAAAAGCACCTAGTAATCTACTTCTTGGCGGGTCCGAAGATCTGGGACAACCCGCCCGCTGTGATGAAGATCAATCCGACGGCACCCAGCAACACCGCTGGAGGGAAGCCAAGGTTGAAGGCGGCCTTCTTAGGCTCTTGGATGTTGGCAGCGTTCTCCTCAACTCGGTCCCGGACATTGGAGGGGGCCTTGCTTAGGACGTCGTTCACCTCTTCAGGGACGTTGTCAGCTGCAGTTTGAGGAGAACTTGGTTAGACGGGTGAACGTTCAAAGCGCAGGTCAAATGCGAATTTCAGGAGATTTGTATGAAGCAGCTTAACTCCGAGTGAAGCGCAGGTGAATCACTGATCATGACTGTTCGAAGTGGGCTTTTGAGTTACAGAATTCCCATTGATCGGCGGCCTGGAACTTGTACAACAGAGTATTGCTTCGATCATTGCAGAGAGTTGTACAAAAGATGTGTTTGTGTTTCTTCTTTTTCTTTCGCAACAAAGTGAAGGCGTGATGGATGTAGGGGACAACCGTCGATTATCCAACATCTGCTTCTGCTGAACCTGAGCCGCCCATTTTAGTACCAATAAGGTGACCTTCGGGTGCCAATGGAATAATTATGGACCAAGATAATTGCAAGCGTCAAGAAGGCAATTTCTGGAAGCTGATTCGTTTGTAGCAGCTTATTGGGAGCTTAAAGAATGTAACTTTGAATGTACCAAAGTTGAGTTTCTTTAAGCCGTCTGAAGAATGTACTGCGCACAGGCGTGCTAGACCGAAGGGTTTGGCAGGTAACACCATGACAAAAGGTGCGCCAACCCTACTTGCAGAGACTCAGATATCAAAGACTGAGTCAGATGTCAGCCTGATTTAGAGACACGATTAGCACAGCATTGGACCCCTAACGAAACAAGGGAGGTGAAGGACGCCAACTTACAGGCTGCTAGCTGGTAGACATGTGTTGGTTCTGCGGCAAAGGCGACCTGCGGTGACATCATTGGTGACCCGGTAGCCAGCGCCGCGGCAAGAGCGCCAACTGCGGCGGCATGCCGCAGGCTAACTCCCTCCTGTGAGATAGCCACGTTGGATGATGAGCGCGCATTCCTAAAATTGGATGCCTCGCAGATCTTAAGCAATCTCATCAGAGTACCCGAGAAGTTTCTTGGCTGTCTGCTTGTGCTGCGTTGATCTCCATCCCTGTAAAAGGGCGTACACAAACATATCTACACAATGTCACAAGACGACTGCTCGCATTTTTCTGTTGTCAATGACCAGGTATTGATCAATCTGATATCTACAATGAATGTGCTGGCATCTCCCACGTGCCCCAACAACATGACCTCTTTCACATAGGCTGATGAAATTGCAGGAAGTACTTTTCTGCAAATCTAGAGGGTATTCCTAGGTGGATAAGGAAGAACGGCTGATCGAGGGCTTCAAAAGTGCGGGCAAGCAAGTACGAGGTAGTGAAGTTCACAAAGAGGCTAGGTGCCTTTTAAGCTCAGATTGAGAGTGAAAGCCAGTGCACTCAACTACCAGAGAGTCAAGTAAGGCAGTTTGGGCCCTACAATTTCTTCACCAACAGCGCAAACAATAAGGCAATGCCAGTAGCTTGCGTTATGTTTCCCATGTCAGTAGTGAATAGTATTGTCTATCCAATCAGAGCAGCAAGCTAGCAGACACGTATCATGTAGAAAGCTTGCAGCATTCTCTTACCCCAACTTTCGGAAGATTGCATGAAAAGCAGCAACCTTCAAGCTCCAACTTGAGAAGCATCAATAGATACACTTACCTCTTGTGAGCTCGCCCGCACGCATTGCCTCCCCTCTTGTCTCCTGACAACGACTGGCCTAATTGGGGAGAACTTTGAAGAGCTTTGGCTGACAGAGCTGACAAGAGACAAGGGGCCTGCAGCGAGCCCAGCGGAAGCGGTGCATGCAGATGCCATTTTGAGCTTTTCTGGGCTTCAATCACGGGCAGCTCCAATGCAAGCGTCGTTGAGTTGTTGAGTCGTTGAGTTGTTGGGAAATTCCAAGAGTACAAAGGCGTCTTTGTGGGCCGGGAAGAAAGGGTGGAGAATGCAGCGACGTTCGGAAGACTTGGTGGGGAGAGAAAGGTAGACTGGAAATGGGCAGTTGCAAACCACTGTTTGAAGACATCCCCTGTCACCTTCATGGAGCGACCAATCAGACTGCTCTGCTAGGGCCGAGAACGTCTGCTTCCAGAGCGACAAGTGGACGCCTGCATGTGCCTCTTCTGGTGCGCGCACTAGGCAACTGGCTTCATCGCGACCGTCCGATTAGTTTAATCTAGAACGTCAGGGAATGACACTGCAATGTCGTTCAGGGAGTATCGAGCGCTTTGTGTCAAGTATGACTTTCCGTTCATCTCGAGGCCTAGCTGCGGGGGCGCCGCATGGGCACATTATGATGCGTAGGCGTACCCTCGAGCATGTAAGTTTTACTATCTCCGTATATGCTTGCCAGATCCTCCTGCTAAGTCGTCCATATGCTGCTTATAGTATTAGGTAGTACCGTGCTTGTTAAGGTCAAATGTTCAGCCTGCACTTTCCGTGATCTGAAGTGCTTGCGGAATTGCAGGTCATTTTCGGGTTGTAGCGGTCCAAAACCTGCAAACGGCTGCATCGCAAATGCATTGCAAGATATGGTTCCCGAAAGGAAGAGCTGCTTACAGCTAATCCTTTACCATGGCGGACAGAAGCTTGACAATCTGCATTGATGAATGCATGCCGGGATCGAAGATATGGTAATCAACACATGAGCACAGTACCTAATGCTCCTACTCTTTTTGCACTTGAAGGACTGTACTCACGTATTGAAAACATTCGATTCCTCTATAGGGTATATTACACTTACAAGCATGACAACGTAGCCTGCACTGGATCAAAAGACTCTTCAAGGCAATGAATGGCGTGCAGCAACATGCTCTGAAAAGTCGGTTGGCACGAGCTTGCAACGGACTTTCAAGAGCTGCATGACGAGAATTCTGTTGATCAATCATTTGTCCCATCGACATCCATGGGTTTTGCATCTGGTTCGAGGTGCACCGCTGAACCGGCAACCCCGTCCTCCACGGCATCCCCCCTCTCGCTAGCAGCACCTTTGCTGCCCCCTTTCGCACTTCCGGTTCGCGGGGGTGCCGAAGGCTCCCCCTCTATCCACCCTTTACTCACGAGCAAGTCGTAGACCGCGTCTGTCTTTATCGGGTCTACTTTGAACATCCGTACGGCGTCCGACCGCTTGACGAGCCCCTCCCGCGCGCTTTGCTGCATGAGCGTGTCCTTCATTCTGCACGCACAACGAGAAAGTCAGCGGGAAGATGTGGCGGGGCTGGCAAGACTCTCTTTGAGGAGCCTCTCCTGTCCCGCCTTGGGGATCCGGACAAGAGAGGAATAAGGCCTTGGTCACCTTTCTCGATACAATTTCGAAGTTGCTTCTGCTGCAGGCTTTGTGCGTAGAGTCCCAAGTTAATTCGAACTAGCTATCTCCGAGCGCTTGTGGCTGAGGCTCAGCATTCTTTTTTCAGAGTGGCCTTCGAGACGACGGAATCGAGTTGCAAGCATGACTTCAAAGCGGTGCACCAACTTCCTTGTATTTCCAGCTGTCCTTGGTTACTGTTGAAAGAGTATTTCGGCATGGTCTGCTGATGTAAGATCAACATACACGTGACTGCATCAGAGCGTATTGAAAGCGACCAAGGTAGGCGTTCCCGCTTGTCGACTCAGCCCCCTCGGCTTAACACAAAAGGCGGCGCTCTCTCTTCATGAAGCAACAAACTGTCTCCTTTTTTTTCAGAAGCCGAACATTCCTAGCTTAAAACACACGAAAGTGAGGATTATGAGCGGGCACAAACGTGAAGAATTCCATCCCAGCGACTCCCGCACCAGAGCACACTCGAACAGAATCCTCACTTTAGGTAGTGCAAGGGTACCAGTCTCCATTTCTCGCACAGCTCTCGTTCGAGCCGGTTCAACAGATCCGCCGCCGGATGCCCGTCCAACTCCAAGGGGGCCAGGATTTTCCAGGCGCCCTTTCCCCCCACCCGGTCCGCCACACTGGGCACTCCCGCCTCGCTAGTTGTCGGAGTAGGGGTGCCCGGGGGATTGCCCCGGAGCTTCTGCGCCTCTTTGCCGCCCCCCCCGACGGGAGACGGCTCGTCTTCTGCCCGGTCCGAGCGTTTGCTGCGCTGCGCGGGGCGACTACTGCAATTGACAGGGAACGGATGCGAGTTATTTTACGAACCTCATGTAGATTCTTTCTTTCAAAGTCCTAAAATTGAAGCGGTTCCGGAACGTTGGGGACTTGCGAAAGGACTCCGCTTTCCGTCAGCTTTATAGAACCTTGACAAACAAACTTCCAAGCTCCAAACCACCTTAGTGGCACATATCCTCCTTCACGCAATCAGTCGGCGGTGTCCTTGCGCTGCTTGATTATTGCAAACTCGACCTCAATCCCAACCTGAACAACGTCGCGAAAATATAACTGTCCACGTACCTTTGCAAAAAGTGAAGTATCTTACCTTTACAGACACGCGGCGCTTTTCCTGCTGCTTGCGCTGCTGCTCGTTCGCCTTGTGCTCCTTACCTCTGACTACCACAGTAAAATTCCAGAAACCCTCTCCATAAAACTCTGTGGCAAAAGCCTCCACAAAACCTCGGAGGAAACCTTTCACGGGAAATCGATATGCTGCAGATCCCACCTGTAGAGATATGTGGCGTTCTTCCACTGCTTCCACTGCTGCTCTTCACCTCGTGCAGATCACCAGAACCTTCACGAAAGTCGGACAAAACCCCCCACATACTCTCGCAAAAACTCTGCTACAGACTAAAGCAAATGCTGGAGTCACACCTGTACAGATACGCTGCGCTCTCCCGCTGCTTGCGCTGCTGCGCCTCCACGTCGCGCTTCTTCTTGTCCGACTCGTAGTCCGCCGCTTCCGCCATTGTGCGGATGCCCATCGCGCGATATTCTTTCAGCTCGTCGATGCGGTCCCGGATGCGCCGCTCCGCAAGGAGCCCCGAAACCAGCTCGTCGATCTCTTCTTGCCTGCAAACGCGCGAGGCATTCCCGTGTTGGTAACAACATGAGCTGTTGAGCCAAGTCAGGGTCATACTGCAACCTTCGCCGTTTGAAAGCGAAATTTGAATCTTAGGCGACACCGCGAATACCCATCGTGCGGTATTCTTTCAGTTCGTCGATGCGGTCCCGGATGCGCCGCTCCGCCAGGAGCCCCGACACCAGCTCGTCAATCTCTTCTTGCGTGGAACCAGGTCAACCACGTCAGTGCGTCTTGCAGATGAAACGGTTGGTAGCAGTGACCAAGTTTTGAAGTTTCGAAAAGATACTTGTTTTCGCCCCTTCGACGAGAGGCACCTACAAAGCATGTAACACAAAGCATATAACACAGAATGATAATGCTCTCCTTGAACGGTAGCCCACGGCCGCGCTGGTTATCCACTTCGGTGCAGATAAGACGATACCCGTGTCATACTTTCTCCGGTGGCGGGATATTGACGACGTCATCCTCGATTGATCGAGCCAGCGGCATTGGAGACGGAGGAACGTGCGCTTAACTTGGACAACCCTCATCTCTTTACGCAACTAGTAAGTTCGCCTGTAAGTTCTTTCACTTGTTTCTATTCTTCAGCTATCGGTGGCAGTGACGAACGTTTTGAAGTTTTGGATTTTCCGAATAATACTCTGTTTTCCCCCTTTACCGAGACTCATCTACAAAGCATGTAACAGGAGACATAAAACACAGGATAATAATGCTCTCTTCGGGCTCTAGCCCACGGCTGGGCTGCATGAAGCGGTCGCAGAACACCAGCGGGATTGCACTCGCACCGCGAGCAACAAACAAAGGCACACGAAATCGCTCTGGGCAGAAAGGATGCTCGAAACCCTTGGGAGTCGGGGGGGGCACTCACGTGGTGAAGCGTGCAAAGACGCGCGCCCGGTTGTAAAGCTCCCGCTCCTCGCGGGTGCGCTTGCGGTCGAGCGCCTGCTGCTTCTTCAGGTTCAGTAGTCCCCGCTCCAGAATGAACTCTTTCCGCCGCCGCCGCTCATCCAGCCTGTATAATTGCGAGGGGAAATCGCAGAGAAGAATCAGGCCTACAGGGGAGCGTCCGTAAAGTGCAGTTACAACGCTGCCACTGATCGTCCAGCCTGTGAGCAATGTTAATGGACAATACTAGGAAAAAGTAAAACCCGCTAATCTAGTCGGATCAGACGGCAGGGAAGCATTGGTTGCGGCGGCGCCGCCGTTCGTCAAGCCTGTGGGAAGATGTGAGGGGCAATCTCAGGGAAAAGTGGGACCCAATGATTCATTCTGATCAGATGGCAGGGGAGGATCGATGGGTTGAAGTTGGTGCCGCCACTGTTTGCGGTGCCGCGACTGTTCGTCCACCCGGTGAGGGATGTGAGGTGTACATGTAGGAAGAAGTAGACCCAAAAATGTTTCGGATCGGACTGCGGGGAGTATCCTTGTCATGAAGTTGCGGCGCCGCCCCCCTATTGTCCAGCCTGTTAAAGTGGGGGTGGCCGTTCGCTACCGTTTCAAGGACGATGTAAGACCCCTGGATACATTTTGAACGGACGGCGGGAAAATATGGAGTTTTTCGTTTTTTTTTGCCGGATGTTCACCGTCGATTCCCCATCGCCGCAGCCTTTGCGGGCAGAATTTTGCTTACTTGAGAAGCTGCACACGATTTCGAGAGAGTTCCAGGAAGGCTTAAGAAGGATTGACAATTTGAACGGGTCAAAGGGAGCTAGTTCTCTTTGGAGAAACGTTTTCCTTGACAGTTGACTGGCGGTGCTTTGATCAAATTTAGTACTGAAATGTATAGGGGATAAGAGACATGCTCAGGCTGCTAAAAGGTTGCGGGCATGAGCAGTGAAGAAGGCGATCGCATCGAAGCTACTCAAACAAAGACTGTCGGCATCGTCTCCAGCTTTTCGAGCCAACGCCCGCCAGGCTGCCTGCTTACGATGAACCCTCTCTAACTGACCGACTTTCAAAACCTTTCACCAGTGCATACACCGTATCCATCTAACAGAGTGACTCGACTCTGTCTGGATACCGCCTAGTTTCATGATTGGTTCTAGGAGGTATACTCTGGACGGAATCTAGGGAGATACTGTTGGTGCACGCAGAAAGGTGGCGGTTGGGTCGTTGGTCTAACGGGAGTTTTTGAGGCAGGTGGTTTTCTAGATGTATAGGGACACACTACTCAGTCCCGCTTACCTGTGGTTGTAGATCTCGAGCATCTTGATCTTGAGGTCCCGTTCCGCTTCCGTGTCCGTCTCCTTGAATTCCATCTCTGCCAGCGGCACCTCCGCATCATTGTCGTACTCTGGGTCGAACTCGTTCCGCTTTGCATGATACCCTGGGGAATGAACGGATCGGAATACATTGGCGAAAAAGTTGAGCTTGCTGAAAGTAAGCACCGGAAACTTTCAACGCACGTCACCAGAATCAAGGTCTGGAATCGGTATGGCACCTTACCCTGTGATAAGGAATTCGCCTGTGATCAGGACGGAACCTGCTGCAGCGCTAATCGTGGCCACCGTCTAACAAGCAACACTGTATCGCACTTCACCACATCAGATGACGTAGGATTTGTCTAGAAGATTAATGCTACCGCAAACTCCGAGTCCTGAAACGCTGCACCAGAGTTCTGCGCAGGCGCGGTATGAATGTGACTACGATGCAATCAGAGTCCAAACTTAAGTACGATCCAGATGCGATCGCCCACCTGTTTGCTCCGCGCCCACTGTCCCCGCTTTGATCTCCCCCTCCGACAACTTCGGCTTCTTTCCCCCCAGTGTGCGCGTGCTCTGTGCTGGGTCCTCTCCGGCCTGTTCCCCCTCGGCGCTCGGCTCGGGTTTCGCCTGGTGTGAATGGGCGGCTGCCTTCTTTCCAGGACCTCCTCCCTGCTTAAACAAAGGTGTTGATCGTGTTGGTTTTTCATCGAAGCAGACGATGGCTCACCCATACCTCCGTGTGCTAGATACGCTCTGAAGCTTCTTTGACGTGTCACAAATTCACCGGCTGTACGGGATTGTGCAAGAGCCACCAACCGAGATCGTTCAGACATGCTCATTTAAGAGGTCGCTTCCCCGTCAAACTTGTAGAAAGTTCTTGAGACGGGGTGGGGCTCGAATTGAACATCAGGTATGGCGTCAACCAGAAAGTGTGCCACGTTTGCGGTTCTCTAAACGGATAGACTGGCCCAAACATTCACGCTGTTGTGGTAAGTACATTCCTGATACAGCTTTCCGCTAGAGCATAAGCGTACAGGTGCAAACAGGGACTCGAGAACAAAGGCTAGAGACCCGAGCGAATCCACACTGGCACCGAACATTAGATTTACCACTGATTGGTGCTTGCAAGCTTGGATACAGCTAGTCATCATGACCAGCATCACCCAACCGCACTAGTAAGCTTGAAATGCGAACGATCCGGCCTTACCTGCTCTGCACTTGCGAGGGCCGCGTCGCTTGGGTGCTTGTGTGAATGGGCACGTTCCTCTTCCGTGGAGGATGGAAGGAGGATCTTCTCCGACTTGGCGCCGATGGACGGCTCGACGGACGCCTCACGCGCCGAGATGCCCTCGTCCTTCACGTCTTCCAGCCTGCAGGTGAAGACGATCGGATGAATTACATATACTGCGAGGTGATTGAAATATGATAAGTCGATTCTCGCAACTGGAGATGTCAGCAAAGCTGTTCGAAGTGAGTGCATACAGCATATCTATTCACACTGGACGTCCGGAGTTAGAGAACGCAGGTGCCCAGAAGTCGTCAAACCAATTCAAAGACTTTGAAGTGGTTTGACTTCGTACGTGCGACCCACATCGTGCTTAGATCGGAGAACGCAAGCCCAGAATCAGACAATCTGATACGTAAGATACATTATGAAGAAATAATGTATGACACAAAACCCTTCTGCATAAAATCCAATCTGCGTAAGTAAACCTCGGGTCTCTTTCACCAACGGGCGGAGCGCCACCAACGTAAGCGGGTAGTCTGCATCTTAAAGGACCACTAAGTTCTGAGAATTTGCAGACTGCCGTTGAAAAGGTGGGACCCTTTACTGGGCCCCAGATATGCGCTTGACACTGACGTTTCTCAAGATGGAAACGCTTAGGGTCGATTACTCACTTGACCGTCAAAGACCCCGCTTGCGAGCTCTCCCCCGGACCTTCCGAGCTCATGCCTGGGAAGATAGGAAAAGACGATGTGAGTGTTTCCCTAAGAAGCGACCAACTTTCTGAATTTCGCATGGGCCGTCCTTCGTCCAACCGAGCCCTCTGTCTGATACGTCGAAAGTGCAGTCAATGCTGGCGCAACCCGCTGACGGCCAAACCGCCATTTCTTGAGTTTGCTCGAACATGAAGTCCAGGCATCGACTTGTCAGATCGGGCCCGTTGTACTTGAAGCCGCGTTGTAGCTTTGCCCCAATCTACTCATATTGCACCCAAGTCCGACTTTAGGCCGTTCTGTTGACCGGTTTGAACCCACTCACGCCCGCTCTGAAAAGCCCACTTTGAAGCAGCACATCGAATCATTATGACCTGCCCCAACAGACAGCAAGCAAAACGGACCAATGCGACTTTATGGACGTCGTTTTAATGCATGAAGGCTTCTCAACCAAGCGGACCAGGGGGCGTTTCGCACTCACGTGACACGTCGCCCCTCTTGCCCTCCGCCATCAGTTCCGCTCGGCCCTTGCCGGCGATCCTCGACATGTCCTGTAACAAGAAGGTTAAAGGGTTTCAGGTTGCAGGTTTCGAGGGTTTCAGGGTTTTAGGGTGGCAGGTATTAGGGGCGACAATATCAGGACCTACAGCATTCATCAATTTCCGTGTTTTTGGGCTGACGACAATCACGTATCTACAACGGGACGATTGAAAGGCGGAGTCCGTCTTAACATTAGAAAAGTTGCGGATGCCACAGGAAAAGATGCTGAACAACGCCACGCACTTACAGCCGAGGTCAGTTGAGTTCGCTCTTTCGCATTCATGCAAAACGGGTTTACTGAGGCCTCAAACCAGAACAAGGCCTCAATCAAGAATCGGTGATCAGCACCAGCTCCTTGTGCACATTACGCGGCTTCTGACCACGTCATCAACGCCAATCTATCCCTACAGGTTTGGGGCCGTCAACTGTTTAGCTAACGGAGGCTACTGAAGTATGATAGAAAGAAGACGAAAACAATTCTTGTCGAGGAAACGAGGTGAAGCCCGGCTCACCGGCAGCGGGAAGAAGGGGCTGTTGATGTAGATGGACGTGTAGTGCTCCTGGCAGCTGCCCTTGGACTTGGTGCCCACGTGGTCTGCCACGTCAGCCCAGTTGCCGAACCCGAACATCTCGATGCCCTGCACGGCATCGGGTTTTTTGATGAAGCCCGAACTCCAAAATTGCTGCTTTCTGCGCCACGAGCCCAGATGCGTAAGCCTGTTTGAAAAGGAGCGACCATCGGGCTGTGAAGAAACCAGGCGTCCGCGGCGGAGGCGAAACGGACATACCATTGTGACGACAGTGTACGCTGCAAGTTTCCTTCTGGAGAGGAGTTCTCAAAGGGGCGGCGGTGCAAACAGACTTGTAAGCGATTGAGCATGTGCAGAGTTCAGGAGGCATGCGCCGAAAGTGGTGCTCACGGATTAACAACATTGCAAGTCTTTCGAGTAAGGGGGAAGACGAAGCCCATGGGATGTACTACACGTCCGAGCTTTTTCCAGCTGTTACATCAACGGCTCTGGTTCTACACCATCTGACTGCAAAGAGCGGAACAAAACCTATGCGAGGATCTGATAATTCGCTAGGGGTGTTCACAAAAGTCCAGGTGCTCCCAAAGACCAAGTTTTTGTGCTCCGTAAGAGTGCAGCTCCATGGAAAGAGGCTACTGCTTGGGACCCATCTGAAACCTATGATTGTTTGATGCACTTGAATGTACGAATCTAGATTGAAACATTAGGTTAGCAATGCAGTACTTTGTTTCAGCTTGCAGTGTTTCAGTTTTGGGGTTGGGAGAGACGGGGAATGCCTACCTCCAGTACCAAAATCTCCTCGTCCACAGTCCAAGCAGGGTTTAGCAGCGGAAAGTCCAGGATCTCCTGCAATCTTAAAAGGGGACTTATCAGAGTGCGCTCTTGGAAAGAGAGCGTCGGAGCGAAGAAGAGACGAAGTTGGCCGAAAGCATTGAACAGGCGGCATCGCCAGCCGCCTTACTCGTTTCATTGACCTTGCCTGGTTAAGCTGTCACGGGAGAACCAAAATCAAGGTTGAATTTCACGATACCGAGGAGAAGAGGTTCCTCGATCCTGCAGTAAAGAGAGTCTACTAAAGCTACCCGTTTTGCGTGGCTGCATCTCTGCTTCTGGCAGGAGTTGAAGGCTATGATCAAGCTCGACGGCGAAAATATTGAAGCTCGCGGTTCAATCAGCCTACTTCGAACAGTTTCTCGTCTTAGATGATTTCCAAGGACGAGCCAACTCATCCCTCTCATGGGACGGAATGTTCGATGAAATTTGGTTTCCTATCATTCCTGCGCAGGCGCATACTGAGAGCGGTGCCTAAAACAGGTACCTATATTCGAGGAGAACCTTGTAGCTTACAACTGAGAAAGATCAGAAATCATTGCACGATCAATTGCCAATATCAGGCCACTTCCAATCAATCAAAAAGCTGGTTCTTTACCATGACTCGGTACTTGTGGTCGTTCTTGTGGGGCGTAATCTCTGCCCCCACGGAGAAGCACTCGAGGCACAGGTCGAAGTCGGGGCACTCGGCGCACTTGATGCGCACGCAGCCAGAGATGTCCTTCTTGCAGTAGTTGCAGTGGTACTGCGCCTGCCGCGCCTCGCCTGTGTCGGAGGAAGGAGATTTATGATCAGGCCCTGATCTTAACGACGTATGATGAGACTTTTTCCTTGATTCTCGTTTGATTGTGAATCCAATGAATCTGCTATTCGATATTTATCTCTGCGCGTCAGAAGCAAAAGACTGGGACAAAACCGGCCTTGATCTACTTACTGGCTTCGATGGACTTACGCACCGGCTGAAACGTCAGAAGGGGCTTAGGCAAGGTTTCAGTCATTGAAGCCACAAAGATAATGAACACTTCTTCTCAATGGGTTCAGCAACTCTTGCTCTTTCCCGATTTGCAGTGCTGAACCTGGGCATTGAGTTCGGGTGTGCTCAGGGCAAGAGTCATTCCAGCGTCTTTTCAGCTGAGTGGCTGGATCCTTCGTCTCTATTACATCTATCATTGGACTGAGTTTGCGTTGGGGCCCAAGCTTTTCTTTTATGAATGTATGAGATTCTTTAGGCAATACTTGTTTAGGCAGTCCAGATTACTTCAAAATGCTTTTACTAGTCTGTACTCTAAGTTGCGCTGTACTGAAGGCGCACGGGGCGTTTGATATAGGCCTCAAATTAGGTTGCACAGCTAAGAGTTTTTCCCTCTGCAGATTAACTTCATGACTAGATACCATCTCAGCGAAGACCGCTGCGCCTTGCCTAGCTGGAGTGGTATCTGCTTTTTTTAGAAGGTAGATGTATCTAGCTGAGACGAAGCTCTTGACTCCACAGGCTTCTTTCGCTTATCATTAAACGACAGCCAAGACAAGCAGGCAGTGAGTAAAACGAGAGGGCGGTCCCTCTGAGTGCTGTCAGCAGCCTCATCAGTCGCCTCACGCCTTACCACTATGCAGCAGGGCGGCGGAGTCGCTTTCATTTGCGCCCCTCCTCCTCTTGGTTCTGTACAGCAATGCATGTGCATGTCAAGCTTCACCCTGAGTCCTCTTAAGGTGCTTGAAGGCTGAAGTGCATTATTCGAGGCAGGGAATGCTGTTCCCCTGGATTAGATTCTTCAATGCCACCACCAGACAGTCCTTTGATGGCACCATCCCAAGAAAGTCTATCACAACCGCCTGATCAAAGATGAAAAACAGGAAAACCTCCCATCATAAAAAAGGGGCCCAAAGAAGGATGCTGATGACTCAGGATCTTCACTTGCAATTTGGCTTCGTTGGCATTGATCAGACTTCTCTTCTATGCCACCCCATCTTGACGCAGCTGATGCAAGAATAGCACCACCCCTAAAAGGACCCTTGTTCAAAAGTTATGAACCTGGGATAAAACACAAAAGAAAGATGGATTGTCGCCACACTCTTTGTTGATGAGAAAATGCAGAAAAGAAAGTGCCCACTTTCTTGGCAATTCTGGGGGGCTAGCCACCAGAATCGACTGTGTTAAGAAGCATGAAAAAGCTGATGGAGTGTAATAAGAAGATTGCGTTTACCTCGCTGATAGGGCAGCTAAGGGGTCCTCCATTTCCAGATTGGTCCCCTTTCCGGGAACCTGTCCTGCCCTTGACCGCCCCATGTCTCAAGTTTTTATGTGCTCTGCACGACTAATGCAGCATGTTGCTCTAGATTTGGAGGAGCAAAATCTACACCAATTAGCCTGTGCCTTAAATATTCTTGATCAGAAGACAACCATGACATTGACAACATTTGACATTGACAAGGGCAAGGGAAAGAAATGGCCAAACAAAGTCAGCTGATGGCAGCCCTCGCGAGCTGCAACTAGGAGCGCGAGCCAAACTTTTGGAACAACCGGCACTGGCTGACGTCGGAGTCATCCCCCGGGCGGCGCGGCGCGGCGGCTTTCAATCATTGAATGGCGCCCGGCCCACTGCCATACTTCACATCCGTCCGATGCGCAACGAACGGCTCACATCGTCGGGCTTTACAACCGGGTTAAGTGTGTGACTTACGACAATTACCAGCGGCCTAACGTGAGCCTAACCGCAGGTTAGGCCCGGTGCAGCAAAAGAGTCATGATTCTTGCTCACAGGCGCAGGAGTTGAACTGAGTGCCCCTGCAATTGCACGATTGCAGCAACCAAGATTTTCTTAATACAGGCCGCCCGAGTTCCCTTCAATATTATCGAAGAAATTCCCCACCATGTTCAAAGCGGTGGTGGGTACGCATACAAAGCGGCCCTTAGGCCTAAGCACACGATGCACTATAACAATGATTGTACGCAGTGCTGATGACATTGAGTTTGATATCGACGTACACTTGTTACGCCTATAAAGCGGAGTCAGTCGGAATAGAGGAGTCGATTCTACGCTTTGGAAACTTACAACGAACTCTTGAACCATTTAGGTTGTGGGGCGAGCGTGGTGCAAAGTACAAACACAAAATCTTACGCCGTATAGCTATGCAGAAATGCAGCTGCTCTTGCGAGGCTTCCATGGCATACAATGTTTCAGTTAACTGAATTCGCCTAGCTATACCCTACCAAATCTGGTTTTCCTACGTTAGTCCAACGCTAAAAAACCTACCGTTGCAACAACCTATATATCCAGGATCGATTTGCAAAACTGCGTCATGCTGTGTCCAGAGTACGGCCTAGAAGATTGTTGGGACGAGGATTGCACTAACTAGCGGGCCTATGATCGACATCTGTCAACAAACGCTGACTTCCAACGACACAGGTTCTGGTTGCAAGAAATTTGCCGATCAGATCGATCGGAGCAGCGGCCTAAGCATATTAAATCGTAGGCCAGTAAAATTCTGCGCATTTGTCGCTTGAGGGCGCGCACGCCAGGTCGAAAGATGGACTGATCGAAAAGGGGCTTAACTATTGGCAAAGGGCCTAGATTGGGGGGGGAACTCCAGCGCGGGTCGGCTGGCGGTCTTTCAATATGAGGAACTGCCGTGCATGATTGGTAACTGTGAGTTTGGCAGGTCACCTTCATGCAGACCCATTGATGGTCTGAAATTGCCGTTTGAAGCGGTTGCTTGTACAGTGGGAACGTGGGCTACGTGCGTATGAACAAAGACCGAGATTTTGCAAACTGTTCCCAAAGACGTCGTCAACGTGACAACATCGAAGTGTAATTTCAAACTCGTCTGATGACAGTCACTGTGCGTGCGCGGCGGCTCCTATGGTAACCTGATTAACAACCAGTTTCTGTGGACTATCTATGTCAAGATTCGCGTTTAGGGAGGTACTCAGAACCCAAACCACACCTCCATTTCTTCTATCTCAACGAGCCAGTACACATGATATATATATGAGCTGTAACTATTGGTGCGCAATCTGATCAACCCGTAGCAGCGAGCAATTCGTCCCCATGGCTTTCCTATTACTGTTTACATCCATGTCTGACTACTAAAGCATCAACGGTCCGAAAGGAACCAAAAGTGTTTTCTGTAACTTCAACCCGTTCCAGGTTGCACGTACCTTCTCTGTCAGCCCCTTCTTCCTTTGTCCTCCCCCTTTTTTTGTCGCCCTCACTCCAAATACCCTAATACCCTGCTGCGGGGCAACATTTCGAAGCCAAACTTGCCGGTCTCGTCCCCACTTCAAGAAGGAACCGTCTCTTGCCAACGATGAACCTACTGTCAAACTTCCCATTCTCTGTCTTCGCGCTTCAGCTCTTCGCCAATAAAAACACGCGTCAAGCCACAAGTTACTGGATGTATCTCTGCATGCCCTTGACCGCCCCACCTCGGATAACAGCCTCGTATACAAAAGTCGCCAGGATGGCCCCAGTCAGAGGCCCCACCCAGAAGATCCACTGCGAGGGACAGACAACAGTGTCAAAGCAAAAGCAAACACTTTTTGAAACCTACGGCTGATGTTGTGAGCAACAACATGAAAACGGTCTCGCACAGTAGCCAGACCGCGTTCAGCAATCCAGATACCTCAAGCGAAATATGTTCGGAACGTATCTTGGACAATTGAAGCAGTCGTTTTCCGGAAGAATGCACTGATTAGGTATCCTCCGCAATCTAGAAAGCGCGGCAGCGCATCAGGCAGAAACTCATGGCAAGAGCCCGACGGCCCAATGCTGGGTCTGCTCGAAGGTAAAGTGACCGACTGCAACTAAATTCTCGCTATGTCATTCCAGATGTGACTGTCGTGGAGCACCACTGCAGGGCCCACGTTTCGTGCGGGCTTGACCAAAGTTTCTCACCGCCCTGAATCTTCAAATGTCTTGCCTTTGAGGCACGATGAATGACAAACTCGAGGTCGGGCTCACGACGTCGTCAGTGTCCAGAAAGGTGACGTCATGCGGGCTCACCATGTCCTTCCAAATGTGGCTGTCGTTGAGCACGACCGCCGGCCCGAAGCTGCGCGCGGGGTTGATCGAGACGCCGTCTACGGGGATGAGCGCAATGTGCACCACGAAGATGGAGAAGCCGATTGCCAGGGGCGCGAGGACCTGCCACGTGGCATCAAAGTATCAATACCTGGTCTTACAGTATGTTCAGAAGTGCGCGCGTGCTGGGATTTTGAGTAGACGTCTTCTACGGGGATGAGGGCAATGTGCACTGCGAAAATGGGGAAGCCGATTGCCAGGGGCGCGAGGACCTGCCACGTGACAGCAAGAGAATAATCAGGGGCAAACAATTGTTTATTTCAGAGCGCGCGCGTGGCACGTGATTTGACGCCGTCGACAGGGATGAGCGCAGTGGGTTCCACGAAGATCGAGAAGCCGATTGCCAGGGGCGCCAGGACCTGCCATGTGGCAGAAAAAGACCGTCCAATCAGTAGTGACTGATGCTTCCGAGCTGCGCGCGTCGATGTGAGGGTTAAAATGTGAGGGTTAGCCGCCACCAAATGTGCGGTTCGCAACAGAAAGATGGAGAAGATGTTTGCCAGAGGCGCGAGCAAACGCCACGCGGGCCCTAGGGGCAGCGGCCCAATCATGCGTCGCTCGTCTGTTAATCCGCCTAGTAGGGGCTTCACAGTAACTGTTTCGTTTCTCTGAGAGCGACATATGTGTCTATTGGTTCAAACCGTTGCATGAGAGCTTCTTTAGCCGGGTTTAAGGTCACGAGACGCGTGATAAGGATACAACCGCAATGAGGGCAAATCTCTTACGGAGAACCACCCGGAATCGGTTTCGTGCTCGGCCCTAAGCCTGAGACCCAAATAAGAAAGACCGTAACTTGGATACGCACCGGAGCTGAGGGTAATACATAAATTTAAAACTACGAAGCCGTCTTATCAGCGCAAGGGGCAGCACGGAAAGAGAACAGATCGGTGGGGCCGCCGGGTAGAAAGTTTGGAGCTTGCTTCCGATTCCTCAATTCGTTCTGGTCGACAAGTCGTATTTGGGAGCAGACACCAGGACACAGAATGAAGATGGGACCCGCATAACTGACGAGAGTTTTCCCGCAACCCCTGAGTGGACTAAAACTGCCGCCGCTTGCGATTAGCCTAGCAATTGACGAAGTCGTCGTTCTCGCTTACCCCTAAATGAGGCGACACCTCGAGGGCGGATCGCTTGGGGTCGGTCGCCGCGAAGATGGTGTAGATGAGCACGAAAGTCCCGATGACCTCCGCCGAGAAGGCACCACCTACGAAGCAAAGGTTGAAACTCTCAGGCGGCGGCAATTTTGATCCTGGGAACCGTCTCTCGCTTACCCAACTATATGTCTTGCCGGAATAGAGAATATTTCCTCGATTGCCCCGCACTTGCCTCGATCGCTTTAGAAGACTTCACGTTCCGCAAGTTCCAATACCTTTTCAATTTCATAAGGTAGAGACTCGTTACAGGTCACTTGCTTCAGCCAAGCGTCACAGCTCAACTTGGTAAACCAAATGGATCATTGCGCCGGAATCTACGAGCTTCAAAACTCGAGAAAATTGCTACAATCGACAAGCTCCCTGAATCGTTTGGTGCTTCTGCTCAACATAACATGATAGAAAATCTTCTCCGTACGCGTTGCTGTGTATACCCTGACCGTTCAACAATTCAGTACAACGACATCCATCCTTTTCGAATTTGACAATAAAAGGCCTTGACACTCAGCACTGTTGGGACGGCATTTGACAATAAAAGGCCTTGAAATTCAGCACTGTTGGGACGGCATAAATGTTCGACAATATTAGATTGGAGCTATGAATGACGCACCAACTGTGTAGCCGCTCTGCACGAAGTTGCAACCGCCATACACCCGGTTGTACAACGGCGTGTTGATCTCCCTGACGATTGCAGCCCCGCAGATTGCTCCCACAACCTGACGACAGAGGAAAGAAAGTGTCTCTTGCTCGAGCTGCAAAAAGCCCCCGGCCCACGCAAACCTTCTGACCGTCTGCATGAATGCAACCCCCAAATGTTGAAAAATAAATCCAAGGAAGCGAGTCCTAATGCAAGTTTGTAAGCATGAAGCGCTGGTGCCCATTATCGGACGAGCAAGGCAAGGGCCGACTATTTATTTATTATCTATTTATTTATTTATTTGCAACTCCAGCTGCATTCATATGTAACTTTTGACTTACAAATTCATAATGACGATTCAACATCATCGGTGATCGATCACTAGGACGCCTTGCTCAACTTCTTGCAAGCGTTTAGACCAACGTTCAAGCGATCTAGTGATGCACTTCTGCTGACAAATCCGTAAGCTCAGTCGTTTGCTGACGTGTCTCTTTCGCGTGCCCAAACGTTGCGCAGACTACCTTCACGCTCTGCTCACTCTCTCTGTCCGCTCGACCAAATTTTCGAATGCATCCGTTTATGTCCAATCGTCGCCTAGATCCTAGAAGGAATGAGACACAGAATCAAGCACCTATACATCAGAAGTAAATGCCGTTCCACAAGGTTGACGTGGATTTCTTGATGTAAACCGCGTAGATATTTCTAGAAACTAAGGAACGACGGTCTCACTTGGGCGCACATGTACAGGAGTCCCTTGATGACGTCAATTCTGCCCGCCAGGAACATGGCAAATGTCACCGCAGGGTTAATGTGACCGCCCGACAGGCCCGCGCTCGAGTATACCAACACGAAGATGCTGCAACAAAGGGGGTGTGTGCTGGCGTCACTTGAGCATCATGTGACGTTACTATAAGTTCTAGTGTTCGAGCTGCCCTCTTCAAAAAGCACAACCAACCGCGTTGACGGTTCTCGCTACTTATTTGCCTTGCACATAGAGTAACGAACTACTGAGAGTGAACCCACACGTGTACCGATCGTTGCAGGACCTCGGACTTGAGCACGGAGCACGTACCGACCGCTTTTGCCAAGTAAATACGTCTTCAAGCGTGATGCTTCGAGAGTTCTAACGCAGTGCAATTTCCTGCTTCCTCTAATCAAAACAAAAAGTCAGTGGCATCGATTCGGGCGAGCCGACCGTTGGTCAAAGCCAAGAAGGGAAAAGGACACATAAGCAGGATATGAGCAGAACTGGTCGACACAATAGCCATGAGTGTGGTCGACGTAAAACACGCAGGGTTGCAAAGTAGGTACGCAGGTTCCTCACGTGATGCCAAACGCGAAGGCGATGCCGAAGAGCCCGACCCCTCCCGCAAACGTGAAGTTCGTGAACACGATCGCAGAGATGACAAAGAAGATGAAGAGCCCCGTGGAAAGGAACTCGACGAAGACGTCGCGCCACAGCATGGGGGTACTCAGCGCGCGGGGCTGCCACACTTTGGAGAGGAAGGTGTGGCGCCGAATGCCGACAGCTTGGAGAGTTTCATGCTGCAGTGGTGAAAGGGAGATAAGGAATGAGCTGGCACAGAACTTCTCCAAGTCTGCTGGAGTGTGAGGGATTGATTTGTGGGTTCTGAAGCACAATATGTGGCATCATTTCTATCTTCGAGAACGACCTGATGGGAAGGTATCGACATCCTAATCCAGATTGCTGGTTCACCTGCCGCCCTTCAGTGAGGCCATACATTTCACACAGATTGAACTAGAAAACCGTGCTCCTTCTCCTGCTTCTTTGAGTTCGCATACTTGTGACGAATCTTGCCGCTGAACACCTCGATGTGCCAAAGTCAAGTTGCCAGCTCAGCTTGGAAGAGTCACTGCTAGATTATACAGTGCTTCGGAAACACTACGTGGCATGAGTTGTGGAGCCCTCTGACTGCACTACACAAGGGCAGGGAAAACAAACGAAAAGGGAAGTACTGGGTGGAATCCTTAAAGCAGATATGTTCGAGTATGTGCAAGCCATTCGATAAATTGCAGCAGTCATTTTGCAATTGCATTTTGTGATTCGCTTTGTGAAGGGCTAGCACGTCTGATAGGAAAGAAACTCTCTTGAAGAAACTTGAAAAGCCAGGGAAGGGGCGGTTGTTGAAGCTAATGCATGCTAGTCATTAGTAGATAGATGTCCAGCCAGTGCAATGTGTTCAAAGGGTACGCTTGAACCCGGAGTAGCCCTGGTCAAGCACAAGTGAAGTGATGTATCAATCAACACAGGAGCCTTGTATGAATAAGGTCCCCATGCATGTAAGGCTCCCTCAGACAAACATTATATCCACAGGGGAACTGCATACAGCCCAGGCTTGAAAAGCACTCAGTGAAATTTTTTCATGACAGCGGAGTGCAATCCAGATTGTTTGTCCTTGAATTGCACCTCAGAAACAGACTTGTCTATTTTGATCAGACGACCCAGCAGCTCAGAACAGTAAGGGAGAAGCGCTGCATGCACTCACAACGATCATGGCCCCACCATCAATTGACAAAAACCCTGCTCAGAAGAAAGCCACAAATAGGACGCGAAAGAGGAAATGAAGACACAACAAGAGAGGGGGAGGCAATAGAAAGCACTCACATCTGTTGCGGCCCCTGCATGGACCCCATGGGCCTCCTTGACTGTGAACCCGCTCTCCAGGTCCACATGGTGTCCACCTGCTGGTGGGGGAGCGCTGACGGTGTTGGCTGGCAAAGAGGATGCGGGAAAGTTGCGCACCGATAGCACGCTGTCTCCTGTAGCAACGTGCATTCCACTGGACGCCATCTTCGCAATTGGTGACCCAGTTGAAACTTGGAATTGTATGGTCACCAATGAAGACTTGTGACTACTGCCGGCAGCTTAGTGACGTCGCCCTTGAGTGATCAAACACAACGTTTGAAGCTTACACTAACTGGTAAGTTTGGCCCTTACAATACTATATTGATGCAAGCAAGGTGCAACAACACAATTAATTCTAGAAGCCAAATGTTGTGAATGAAGGCGAATAAGCTGTGCATCGATTGGACACGGCACTATGCCGGGAACTTCTAAGGTGACAGTCCAGTGACAGTGAAGAGAGGAGGACTGTCTACAATGCAACAGGCTCTGATGCAAACTCTTGTTTTCTAGCTAGAACGGCCGTGCATGTAGCGTACAAGCCTGAAGAGGGCCCCGCTACTTCTGCCCGCTAGGATGTAAAACTTTGCCCTTTTTCTTGCAGGGCTTGCTGCAATCAGCAATTGGAATGGATGTGATTGGTTTCCTGCAAACGCCTCCCACTTTGGCCCTGCTCGTGCTGTGGCGCCACTGCTAGAAAGCAGCTGGTTGCTTTTGGACAGTCGTGCTGGCACTGCAGCTGCACGATTGGTTTCAACCCCTGCACTTTCGCGCTTGCTCATGATCGTCATCGTCATCCAAAAGGAAGCAATCTGATCTGCTCATGATTTGCAGCGGCCAGCCTGCTCCCTTCTACAACTTCAAGTGCGCACTGCACAGTCCAAGCCTTGACACAAGTTCACAAACCACAGGTGTCGGTGCTAGCTGTCCCGGTCGAGATCAGTTCGAGGAATCTGTTCTGGCAGGAATTGATTGGCCAAAGCAGGCACGGGGTTCACGTGGATACAAGTTCCGCAATGATTGGCAATCAACCCGCATATATTGCTTCAAAGCGTACGGTAATGGTTCTTGCTGTGAGATCTGTGCTTGAGCCTTTAGTGCAGCTCAATTCTCATCTAAGTTTTCACTGACTCTCAAGTTTCAGAGCTGGTTGTAGCAATTGCACATCTCTTGAGGGCGTTCAAAATGCTTCATTGCGCTTGAAAGACTGCACGAAGAGCTACAATTATGGCTCAAAAACGCAAGTTTCAAAAGGGTGGGAAGAATCAGAAGCAAAAGGAGGCTTTCGGGCAAGGCAAAAAACAAAAGAAAGCCTTTGAGAGAAAGAAAGGTAGGCAAAGTCCGCACCACCACCATCGAGACAGTTGGACCCAACCCTTCTTTTAAGTGGAATCTTTGAGCTGGCGCAATCGTGCACTTACTCGCTAAAGGAAAATGCTGAAGGAGTGGCAGCTTTGCAAAAATGAAGTCACAGTTTATGATTCTTTTAAAGATATTTAAAAAACACCAGCTTTTGTGTACAAACTGGCAGTATTGTGTACATGTACCTGAATTGACCATGTAGATCAGCACACGGGCAGGACAAAAAACTGCCGAATCACCAGGAAACGCAGTGTCAGCGTTCACGAGACTCTAGTAATGCACACAAAAAAACAACGACGTGCAAGACTTTATATTGACTTGGTGTTGAATTGCTGCAGGCGCGCCGACGCCCGCGCCTGCCCCCCCTTCCAGCAGCGACGAGGAGAGCGGGGATGAGCTTCCTGAGCTGGCGGGGGGTGCGTCTGCTTACCAGGCGCTCCTCAGCCAGCTGCACTCGTCAGGGGGGCGTAATGCGCAGGCCATGCAGCAGAGGTGCGTTACAGGGGTGGTGTAGTTTGTCTTCTTGATGCCCACAGTGGTTGTGAGCCATAAGTGATCTCTCTTGTGGCATATCCCGCTTGCAATGTTATCAAACCTTATTTTCTATGACGCAGTTTCTCCATTTGCTTCCTTTTTAGTATGTAGGGTCATATGAAGTTCGAGAGCGGTACAATCCTGGGACAGGAAATCATGGAGTCCGCAGATCAATTGCGCTTGAGAGGATTTGGCATCGGCAGAGTTTCTGCTTCCGCCCTAGTCAGGGCTCCAATCTGCAGATGTAGAAAAGGTAAAGGGAGTTGAAGAAACGAAATTATGGAGACATTGAAACCTGTAAAACTGAACCCTGCAGGTTGAAGGAACAGCAGGGGGGAGACACAGATAGCGAGTCCGAAGAGGACGTTCCTCAGGGGGAGGAGGAAGCCGACGACGATTCGGCAGAGAGCGAATTAGGCCACGATGAGGCAGGGAATGAGCTCGATGAAAGTGCATTCCTAGACGATCTGGGGAGCGGTTTAGAAGATGGGGAAACAGGCGATGAGGGGAGTGAGGGTGAAGAAAGTGAGGGTAAAGAGAGTGAGGGGGATGAAAGTGAGGGGGAAGAAAGCGGAGGCGAGGACGAGAAAGCAATGGATGGGGTTGGTAAACAGGATGGAGAAGGCTCGGATGAAGACACCGAAGCTGGAGGGGAAGACGTTGGGGTGGAGAGCGATGAGGATGATGAGAGGGGGGGGCCAGAGAGTGATGAGGAAGAAAGGCGGGCGAGTAACGGGGATGCAAGCACGAGCGCAGTGCCAGAGTGAGTCCTCGTGGCTGTTGTGCCCCGGTGCTTCCGTAATTTCATCTTATCATGCAGAGTTCGTCCGGATTTATGTAGGTCGATGCAGGGTTTGAATGCAGACGTAGCCGATCTTTTTGCATCTTTGTGAATTTATTGTGTACTCCGAAATGGATGTGAAGGTTGGGAGATATTGCTCGAGAGTTCGCTTTTCCCGGGCACGCACTCATGTTGAGAGTTTGTGAACGTTCCGCTTCCCGCAGCCCATTCGAAGTCCACATGGGCCGCCAACTGACCGAGTCCGAGGTCGCCCTTTTGGGCGAGGGATCCCTCCGCAAGTTCTCAAACTCCGCTCCTGCCGAGGGGCTCTCGGATGCTCAGTGGCTATGCGACCGGGGGGACCTACCGGACACTCTTAAAGGCCTGGAGGATGCCCGGTTGAGGCCCCGGTTGGCGGAGCGATGGAGGCAGCTGCGCAAGAAGGCGGGGAAGAAGGGCGACTTTGATTCGCCACTCCAGGCGCAGTTCTTCACCTACTGTGAGCGCCAGTGCGAGTGTATATTAAGAGCGGAGCGCCACATTGTTTGACGTTTAAGGGTTTGGACGAGTCCGTTCGAAATTGTGTTTGACAGTCCAGCATCGGCTTTGTCGGGGATCCTAGCGCAGCGCTTTTGAATCAGCGCGGTTCGTTCAAACAAGCAGAGGGGGACTGCATGGAAGGCAGAAGATGATGCGAGGTCGTCTACATGGTGTAATGAAGCGCCATCGAAATAGCATTCCGAGCAATTTGAAGCTAGCAATGCTTCAGCATCTTAGCAGGTCCGTGTGCGGCGAGCATTTGCGTAGTCCTTGCTATCCACTAAAAAGAGAAGTCCGCACGAGCCCTCAGTTGGGTCACGACGTCGTCTCGCTTGTTCACAACACAAATTCATTCCTCCGTCATCCTTGATTGCCCTTCGAATCGACTGCCTTCTTTCTCCGACTCTTTCAGTTGGTTCGGCAGAGCTAGACTGAGGAAGATTGGCCAAGAATGGCGACGAAAATGGTCCCGACAGAAAAATGAGAGAAGACACAATCAAGAAGGCACTAGCAAGTATCAAGATGAGATGCATGCCAAAGTTTCTCGGCTGCTAAACATCTAGATGCAAGGAATGCTTGAAAGGCAGTCAACTGTTGATTATCAACTCGCTTGAGCATCCTGCGAATTAAAGGCTCGGAAACCTTCTTTTCTGCAGGCGCTCACTACCACGACATTTTCCACCACCAGAAGCCCCTCCCGGGGAGTCGGCCCGGGGCGTCCGAGGAGTCGGACAGCATTTCGGACGCAGTGCTGCTTCACACTGTAAGAACGCCCCAGAGACATTCTAGATACTTTCCTATAGCATGAGTATTGGGAAGAGCTGGGCCGTTCGGTGTTGGAAGATAGTGCTAGGGAGAGGGTGTTGATATCTAATTTGAACGTGAAGGCAAGGGAGTGCGGGTCTTCTCGCCTTCTGAGGACGATTCTGGGCGACGGTTTAGGACTGTGGGGGTTTGGAGCGACCTTACCGGGCAACATTCAATTCGTCACTCCAAGATCGTATAAGTAGTTTTCTTTTTTGAGAGTGGAGGCGACAATTGCGGTTGGGCAGAATCTGCTGTAACCGCAAGCATTAGAGTCTCAACCTCGGATCAAACCCTTGCCGGGTAAGATTTGACTGCAGCTACAACCATTGCTCTGAGTTGTGGAAGCTTATCAATGCATTGCGTTCCTCAGAGCGACAATAGTGTTTTGCCAGTCAAGAGCTCATGAAAATCAACTGACGCTGTAAACCCCTCGCAAGCACGCTCGCACATTCATTTATTCGTTTGTACCAATCGCAGCTGAACCACGTGATCAAGGCAATCATCGTCGTGCCTATGTGAGCTCATTGTGACGTTACGAAAAAGGTACAAACCTCCCGCAAGCACGCTCGCGACATATCTCGGCTCGCTTCTGCTGACTGCAGCTGAACCACGTGATCAAGACGCGCGAGCGCATCGTCAAGAACAACACGAAGCTGCACAAAAAGCCGAGCGCCGACACGGACGCCGCCGGGCGGGAGGAGGGGCCTGCGGACACGCTTCCGGACGACACGGCGCCGCGGGACCAGGGGTTTACGCGGCCGAAGGTTGGTGCCTTTTACGCAACAAAAGTATCCAGGTCTGTGCGGACCGAATCTGAAACGTCTGAGTCAGTATTAGTCTGGTCAGCGGGCCACTGCCACGTGCACTCTTGGTTTGCTCTCAACAGCTGTGTTCGGTTCCGCCGGCCTGCCATTGTTGGGGTGCCATTTCTGGGTGCACACATCGAGCCGGGACTATAGTGCAGCGGCAGGCTTCCGTCCCCCGCTGCTTATGCTTTCCCGCCACATCCCTTTCGTCTGTGTGAAAACCAGGTCTGGAACCATTCTTCTCCTCGCGTCCAGTCAGTGCTGTCCGAGGAGGGCTCTGAGCTGAGAGGGGGGTCGCGTTTTGCTTGGTTGATGTTGGGGGTGAGAGAGGGGAAGGGACGTGTTTGAAGAGTCAAATGCGAGGAGTTCAAAAGTGGCTATAGAACGAAGGTGCTTCGAGGATCCTTTATCGGATACTGTTGGGCGTGTAGTTGCAAATTACGAGTATGTCAGCAACCCGCAGGATCTTTAGCGTGATAGCGGACGACCTCAAGAAACAAGAAACAGAACCACGGGGAGATTGCTAGTTTGAGCTTGAAGAAGGACAAGACGGAAAAAAGCTTCAGAGTGACGTCACTCAAAAGGCAGAAGGGGGATGGGAGGAAGAGGACGAAGCAGCTCCTCGAAGCCTTGCACTCTCTCCGCTCAATCGCCCGATTACGAGCGCAGCTGAACCTTCGTGCGGGGTCATAATTCCCCCCAAGAAACAGCCACTTTGTAACTCAGCGCGCGCGTTTTACCTTCCAGGTGCTGATCGTGCTGCCGTACCGCAGCGTGGCTCTCAAGGTCGTCAAGCGCATGCTGGATCTGCTGCCGCCAGCCCAGAAGGTGAGGTCCGCCGTCGAGCAAAGAGTTGCTAGAGTGTCCGCACTCGCTTGATTCCCCAGCGCAGTCAGGGTTTGCACCGGTCCCGTGCTTTCCAACGGGTCGAGTACAGGCGGGTGTCTGCTGCGATCCCAGACATTCAATGCCTCACGGAAATGCTGGACCTAGAGTTCTGGAATCTAAGAGTCTCTTTCTGCCCGGGAAACGCCAGCAGTTCGGGGCGTGCCCAGGCTATCCATCTCACGTCTTCAAAATGTTTCCAGTATTCTGCGTGTATTGTGTGGTTTTACTCCTTGACGACCTGTTTTGCTTCTTGCCTCTTTCTGCAACCGATTGAACTTAAAGGAGAGGACCCAGTGCGATTGCCATTCGTTGGGCGTCTTCGGAGCCAGTTTATTACATTTGTCGTAATAAGCTGTCGTATCATCTCGTTCACACCAGAATGATGATTAGCATTCACGTTGATCCTGAGGAGTGTGCAGTCTGCACACCGTCTCAGTCGGGAACGTCGAACGTCAGTGTGGGTTACCCTCCGAGAGTCCCAAGAGCTTCGGTACTAGTCAGGAGGAGACGGCTTGACAAACGGCAGCAACGTTTGTGCAGGACAGTGTATATCCATTGATCCATCTTCTTGATTCTTTTGAGTGCCCTTCAGCCACCTGTAAGCCGGAGCGTTTTCCTTCCATTCTGCTCATTGACCATCTCGGACTTTCCACTAAACCCCAGGTTATCGTCTCAGATTACCGTGGAGCACGAGGCGCGCTTTCTGGACGACTTTGGCGTGGAGGAAGATGAAGAGGCGGAGGCGCTGCTACAAAAGGCTAAGAAGCAGAAGAAAGGTGCGCGAGCATCTCTTGTGCGCTCTTATATACGGGCCCCCGTTCGTCCAGTACGTAGTGCATGAGCTAAGCGGACGGTGAGTTGCATTTCAGTTGACGGGTTCGAAGCTGCGCACTTTTCCAGCAAGGATGCCACGGAGAGGCGGAGGCGCTGCTGCAAAAGGCCAGAAAGGGGAAGAAAGGTGTGCGAGCATCTCTTATGCTGTCTATATGCGGGCCCCAATACGTAGTGGAAGAGCTAAGCGGACGGTCTGAGTTGCTTTCTAATCGACGGTTCGAATTTGCGTGAATCGTCCGGCAAGGATGTTGTGAAGAGGCGGCGGCGCTGCTGCAAGGCCAAGAAGCAGAAGAAAGGTGCGCGAGCTAGGTAGTTTACCTAGCCTTGGTTTCTGCTTGCAAAGAACGGCCGCACAATCGCCATTCCGTATGGTAGACGCATGCCACTTGTTAACGTTTCATACCTGCTTATATTACCTGCTTGTAACCATAGACGAATCTGTGACTCTCTTTTAAATAAGAAGAGTTTTCATAAGTTGTTCCGATGTGCTGAAGGGCGGAATACCGGCGTAGCAGCGCGCTCTGTTTGGCGGCAACATTGAGCATTTGACTTCTCAACCGTACGCCATCTTTCAACGTTTTCCAAGTTTATTGCCAGGTGACGACTCCATGGAGGCGGCTGACGCAGTGCTGACGGGAGCCAAGCCAGCGGAGCACCGCGCGCTGTTTGGCGGCAACAACGACGACCACTTCCGCATCGGGCTGAAGCTGACGCGCAAGAGCGTCAAGCTGTACGCCGACTTCTACACCTCTGACGTCATCGTCGCGTCACCGCTCGGGCTCACCACGGTACGCTCTCCTCCTTCCTTTTACTCTTTTGCAGATGGTCGTCGTTTTACTGGCCGTTGATGCAGCAAAAGCAGTGTGTGCGGGGTTTCTTCCCCTTGAGGCCGGTTCTTTCCTCGCCATCCCCTTTCTTGTTTGCTACTTCCAGAAGCAAGGTGAAAGGTATAAATCGGTAAAAAGTGAAAGGATCTTGAGCACCAAAGTGCCTATTCTGTTGCTTTCAGATAGCGTCCGATCTTGCAACGTTCCCGATGCTAAAAGAGACGCAATATGCAAGCGCGGCACGTCTACCTGCGGTGCGGCTTGCCTCAGGCCTTCCAAGGATTTGCAAGTGCACCGGATTTTTACCGACATTCCTGCGAGCAACTTTTGCGGCTTCGTTGTCCCGTTGCCATCTGGAAGATACGTTTGTTTCCGCTCACTAAAATTGCGCCCACTTTAACTCAAGTATGTCCGAATTGCAGTCTTGGTTGGACCCACTTCTCGGACAAGCAAAGTTTGCTGGCCTCGGATCGTGTTCTGCAGGCGTTGATTTTTGACATAGTGGGAGCCTGACGGGCGGTTTGCATAGGATCAGATCAGTCTCGGTCTGAAAGCCCCAGATTTATTGCCATTCCCAAATTTGGGTCTAACTTTGGATCTTGGTTGGCTCTGCTCGTGCAGAGGATTGCCGAAGCCGAGGGGGATAAAGACGCTGACGTGGACTTCCTGTCGTCCATCGAGGTGGGCGCTTTTTCTAAGCAGAGCAAATCTGTTGCCAAGCATCTCCGAGACGGCTTGAGACCTTTTAGAAGTGGAGGCTCTCGTTTGGCTTTGCGCTTCGAACCTGCTTGACGGTCAGTTCTAGAGGACGAGTCTCCGAGTATTTCTCACAGCTCAGAGCAAGGCAGTACCAATCATAATTCCGCCCATTTCCCGAGATAGTTTCAGACGACGAGTCTCTTGCGAGTATATTTCAAGTCCCACAGCAAGGGAGCTAATATCACAATTTTGCCCCTTTCCCGAGATACTTGAATGCAAAGTTGATCAAAAATGTTAAGACCTCACCAGAAACAAATCAAGAAGCTATAAGAGGATACGTGACTTTCGCCGCTGGCAGCTGGGGCAAAAAGCCGCCGCTCGGGCAAAAGTGCACTGGCATTGGCCGAGGAAAGAGGGAAAGCAAACACTGTTGGACAAAGCTGGTTCCTATTCCAACCTTGAAACGGCCTTTCGTTTTGGGAACCCCGCTGTGTGCGCAGTCTTTTCTACCCTTGCGCTCTTTTCTTTCGGGCGGATATATCTTTAAAGACGACAAGGCTAGCACCTGTGATTAGCGCTTTCTGTTTCCCCATTCGCCAGTCGAGGCCAAAGTATCACCAATCGCTTGCACTTTCTGCAGTCTGCGAGTCTAAGCAGGCACAAGTGCTAAGAAAAGGGCGTTTGATGTTTCCTTTACAAGCAAGGCTGAAGTCCCAGTTGACCGTTCGATCTGCTGACGTCACTCCTCCCGCTTACAGATCGTGCTGGTGGACTACGCTGACGTCATCTACATGCAGAACTGGCAGAACCTGGTCCTCGTGTTCGAGCACCTCAACCGGCTGCCCACCAAACAGCACGGGAGCGATCTGATGCGCACGCGCGAGTGGTACCTCAACGGCTGGGCCAAGTTTTACCGCCAGACGATTATTCTCGGTGCAACCACGACTGCCGGTATGATCTCATTCTTGATGTTTCTCTCCCTCCCTCCTTTATACTCCTCCTTTCTTTGATGTTCCTCCTGAAGAAAGCAATATTATAAACGCCTGACACCTCAACGGCTGGGCCAAGTCTTACCGCCAGACCATCATTCTCGGCGCGACCACAAGTGCCGGTAAGATGTTCTTTTCACAATCCTCTTGAGTCAGGTTTTGAACAGGTTTGTAAATTCCTGCCTCAGATGAGCGTGAGTCTGTGTGGCAAAGCGCCTCAACATTAGACCAAATCTTCTCCGTTTGATAGGTTTCAAAGCTTTGACGACGCAAATGGCCCTATCGTGGAGTTGAGAACCTGCACCTTACAGACAGTGGCAATGATTTCGTTCCCTAAGCATCTCATAGACACACCTGAAAAAGGCACACCATGGCTTCCGCACTCTTTCTGAATAGACTTCCCGTTCGATACCAACCTTTTTGAGAGAACCACCCTCAACCGCACATGTTATTTTTCTCAGAAATGAACGCGCTATTCCACCGGCACTGCTTCAACGCCGCCGGTCGCATCAAGCTGAAGGCGCAATCCCCTGGGGTGCTTTCTAAAGTCATCCCCCGCGTGCGCCAGCTGTTCGAGCGAGTGCCATGTGGCAGCGCCGGATTGGCCGACGACGCGCGCTTCGACTACTTCACGAAACAGGTGCGCTTGGGAGCTTTCATGAGAGGCGCGCCCTTCCTAAAGTTTCACGCAAATGCAATTTTCGTTCATCCAAGCAAGCTGTGTGCTTTTAGAAAGCCAGAAGACGTGCGCTTGCGTTGCGCTGAAATCGAGGCGAGACTGCGTGCGCTGACGTCAGTCAGGGACTTGCGGCGGTGCTTGGGTGCGTTTTGGAGGGGTTCTGCTTTGGAGAAAGGTTTCAGCGGGGCCCTCTGACTTGAAACATTGGGTTTGCAAGCATCAGACCGTCTGAAGTTGTTGACATGAGTACTTACATGTACACGCGCTCTTTTCTCTCCTTGCCACCCATGTCAGCGCCACGAGGCGTAACGAACAGTTTGAAACACCTTCGCCTCGCTCCTTCGGTCTCCGACAAAGACGTCAAAGGAAGTGCCTAGGACTCCAGATTTGCGAAGAAGAAAGTTCTGACTGCGGATTCTGTCGACCATCGCAACAGTTTTTTCTTATCTCCAGATTTGGTCAAACAGATTCGCACAGGAGTTCTTGGCTGCTAACCAATTTCATTATGAGACTTAAGCTTAGGTTGTGAAACAATTAATCGGGCTTTAATCCTGTTCCAAAGCTGGTTCCCGGCCAAGTCCGGCCATTGGACATATAACCACTATCTAACCATCCCTTAACCATCCATGGCTACGGGCCAGAAACCCCTGTGATCTGACCACCTTGCAAATCCGCGTTTGCAGGTGTTCCCCCGCATCAAGGACTCGGTCCAAGGCGGTGTCCTCATCTTCACGCGCTCCTACTACGACTTCGTCCGCCTGCGCAACTTTCTGCGCACGCAAAACGCCTCGTTCGCCGCTTTAGGCGACTACACGAAACAGAGCGACATCTCGCGCGGCCGCGCGTGGTTCTTCCACGGGAAGCGCCAGTTTCTGCTGTACACGGAGCGCGCGCACTTTTACCACCGGTACCGGATCAGGGGGATCAAGGACCTGGTGTTTTACTCCCTCCCGGAGTACCCAAACTACTATGCTGAGGTGAGGTTCTTGGGTTGGGGGGTTTTGTGGTTTTGTAGCGGTGGAAGGTCAGTTGTTTCGCGTGGATGTGGAGATGATTTTGAGTGGGTTGGAGTCTGGTCTTATGAAAGAGGCCACAAAGAAGGTCGATGATTTGTTGGAAAAGTTCAAGGTGTGGTCGATGTGAGCCCTCCAAAATTTTGTGTCCGCTTTTACCCCTGCTCGATCACAGATTCCAAACCGTGCTTTCTTACGTATCAGCTTATCAGTTCACAGCGTAACGCTCTGGCAGATCTGCACGCGAATGGAGACGTGGCGAGATTTTATGAGCAAACGATGAAGTATCCATGAAGTGTCCATTCTGCTTGCCAATCCGTTCCGTTCCGTTTGCAGCTTCTGAACCTGCTCGAAGGAACGGACGCCCCGACCTGCACCGCCCTCTTCGCTCAGCACGGGGATAATCTAGAGGTGGGTCACGCGTAACCCTGTCCAGAGCGCAATCAGAAATGTAGGGCGATTTTGCACTTGGGCGAATCTTCGTCTCCGAGAAAAGCTTCCCTGCGGTTGATTTCGCTTGAACCAGTCACACTGCTGTGCAGTTGGAGAGGATCGTCGGGACTTCGCGCGCGCGCAAGATGTCCAAGTCTGAGAACAAGACCTTCATGTTCTGCTAAGCCACTGCACGGGAATGGTTGAGAGATGTACGCTTCCCGATCCGCTGCCAGACCCCGCGGCGTCGGTGGGAATTATTGATGCGAGAATCCCAGTTGGATTTTCAGAAGCCGGATTCGGCGGCGAACTTGTGTACCAGCACAAACGTTTCCTTAATGGATTCCATCAATGATTGAGGAAACAGGAGCGAGAATCAGAGAGATTGTCTCGGAACAAGATCCTCCAGAAGTGGTGCATACGTGCATCCAATTGAAAACTAAATCAGGCGCTGTCGAGAAGCCACAAACGGAATCCATATATCTGGCATGTGGTACAAAATGCAAAGATTGCAGTGCCGGCGCCAAACGTCCGGCAAGTCTGTCAAGTGGATGAAGGCTTCTCATGCTCTCGTACAGGCCGTGTTGTATGAATAGAGTGTAAGTTGTTCTAGCATGGCTCAGTAGGTACCGTACGCCATGCATGTGCCAGACAAATGCATGCAGGCTGGCTAATGATATGCAATTTTTGGCGGTTGCGGTATTCAACGTCTATTCGACAGGGCCACAGCCGCACTTAGTAGTGAGTTGCCGTGTGGTTGATTGTGACCGCGGCGTCCTCATTTTCTGGATTTATAAGATTATGATTAATCGAAAATGACTATATACCATATCGCGCTAGGGTTGAACAAGTATTGAAGGCCTCTGCAGTCTGTATATAATTCAGAGCAGCCGACTCAGCAGTGCGCGTCATTCATGTATGGGCAGTATAACAGTCACAGGTCGATTTTTGCACGAAAATACAGATGGTGTGCCTAGTAATACGGCCACTCATACAGTTACATGCCATGATGCAGATTGGGCCAAAGTGCATGAATTGTACATCGAAGGCGGCCCTTGAATCACCATGACTAAACCTGTGACATCGCATCGAGGCTTGCAGATTGAATAGTCGTCACCTCATCCGCATCCAATCCGGACGCAAACATACACGGGATACAATGGTCGTACACCCCGTTCGTATGGTTATTTCAAACGACCAATTTCTGTCTGCCTCGGGGCATCACGTCTCTCCAAGACTATTCCCATCCGTGATAAAACACTCGTGCCTTAAAACTGGTGCTCAGCGGTCAGAACACCCGCAGGGTTTTCCCGTTCGTACATACAAGCATAGACGACTTGCATGTTTGTCCGCTTAGCTCCAAGGCTTCTTCGCAGCATCGGCAACTAGATACCCGGCCGCTTCAGTCGCAAAGTACGTCAGGATGAGGTCAGCGCCCGCCCTCTTGATACACAACAGCGACTCCAGGATGGCCTTCTTCTCGTCCAGCATGCCCGCCGCGGCAGCGGCCCGGATCATTGAATACTCGCCGCTCACCTGCACATGAAACAAGTGTGTCAACTCTCTCTATCACATAGAACAAGTGTATCCACTCTTCCTTTGTCCAAGTCCTGTATCTCACTAGAAATCGTATGGAAGGACAAAGCGTTAACTTACCTTTTGTTGAAAGACCAAGCTTTTCGGTATGGCCTTAGAGCAGCAAAGGAACCATAGTGTGTGTATGTACGGAAGAGCATCGCTCATCAAGTCCGCTCCCATGGCCTGTCGAGCCCACGAGCACTTTTCGCTTCTCAAAAGCTGAATGTACTAAAGACTATGCTCCTGAAAGCATAGAGGATCCGGAGAAGAAGTGCGGTCTGCGAGCGAGCCCTTACCTGGTAGGCAGACACGGGCAGGGAGGTGTTGTCCCGCAGAAGACGGATAACGTCCAGGTACGGCATCGCGGGCTTGACCTGGCAACATGAAAAGCAGGTTAGTTCGGTGACCCAAAACCTAAGGTACGGCATGGCGGGCTTGTTATGGTGGGAATGAAAGCGGGTTGGTTCAATAACCTACATCCAAAGCAGGACGGGCTGGACGTGGCAACCAGCAAACGGGTTAGCGATTTTTTTTTTGGTTTGAAATTTCGCAGCAACCGCGGACTCGACCTGGCAACGGAAAACGCATGGTAGATAAACCCTATTTCGGGCGACGATCATTTGAAAACCTGAGGGAGGGAAAAGGAGAAACGAAGGGCCGGCAAAGAGGAGAGGGTGTCCAAGACATAGTCACCACGACTCCTTTGCATAAACTAGACTTGAGTTCTGTGAACAGGGCCTCCGATGAAGCGCGGGGGGAGGCTAACAAACTGGCGCCGCAGCTTTCGCATGGAAAGGATTTGCAGTGATACTAAAATTTCTAAGCTTCGGCTGAGAAACTCCTGACACTCGAGTGACTGCAGCTGTGCCTCACTGCCAGATGAAAGCCCAACCGAAAGAACGGAGTATGCAAAGCGGACAGGAACGAGCTCCTGCAGTCGGTTCAGAAAAACTCTCTCGTTCATAACCACGGCAGATGATAACGCAAGTTGCTCACCATGAGGATGTCCGCGCCCTCCACCTCGTCCGACTCTACCTCGATCAACGCTTCGCGGAAGTTGCCGGGGTTCATCTGATACCTGCACGCGCCAGGAAAGGCGCTTCTTTGTGCTTCGAAAGCAATGCATTTTCATACGGCGAATTGCCTTTCTCGGGTGCTGGGTCTTACTGACCTGAATTAGCGCAGTTTGGAAGAGCAAGGAACGGGAGAAACGTGGACAGCTTCTGAATTCAAAGCTCGGCTGACGGATCCGCCTGCTATCAGCAAACAAAGGGGGTCATCCGCCCAAATACGACCAATGGAAGAGACACCGTCTTTCTCCACAGTGCAGATTGTGGAGTGCCAGATTATTATTCAGAAGCTCTGCAAAGTGACATGCAGATTACAAACGCGACATTAAGCCGTTGACTGAAATAATATTTCCAGGATCCGGGTGTCTTCTCATCTTGCATCAAGGCAACCTTGAGGTTTTGAGAATTGATTGAAGTCACTGGACTCACGTCTTCTTGTCGCCGAAGCGAGGGTTGGAGTCTAGGGCCTCGCGGAATGGCCCGTAGAAAGCGCTCGCATACCTGCGGGTGATATGAAAATTGGTGAACGAGTAGCAACGGTACCTTTCCCTCAAAATCAGATAAAGTGAGTCCACCGCTTCGTGCAGGTAACATGCATGTCCACTTTCCCCAAAGCATTAGACGGAGGTAAGAAGTTGGGACCTAGATGCTGCTCGCGAGACTATCTCAAAGGCTGGGGGAGGTTGAAGCAACTGGTTCACAACAGCTCTTCGCTCACACAAGGCCTTCTATAATCATACCTGTCTCGTTTCGAATCCAGGAAAAGTAACCGAGCAGCGGGAGTCTAGTAGAGTCTACAAATCCGAGGCGGCTTATTCTGAGAATCGAGGACCTTAACATTCAACCTGAACTTCGAGGGCAGACTGATAGGGTGGTCCCATTTGTATCCTCGGAAACCGGCGCACCGACCCCAAGGGTGCGCACCGACCCTAAAAACCCACTTTGGTCATATTTGCATTTGGGGCCACTCGACTGGACGGCTAGAACTTTTCGCTTTGAGCGGTCTCGAGTCGCGGCGGTATATTGTGCAAACCCACCCTAGAAACTTTTTCGGAGGTCCGGGATCGGTCGCCCCCACCCTAGAACTGTTGCGACCCCGAATCTTAGGGTGACATCCCGCCCCGAGGGTGGAATTTCCACCCCGAGGGTCGAAGTTCCGGCCCCAAGGATCGTCGCGGCCTCAAATGTGACCACCCTATGACTACCGAAACTTGCAACAAGAAGCTACTGACGGTCGGCTCACTTTGCGGTGTATGCCATGATGGAGACGTTGTGGTGACCCGCCTCGTCGAGAGCGTTACGAATGGCGCCCACCCGGCCGTCCATCATGTCGCTCGGGGACACGACGTCAGCACCCGCGTCAGCCTGTCAGAACACGCCATGTCAGCAAATGAGCGGAAAGGCAGATTGCGTTCCGTCGTTAAGACCTTATCCAGACGACACGACTTCTATGTTGCTCGAAAATGCCACGTCACGGCCCGCATCAGCCTGGCGGGACACGCCACGTCAGCATCCGTGTCTGTCTTCTTTCCATGCGATTCGAAAATCTTTTGATTCAATCCGGCAAATATGCGCGTCGACGATCGGTGTGACGAACTTTGAGGCCAATCTACGAGGAGACAGAACGTTTTTGGAAGTCCACAAGGATGTACCCAAGGCCGATGTCGGCCTGGATCGGAAGAAGAATGATAAGAAAGTTTGGGAAACGTGGACTGACCTGCATGACCGCTTGCTTTGCTAGCTGGTAGACAGTCTCGTCGTTCAGGATCTCACCTGGAGACGCGAAAAGAAAGACATGCGTTCAACTTCGATAAAGACGCATTGGCTGATCGACAGCTGGAGGGAACAACTCTACTGAGACAACGGTCTCGAGAACCTTTCAAAAAGCCACGTTAAGGAATTTGGCACCGTTTTACGTCGAGATGAGCGTTCACGAACTTGCTAACGCAGGACTGCTCGAGGTCAAGCAGTGGTCGTACCCTCTGAAGGGCTGTCCACCTGAGAGCTGCGGCAGCTGGAATATCTGACCTGACTTATAGACCTAAGTTTGCGAACCTCCATCTGTTTGGTAAAGCTGTCGGTTCCAAGTGCTACTCGGAACATCTTCCCAGACACAAGTTGAGACGGAAGCCGCTCAAATAAAGTCGGAGCTTGGTTCACGAGAAGAACGAATAGACTAAAGACCCACCAGCCTCGTTCACAATGCCATCGTGGCCGTCCGAGTTGTACGGGTCTAGGGCAACATCTGTATAGATGACCTGCAACAGCGCATTTTGCTTCAGTCCCTGCCCTATTGGAATTTGTTTGGCAGTCTGCCTTACAGGGGCGTAAAGCATGACAGTTGAGCAAAAGAGCCTTCAGTTGACAAAGCCCAAGGACGAAAACATGGTATTCGTTGGCATTTCCGGACCCTGCCTCGACAATCCCCCTCTGATTTGACGATAAGAACTCAACCTCTTGCCGTCGATTGGACATTGATAGAATGGAAGGTTTCAAGATCGAGAACGGCGGTCCCAGTCTCTGCGCCCTGAGGCTCCTGAGTTACTCTTGCTCCGTTCGAAGCATATCATTCAAGGGGATGGCATGCCCGGTTACACTGCTACGCTACAACTACAGAAAACGTTAACTCAACCCGGTAGCAAAACTATCCGGTCAAGGGCTGCAAAAGAACAACAAATGTTGCCCCATTTCGGGACAGCAGCCCATTTTCTTAATCCACCGATTCTGCTCCTAAAGAACCGAGTACCAGAAACGGGCCGAATGTGACAGCGGAAGGCTTACGATCTCAGGGAAAGTGTCCTTCAGCAGCCGGATCGCCCTCGGAACAATACCCTCCGGGTTGTAGCACTCGTCCGCCGTTGGCGTCTGGACATAGAGGCAGAATGCATGAAGCCAAGCATGAAAGGGGTGTATTTGGCTGCTCATGAAGCAAAGCACGAGGATCATACTCTGGCCAAAATTATCTGGAGAGGATCTGATTTCAGAGCAAAGTCTTCTTGCTGCAGTAGCCCCTTGACGTGATGCTTCTCAACATCTCAATCAAGTATGTTTTCAGGCAGCATCAAAGCTGGGACCCAGTTGGGGATATGAGCTTTGGGGTTGCATCTCAAAGGGCACCCCTTGTCTCCGTTAACCGTAAGCGCAGTTTCGCAGCAAAGTATTTGCATAACTTTTACTGTCCTTTCTGATGTCCGAAGTAAAGATCAAATGAAGAGTTGACAACGGCAATTTAACGCTTCGATGTACTACCGGGTGTAAACATTGCAGGCATTAAGCTTAATTCTCCGAGAAAGAGCCTTCCATGTGAGTTAAGAAGTCTCGCAGACAGCTTACCTTGAGCGCGTTAGGAACGACGGGGAACAGCACGACCTGGTTGACCCCAACGTCGCGTGCCTTACGCACCTCGTCCAAGAGGCCGTGCCGCCATCCAACACGATAGCACCCGGGCATCGCGTTAATTGGAGCAGCGGTCTCACCTGTTCAGCGAAACATACAATTATAAAAACATCGTACACGTTGTACCATCGTGCGAATTGCTTTCTGATTCTGCTTGATGAGCATCCAGGTTTGCCAGCGAATCTGTGCCTGGTTGTCTTTGCAAGGAGTGGGGGCGCGAACTATAGAATTCATTGTTGCAAAGGATGAGGCACCATTGCTGTCTAAGAACGCAATCAATAATCGGAATTATTCATCCACCACCTGGCAAGATCTTGTCACCAGAGATCTGTGCTTCCGGACAGGTTTGCCTATGCGTCAAGTGGCCTTCGATGGAATGTAGATTGAATAATGCCGGCCAGTCCAATGCTGACATCAGGGAGTTCGATTTAGGTTCCTGCCTCAGAGAGCCCTGCACTCTCTTCTCTTCAATGTTAAGAGCGCCTATCGCTCTTTCCAAAAGAGTCAATATTGCTGGAGCTCCTATCGCTCTTTTCAAAATACTCAAAATTGATGGAGCGCCTTTCAGGAAGGGGCACTGGACAGATGTAAAAGACTGGCATACTGAGCTCATTTTCTGGGGGCGTCACCTTCATGAATGAAGACGGGCAGGATGAAGTTGGAGGGTGACAACGTGGTCTCCTGGAAGGCAGCCCGGAAGGTGCCGTTCCTGCGGTTGCGCCGGGGCCTTGACGTCAAATCCTGCAGGAAATGTTTGTTATTCAGGGCTTGCGGCAGAGCAGTATTCCAACCCTGACTGACTTGGAATTCTGAAGGTTGCAGTCGACAAACCAGAGCGCTGTACTTGATACTTGGGGCCAATGGAGTTCACTGCCTGTGGTTCGCTGCTCAATAAAGCGATGGAGGTGCTTGTTCTAGGGTTCTGATGTCTGTTGGAACTTCTGGAAGCCTGAGGGGGCCCCTCTTAAGTCCTGCAAGAGTGGTGTATCGAAAGTAAGACCCATTCTGCTTCTAATTGGCAAACCAGCGGCCAAGTGTATGCTTCAGCATATTGAAGGCCCGCTCTACATGCAGATTGAGACCTCTGGATGGGTGAAATGATGCAGCTTTTCATCGCCAGCAAGGGTGCCTGGCATGGCTTCAATTTCCCATAAGGAATTCATATACCTGGTGCTTTCTGGAGGGAGAAAACACGGCCACCAAAGGCAGATGAAAGTCGAGGTTAAGACAATCAACTTCCACAATGCAGAGGTGGCGCATACTCGAGAGAGGGTCGTAAGCGTCCCCTAAAACTACACTTCATAACAGCATTGCCTTTAATGCAGGCCAAAAAGCTTCTTAGTCCTTAAATACTCATACAGACGTCCTTACCGCATGCTCCTGTTGCATACTAACTTCAGGGTGAACAGCACTCCTACTTCTCTTCGAAAAGGTTCCCCACATTCCACCCCTTTAGTGTTGCACCGAATTGGAAAGCGCAAGGTCCTCACCAGTGGGTCGCAGGGAGGGGTGCCTTTGGGCTTGCGGGGCTTTGGTTGCGGTGGCGGAGCTGGGGGCGGGTTCCCTTCGACCACACGCGCCTCCGCCTCCTCAATGCTCAACACCTTCTTTTCCTCTGCAATGGTGGCCCTCACCTGCACAGCCCCAGGCGCTTGGCGCTTTGAAGCCGCTTGAGAGCTCTTTGCGCTGGGAGTCAAGAGCCGATTGGCACGCCCCAACCCAGACATAGCTGGCAGCTGAGCGGTCGGTACATTTTGGCTGGCGCCGCTCTTGGACAGGAGGGCGCTGCTCTGAGCGGCAGCGCGCAGGGCAGCGACGGACGAAGCCATGATGGAGAACGCCCTTTACAAGAGTTCAGACAGCGCTCTTCTCTGTAATTTGTAAAGCAAGAAACTGTCTTCTCACTGTCAGTGTCAGACAGAATGTGGGCAGATGCTGATCAAATAAGCTAAAGCTGCAGAGGCTCCCGGTCCCCCCAATACAGGATGGCATTATCCAGAGAACCCCTTTGGAGGTGTTCAACCGCCGATGAGTTTCATCGACGGTTAAAGATCTTGCCTTTATACCACGTGGTATACTTTTTGTTTGAAATCGCCAGAAGGGGGGTGCAAGCAACATGACGCCTGCAGCTTGCTCCTGGAAAGAAAGCTCAGGCCTTTTCTTCTCGTTTCAAGCAAGGCAAGAAGCGCCCCATCTTGAGCAGACGGGCCAGCAGCTTCATTTCATGGGCATGGTTGATTGAATTGTGTGGCCCGATCATGTCCATTGTGGCTGCGAGATTGTCCGCCCGCTCAGGCACGCATCTTGCTGGCAGCATTGTGCACGACGTGCACAGCAGTGCAAGCCGCTGGTACGTGATGCATCTTAATTTCAACAAAGTTGTCGCTGCGCAGGCAAAGATCTGGAACCTGTGCTCTGCTCAGCATGGTTAGAGAGTGAACCTTCGAGGTGTTAGCTTGAAAGCAAGGCTTTGCCCTGAAAGATCTCCAGCCACCAACAGTTCACTTAGCTCCTGAGTAACCTGATTGCAAGATTGATTAAGTACGTGGATTACTCTTGCAAGTAAGGGATCCAGACTGCGCGCTGCATTGATTCCCCGATTCTTTTGGTCGCAGGATTCAAAAGCACTTGCCTAGATTCTACAACAGCACTGCTAGGTCAGCCACCAGATCAGTCCCTGTGAGAGCTCCTGTCAGTGGTACCTTCTGCATTTCGAGGTGGTAAGCTTCTGCAACACCCCAGTTTCAAACCAGGATTCAAATCTAGTGAAAAGGTTGTGCCAATGCACTTCCAGTTTCGCAGACTGCGATAAGATTGTCTTGTCTTTGAGTATGAGCTCAGCCCCACGATGCAAAGAAAGTTGTGGAGACCAGTGTCTTCAAGTTTTTAAAAAAAAGGAAAGCTTAACAGCAGTAAAACACGAAGGGGACCAACTTCTGTGCATCAGCGCTATCACAGAAAGATCTCACTGTGCTAACGCCACCCTACTGTTCTAGCAGGCTTGTGCGACGGACAGAGAAGAAGCTCATCAGATTCAGAGGGGCCTCCGAGTCAACAGAAGCCAAAGCAGAGATGGCCACTCAAACTGGAGGCCTTGTCGCTACTCATGGTCCTGATGATTGCATCTTCTGCAAGGTAAGATTGCTTTATTAGCAATTGGAACGTCTGGAGTCTTCAAAAAAGGTCCAATGATCCTCCAAACTTCCCTTTCCCTCAAAGGCAGAGATGGTCGATGAAGTTCTGGCCGGCTTGACGGCGTCATCATCTGTCCGTCTGTTCCGACCAGGTTCTGATACCCAAACCAGCTCACACTTGAATGTCACTTTCTCTTGCAGATTATCCGAGGAGAGCTGCCCTCTTATAAGCTGCTCGAGACAGAGCATGCTGTTGCGTTCCTGGATGGTTTCCCGATGCGGGAGGGGCATGTTCTCCTAGTCCCTAAGATACATATATCCTTCTGTGCAAACACACGGGGTGCGGAGAAGTTAAAATCTTAAAGCAGTAGACGCGTTTAGGCTCAACCTTCTCAAATATTCCATGAGGGGGTCTGTACGTGCCTGGTTTTCGATTTGGAGGTGTATGAAACCTCGAAGGACCACTCCCATTCGACTGGGAACGACTTACTGCAGCTTCACCGTAGAGAACTGGAACTCTGTGATCTCCAAAATTGTGTTATAGTTTGAGGCTCTAGTAGGCTGCCAGCTCAGCAAGCTCTGTAAGCTCTCTCGAAGTTGAGTTTGTTAGAATTCGAAGCTTCGTTCAACTTCGGAACTCTGTTAAGGTTCGAAGGTCGTGTGAGCCTGAGGTCAGAATACTCCACTCCAAAGCATTTCTGACAGCAAGCCCCCACTTCATCCTTGACTTTCGCGCACGCTCCCTTCATCACGGACCTCTCTCCGGAAGATGCAGCGCAGTCGCTGAAAGAGCTGCCTCGCGTTGCCCAGGCCGTGCAGAAGGCATACGGTGCTGAAGGCATCTCAGTAGCCCAGGTGAGGAAGGCTGCCTTCAATCGAGGGCACCACCGGTCGTAGGCCGTGCCCTCTCAGACAGTTTTTTCCGCTTCTTGCGCACTCTTCGCCCTCAAACCTCCTTTCCCGCTTCTCCGTGCAGCTTTGCAAATCATTTCCTTTCTTCTCGATGCGGTTTGTTCCGGGACTGAATTGCATCACAGAAGCGCAAAGAAACGGGCGCACAGGGTCAGATGAGCGAGGAACTAGATCGAGGATCGTTTGCGGCTCTGACCGAGCGAAGATCTGTGCAGAATAACGGAGCGCCAGCGGGGCAGGTCGTCTTCCACGTCCACTTCCACATATTCCCCAGGGAACAAGGAGACGGTGAGACAACCGCCCCCGAACGGTTTACTATCCTGCCAACGCGGATCTATGACTTCGGGCTCAGATTTTGACGTTTTCCTGCTATGAAAGCAACCAGAACGGCGAGCTTACAGTCCATCCTCTTGAAGGTTCAACCTGACTAGGTTGTAACCGCTCGTGTCTAGCCGACATCTGGTACAAGCTTAGAGGCACGTTTCGGCGACTGCGTTGATGTCAGATTGTGAAGGCGGCTGCGAGGCCGAGTTTCTGTGGAGATCTAAAGATTGTGCTAAGGGTCTTTCAGAATTTGTCTGCGTCCAGTGGGAGATCAACATTCTTGTCCCTTTCGCGTGCGGGGTCCGGTTGTCGGCAGACCACATCTCTCTACCCTTCGCTTGTCCTAGAAACGATCGAGGGAGGTCGCTACTTATGAATCCACTGCCGTGTCATCGGAGCAGCTTCCCCGTTTTTGTCGATGGGATTTCGTGTTCACTGCGTGCTCGCGTGATGTGTGCTCGTGCAGGGTTGTTGAAATGGTCACAGGGGTCAAAGAGCATGCTGGCTCCGGATGAGGCCAAGCGGGTCCAAGAGAAGATCAGGAAGCATGTGTGAACTGGCCGCCGTTCGAACCTAGTGTACTAAGGAGTTCAGAAACCGCAATTGCCTATTTATTGACAGGAGCAGCACGGCGCTCAAGGAATCAAACGGCTTTTGTATCATGAGCGAGCAGTGCCAGTAGCCTAATTTGGACCGGGAGTAAACGTAGAGATTGTGAGTGGAAACCGAATGTAGCAAAAGTCTAGATACGAAGGCCGCTGTATAGAGCTGTACACATACCAGACTTGAAAGGATCCGGGGACCAACATTCATGACGTATCTACGGTAGGCTTAACATGCATGGAACGTAAAGCCATCGGCCCACGTACGGCAGGCATGAAATTGCCATGGTGGCGGCGCCATGCACACGACGGTAGAAATCTTCTGGCACAACATGCATGCGATCAGGACGCAAGAGCGCACCTTCCAATGAGTCAAGGTCTCTATATGTATGTATGCTGATGCATACGCACTGATACGTTTATGCATAAGCAGGCTCACGTTCTGCTCAACATGCTGTAAATATGCCCTGCAGTCCAGCTCCATGACACGTACCATTTGGGTATGCCTTGTCTCACCCAGCGCTCCACATATGTCACCGAAATCTACAGGATGATTTCGTGCAGAAATCATAGGCGGGTATGTCTACTGAGTATCGTCCGTACGATTTGCCTCGAATTCGAAAAGTGCATTTCAGCATACCGTCCCTTTCAAAATCTATCGCCTTTTCATCTAGTTGCAGCGCACAAATCCACCGTTTTAAGATAGTCACTGCCTAATTGGAGTATTCTTGTTCGAACGGTCAGATTGAGCCAGGATCTTATGTATGTTCTCATAGCCCCATGCGTATCCAAAGGCGATGTATCGAATTCAAAAACTACAGTATCTTGTTCCGTGGAAGCACAACACGATGGCCGCGCCCGACCCACCCAGTCAACCAGCTTGCTTGACGCTGGTCACAAAGTGACGCTATTGACAAGTGGACTCTCGACCGCGGTCATTCAACTGGCCCTAGACTGTCTCGCTGGCTAATAACCCCGTCGAAGGAGCTCGTTTGCTAGCGACTCCGTCGCGGCCGCTGCCTTAGCTGCTGCCGCTGTTCGTCCATTGTAGCTGCAAGGGCACGACTGGTACATTGGGAGGGATGTCCGAGCAGACGGGCAAAGCTGCGTATAATCTTTTTCGCAGACTCAGACTCTCACTTAGCGCTCAAATCTAGATCGAAGTTGTGGATACGACGCGAAGTTGTGGATTCAGATGCATAGCGCATCACGGAGCGGAAAGCCTTTCAGTTAGATCCACGACATTTCGATCTTTTGACGTACGTAAGTTGCCTGCCCTGATGGGCAGCAGCTTTCCAGCAAAACCAGGTCGAAATAGCTAGGAAGCGGAGATGACGTAAGAAGGGTTAAAGTCACCACTTTTCCCGGTGTTGTGAAGACGTGATGTCGAGGTTACGTAAAAGTAGAAACAAGGATCGCACATGTGGCAACTCTAAATCTTGGTCGCTAGGAGCGGACCGTCTCCCGAAGTCCTTGAAGGCAGTCCCCATTTGATCCTGCAAATTTGCAAGCAGGACAGCAGAGAAGCAGACAAGCAGAAAAGAAGCAGAAAAGATAAGCGTACGGCGACGAGGAAAGCTGGAAACAAGAAAGAAAGCTCACGCGCCCAAGACGACGGTGCTTCCCGTGGGGACCAGTATCAACCCGGCGCCCGTGAGGCTGCTGACGCTCCTCGCGTGGTATAGTCGCTCAGAGGTGTTCGTCACAAGGTCTATAGAAAAGAGAGAGGAGCTTTCAACGTTACTCAAGAACCAGTAAAAAGGCTGCTGAAATTTCTGGCTTGATACAGTCGCTCAGAAGGTTGTCACGAGGTCCTAAAAACCATACACGACAAGAGGAAGGAGCCTCAAAATTACTCAAGAACCAGTGAAAAGGCTGCTGACGTTCCTGGCGTGTTCCAACCGCTCAGAGGTTGTTCGTCACAAGGTCTACAGAGATACAAGAGAGGGAGAAGCCTTCAGGCATAATCCGTGTAAGGATTGAAAGAAGTGGTTGGTACGAGGTCTACAACGACAAGAGGAGGAACACTCGAGAACGAGTTTGTGAGAACGAACCGAAAGCGTTGGACACAAGGTCTGGAAGGGACGAGGGACGAAAGGGCCACCAGAGTGTTTAAAGGCACGTGTCTGGAATGATCGGCAAAAGAAGAAGGTTGTGTGCAATCGCTCGGCTACAGGTGTCCCGCCTGCTGCTCTCAAGCAGGAAAGGTGGAGCCAGAGAGAAGATTTGAAAGTACGCTGCAAGGCCAATTGAAAAGAGGAGAGGACCTTTAAGCGCGCACCGAAATAAAAAGGCGTCCGAAATGGATCTATCACTTGATAGCAGCATTTCAACCCGCATGCATGCGTCTAACTAACAAGCTGACGACGTACAATCTGATGGAGGGTTTTGAATGAGAAGCAAGTGAACGACGTGGAGTTGCGACGGCGAAAGCAGAGACCAATTCTTAGAACGCATCGTGATCACAATCTGGGTATACGCGAAGCGGCTACTAAACAGTTTCACCAAGAAGCCTTGCAAGTGGAAGGGCATGGCGAATTTATCATTTTTAAGGGGAGGGCCAAGTAGCAGAAGAAGAAACGCAGAAATCGGACGGAGATGAAACATCATCCTAGCTCAGGTTCAAAGCTGCCATCATGATCAGAGTGCTCTGCTCGCTGAACAACATTGAAAAGATTGCCCTGGTATCCCCAAAGTCAAACCACTGTCAAACCAATTTGTCAGAGGCCTTGTCACAGGAAGTTAGGACCTTGTCAACGTCAAGGGTTTGCCAGAATTAAGGACATGAAGATTTGAACAATAGGCACTCACACTGCTGATTAGCCACTTCCAAATAGTCCTCGTGGAGGTGCTCCTCTGTCACCGCAGAGATGATGGAGCGTGCGCTAGCGAGCTTAAGCGTCAGTCCCTCCTGAGCGTGACTGAGACAGAAAAGAAGGGACGGAGTTTGAGAGTTTTCAAGAGCAAATTCACCCCTTCAGATGCTACCGTAGCAAAGGGCACGGGGTTTTTTGCGAGAAAGGACCTGAACTTTGTTCACACTCTTCTCTACTGAACACAGTAATGATCATCAACCTGTCGGCCCTGCTGTGAATTGTGACCCTTCATTGTGAGATCTGAAGTGGGGCGCAGATTCCTTACATTCATGCACTCTCCGCTCCTTTGTTCATGCTGAGTGAAAGGAGTTCCTTTGCACCCACTGCGCAATATGGTCCCTTATGCCTACATTCTGCCACCACTTCCTGACAACTCCCATCTGATACTCGGCATACAATTCTCTAGATTTCGGTCCGGCGGCAAAATTTTTGTTACATTTCTCTGTGCTTGACTTTTCTTGATGCTGAAGCAGGTCCCCTACAAATCTAATAGCAGAAAGAAACAGCGGCCCCATTCCGAAAGAAACAGCAGGCCCCTGAAAGGGTATGATTGCAACCGAGAGTAGGCTTGCCCCTAACTCTCTTGACACTAGTGAACCCCAGCAATCTCATTAGGAGCATCTTACTAGTTTTGCAGCTAATCTCCCAGTTTTGTCACTGCTGGTTGCTGCAATGGCGGGGAACCACAAGTGGCCCACCATGAGGCTGCATAACTATCAAGCGGTTGGGCCATTGCCATTTGGCTTCCAGCAAAATGATGGGCCAGGAATCTGCACTGCAATATCAACATGGATACAGAAGACTGCTTTAACCCTGCCATCAATAACCAATCATCTGGGACTACCACCATCTGAGACGGCCCTTGCTGCCCTCGCCTGTTCTGCGTATTCAGATGCTGAACTGGTTAACAAGCGGCAGTCGATACGTGAGCACTATCCTGCTTAAATAATGATGATTAAGCAGCGGCTTACACAACATTTGCCAACTTTGTTGTCCTCTCAGGGTCCAGGTTCAGAATTGCTGCTCCCTGCAGAACCTTCTCTGTAGACCAATGGCAGACTGTCAGACTTTCAGAGCTCATTCGCCGCAGCAGAAATAGTAATGGAGCCAGGCGCGAGGTCTCTCGCAGAAAGAGAATAGAGAAGCGCTGGGTTAAAAGTCACATGTTGATTCAAAGCTTGCAAAGCGGACCAAGAAAACTCCTTGCTAGTCCTTCTGGAGTCTTCTTGACCACTTATGGACGGCTGACCTATCAGGGCATCTGCTCAACCCGGAAGTAATGTCATTCACCTGGCCCAACGTTGGCTGTTGACCAAACATTCCAGATCCTTTGTACTGCGGAGCTTTCCCCGCCGCCTGACATCAGCGCGTGCGCTGAGACCAACTCGCGCTGAGCCTTGAAGAAGCATTCAACCAGCTTTAAAGAGTCAACACAGCCGGCATTGAAGATCGATCCTCTGAAGATGGTGAAGTACCTTTTAATCTCCGCTCTCACATGCGGAAAGCCATGCCCTTGCATGGAAGCTCATTGCTTTCGAAAAGGGTCAGACAGCAGTTAGTTCTCAGCTCATGAGTCTGGGTTTACGATGCGTTGTGTTTGCTCAAACCCAGTCGGTCCGCTTCACCGGGTTGCATACAGACCTAGGGTTACCTACGGTATTCAAAATCATTCTACGTCCCACAGACTACAGCGCCGGAATGCATGGCGGAGTCCGGTACCGGCCGGTTTCGCAGTCGGTGGGTTTCAATCCTCAAACCCAGTACGGTTAGCTGCGAAGCAGAGGATGATCCCTCTGCCTGGCTGAATCATGTCCTCCACACAGAAGTATACCCATCACCTGTACTTATGAGTTTTAAACGCTTCCATTCAATTCCAACGGCCATGTCATGCAGGTATAAATCACCACTAGATTTGTGCGCCACATCATCCGACAATGTCACAGCCACATACACTTTAAGTGCCTGACGCAAAGCATGTTTGAAAATCATTATGTACGATCAAGTACGCAGCATGTGCATGCAAACCTACTATCATGCAGCCATGCCAGATCGATAATGTCCGGGCTGATCTCCGCCAATGACCCATACGTACTTAAGGTCGGCGGCAATATTGTGATCGTGAAGGTTACAATATGCAGCAACCAAGGTAGCTGTATGGTCTGCCGCATTGTGCATTGTGACGCCACCATCCGAGAAACTCAGGACTCTCCGAGGCGTCCACTGTATATTGGGGGCATGGCACAATGTTTTCTGTCAGCGGATGGACGATCAAGCCCGCCTCAATGCTTATCAACTCTCCCAACGAATGCCACCTCCGTAAGTGATCCCCGTGTCATTGAGGACCTTTCTTTCCGGGCCCCATGGGAGGTGAAGCTTGCACAATCGGGTGACCGCCCCCGGCGCCAGGCAAGACTTGCATGTGAGGGGGCCCTGGGTGCATGTGGGGGTGTTGTTGGTAGGGGCCCTGCTGAAGGTGGGGAGGCGGCGGCTGGCCGGGAACAAAAGGAGCCCCGAAAGGCATCCCTTGCTGAGGGGGCATCCCGCCTGCGAGCAGGCCAGGAAGAAAGGTGTGGATTGAAGAGGATTAGCCAACCCCTTCTCCAAAAAATGCTGCGAGAAAAAGACCTTGTTCTGGCCCTTGTTCAAGCAAGCACGCCTCCGAATCTGTTCTCAGAGCGAATGCGACATACAGCGCGACTCAATCCCAGCGCTTGGTTTTTGAGCTTGTAACATTGAAACGGACGGATCAGCTGTCTTCACAAGCACCGAACCGCAGCGCCCGCGCAAAGGGGCAGAGCGCCGCATCCTCTTGTAACACGCCAGGACAAGAACAAAAGCCTTGATGTCGATGTTAAAGAACGAGATTCGTGTCGACTGTGACGCACGCTGTACCCAAAAGTTCCCCCCGTCGAGTACGATGAAAGCCGTCCAAGCACTTCAAGCTCAATCCAAAGCAACCGAAATTGACCAGAGAAATGGCAGCAATTTGACATGCTTCAAGGGGGAGTCCGAAGCCTCACCCCTGATCTTTTGTTGTTGGGGCGACTGCTGCTGCTGAGGTGGCGGCTGCTGAGGCTGTCCGGGGATGGGGGGCTGCCCAGGGATAGGAACAGGCTGGCCCGGCATCTGCAGGACGGCACGTGTCCGATCAGCCATAAGCCATGATCGCGTCAGACATAATTGATGGCCCCATGATCGACAGGTGGCGCCCAGAATCAGGACGCAGTTGGAAACATGGAGTTCGACGCAGGTTCAGGTTGAGAACAAATGCGAAATCTAGACCATATCCTACTTCGGATTGACGAGCAACTGAATACACGCCAAAATCCACATAAGCAACAGCGGTCCAGAGCAGATTGCTACTTAGCGGTTTAACGAGCTGCCAAACCCGCATATCCTTCCACCGGTCAAACAGGAGTCCAAAGCATATGCGACTCAGGGGATCATAAGCAGTACAAAGCATACGCTTTCCCCGCAGATGGATCCGCTTCACTCACGTATTGAGGGCCCATGATGACGGGCATGAGCTGTCCGTTGGGCATCCGGACGAACTGCTGGCCCGGCTGCTGCTGCGGGAACTGCTGCACCCCGGGGTACTGCATGAACGCGGGCTGGCCGGGCTGCATGGGGGGGCCCTGGGGGAAGCCCATCTGCTGCTGGTACATCGGCTGGGGGGGGGGAGGGGGAGGACAAGAATGAGCAGTTGGTTTGAGAAAAGATTCTACAGAGCCGTTTATTGCTGGACTAGGGGTGAGGGGTAGGGGGTGACACGAAGGTAACAGGTGTTCTATAGTTGGAGTTGCATCAAAGTTGACGAGAGACGAAGGGGAAAAGGACGGAGGTTGGCAAACTTGCTTCTCAACAGCGGTTCAGACAGACCGGGAGTGATAACTGCGGAGTGATATCTGAGCTTTTGACCGGGAGAGAGCTGCTGCTGGACACATTGGCTGAAGAGGAGGTGTAAGGGAGAGGTCAGCAGATTTAATCTGGGGGGGTAAGGGGGGAAGGGGACGCGTTTCTGAAGACGAATTTGGATAAAAACCTGATTCAGGTTGCAGCACCGACTGACGTCTGCCAAAACCGGCGAAAGCAGCCGCAGTGACCAGAGCGCTCAGCGAGTGGGAACTGCCATGAGTTGCGCATGCTATCTGCTACACCTTATTCCGTTGCTGGTCTTTCCAACATCCATACAATATCAGGCTCGAGCAGAGACTGAAGGCTTCGCAGGAGAGCAGACAAGAGTACTTGGATCCACGGCAGCGCAATAAGCGCACAACGGCGAAAGAAGGAAAAGTGCCATTTCTCACCTGCTGCTGCCCCTGCGCCGGGCGCATCCCCGGCTGGCCCGGCATCATCGGCTGCCCCGGCACCTGCCCCCCGGGCACAAACTGCGGCTGCTGAATAAACGCCCCGGGCTGCATTTGCTGCATCTGGAACTGGTTGTACTGCCCCGGTTGTTGCATGAACTGGCCCGGGGGAACCCCCTGGGGGGGCATCCCTTGGTGCATGAAGACCGGTTGCTGAGGGGGCTGCTGCTGAGGGGGGGGATGGTGGTGGGGGGGGTGCTGGGGAGACGCAATCGGACGGTTGGAGTAGTGGGAGGAGGCGCTCGAGGGGCGGCTCCCGGGGACGAACTCCTTGGCGCCCGGATTGAACTTGAACTCCTGTAGGGAGGAAGCGGTGATGTATAATAAGGAAGGGAAAGGAAGGGGAGTGGGGCAGGGAATCGCTCTAACCACTGCTTCAGTTAGCAAGGCCGCATCTCGGAACAATAGTGGGTCTCGCACCTCTCCTAGTGAGATCAGTGCCCGGGGACAAAATTAGGAAACTCTGATTACAATTAGGACATCTGCTGTAACGGGACGAGGCACGTTTGGTTTTCAGACTGTTTTTGCGCAGGATCCGCACAGGTTTGCCGTCAATAACAATTCGGCGCCTACGGCATTGCATAGGGATGCGACTGATCGCAAACATGATGTTTGGGCATGTTGGAAACGACTGTGGTTGCCACTGCTCTCTATAGGTAGAAAGTGGCAGGATCAAACTAAGACCACTTCAAAAAGCTCAGAGAGGTGGCGACAGTATCACTTAAACTTTATACGTTGGCAAGACAAGAATTGGCACCCCTACAGAGTGCCCCATTTGCTCTTGAAACAGACACAACCAGACGCTGCAGAGCTATGTCCGTACTCCAAAAGGATCACTGCCCAAGCGATAAAGCTCAAAACAGAAATCAAAACGGCGCCATGAAGAAGAGCACCGATTTGGCACTGCTCTCCTTGGGCGCTAGCTCACGGCTGGGATCCGCGAAAAACAGAATTAAACCTCTTTTTGAGCACCTTACCTTTGCATTGGGGTTCAGCTTCGACTTAGCGGGCGTGGCCCCCTCGCCCCCGGAAGAAGTCACGCTCGCCGCTTCCGATGTAATGCTTCCCGCTCTCGACATCGGGCTGGAGGGCTTAGATGGGGTCGAGGGTTTCGAGGGGATCCCGCTGGACGTGCCACTTGGCGCATCGGGTTTGGAGGGTTTGGGCGGCACAGGGGAGGAGGGCTTCGCGGCAGGGGGTGCCGAGAGGGGCTGCTTGGAGGGGGGCTTGAGCACTGCGGGGGAAACGATTGCTAGAGTCAGCTTTGGAGGCGTGAACGATCGGGGGTGGATAAGGCGCTTCAAGTCTTGCGCAGCTTAACCCCGTTGTGTCTAGTGATGGGTTCGTCATAGAAACCTCCGCCCTTAACAAGTCTCGATCATCTGAAAACAGCGCTGGATTTGGTCCAAAACAGGACTCACCTATTGCGTGGACCCAAATTCTCTGCTTCCTGCTGAACGAAGTGTCGACCATGATGACAGTCACATAATCGAAGCGTTTACTTCTGGAAGTAAATGGTGCAAACCTTTGGTACTGTCGGAAACAAAGCGTTGCTGACGAACAAACCTAAAGCTTAAGCAACCAGGTGGACTTTCAATTCTACTACTCAGCACCGCTTTCCTAGAACCAGCGCATACCATCTCCGTTCCCTCACATGAAGGAACCCACAAAACAAATAATTCTGTTCAACAAAAACGTGTAATCAATCACCAAATCCAACAGCTTCTGAGCCGCACTAGTATTCTCGTCAAGCGCCAGCCGAGATGCAGGTTCGCGCACAAGTCAGCACTCGGTCTAGCAGAGTCTGGTCAACATTAATCGGCTGAGCAACTCCCTATCGTGAGCAATTTCATTCCATTCCTACCGAAAGCAATCCCCTTCCACTCTCTATCCAAAAGCGATTTCATTCCACTTCCTACCGGGAGCAATCTCATTACTGTCTATCCGGAGCAATCAAAAGCCTGATTGCAAAAAGCACGTGCTAGTCCCCCTCACCTTTGTCTCCTGGTGGCGCCGCCTGCGCCGTTGCCGCGGCCGCGGCCGCAGCTGCCGCCTTTTGTGCGATGCTTGCAGGCGACTGGGCCCGCTGCTTGCGCGCTTCCGATGCCATGGCGTCACTCTTTCTGACGTCACCACTGGGCGAACTCGTCCGACTGGTGTGCTCTCTGTGCTTGGCACCGGACCGAGAGTGCTCTCCCGGGGGGGTCTCCTGGGCCGTGGGGCGACCCCCCTCGGGCTGGGACGGTGTTCGGGGGACACGGGGGGAGCCCATGCGGGGCGATCCCTCGGCGTCCTTCTTGAGACCCTGAGGACAAGGCGAGGTTGTTGACTGAGACGTAGAAGCATAGCGGCTCCTCGTTTGGACCAAATACTCCGGACAGATGAAGACTGAAGGGATTGACAGACCTCACATCAAGGGCTTCTGAAATGGGGATGCAATGGGAGCCTCTTATCGTGAAATACGCAGCCTCAACTCTGGACAACGCGTTGCTTCTCCAAGGATGAGTCCTACAGACGACCAGCAGAATGGGGAAGATGTCCGTAAGCAGACAACCTCGAAAGCTCCATCAAAAACCTCAAGACTCGAGATGCACGCCGGGATCCATCAGAAACTATTGATGACTGGGCAGGCAATTCCCTGGCTCCCTGTAGTCTTGCAGAATTAGTAATTATCGAAAACTCTTAGGTTGCCATTGCCTACAGATAATGAAAGGGAGATGCCTCACCTTCCCGTAGGTCTCGGAGAAGGAGCGCAGCTCGTTGGTCTGGTGGTCGCGCGCGTCCTTGACCATCTGCGCGCTGTCCCCCTGAATCGACTTCTTGAACTCGTGGAAGTCCCTGCCGAGAGCAAAAGATGGCGTCAGCTGATGTCAGCAAATCGGAAGCTCCGCCTACTAAATCCTACGTACCCAACTGCAGACTCTCGGGAAGAATTCCAACTCTGAGCCCGGTTATGAGGACGTTTTGGGGGTGACCGCTGGGAGCTTGCCAGAAAACACTATGAAAAGCAAACCCAGTGTGGTGTACGGCGAACTAGCCCCGAACGAGAATGGTGTACACAAACTTTGCAGAAGTGATGGAAACCTGTTTTTTATATGACCCAAGAACCTGGCGGATGTGAAAAGTTCTGCGAGGAAGCAGGAGGAAGCAGGAGGAACGAGGAAGCAGGAGCAGGAACACGCAAAAGGGGCCAGAGTCCTTGAAAAGCAGCAACTCCAGGGGAATCACTTGGCTGATGACATTCAATTTACCGAAGACTTCTTCCGTAATAAGGATTCGAGTCATCTTCGACGAAGCAGACGAGAGAGAGGAACAAGAAGGAAGCAGACGAGAGAGAAACAAAAAGGACCTGCGTAGTGTAGCCCAAAGTTCAGATAAGTGATACAGCAGACGAGGGAGATAGAAAGAGAGCAGCTGAACGGAAAAGACAACCAACAATAAGCGGAGGCCGGCTTACTTGAGCACTTCCTCAGTGACGTGGGGAATGGTGGGGTCGAGGTTGAGGGCCTGGATAGCGGGGTCGCCAGCAACCAGGGGCGACGTGAGAGGGGAGCGCCGGCCCACGGGGCTGCCGTATGGAGATCCACTCTGAGAAGCAAGCAAGACAAATCTCACTGGTGTAACATGCGGAATGCGTGCATACTGAGTGCGTTTTCCCACCCTGACGAAATGCACGCCGTCCTTTCCCACAATCTGGGTCACTACCAGGTATCGAGCCTACAGAACGACCGATCTTAGCAGCTAAAGGGATCGTATACTGCGAAAGATGTCACAAACCCCGAATTCATGCACGCACACGAGCCTCCTGATCCAACGCCGCAAAGAAAGCTGCAGCCCCGTAACAACCCGTGAAAACATCAGCAACTGGACACTCTGCACCTTGCGGCCTTCGCTTCTTCCTAGTAGCATCCTAACATGCTTTCATTTCGGGCGTCAAATCAGCACCAACGAAGATCCGCCCAACGAAGATCCGTCCCACTACTAGACAACGTCAAGGGACAGCCGAGGGAGATGGGAGCTCACCTTGGGCACCTTCTTGGTTGTCGGGACGTGCAATCGCAGCTGCAAATGCTCCTTGAACAGATCCGATGGCTCGTCCGGGCTAGACCCGCCCTCCCGAAGCTGCCTGCTGCCGCCCGACTGCAAGAAGAAACCACGTGGCAAAGCGTCACGACACAAACCTCTTTGACAGTCTTGCTTTGCTTTCCTTTCACACGGTAGCACGGATCCCGGAGGAATTGGAAGAAGTTTGTTTTAGCAATTGGGAAAGATTGACGGAGCAGGTGAAAGCGGAGCTCACCCCTAATGAACCTGAATGCAAAGAGATATGATTGAATGTAGACAATGACTATTGAGACCGTCCTGACGATCGATTCAATCAACATTGCCAACCGTTTTGCCTACGTCTTTCTTCCCGTGCCTAGGACTCTTCGTACTGATATGCGAGCACAGACGGACAGAATCACCCACGTGCTCGTCTCTGCGTCTGCAGGCCCGCCGACGTCTCGCCATTCCGGTCATACATTGCCTCCCATCTTTCTCACGGCTCTCGCGTCCTTCAGCTTGAAAGCTTTCGAAAGCAGGCAGAGACAGGAAACACCAGCCCTCCCGCGGGCAAAGAGAACAGTGAAGGGTGAAATCACGACCCACCTGCTCGGTGTTGCCGTCCGCCGGCCCAACGTCCCCAAACGTCTCATCGTTCCGGTCGTCGATGCTGCGGTCGTGCTCGTCCTCGTTGGCCTGCGCGTCGTTCTCGCCGCGGAGGACCGAAGAGAAGCGCTCCTCCTCGCCCAGGGCCTCGATCTCGGGGGCCGCCTTTTGGCCGCGCTCCTGCAACCAGGAGGATGTAGAGCATCAGCTTGCGTGTTCTCGTAAGGGTGCGCGTCGACCGCAAACATCTTGGCCTCCAATGTTGCCTTTGTAGTACCGCCAAGTAGGAGGTACGATACTTTTCATGCCGAAATACTGCTCTAGAATGTACCCTTTTAACGACGTGGATCTAAAGGGACCATGCATTGGCTCGAGAATTTGGAAAGCTTTTAGCACGTTTTCGGTCGATGCGAACCCTGATTCGAGGTGCAGCCTTCAAATCTCGTCTGGTTTAGCGGGTCGCCTTCTGCCGCGCTCCTGTCCCTTCTGCACAACTTTGAGCTCCAAGCTTCAAGGGGATGCAAGAAGGCCGCGTCAGAGCAGCAGGGCCTGGTCCGCTGATGATCCCAGTGGTGAAAAAGCTAGTGATCCGTGGAAAAGCAGGCCTTACCTCCGCCAGATGCGGATTCTTCGACGTCGACTGCTCAATCTCCCGCGCGATGCGGGCTGCCTCACGCTCGCGCTGCCGGGACAGCGCGTCGTTCCCCTTCTCCAGCGGCGTCGTGTAGAAGTTCTCGTCGAATGTCGTGCGCACGCCGAAGAGCTCCCGGTTGGTCGCGAATTGGTCCCAGCGTCTGCGGTCAGATCAAACAGACGTCACTATTGAGGTAGAATGGATCAAAATGCTCTTGCAAAGCCCTCGATACAAGGAAGAGCTTGATCAGGAAAGCCAGCTGAAGAGTGAGTGCAAAGACGATGGGAGGCTTTCAGGAGCACAAGGCGAAGAGCTGGTGAACTGCAAAACAACCACTTGCAGACACACCAACAAAATCGACCCCGACCAAACGGCTCACCGATACTCGCCCTCTAAACTCCTCTTCTGAAACAATACACGACCACCTCCACCAAGTCTACCATCATGATGAGACCATTCAAACACCTCCGTTCTCAGCTCTTTGCACGCCCCAGGGAGCCTATCGCTTCAAACTGTGGCCCCTTCCAATCTGCTCACCCGCTGCCGCTTCCGCTGCTTCCACCGCTGCCCCACGGCCCGCTGCTCGGCCCCTCCAGTCGGTAGTCCGCCGGCCGAACATCCGATGCTTCGGGCTTCCAAGGCTTGAGCTCCCGCCCCTCGAAGCTGGCGCGCCGCCGCGAGATCCCGGTGTCAGTGATGACGTCATCAAGGCCGCGCAGGCTGCCATTGGTGAGAGCGTCGCTGGATAGAGGGACTTCCTGCAAAGGAAAAAACGTCGGCGGTAAAAAGGGTCGTTGTAGTTCGGAGGGATTTACAAGAAGCTGTCAATGATTGTTCAAGTCCAGGATGATCGAGTACGAAAGCATTGGGTGGTTCTGCTAGAATGATGCCTCCGGATACGTGGCAGTGTGATGTCGAGATATCACTGGCCACACGGATACTTCACTGATCAGGGCATTCGCAAACATGACACTGGCAAAGAAAAGAAATCATCTGGTGAACGCAGCATGGATCATCGGTGTCAAAGGGCTGCCCCCATGCTTCTTTAGCCCCCACCTTTGCCACAATCTGCACAAAGTCCCCATGGTGAATGTACACCGTTTTCATGGGCGGCTTCCGAGACGCTTCCCTCACGGCATCCGACTTTGCAATCGTCCTCCCGTCCTTGCCAACCTCGCGCACGAGCCGGGCCATTTTCAGCACCACGCCTGCCAGACACAAGCCGGACGGATCAGTCAAAAGGGATGTGCAGGAACAACGTGTTCCCTATTGCTCGACCATGGTTGACACATGAAAGAAATCATATAGTTGTCACACTAAATGTTGGCAAGGTATGTGCGCAGGGTAAACCCCGATCTTTTGGTACAGGACTTGTCGCAGAAGGGTCCTTATTGACATGATTAATTCCAGAGGCGTGCCGAGATTCCCGTCAACCAAGGTGCGGAGGCAATCACAAATTGCATGTTTGAAATCAGAAGACATTCATGTTCCTGCGGATGAAATGACGCCAAAGCTTAGGAGGAAACATGCGCATTAAGTGCTTACCCCACCTTCTGAAGGGTGGTCACAGTCTGCAACAGAAAGCTTCCCCTAATGCTACTGACCCTGACGCAAAGACACCGCTAATGGTCAAGTGATCTATCTACTTTGTTTCTAACCTGCTGGCTCTGTATCTTGAGATTATGAGCGGCAATTGCACGCCCCGTTCGTGCACATTATGCTCAGAACGGAGGACCATTGAAACAAAAACTTCTTTGACATATCTGTTTGGGCGGCGGGCCACGAGACTTGAGCCCCGCCAGAGAGCTCCTGAACACATCCGCATAAGCGACAACCGGCAGTCATCTGATTGCAAGTAGAGCATAACCAAACCTCTGACCCTGAACTATTTGGTCAGGGACCTGGCGCCTCCAAAACTACATCACTCACCAAACTCCCTCCCTTCCTCTGCTTCTCGTGTGTGGAAGATGCCCTGAAAAACGGCCCCGTCCGTTTTCTGCACCTCCACCGTCTGCCCCACCAGGCACATCATCAATTTGTTGAAATCCTCCTCATGCCCCCCCTCCCGGCGGCCCCCCGCAGGACTGCTCCGCCCCACGGATCCCCCCCCCCTCGGACCCATCCCATTCGACCTGCCATCTGCACCCCCCCTGCCGTGGCCGTAATGTCCGCCTGATCCCCCCCCACCATGTCTGAGGGGCGCCGGCCGGTAGGGTTCTGGACGGGGACCCGTGCTGTCCCTGGTTTTGTCGGCAGGTAGACCAGAGTCACTGCTTCTCCGACGACCGGTGACGGGGCCAGAGGGGTATGCAGGGCGCTGGGGGGTGGTCGCGTGCTGCTGGCTCATGGTGGCGTTAAGTTGGTGGGACTCTGCAAATCAGTATGCTTAAACTTGGTGAGTAACAAGCGACACTGCTCAATGCACCTGACCAAAGTCGTAATCAATCAAAAGACATCAAGGTCCATTGCAGCGGCTAAAATTGGCAGATCAAGGAAACTGGAAGAAGTGCTAGCTCACACTGCAACAGGGAATTGATGAAGGGCCAGCGCTCTGACTTGCATTGCATCCTTTCCGACAGGGCAGTGCAACAATTCAGTGAAAACAATGGACCTGGTACATATTTGCGCCTTCGAAGTTTCCAGACTTAGCGCTGATATTAGCTGTCAAGGCTTGCAGGTTTTTCTACTTCGGAAGCGTTCTGCAGATCAAGTAGGCAAACATGGTAACAACATCAAACATCTCAAAACATCTCAGAAGGATTAGACTGGCTTACTTCACACATTATAAGGCCTTAAGACAGAGAGAGATAGCTAGAGAATATCTTGAATCAGATGTCAAGGGTGCAGTTCGATAACAAATGTTGCGCCTCTCCAACACATTCTTCAAAATCTGCCATTTCGAAGCAGGTCGTTTGTTCAATCGCATTCGAGCACTCCTCCAAAATTTCAAAAGATTCAAGCAGATGCAGCCAAAACAGAAAGTGCACTAGGGTATGTGTTCAAATGCATTCGAGCCTCCTCCTAGCGTTATGTCCAACCTTTCTTCGCAAAAGTTAGGGTTATTCCCACCCAGCCCAGGCTCTCGAGACGTCAACTCTGGTAAAACCCGGCGCATTCAACCAGGGTGTGCTGTTCTAAACGTGGTAAAGGTTTTCTCCAAGCAACAGCAGCACTTGAGGGTGGACATGTCTGACCTTGCAGATGATCACTCCAAAACTAACTGATCAGTATCAGTAACAAAAGATTAAGAAGGAAGGCAATGATTCTTTTCTCACCGACTCAACGCAGCTGGGGCTGAAAATTGGGGAGGACAGAGCAGGACAGCTTTGTGTTCAAGGTCTGACCAAACAGGTTGTACACCCAGATGTAGACGGATGTGCACCAAACTTGAACTGAAGCACCCGCGCGTGACCTGACAGGACTGTGTCTGATTGACCGGTAAGTGTACAGCTCTGCAAACACTGTGGATCAATGAACGGCGCTTCACACAACTCGATACAAATGCCGTCTGCGCTGGCTGCACCAGTGTAAGCTCCCCAAGTCGAAGCTTCTTTTCCCAGACAATCCACCGTCAGATATCGTCAGACAGCGTTTTGAGGAAGTCAAGCAAGGGGTGTGCAGGACCTGCAAGCGACCTGCCCCTGAGGAGCGACTCCTGAGGAACAACCTGCAGCAGACACTCATAGGATGCGCTCGTTTGAGGGGAGATCGGAGGAAGGAAGGGTGGGTTTTGCTCTTGCCATAGGAAGACGTGCCCTTGTCAATGCAAGCTGGTCAGGCTTATGACATTCAGGGGAACCCTAGAAATGATCAGCTCCGAACGGAAAGCGGAGTTACTTGCAGCCGTGCAATGCTTCATCGACGGCTGTACATGCTCAAATGGCAATGAACGCTGGTTCTTCGAAGGCGGTCCGATGAGTCCAAAGGGTGATCGACGGGCTGTGTCGCCCGTGTTTTCAAGCTTCCCGCCAAAGGTTTTTGACTCGATTCAAAGATCGACAGAGTCTCCAACTCCAAGTTGTGATTCACAGCGCCTGCCTTGTCGCTGCGCCTGCTTTGACCCAAGACATTCGCAATTCGTTTCAAGAGCTTCGGGAGGGAATGTTGTTGACCAGATGAGGGCGTGTGGCTGGCGGCCTGAGCGGAAAAGAAGTGTTGAACACGTGCGGTCCGTTTAATCACACAGCCTCTGAGACCGATTGCTCTGCAAAGATGAAGAGGCGAATGGATTATACTGAAGACATTTTTGCTGCGTTGTGGAATCGGAGCTCTAAAAGGAGGCGGGAGCATTACGGTGCTTCCAAGGATGAAAGCGAATCAGAGGGGTCAGAGGATGATAGTCAGTGGGAGGGTTCTGATGGATGCCAGTCTAGCGGCAGCCAGTGGGAGGGCTTGGAAGAAGACGAGAGCCAGTCAGAAGGTTCCGAGGATGCAAGCGAGTCAGAGGATTCAGAAAGCGGCACCGGAGCATGGGACTCGCTTGGGGGCCACTTTTATCTTGGAACGTCAGGCTGGCAATTTGCTGATTGGAAGACCAACGTGTATCCTGCAACGGTGAAGAAGAAGGACTGGTTTCAGGAGTACAGCTCTCATCTCAACAGCGTCGAGGAGAACCGCTCGTTCCAGAGTATCCCCTCTGAAGCCAGCATCCAGAAGCTGAATGAGCAAGCGAACGGAGTGAGAGGCTTCAAGTACGCGCTGAGGTTCAGTCAGTACGGCACACACACCAGGAAGCTGCTCGATCCGAAGGCCACAATTGGGAACTTTGCTTACAACTTGCGAGCCCTGGGAAAGCGGCTGGGTCCGGTCTTGGTGCAGTTGACGCGCAACTGGAAGATGAACCCCTCTGATTCTCCCGCCCGGCTGGACGCTTTCTTGAGGGCGGCAAAGCCGAAGTGTGCCAAGTGGGCGATGGAGCTGCGGCACGAGTCCTGGCTATGTGAGTCCATCTACAGCGTCTTGAGGCAACACAACGTCGCTCTGTGCATCCATGACAACGTCGACGTGGAGGAGCACCCGCAGATGCTGACAGCGGACTGGACGTACGTGCTGTTCCATGGCCCAAGATCTGAGAGCACAAACACGTGGAGCGAGGGGTATGAAAGGAAGGAGCTACAGGCGCGAGCTAACTGGATTCGCAAGGTGCTCAAGCAGTACAAGGACGTCTATGCCTACTTCCGGAACCACAACGAGGGCCACGCTTTCCATGATGCTCTGAAGCTGCGGGCAAGAGTTCTCCCGCTGAAGGAGAGCAAGTCCAAGAAAAGATAGTTTGTGCAAGATGTGAAGATGCGTTGTACTGTTCGTTGGATTCACTAAGAAAACGTTCAATAGCCAACTTGAGACTACACAAAATGGTCAGCTTTTGGAGTCTTGGAGGGATGAGTGTGGCAGTGGCAAAAATTGGTTGCCGGTGAGCTTTCAATGATATGGAGAGCACGAGTGCTCATGTACCCCGTCAAAGGCTAGTAGACTGGTTGGTGTACAGTAGCTTTTTGTAGCCATTTTTTACTGCCAGTTGTAGAGTAATACGGTACGCTGCTTTTGAGACCTCTGTATTTTAAGTACTGTCGGTCAAGTACACCTGATGAGAAACTTCGTCCATGGCCTTTATTACCAGCTTTCCTGAGAGGCCAAAATACCGATCCGTGCAGTGGATGAAGCATGCATCATGGTCACCTCACTCTCATGGGTTGACGTTGTGGTTGGATGCAAGCCATCCGATCATGCCGAAAGTCTGTTGGCAGACCGGACCTTGATTGCAACTATGGCGGCTTGAATCGCCATGCAGACAGCAAGATAAATCTGTTCAATGCAGTACCACGTCGACATGTTTACACTCATACGCATGGTTGGAGATTGAATAAGCAATGCCATACACTTTTGATGTAAATTCATCCAGTATACAGTATAAACGTGAGACCAGTGACTGCAGCCTGCACATGTCATGCAGCTGCGGCTCCGGCTGTCATTTCATGGATGTTGAGGCAGCTTCGCGAAGCGACATGGAGCAGCCGGGCACAAAATGACATGTGCATGCATACAATGGTCATTGGTTTCATACACGTGCGAGCCGTCTGGCCCTCCGAGCCCTTATGATGCTTCAATCATTTCAAAACTTTGCAACCATGCGGGTGACTACCATTCTATAAGTGCATATGATTACCATGCACCCACGCAATAGACTGTGCGCAGCTGACAATGAGTGGACTTTAGTTGAAAGTGAAGGCAAAGGTTACAGAATTGCCTACAATGGCCGGACAAGGAGCCTCGATCCTTCGAACATAAGAGATTGCATACAGGAAAGCTCAACAGATGATTATCGTCAAAAGAACAGAGTAAGCTTCCGATCAGATCCGCAACTGCTGCAATTCAGGAACCAGTGAAAGTACAGCAATCATGCGTTATGGACAGCCACATTCTGCCCTGACTCCACCACTTTGTTGATTGGCACCCTTTGCCTCTGTTCCACATAAGCTGTGGGGAACCATCCAGCCCTTCCTTTGCACTCTCCTTCCGACCAGCCCGAATCCGACACCTGCAACAATCATGGCTCCCCTAGTTCAAAGTCCAGCATTTCAACATTTTTTGACCAGACAGTCATCCAGCGCAAACCAGGATTTACTGGAAACTCCAAGCAGACTCGTAGAAAGGCGGGTTGCCTTTTCAACGAAAACATGCTCACAAACTTTGAACCTGGATTGCCCCTGCAGATTTGCGGTTCATCGGGCGAGCAGACAAATGCGTGTGAGACAATGGCGAGCGGGCCCGGAACTCTTACCTGCCTGACCACCACGAAATCTCCAATTTGCAAGCTCAACTCGCTGTCGGATTCGGCTTGGAAGGCATGCATCGCCTGCGCGGCAAAGAATACAATATTTTTGTTGTTCGCAAGACTCTCAAGTGACGAGGACCAAGAAGTAAAAACGACATTGAGAGACCCACGAAGCTAACGAGGACTCCACTCTAGATGCAGTCGTAAGACCGTCGGATGCTACCAACAAAAGCAAGCACGACCCAACTGAGGGATTCCACCCAGACTCCTCATCCAACTTTTCAAGAAGGAACCGAAAAGGGGACCCGTTCGCACGTACCAGCTATGATTTGTCGGCTCAATTTCGTTTGGGGAGAAGACTTTGTTCGCATCTGCTCAACGAAGACTAGCTACACGACTGACGTTCCTCTGCTCTTTGAAATCGCAGAGCTTCATCAAGATGCATCTGTCCCAGACATTGTGTAAGTCCGTCTGAAGCGGAACATGGCAGCATGAATTGGTCGGTAACAACGAGATCTGCTTCACGAAGGGAATCGGCAAGCCTCACCTCTGCAAGGAAGTAGAGCGCCTTCTGCGAGCCTGACGGCTTGCCTGCACCCCCGGACGAATCACCGTGGAACGAAGCTTCAGCATCACCGCTAGGGGTGGGGGGCGCCGAGTCGCCCTTCTGCCTCTCTGCCATAATCTGCAGAGTGTACCGCCACGTCAATATGAGTGCCTGAGCACTTGAGCGGGCCTTTCACAGTGAGAGCGAGGTCGCAGGAAGATGTGTCGAATTTCTGGAGACGTCTTCCAATCCGATTCTGCGAATTAAGCTTGCGGAAGACTGTAGATCGAAAACGATTCAGCTGACCTATGACAGGCTCTCAAGCGACCAGTTAGGTCAATTCTCTTACATAAGGAAAATCTGACGTCACTGATACGGAATCCACTCTTCCCTACAGGCTTTTTGTTGAAGTCGCTTTCCTCGAGCATCGGTTTACATTCAAAAGCCTGGCCACACAGCACTTTCGACTGATTCCACACCTGGCTGTAAACCTGGTCCAGCAGGCTTGCACACGTGGCATGGTACTCCTTCTCCGAGCGCACGGCGTCGATGAGCCGTTGCAGCGTCACCCGCTGCTGCTGCGTCTCCACGGAAATGAGCGAAGACGCAGCCTCCTTGCCAAGAACGGCCATCGCCGCCGTGAGGTCCTGCATCTTCTGCTCTGCCTCACGGAGCTTCTTAGAGGCGTCGTCTGCGCTGCCCCCTGCGCTGGCGCGGTCGGAGCGCCGCTGGACTGACCCGGCCTGTTTGACCAAAAGGAGAGTTGGTTGGATCTACAAACTGCTGCTTTGATCGGATTGGCTGAGCTTCGACAAGTGGTTTCACGGACTGCTGCTTTGATTGGGTAGTTGCTTGGACTGCTGAACTCACATACTGCTATCATGATTGAGTTGGCTACTGGGACTAGTGACGAGATAGTTGCGAAGGAGCACTTGCTGCACAGCTTCGGAGCAGGGCTGGAACTGAACGTCTAGAAGGAAAGTGCGCACTCTGCCAGGCTCATTGCGGTTGCTAAAGCTCAGCGTCGGTGAGTTCGGGTCACTCTGTGTTGCTAGAACCCGACTTGATTTGGAGGCCAGATTGTCCAAGTTGTGCGCCTTTGGTAGAAGAAAGACAATGACGGTGCTGACGATACAAGAAGATCCAGCAACAATATGCAGGGAGACAACCAACCTCTGGTAGCTGTGGTTGCGACGAGAGGCAAAATCAGAAACTTGATACACGGCATTCTGATGAAAACGGCAGGTTGTCTCACCGTCTGTACGGCCTCGTCTCGCAGCTTTTCGTATCTCCTGTAGAGGTGCCTTGCATCTTCTAGAGGGGCTCCACTGATCATGGCTTTCAAAGGGTCCCCAACCTGCACATACCAGTCCAGTGGTCAGAATCAAGAATAATCCACAACAAGGCATAAATTGCACAACAAAGTCCGCAGCCAAGTACAAGTTTGCTGATCCCATTACTTCTTTCGAAGCTCCTGGAAAGCTTCGCTAACAAAAAGATACTGGTATCAACTTGAGCGGGAAGGAAACAGTACCACTGTAAACTTCCAGCAAGAGCCTGCTTGAAGCAAATGACAGGGTCAAACTGAGGTGTTGAGGCGGTTGGCAAACTCACGGTTGTGGCCAAAGCACGGTGGAAGGATTCCCGCTCCTTCTCAACATTGACCCTCCCATTTGAGTAGTGCAGAGCAGCGCGAGCAAGGGTACTGTTTGGAGCGGGCCCCTCCACCGCATACTTGCGGCAGTCATCACCCAACCTGGCGCCTATCTCCGAGTACTTGGCACCGCTCGCCACCAGGCCGTCTACGCCCTTGACAATATCCTTTTGGAAGTGCTGCAAAGTAAAGGCAACCGTCAGCGGACACCTTGGAGGATGTGTTCAGCCTATGTAGCTCTCAAGAGGGCAACTTCACTCAACTTGTGCAACCAATACATCTAGATCAGTCCTGCCTGGACAGAAGGGGCTTCCACACACAAGAAGAGTGCTGTGCTTCCAGCTGGTGGACTCTGTAAAGCAGCGACAGTGTGATGCTCGCCTTTGTGTTGGTTGTTGATGCGTTCAGCCTTTCCAGCTGCTGGTGCCTCTGGAGCTCTGCTTCATCTGTGACAACCGCATTGCTGCCTTCCTTGGGGGCAGCAAACTTGCCCATTACAGCCTACAGCAAGCAGGAGAGTGACTTCAGTCCTGACAGACAACCACCAACATTGCAATCACAGTATGTCATCTGTAGAGGTTGATTCTTATCTTTCACTTCATCCAGCAGATGTCCTCGAACGGAGGCACCATGTACTCGCAAGTTTCTTGCAGATACATACCCGCAGAGTAAAAGCACATGACCAGTAGACTTCCAACCAGATGCAAAGACGACTCAAAAAGATACATGGTTGGTCTCAGCTTTTACTCACCGCCTGCTGCTTTGAAACTTCGCTCCCAAGCTTCTGGGCATGCTTACGCAGGAAATCCATGGTCCTGCAATCCAGCCAATGCCAGTGACTCCTTAGTCCTCTGAAGATGGTTGAGGCAGGGCCCCTAAAACAAGCAGGCTTACAAAGAATCAGGAACTCGTGCAGACTACAAATTATCAATGCATGACGACTTCACGCCCTCGGAAGTTGTTTCGAGGATGACGCTCACCTTAGCAGACTCGGGAGAATGCAGATCAATCGAGCCGGTTGCTGGAGGGGAGGCTGTGCAGATGGAGTGCTCAAGAGAGATTTCCACAATGTGCTTGGTACTGCTCCCAAATGCCTGGATCGTACTTGGTCGTCAGGCGCTTGTGACGGACCCTCCACCAAAGCCTCAGAATCAAAGCGCCCCAGCAGAGATGAGTGCCCAGCCTGTTTTGAATGTGAGAAAAACCCACGGTTCAGATTTCCGTTAGACAGACCAATCAGCCAGTTCTTCGACGTCGGGTGGTGGACATATGTTTCGACATGTGGTTCCCCGCTGTCAAAGTTTTTATCTTGTCGAAGTCTGTTGAGGTGGCCTGGCCACCCACTTAACCTTAACCCAGACACGTGAAACCCTAATCTGCGCTCTTGCAGCTGTTGTTTGCACAGTCATGCAGACTCGTCACTCTCTCTGGAGGCAGAACGCTTTTGGTGTTTTGTTCACCTGACGCCTCCCTTTTCAGAAAGTTCCTTGCAGCATTGTCTCCACATGGCATCATGGACGCCCTCAAGACGACCTTCAGCAAGGGGGTGGACTTCTTGTTCCTGCTGTTCGACCTCCTCCGGGCGTGGTGGAGTTTGACATACTTGTCATATGTCTGGATCATCAATGAGCTATGGGCTGTCACAGCGGCATTGGGGATCCTCGTGACATCCACAGCCGCAGTTTGCATTGCAGTCTGCATAAACTGGACGTTGGAGATCATATCGGCACTTCTAGGGATCACCTTCTCATTTGTCTACGTTGGAGCGGTTGCATTTTGCGCATGGTGCCTCGCAGTGGTTGCTGTGTGCTTGTACCCTTTAGTTAAAACGCTCCTGCTCATGAGGAAGCTCGCTCAGATACTGCTGCGGTGTACAAAGGCACTGGTGACGGAATGACGCCTGCCAAGCGACTCCACTACACGTAGGTGAGCATCTGCACTAAGACTAGAAAATCAAGGGTGGACAGTCAGAGCCAGACTGGTGTAGCGTCTGCCTTGACTATCTATGCCAGTATCTCAGCCAGAGATATTACTGGCAAGACCATGAGTTCTTTCATAACTCATGGCCCAGACATCCTATTTTTGGGTCAGGTTTTTCAAGAACTTTTGTTGGTAGGCGTACTTCACGGTAGTAAATTCAGAGAAGAGCCCCCAAAGCCTCTCTCTTTTGCATACGTTTGTAGCACATGAGGTGGCAAATGTAGTTCGTTCGCCCCCAGTTTCAACAACAACCAATAACAATAACAATATCAATATCAATCTGAACAATCTGAACCTAGTTTGGCAGTCAACCCAGCATTTGACATGCCCTTCTTTCAATTTTGTTGTGCTCCAAAGCTTGTTCTTTTCAGACCGGTCTTGTCGAGTTGGCTTGCAGAAGCATTTTCAAAAGAGTAGCATTAGACAACAGAACGTGCGAACTAAGTGGATTCAAAGAAAGGACGACAACGATCCAAGCACACCTTCTGCAGGGCTACACTTTGTATATATGTCAAGTGGAAACCTGCTGTGGTGCTCACGCTACTTTGAAGGACAGAACATCCGGACCGCAACCGGTGAGCGCACCATCTTCCAGTATCTACCTTGTGGTAGATTGCGCGGCTCAAGGCAGCAGTCCTATATGTTGAAGATGGAAGCCGTACGAGAGAACCAAAAACACAAGCTAGATTGATTGCTAGGTTGATCTTTTCAACCTAGAGTCTGATAGAGTCTGCTTGTATTTCCTTCTCAAATGGGTCCTCTTGTTTCCTGGAACTTTGTCCAAGAAAGGTGGAGAAGGAATTGAACGGTTGGTCTAATCAGGTATGTTTGTTCAGAACACCAACCTTTGTTTGCGACTTGAGTTTGTCCATCGAAGAGCTATGCAGCCCAATCCCTAGTCCGAATCAATGGTAAAGCCTCTTCTTACTTTTCACTGGCCACGAGGTTTAGACAGAGACATTGCTCCTCGTAATGGTGACCTCATGGCAAGTTCCATGTTTAATCATAAAGTCGTCAATCCCTCCTGATTGTGCTTGCAGGTGATCAGGTTCTGCCCGACTTCCAAGGGTATACTCCTAAGATTTGTGTCGAGCTCTCTTTATTCATCATGACGCATTTGCTCAAGTTGCGGCGCTGAAGAAACATGGGCCAATGAATTGGTAAAGCCACTATCCAATGCATTGAGAGCTGTATGTGTCTGGACAGCAAGTCTGCCGTGCAAGTGACAATGTCAGGCAGCTAGTAGCCTGCAATTCTATAATAGTATCCTAGATGAGGAAGATGATCAGACAACTAGCAACCATATAAGAATGACATGACGGCCCTTGACTGATGACACCGGTAAGATTAGTGGAAGAATCAGGGCACTCACTCAGTCCGTTCTTATCTTCCATTGCGTCTTCCACAGGTGTCAGACCGCAGCGCGCCGAACATGTACATGATAGCTGTTCAGCTTTAGTATAATTGATAGCAGCGTCTACTTTGCAGTAAGCAAACTCAACATGCCATTGATGTACTCGAATAGTGTGGTTGTGTCATGTGCCATGGGTCATACGCTCTGGCCGGGCCCTGAAAGCATATGTTGATGGATTCTCGAGAATCATGCGCCAGCAGAATATTACAAGGATTCTCACTTCGAATATGCGTTTCGAGCGCGCAGAGCCTGCCAGCAATGGCCTGAGATGTAGCGTGTTATAAAACCACGCTAGCTGCACAGTGGTCGATCTTTCATGTATCCGACATATGCGGAATACGTATAAAGCTCAATCATGATATGACTTTGTTTCAACGCATGGCGGCAGGACAGTAACAACAATTTATACACTGATTGAACATGATCAAAATCAGTGATCGAGGAACTTGCAGCTGTGTTCGACGACAACCAAACGCGCACAGATTGACAACATGCCGAGCTGTTGTAACACATTGTCAGAAGAATCCGTCGTGTACCGCTGCCACTGTAAGAATACACAAGGAGGAAGGTAAAAGTACCTGGTTTTGCGAGCTCCTAGCTCAAAAGCCTAAGGCTAACTTGATTGTACACAAGCCGCATCTTGTCCACCTGTGTCGAACCTCCAAAAGAAAGCCCATCATAGCAGCATCAACTATAATCAGTTTGCTACCTAGGACCTTTTTGCTACCTAGCTTGGTCACGCCTCAATAAGACGCACACTCGCATGCATCTCATGGGCTTCGTCACTACCGCATGCGAGGAGAATGTTCATCAGATTAGTCTAGCCAGTAACTTTGGACGGGCTAGGCCGCAGGCCAAGGCCGGTTTGCCACGTTTGCCTTCACCATCCCCTCCGCTTTCAAACTCTCCCCCTCCTCAATCTCCATCGGCGTCCGGTTGACGACGTACTCAATAAAGAAAACAGCAAGCGGGACGGCAATGAGCAGGCCCCAGACCCCGAGCGTGTGCTCCGCAAACACGAGCACCGCGAGCACCAGAAGTGGATGCAGCTTCAAGTGGGCTGCGAAGAGTCGGAAGAGCCGTGTCAAACTTTGCGATGCCAATTGGCTGTCGATAAGACAGGAAACAACATTGTAAAAGGGCCGTTTGTCAACACACTTAATCGGTAATTTCATGTGAACGAACCGGGCATCCACCATGATAGGGAGGAATGGAAGCGAGCGGGAACGGATGGGGAGAGGGAGGCGACAAACAGATGGTAACAAGAACAAGAGCGGGTTTTTGTTGCAGAGAGTTATGATCTTCAAAAGCTCGGCTCGGCCCGAGTTTGAGAGAGGCATCCCTCGAAAACAGGCAGATGAGCGAACCGACTCGCATCCTGCCTCAAAAACAGAGCGAAACCGCGAATGTTCGAACGGCCACCGCTGGGGTTGCAAAAGTCAACGCTAAACTTCCTTCAACCAGTGAGAAAATTCATCAATCACCCGTTGCTCAGGCCGCTCAAACTTCAGTGCGGCCCGACATGACTGGACTCATGTGTAAAGAGCGGTGAGTAGTGGCCGCTTGAGAGTTTGTTGACCTGATTTCTTTCTCGACGGCTTCCCCGACGACGTTTACGCAGGCAGCCAGAATCCAGGTCGACTCTTATTGTCGCATGCGTTCACCAGAAATCGCATCTTGCTAGCGGCCCTAAAAACAGTTTGTTGCAACTAAAGGCGCGAAGCATGGTCAAGTTGGGTCATTTACCTGAATAGATGACGGGGTTCAACACGTACGCTTCTATGGCATGCGTGACGACCACCATCGCAATCACTAGAAGCAGCTGAAAGGCACCGTACCTGCACAGACAAGGGAGATTGTGTCAGCCTTGCACATTCCGTGCCGAGTCCAAGGAAACATTACGAAGTAAAGCGAGGCTAGTCGAAGAGGTGATGAAGGATCACCCTGGCGCTACGGGCTCGTCAGATCAGTCCCAAGGACCACGGACTAGACTCTATACTTCAGTGGTGTATCCGTGACGCACAAACAAACGGCAACTCAAGTGCTCGTTATACGTGCGTACACAAGCAGAGAGCAAGGCTTTCGTGCACGCCTTTTTCTGCCACGGAAAATTTAGCGCCACGGAAACTCGTGCGCCTGAATCATGCGGTCGCTGCAGGACGGCTGACAAGACCCTCTTTTACGTTTTGGACGCGAGGAAGATCTGTCTCTCAGTAACCACCACTTGCCCCAAGACTCCGACGAAACTGGATATGACGCTGTTTGAGGACAGCATGTCCTTGACTCGAGGCTAAAAAGGCAACGAATCTACTTTGGAGCCGTTGAGGAAAAGCAGTGTGCCAGCGGTTCGCATCAACGATTTAACACATGACTCCAGACCGCCCACTCCGCGAGCGCTCGCGACTCCTTCTGCCAGGGCGACGAGGCCGATGAGGATGGTGGATAGAAGAACGCAATCAACGCCACCCTTCGTTTCGAACAATCCATTTGAATGCTGTTGAAACAAACCCTTCTGTGCTGATTTTGCACGAGCGGTCGACACCACTCCAAACCGCCACTTTGCAAACGTTTTGCGACTTACTCTGCTAGTGCGACGAGGCCGATGGGAATGGTGGACAGGAAGACGCCGGCTACGGGAACAAAGGAGCAGATGAAGACTACGATGGAAAGGCCCAGAACTCCGGGGAGGCGCAAAAAGAGACAGCCCAGCCCGGTGAGTAGCGTATTGACCACCGCGATGGCGGACTGCGCCTGGAGGGCCTTGCCGAACAGCCGGCCGAAGGTGGCCACCTGCGAGGGAAGCAAAGGCATGGGGATTCGTTTTAGAAACCGAAAACAGTCTGCTTTCAAGAGGTAATTGACACGATAGCCGCTTCCCAGCACTGGCAGGCTGGGTTGGATTCTGCGAAGCTGCCGAAGAAGATGGCTACTTGAGAAGGAAGATGAGACATCAGAACTTTCCAACCGAAATGATAACGGCCCGCTTCTTCACGGTGCTCACCAGTTGGGCCCTTCGAACTATGTGAAGGGAAAATGAAGGTAAAGAGAAACTTGTCGGCCACAATCGGAAGGAGGCAAGGCGCCGAGATTCTTTCCAGAAACTCAAGACGGGGGCTTCCATCAGGTTACTGCAGCGGATAGCCTTTTCAAGAAGCGACAGCGACGTAAGGAGACGGGAACTCTTTACTAATGCGCTGAATGTGAATACACGAACAACCAGCAGTGGGCCAGCTTTCCAGACGAATGCAGCGAAAGAATTTGCCTGGAACCGACAGAAGCGTTTGAAAGCTTCTGTTCTTCTTTGCTAAGCCGCCCATCAGATAGGTCCGCATCTGCAAGGCTGACGACGAACCTCCAAAGATCGGGATTAAGGAACGGAGAAAGCAGCAAACTGCTCTAAGTGGAGGTTAGTGGAACTTACGGCCGGTGCGATCTCCTCATACACGGCGGAGAGTCGGGATTCGCGGAGCGATTTGGCGCCCCTTTGGAGGGTGGGGAGGTCCCAGACGATCATGAAGGAGAAGAGCAGGCTCACAGCGCACTGCACACGATGACGTCAGAAAATGCTCTGTCACAGTTTGCGACCGAGTTTTGTTCGCAGGAGAACAAGGTCGCCGAAGGCTGAGGCACAACACAGGCTCAAAGGTAGAACGTGGTTTTGTGGCGGCCGATAAGTACGAGAGCTTACCTGCGGACCTCATACCAGTGGCAAGGCTTCAAGTGGTCACATGGATCGGAAGAAAAGAATACGTCCGCATTCTGGGCCTTTCCAATCCCAAGTAAAGGTGGCACTTGCGAGTACTTGGAATGGAGATGGGAGGCTCGAGACTTGGAATTATTGATCGATGAAAACTCCTACGAAGCTGCATCGCGATACAGAGGTCAACCGAGCATGCCCGCGCCTCCCGGCATCCTGCTCATTGCCTCTGAATCGAGCGCTGATCTCCTCGTTCCATCAACCACGGCAACGCAACTCTTACTGCCGAACCACAACTAGCGGTTTGCTCAACCTGCTACCTTTGGGAAGACAGAAGGTGATTCGTCTCACCGACAACACGAAGCGGCTGGTAGCCGTTAGGGCGACCGTGATGGACTGGATCAGCACACCCGAGTAGTCCTTTACCACACGCTCCAGGGCCTTGGACCGCGCGGCCCGGTCGCCGGCAACAGAGATGTCCTGTGGGAACGCGCCTTGATTTTGCGACTGTTTTGCGACGGTCTTTACCCGCAACAAAACCAGTCTTAGCGAGTGGGAGGATTGCATGGATTGTAAGGGTCCGCAGATGCGGCGGACTGCTTATCTTCTCACTACGAAGAACATGTCCCCATCGCTGATACATTTAACCCATGAAGGCTAAACCTTGAGAATGTAAATCGTACAATAACGGTATCCGCTAATTCGGTGATGTAAGCGTTTGGCAACGTTATGAAGGAAGCTTGTGTGCATTACCGTCCGAGATGACGTACTGATCTCCTGGTAGTCGTTACTCAACGGCTACCGACTCGATTGTGAAAACGATTTTACCACTTTACATTACGCCATCTTTGACGAACACGAATTGCATAATATAGAGGAACATGTGGGTGTCTAGGACGGGTTGGAAAGCGATGACCGTGTTTGAGAACCCTTAAACGATTTTCCACTTTGTGAATCTCTCTTGGAAACAGGCTAAAGAACCACCGAAATAGCAGTCTGGTACATTCGAGACGGCAGATGGCAACGGATCTGCGTCAGCCGACTCACCAGAACTTTGTGCTGAGCGTCCGTCGGGTTGAAGACCATTAGCAGGAAGCGCTCCACCTGCAACGTAGGCAAGCGGTGAGCGAAAGCCAGGTACGATCCTTCTGATACTGCAACTTGGACATAAAATCAGACGTTCTCAACTCTGCCAGGCATTGAGTGAACCACTTCCAAACGATTTCCAGCTATATGTAGCTTCTCAACTTTGAAACGAGATAAGAATCCTGGGAGTTCTCAAACGGAATTGGCTGAAAAAGATCACCTTCTCATTCTGCTCACCTGCTCAACCACGTCCTCCCCAACTATGACGCTCACTTTGTCTGAGAATAGATTGTACGGGTTTTCGTTTTGCTGCACGCCACCAACAAGGACAGCACGTCATCAACGGTCGCAGGATCAGAATACGTTCAAATCTTGCATCATTGCCGACAAAGGTTTACCCTTTTTGAAGCTACTCCACCCCAAGAGACCCTCCTGAGATCCACAATCGTTGAAGAAGGGTCTTTGTATTCAAAAGTCAAAGACCAAAGAAGGTGGTGGAATATCTCAGTTGAGAAAAAGAATCTGCCTTTTCTTTCTGGATCAAAGTATCGAACTTTGGTAGATGCTTCTTTGGAGTCCTTACCTGGATCCTGTTTATGATGTCAGCGGCTTCGTGCATCACCCTCGGCACCGCAAAGACGCCGATCGTGACGAGGAGCGACACGATGACGGCGTACATGATGACCACGACTAGTTTCCGCCGGCCAGGCAGGACCTTCTCCACTTCAGCCACCAGAGCGTTGCCAATAAATGCAAGGATGAATGTTCCCATGGAAACCTGCAGTGTACGGCAATCTTACTTTTTGGCCGGACTCCAGAAAGCAGATTAAACATGTGGACAAACCAAGTATGGAAGTGAGATGGCTCCTTTGCTTGCTTCATGGTGCGGTGAGTTGATAGCCGCCTAGTTGTAGGTCAGGAGCTGGATTCCTTTTGGGCTTATGATACACAGTCCAAGTGCAAGCTTTCTTGTTCATGTGAGCAGTCTTGTTTGAATACAACGATACTTCACGAGGCTATGAACATGCTGATCCAGATTTCTTGCTGTTGCCTTCGCACTAGAAATGGAGCGCAGTGAGACAAATATCCCAGAAGATTGTTAAGCATCCAACATTGATTGCCTCTAAGTGAGCAAATGGCTATCCTGTACCTCACGGGCACGCTTGATGAAGGAAGATGTAGAATCCAGACTACCAGTGATTCAAAGATCCAAAAGTACAAGACCTCCAACGGCCCTGGAGACCAACCAAGGCACTCACCCCAAGGAACGCGCGCATCTGGTATGATGCCCCAATTACGATGGCCCAGATTGCAATCTTCTTCACCGGCAGCTCTTGCAAGACTGATGTGAAGTTGCTGAGAGTTCCGGAGGGGGCATCCAGTTTTGCTTGGAAGGTGACGGCGGTCGGGTTAGAGCTTGCGGGGCTGTTCGTGTCTGTGACCTACAGACAGCACGTCACATGATGATCAAACAGTAGGAATTTTAAGTCAAAGACGTCTAGAGGTCAACGACTGCGCTGTCACCCCAGGTTATGTTCATCTGTTTGAGCCGAGGTTTTCACAGGTTGCGTGGAGAAAGCTAAGATTCGTCTGCATTTGCTTGTGCAGACTTCCAAGCAATTTGTGGGGAGAAGAGGAAGCAACAAAGAAAGATAACCTCGACCTTGCTGGAAAAACTCTGCTGGAAAAACTCTGGGTGTTACGGGTCCCCAATAAGCGCATTACCTGTGCTCGTATTGTACAATGCTTGTGCTTTTTGTTCTGCCTCAGCGGAGAGCTCCCAAGCCCGTGTATCCGTGCACTTCTGGCTCTTTTGAAAGATTGAAAAGAACGGCTAGCTTGCAAATCCTGTATGAAAGGCTGCCGGCCAAGAGCATTGGCTGAGATGCTTGTAGATGGTCGTCCTGATTCGCCCCCCGCATTTGAAATTCCAAAAGGGAGTGCTTGGCTTCCGCCAAGCACCGTCTGTGCCGCCATCAGAAAGCCCCTCTTGTGCTAGGGAAGACCTGGGAGCAATCTGATGCTAGTGAAGGGTCAATCCTTGCTATAGTGCAATATCAACTTCATGCTTGACGCTCAACCGATCAGTGGCACACAAGCGACAACGCTCAGAATCTGTCCCTTAGCTCTGCACTGACAGAAGGCTGGATAATACACCCTTTGGAGAAGCTCAGGCTTGCATGCATTCCGTGCTACCCAGCATTATGCTGCACATTCGTTGACATCTGGTCATTAAAGTGCTGATCAAACATTTGACTGGCTGGTTCCACGACCAAACCAACGCAGATGCAAACTCAGTCGCTACACTTGGTGGTGACGTCTATTGAGGCGAATGCTGTGGGTCCACCGCTCTGAACCGGAAGGGCAGAAGAGGGAGACACCCTTTGCTGCTTTGCCTGCGCCGCCAAATCGCCTCTGCTGCAGTTGGCCTGCACCAGCTCCCTTCCCACTAGCCTGTTCCTGGCACTGATCACAGATTCTTGTGGCTGACAAGGACGATTGCCAGGTGTCCTCCACCGGAATCCGTCAGTTTCTTAAAGGAATTCCGCCGGAATGGAGCTGAATCAGCCTTTACCGGACTGTGTCAGTGTCATCGCAACCGTCCGAAAAGGCCTGCGGCCGTGAACTGTTACCAGATTACTAGTCATATGGTCTTAATTTCCTTCAACCTAGATGCGACGCCATTGGAAGGGCCTTGACAATGTGGAGAGGACGCCACATGTTGGCTCATTGCGCACAGATTCATCATCTTTTCTTTGGCCAACCGCTTGTGCCCTGATTCTGCATGGAGGGGGTGGATAATGTGCAGTAGTTTATTGAAGTGACGGAAAGCCATGAACGGGACGCCTGGCACAGATTGCTTCACACACGATTGTTTAGCAAGTTAGACGCATATCCGAGCTTTGTTTCAGTGGGTGAAGAAGGTGAGCATCCGACACTAGCTTTGGGTGTGCTTGAAACGAGTCAGTGTTTCGTTGAGTATCACTACGGGCAAGAGAGGAAAGGAGTGTTGCCAAAGACGACTTTTTGTCAAATTTCAACAGATTTGAAAGTATCTCTCACCTGGATTGTAGCTTCGCCCCACCATCATTCGTGCTGAAAGATTCATTCAGATTCCCTCCTTGAAGAAACTTCTGCAGCATGCCACCATCAAATCGAAGCACACCACCATCTCATCAACAGTACCCGACAAACACCTGCATTCTGGCAGCCAGTTGGAATCCATGACGGTCAATTGTCCAAAGACTCTTTATATCTTGTTGAACTCAATCTGCATAGGTAAGAACATTTCATGTTGAAGCGCTGACTCGCTCCAAACTCACAGGATGAACGCCTGCCTTCGGACACCCAATCATACGTTGTCCGATGTCCGTGGTCACCGTACAACTAGGCCAATGCGGGAACCAGGTTGGGGGTGCACTCTTTGACGTGCTAGCAGGGGAGGCCCTCTCTGCAAGCCGGAAAGAAGAGCCCGAGGCAGAAACGTTTTTTCGGCGGGGCAAAGGGGGGACGCAATGGGTTGCTCGAGCAGTCCTGGTAGATATGGAACCCAAGGTGAGGTCTGGGATTTGAAGCTGGTTCATCTACTGAGCGGGTGGACTGTGATGGACGCAGAAGTTGCTTCTTAATATTGAGGATGAGGGTGGCTCATTTGAGGATATTCCTGGCGAAAGCGGTGCCTGCCTCTATTCTCTACTCCTTGGACTCGATTTTGCCACTCAAGACTTTGTCTAGACGTCCTTCTTTCTCTGCAATCACAGAGGCGTCAAAGCATCTGTAATCAACACAGCAAAGTGATTTAGCTCTCCGCGCCATTTCCGTACTGTATATCTGGTTCCCTGTCAAGAGTTCATATTCTTCAGATGGTTGATCTGCAGGGGCAGCTCACTTTGAGGTAATGCACAAAGGACATGTCAACTCAAGGTGGGGCAACTCAACAGTTCTCTGCGACCTTCTTGGCCACAAAAGTCAGAGAGACATTGCAGCAGGGTTTCAAATCACCACGTATCGAACTTGGGAAGCGCCTTGCAGCGCCTGACTTCATCACAACCAAACCTCCCAGGCTTTGGCTTCCACGGTTCGTTCGGCCCGCGCATCCAGCGGAGGCGTTTGGGGCTTCGACGAGGGACGGCTCTTCTCACGGGAGAGTGGCTCAGGCAACAACTGGGCCCGGGGTTTTCACACTCACGGTCCAGCCTGTCGAGACGATATACTGAACCTGGTTAGGAAGGAGGTAAGCATACGCTTGACCTACGAGTATACGGAGACTGGCGGATGCGGCAATCAAGCACCTTGCGTCTGATTGTGAGTATTCCTACAATTCTTTTCGGCTGGCACTCATTGAAGGTGCGCAATCAGCAAAGTGGTCTGATTATCCTGGTATGGTCTTGCGGGGGGCCGAAGCTATAATGTCCTTTTGTTGTTCTGATCGTCGAAGTTGTTGCCTCGCCGTGCCTCAGGTGGAAGAGTGCGATCGCTTCGGGGGCTTCCTTACGCTCCAGAGCGTTGCGGGAGGCACGGGCTCTGGGTTAGGTATGCTGTCTGCCAAAGTTCGGTACACCACTTGATCACACTAACTGTTGGGTAGCTGTCGCTAGTCAAAGTTCCTCACGCGCAATCTTGTCCATCTCAGTTCTTTCCATTTTCGCAACCGGGTTCCTGAATATACCTGCTTTTTCTAGATGCTTCCGTTTGTCGTGGGCTCTCTTTCTTAGTCAACCTCGTTGCTCTTTATCCCTTGTCTTCGTCCCCTGCTAGCTTTCGGCGTCGACATTATGTTCCGGCTTTGAATCAGCACGCCTCCAAAAGCCCTTCCACATTCGGCAACAGCAAAATCAGCACGTCTCGCTAAGAGTTTGTCTTTGACTTTTGTAGGGGCATACGCGGCGGGTTGTCTACGAGACGAGTATCCAGCGAGCCCCCTGTTGGGCCACTGCGTGTGGCCGCACGAAAGCGGGGAGGTGCGTCAGGCGGATGTCTCCCAATCACTTTCACAACTGAACATGTCAAGATTGCCAAAGGCTTCGAGTAGGAAGAATTGTCCGTTAATATTTTATGTGCTTGGTTCATATGGTAAATATTGGTTCAAAAGGATTAATCATATCGAACCCGTCATGATTGCCAGAAGGCTTCTAGTAGGAAGAATTCTCCGCCAATCTTTTGTGTGCTCGGTTCGAAAGGACTATCTCACCGTAGACTCCTTTTTCGAAAGAAAAACTCTCGTTTGTCGTACAGTGACATTCCTCAAAATGTCCACGCCGGCCCTGAAAACCCTCTTGTCTATCAGTGGCTTTACAAACAGTCGCTTTCTAGCTGTCTCCGTGCACAGAAGCGACTCCGGATGCTTTCTTTCTGTTTCCACAGGTGATCGTGCAGAGCTACAACGCGATGCTGACGCTGCCCAAGCTAGCTCAGGTAAGGCGCTTTCCACCAATCTCTTTCTACCTTCCCGAACGCTGGCCTTCTTTTCACTGGTTTGAGTCGTTCGGTAGGTAAAAGCTCTCACGAACTTTCGCAAAAGTCGTCTCGAAACTTCAAGGTTGCGTCCTTCTCTCTGTCAGCAACCCAGCCCAATTTGTGCCTGCGCACCCTTCTATTGAGTCTCCAGGTTGAAGCAGTTTACCAACTAATTTCTAAAGGCAAGTCGAGGAGTCACCTTCTGATCCCTAAAAGACTGACGTTCTCTCCATCTTTGAGCTTAATAATGAAGACTTCGGTTTGCTACTCAGGCGGCTGACGGCGTAATCCTGGTGGAGAACGAGGCCCTCACCGCCACGTGTCGGCGGCTGCTCAACATCTCCCGGCCGTCGTACACTGACCTCAACTTAGTTGCCGGGCGCGCTCTCGCATGCGTCCTCCTCCCTGCGCAGTGGCGGTCCGAGGTACGGAAACCACGTGGCAAACGCTTCTCGTCAGGTTGTCGAGCTTGTTCGGGCATCAAAGAAGATAGTTGGCAGTATTGTCCTCTGTTCTCGGGGAGAACCACGGCCGTGACTTTGGTCGTCCACAAGCTTCTAAGGTCGAGCTTTGCGTTTGGTTGGGGCCGCCGCTTCTTTGCATTGGTGCGTACACCGAGTGCGTTCGCAACAGTAGAGGAAGAGCTTCTGGGAGTTTTTGACAGCCTACCAGAACCATAGCTGAGTTGGATTCTCAGATCTTACTTGCAACTTTCAGGTACTAGGCCAGACGCGTCCTCATGTCCGCTCAATCCTCGCGCCTTTTTTTCAAGACAAGTATGAGGCGTCGGCGATTCCCGCTTCCGCCCCCTGTCAGAACTTCGTCAGTATCGTGCTGACACGAATAAGTAACGTCGAAGTGAAAGCAAGAGACTGAAGAGCTCTTCTGAGGGAAGTCTCTGCATCTTCTCATCCTATTGCCAAGAAGCGTTACGGCCAGCCTCAGCCTTTCGCCTTCATCACTCAGGTCATTTCGGTGGGCGTGGGCAATTTCCACTGCGCCCTCTATAGGGCCTCGTCGCTGGTGTGCGCACAACCAAGCGATATCGGAAAAGAGGGGCAAAGAAACGAGAAACTCGTAGAATCGTTTTGCGCCTACTCCTCCTTTCACTTACACCCATCATGCCCGCTCTGATCCTTTTTCCCTCTCCACCCAGGCCGACTCGGTGGGCGTCGGCGGTGCCCGCTTCCGCCCCCTTTCGGACCTGGTGAGCGCAGTGTGCGCGCACCCCCACTACCCCCTGCTCAGCCTGCGCGCGCTGCCCCAGATCCCGCCCGCCTCAGTGGACTTCACCACGTTCACGTGGCCCAGCCTGGTCAGGCAACTGCGTCAGGTGCGTTTAATCGGAAAGCATTCTCCGGCCCCTTAACTCGCACCCAAGATGTTGTTTTCGTCGGACTTTTTGATACTACTGTAACCCCAAAGTATGTTGTCGATTTCCGCAAGTTTCGCACCTAATGAATCGCAGACTGGCCGTGCAACAGTTGGGTGCGACTTTTAAGGTGCCCGAGTCGAGTCTTCGTGTTGCGCGATGAGGACATCTCTCGCTTGATGAGAACACGTCACTGCCTTATCCAGGATGACGCGGCCTGGCTCGAACCTTTGGCATGACAGACGTTTCGGTTCGCGGCCCTCCCTGTTAAGTTATCCTGCTGAAGTATCGCGTCTGTCTGCAAACTTGGATGGATAAGGCGCTTCGCGATCATTGTCTGTTCCAGCAGCTCCTATTTCGAAGGGCCGTTTGCATCAAGCCGCTGAGAGTTTAGCGCCAGATTTGACGAATGGTTGCGCCGGAGCTTAAAAGATGGAGGATCTTGGTAATCAGTAATCTTGGTAAGCGCGAGGAGGAGACGCAACCTATCTCAGAACATCACAGCTTGCGTGGAAGACCTCCGCTCTTCTGAGAGGCACAGCGTCGTAGGCAAGGAATCACAATGACGTCAACGACCATTGAGCTGACGTCATTGCTGCTGGCGCGCCCTGTACCTTCGCAGATGGCCTCCTCCGGAGCACCTCTTGAGAGTGCGGTTGACTGGGCCGCTGCCAGCGGGGCGCCCAGCTCTCCACCTCCCGCAGGTAAAGTGCACTCCTCAGCACGCACGGCGCTTGTCAAACTCCTTGAGAAGGTTCTTGTACAGGAAGTCGTTTCTGTGGGGGCCGTTCGGTGTGTTTATCTCGAGGGTTGCGGAATACGCCTGAGAGGGACTCTGATTCGAACTCTTGGGAGGCTTTTTTCTGTGTCCAGACGATCCAAGCGAGTTTCATCTGCGCCGACCTTTTGCTCCGGCCGAACGACATTGTTTATTTCAATCCAAGAGCCAGAAATTATCGCAAGCGAGTGAAATCTGTTAGGAGGTCCCGAATTGCGTCCCCTGTACATTTCGTTGTCCGTCAGGTTGCATCAGGTTTACTTTTTTGAAAGCTTTTTATTGATGGTCTCCAATCTTGAGCACTCCGGTTGTCAAAAGCATCTGGTAACATTAGACGTTTCTAACTTATCTACTTCGCTTTCTCCGGCCGCAGCCAGACAACGCAAGCAGACGCACCTGAAAGTTACTCAAATGAATATTGAGGCATGAAACGGTCGCTAACCCATTATTCCGTCATTGGCAGGAACCTTTCGCAGCGTCAACAAGTCCGTAAGCAGCCTGCTGGTGCTGCGGGGCAAGGTGAGGCCGCCACGGCGAGGAAACTTCACCCCGAAAGTCCGTTCGGGGCCTCAAAATTTCGGACAGATCCTTTCTCGGACGGTCCCTGACGCTTGCACGGGAAGTTGTCAAGCAAGCCAGCTGGTGCGAGCTTGACAGCTTCAGAGCAGCACCAACCTTTCTGCTTGCGTTAGGTATTTCAAGGGAGCGAACCCTGGCAAATGTCAAAGCAAGTGCGTTGCGGGATGACATGCCAGGCACCTGCGGAAACTACGGTCCAGACTTCTGCAGCAGGGTCCGGTCGCTTTCTTGGTGCAAGCGTTGATTCTGTCCCGCACTGTTGACACTTACTTTCCTGTCGCTGCCACCGGGTAGCAGATGAGATTTCGGAAGTGACTGACAAACACAGTGTTGTCGCCTCTAGACCACGACTTCCAAACCAGGTAGTTTGCGTAGACGCCCGCTTCGAAGATTGACTTCGGGCAAATGCTAACGTATGGGCTTACCCTTCGCCGCTGCCATCCAAAAGGCGTGCCGTTGAAACAATGTAGACAGCCCAATCCGCCAGCCCGCGGGATACATCCACTCTCCTCCAGATTGTGATCCATTCGTAACCCACAGGCGTGATAGAACTGCATGCTGTTTTGCTGACCTGAGCAGCATGGTCGCCAGATCCTTACACATACTCTGGCACTATCTAGCAAACTTTAAGATGCCGTTTTGCTCTTTGGCAGGGTGCATCTGGGGTGGATGTCTCTTCCTTTGCGTCTCCGACTTTGTACCCATCATGGGCGGTGGACCCCCTTACCGTAATAAGTTCCCCGACTCAGTTTGGCAAGGTAAGCGGACATTTGCGATTGTGTCTCGATGTATAGTTGCGGGCTTCACAGGAGTCGTGTCTTGAATCCTTATTTGCGGGCTTTACCGGATGTCTCAGGTCTGAATTTCTCTTGCACGTTTTACTGTGACCTGGTCTCAGAAACCGCACCATGTGCTTTTCTTGCGAGGTCTGCTTCCTGTTCATGCAGACTGCGTGAAAACAGCAGCTGATTGAAGGGAATTCTGCCGCCTATCGTTCCTGAGGAAGATGTTCACACCCCCTTTTGTGAGAACCTAAGGGGTCTTCGAAAAAGCCTGGTTACTTTAACAAGAGGTCCGAGTCTCGGGAGCTTGATTGTATAATAGTTACGCACCGATGAGTAGTGGATCCTGCGATGGAAATCTAACTGGTCAACACAGAAGAAAGGCTTCCTCACCGTTCTTCTTCTCTTGTGTGCGTTCAGTACGAGATGGCGACCGGCCTGCTCAGCAACTGCCAGGTGAGGTCGCCCTCAATTATCGTTGCAAGCAACTCTGGTGACAAGGTGTTTGCTTGGACTTGTCACTGGCCAGTATGTCAAATGAATAGGCAGCTTATGACGGCGCCCTTTTGCGGATCGCCTACGTCTAAGGACAAGTTGACCCACGGCTCTAAGGATTGCGTCGGCAGGTTGTCTGTTCCTCAGAACTCGCTTATATGTGATTGGTCAATCGGCCAACCTTCAAACACGAAACGCTTCGGCTGCGGATCAATTTTATGCCCCGCTATTTCGCTGCTTTGACCCTTCGAAAATCGACGGTTGCGGCAAAGGCTCCATTCTTCTGCTCGAATAATGGCTCTCAAACGGGAATGACGTTCGCCTTCCAACCAAAGTGTGCCTTTTGAGATGCTTCTACAGGATGTTGACCCGCTCGTCATGAAAATCTCTGCAGACTTTGGTGTCGCCTATCGAGCGCATGCTGGGCCGCGCGTACGAGATGTCCCACGCGGGGGCGTATTTACACCAGGTGCGTCTAGGCGGTCTTGTCCAGTGTGAACGGTGACAAAGATAACGGACGCAGCTGCTGTACGGAGATTATCCAGAGCTGCCTTTTGACATCCTTGAAGAGAAAATGAAAGAAGCCGTCAGCTGATTTGTGACGGTCTTGAACGGGATGGCGACCTCCGAAGGCGCGATTGACCAATAATCAAAGAGTATGGTGCGAAAGTGGTAGCAAGGAGACTTTTGCGAAGAGGTATTACCGTACAACAGGATGACAACTAAGCCGACTGAGAGAAAAATGGTGGCCGTTACGGGACCCACTCTGTCCTCCTTGGCGGACACGTCAGCGTCGGTCTGCCCAATCTCGACTCAAAGACTTGCACCTCGCTCAACAATCATCGACTCCCCTAGTATTTCCGTCTTGCTAAAGCAGTCATTTGGGCCTTCCTTCTTCCACTTGAAACTTCTATAAGACTCGAGGAAGAGTTACAGCTGTCCTCTGTGGTCCTGGAGTCAATCGAACTTGCGCACCAATCTGAAAACTTAGTTATGTGCTTCGCAGTACTATCAGCACGGGATGAGCGAGGCGTCTTTCGAAGCAGCGTTCGCGAGCGTGGAGGAAACGCTTTGCCACTACCGGTCCCTTTGACCAGTCTCTCCGGACGCTTCTCGTCACTCTGATCGCGGCCGGTTAGCTGTTTAGACCAGTTACTGATCTTGGCAGTAGCGAGTGCAAGGATCGAGCCGGCCGCCCATGCGAAGTCAACCACAGTAGACGGTTGTGGAGCTTTGTACAAAGCCCATGCATATCATGCAGTCATACAAGGGGTTGAATGTACGGTTCCGCATCGATATGGACAAGTGACCGACCATTATCGACAGGGTAGCCCCTTCGCAATTTGGCGATAAATCAAACCTGTCTTTTCCTGCTTTTATACGTGCTGGTCGGGGCTTGAGGGAGGTGATGAGCTCCAACTGTAGTAGTGCAGCATGAGTAACAAGTTGATGCCGCAGTGACCATGTACATGATGCCAAAATCGATTTTGTACTAGGACCTCAGTTCCTAGTCGCCCGGCGGCCGTCAAGGAAAGATATTACAGCAGACGGTTGAGCAGATTACTGCGTCACCTAGTAATGATTGATCATGATCTGGTTGCCGCCCGGCAGCGCGCCAGCATGCTGTCACTCAGTGCCATACAGTGCCGCCGCATTTCGAAGGCCAAATACCATTTGATGGTACTGCAGCTCGGCACATGACAACGCCATCATGCAGTTTTATATCACGGCGCCTGGACTCGTAACATATAAATAATGATCCTGCAGGCTGTATACTACATATAAACGACTCTTGAGTGCATAGCATCACCATAATCTGCAAAAGAGCGCCGCGCTGTGTTAGTATATGGTGAGCCATGTAATGATGCATGGCCGCAAGCTCAAGACAATCGGCCCAGCTCGTCTCAAATGACGGCCTAGGTCAGCTAAGCATCGGCGCACAAAGACGGTCAGAACGATGGGCGCGCTCAACTTGGAAAACGATACCCCGGCCAAAAGCATGGGGGTTACATGTACATCTGCATGTAGGGAAGGTCGTCTACGAGAGGTCGTTTCTTAGATGATAAATCGCCTGCACTTCCGGCCGAATAGCATCTGCTGGTCTCTAGATCCATGTCGGGTGTGAGGGTACCATGCTTGTGCACAAATCATGGAGGCTTCATATAAATCCACACCAAGCACCTTGCGCGCCATTTACCTATATGTTAAAGTGAAAGCAGTCCTTTCTACCGCAGAGTGAAGTGTACACAATCAGGCGTATAAGTCCAATCGAAGCTGTCAAGCTCAAGTTAGAAAACTCAGTTCTTAAAGCGAAAACTAGCATACGTACTCTACAAAAGTTGATCTGCCGGACAAGATTTCCGTCGAAATAAAGTTACAAAGCCCGTCCAAACGCACAGAGAGTCGACGTACAAGGGATACCTGACTGGACTACTTGAAAAGCTTCTCGACCTGCATGTGAGAATACGCAGTTGTTTGAAAGACTTGCCATTACGCTTTCCATATAGAATCCGAGGACCTGAAAGAAATCTGCTATATCTCAGAATCGCGCAGCCGTCTTAAGGTCTATCCTTTGGTTGTGCAAAGAGGCTGATCATTGCTACTCGGGAGTTGAGGCACGTGCACAACCGAATGGCCTGCTGAAAACTTCAACATTACTCTTACAGTTCTGACCGTCGTATGCAAGATGCTAGTCGAGCTTACTTTTAGCATAGCTCAGTAATAAAGGGCCAAATCTTGTATGAACTTTGCTTCAAGTATTGTTATGAAAGTTCTTGTGGAATAGACGACACTTCTGAACAAAGCCAATCCGCGTATGAGGGATATGAATTATCAGGAGTCTACGACCTTTGACTGGCACTCTAGCTTGACTATCCAAGGAGTTTAGTGAACGAGTTGGTAACAAACACAGCCAGATGAGGTCCTCACCACACGCTTTGTCAGCGGCTTCTTTTTGCCCCCTTCCACTTCCCAAGGTGCTCGCTTGAGCGCATTTTTGGCACACTCCGTTCTTGCCTCCGTGTTGAAGGCGGTAATCTCTTCCATCAATTGTTCAGCCACCTTCATCATCTTCTTAGCATTCTTGGTCGGCTGCTCATCAACGCTCGTGTAGCACAGATTGCAAATCTGCTGGTTGTGCCGAGCCAGATGCCCAAGAAGGTGCACAGTCCTATCACGCAGAGACACATTCGCTGGGAATGCCCAGTCCGTTGAGCGGACCATCTGGTTCCGCTCAATCTCCGCCAGTACGGAAGGCCACAGCTCCTCATGAGAGTCCCTGGCGATGTGCATAGCGGTGTCCTTTCCTGCAAAGAGAGGCGCCAGAAAGCAGGCGATGCGCGCGCTCTTCTCCTTCCATGCCTCGTCAAAACTGCTCAGCAACGCCTGGAGCTCCTTCGCAAAGGCCTTTGGGAACCAGTCCCCGTACTCCTGCCAGCACTCCAGCAGCCGCGCTGCATGCAGCTTTAGCTCAACGTCCCGCTCAATCCTGACGCTGCTTGGGGTGTTGACGTGAAATACTACCTTGGAATCCGCGACTTCCTGCAAAACCCAGGGAATCACTACAGAGGGAGCAGCGGTCTGACCTTGACCCTGTTCTGACTGCTCATCTAGAACCACGGACTTTTGCGATGGGGAAACACCCCCAATTGCAACCTTGTCTCCTTTTCGAGCCCCTCCAAGGCTCCGCTTGATGGACGACAACATGGTTCCTGGCGGAAAGCGCCTGTACTTAGTCTTTGATGCCCTTTGCACTTCTCTCAACTTTGAGATGAAAACGCTAGCGTCTCATGGATCATCGACGGCTATCTGACGCGGCCGCCGACCGAGGCGGCTCAGGGTTTTGAGGTTCTCCCGCGAAGTGTGCGCGACCGCCCCGCGCGTGCGCGCGACTGATCAGCGCGCCTTGGCGCGCCTTGCAACGAGTCAGCCCCAGAATGATCGCCCAGAACTCTGGGCTAGATTCGACATCAGAGTCGTTCACAATGGTGACTTTTCGTCATCTTGGCAGGAAATTTTAACTTCGTTGACCGAGGGTACGCGCTAGCTTGTAGGGCTTTTGAGGGCCGGGCTCATCCACTCTCTCTCAGCGTACTACCGCGTTCGGGGAAAAATCATCTCTTGGGAATATCAATGAACCAGATTGGAATGATGATGAGCAGAGAACTGATGATCACTCGTGGATCGTACTAAGAGTTGAAGAAGTGTAAAGCGCTGCCTGTCATTTGAACTTTCAGAAAAAGCCGAATAGTATTCCTCGCTTACAGCGAAGGTGCTTGCAGGTTGCCTTAAAGTATAAGAAGATGATTGCAGATGATTATGCAGTCCGGCTGCCTTGATACTCAACGCCCAGGATATACAAAAGCTTTGTGTTTCTGAGTAGTGTTAAACGGTCGGTCCGTTTCTATATATAACTGACTGGGTCTACACAAAAAGACGGATCCGGATCTTCTGAAAAAAATTGGCATTCTATGATTGAGCGCCGCTTCATGATTGCGTCAAAGCCACCATGTCATCTTTTTTGTTATATTTCGTAGACACTGACGGTCATATTGGACACGCAGCGACGAAGTTTCTGCATGGCAACTGAATCCGACGCACTCAGCGTGTCGCTTCCAGGTGCGTTATCGGCTCTTGGCCGAATGTTGCTTGTGGGTAGACTCTACTAAACCTTCCAATTCATGCCCTGCAAATCTTACAGATCTAATTTGTGCGTACGTACCATTTCAATGACTAAGCTGCAGCTATACGTTCAATCCCACTCGAGGCTTGGGCACTTCCCAGACAGAAGTCTCGAAAGCGACTCAAGACTTCGATTTAACGTTCTGCGGACGTCAATCCATTAAGGACAGCATACCGCGCGGCCTTTCTACGATCCAATGCTTTCAGGCAATATTCATTCTTGCTTTGCAAATGGCGTGCGATCATCCATGCTCGCCCCTTTAATAGAGGGAGCAATAAAGCAGATAATTATGCTGCCGAGAAGAAGGAGAAGAAGGAGGGTTTGTAATCTGGCTCAGAGAGAGATAAGAAGCAGATCATGATTTTCAATGATTCGCACAATTTTTAGCATGAGTTTTCTGCCAAGCAACATGCCACGAATACGGCAATCATCATAATCTGATGTTAAGAATATTTTCGCACAAATCTGATGGGAAAAGAAACGGACAAACATGAAGCCACGCTACGTGACGAAGGAAGCACGCGTCAATCTTACCGCAGAATTTGTAGGCCACAGGATATCTTCCACCTTCGAAACTTTGTTTACTCGACACTACTCGACAAGAAAAGCGAAAGAACAGGGAAGCTGCTGCTGATGATCTCAAGTTTCGGTTCTTCTCAAAGCTCTCTTCTTTCCCCAGAACGGTCCTCGACAGACTCTTCATCTCGATTTTCATGTCGCTCTGTTTGTTCACAATGTCGCCGCACAGACTGCACATCCGCCCCTTGCTTGCATGAGCAACCATTTTGTTTAGCAGATCTGCAGTCTCCTCTCTCGCGTGTGATGCTGCCTCCGACGACCAGTCCTTCTCACGAGTCAGCTGAAGCTGGCCAAGCTCTTCCAGGACAGGACGCCAAAGCTCTTGCGAACCGTTCTTGATGTGAAAGGGACTGCCATTCTCTCCGTCAAGAAGATTCACCAAGAAGCAGGCCAAGCGCTGTCCTTTCTCCGAGCGCATGCCTTCCGTTCCCAAATCCTGCACAGCCTGGACCAGACGCTGTGCAAAGGATATCGCAAAGTGAGCTCCGTATTCACGCCAGCAGCCAAGCAGGCGTGCTGCGTGCACCTTCATCTGGACGTTGCGGTCGAACCTGTCGCTCAAATCGCACTCAGACACCTCTTTCAGGACCCATGAGACGACCACAGAAGGAGGCGGAGCACTTTTCTCATCTCGCAGCTTCTCCAGAATTGGCGCCATGTCTTTTTGGAGCTGCTCGGAGGTGCTGGTCTCCTTGGCCGGTCTGCTCAGGCTCCGTTTAAGTGCACCAAAGGCGCCCATGGCTGCGGCGGGAGAGTCTCCTGCGACGACGTGCGTTTGTTGTTGAGAGGCTTCAATATGAAGAAGCGCTCCTGCTCTTCTATTTTGTACTTCTTTGAAGGGAGGAATGCTCCAAGTTTGTTCAACCGGCGTTCAAGGTCAAGGCTATTCAGAATACTATAAAGGCTGCAACTTCATTCGGTTCTTTGGCCCAGCGCAGCCATGCCCGTTTGCGTGGAACCCGAAATTTTTGTAAAGCTTCTTAGAAGAGAGACCGTACACTTTGTTGAGTAGTATTTTAAGAGCCTGGTCAAGGATGGCTAAACCTTCGTAAATTTGGATCTCATATCCATCCCCAGAGCGCCCGGGGAAAACTGAGAATGCCGGAGCCGTTCGATCAAGTGGAAACGCTATCGGATGGTGCTGGATCATGGTGCGAGAAAGGTCACGTGGTTCGTGCATCTGCCGTGTTTGCGACCTTGGGCTTATTTCGTGCCCGCCACGGCTTGAGCACGGGTTCCAAGTCCGGTCACTTGGGGCCAGGTTTCCAAGGAGCTTCCAAGCCCTGATGTTCCTGCACCAAGGACGCGCGGCGTGGGTGATCTTCGTCACGGTCGGCCTCATTTTCGAAGTCGATTAGCTCTAGTGTCAAAGTGCAGGCTTCAAAGTCATGAAAAGCTGGGGCTCTGCGTTCCCCCAAGATGAACAAATCATTGGATGCCACGACGAGTTGCAATAAGAGGGTCCGGGCCGGCGACAAGTAGAGGGTCGCTGGCCGGTCAATACTTCCTTTCACATCAGATTGATCAAGCGGGTCAAGAAGAGTCCGACACCTGCATCGAATGAAGGCGAGCCGGCGGCTACTAGTTTTGGTGCTACGGTACGGTGTGGAACAAAGAATATATACGAATCAGTTCGTCATAATGCCGCCATGACACGTCCTTCAGTTTCCCAAATTAAGTGCGCATGACGACCTGACATACAGCTACCTCTTCATGATCATGTACATACAGGGTGCATGATGCAATCGTCCTCAAGCGGTATATACGGTGCTATAGGGTTTCAATGTGACGCAATTGCAATATTCCAACTATAATTAATCTGGTTCTGGACTCACAAATGAAATCTAAAAACATGTTAAAGCCGAATATACCATCGGACATGTTTGCATAACATGATAGAAGCATTGAGGCCGAAGAATCTGCTTCGTCCATGAGCTTACAGCAACCTCTTCATGTCTCAGTCAGATCGTTTCAATAAAGTAGCTATGCAGCTTGCGCGCGCAAAACGAATTATGCATACCTGGAATTGATATATCAAACAGAAGCGAAGCTTGCCGGCTATATGAACGCTTGACGACTTCCTCGAAGAGAGGTATCTTATCAAAGGTAACCGAGGTAGCCCTTGATTTGAAATCATCAGACTAGACGGCCTTTAACCAATGGTACCCGGCTGTCAAACTATGGAAGTATCCTGTGATCTCGCGAATACGGCAATCAAAGCCAGCGATCAGAATGCAGAAGCAGTGGGAGCTACGATGTCACGGAAGGTGCCATGAAGCCTGGTCAATATGCTATGGTCTACGACGGCCGTTCAGATGTAACAATTTCGAATGTGGGTCAGGTCACCTGCCCAAGTGGGCACACTGCTTCCTATGAATAGGAGATGCGCATTGCGGGTCTCTAAGCAATAGCAAAGTCAAGGCCAAATGTCGACGGTCTGTCCCCAACTGGGTTGATGTCGAGAAGCACTCAGTCGAGACGCCGAAATAGGCCCGTAAAGAACACAACCCATTGCAGATCTGCCTTCTCGGACTTCGCTTGAACTCTTCTTGGAAGCGGCGGTTAAGATAGCACTGCAAGTCGATACGAGAAGTGATGTCAGAGTCATCGCCTTTAAAACATTCGGCCCCTTATATTTTCAAAGTCCGAATCGAAGACACTCGACGACAAGACGACTCAAATCTGACGATACTTGCTCTGAAGATTGCCTGGTTAGGCACTGCAAGGTCGTCAGATGAGCGGCACCAGAGCCAATGGGATAATGATGGAAGCAGGAAAGCACCTAACGATGAGAGAAGAGGTTCGCAAACCCAGAAGTACATTACGACTGGATGCAACCAGGATTAAGCGATCGATTCCAGAGGCTTTGCTGAAGAAGCAGCAGCAAGCTCAGCGCACACCGCAACATCGTCATTCAGTTGCAAGTCCCTCATAACGTCCTCTTTTCACATGGGGATTTATAGGGGGTAGCACTGATAACTTACTTCGCCTCTCGGCCAGGATCGCGTCCCTCTGGCCCGCGCCCTTCTTCGCTGCCGCCAGCACCCGTTTCTCCACCCCGGGCACAGAGAACGGCCTGCTCTTGTAGCACCGCTTGTGAGCCGGCTGCCCTCCGCACGTTGAATCCTCTTCGGCAAGCAGGCTCCCTTCCAACGTCACACTCAAGGGCATAAGCGATCCGTCCGCGACTCCGTTCTCCGGCTGTTTCTTGAGGTCTTCCTTCTCAGGGCAGGGCTTGACTGGTTTCTCCGGTCTACTTTCCGGGGTCTCGTTTACTCTAGCTGGGGCTTCGTTCTCTTTCTCGGCTTCCAATTCGTCATGTGCCACCAACTCGCTTCCAGCCCCCGCCCTCGGCGCCTCCTCCCCGATCCCTACTTTCTCACCACTCTCTTCGAGCCCCTCCTCTTGCACAGACTCTTCTCCTTCCACCACCTTCGCAGCCGGCAACCTTTCAGGAACCATCGTCTCCCCAATCTGCTCCGCATTCTCCTCCAGAGTAATCGCAACGTCACCTTGGGCCAATTGCTTGTCTAGATGTGCGCCAGCATGTGACTCGGCCAACTCCGCTGGGGCTTCTGACGTTGCTCCAGCACTTGTTGGCTGAGGCAGACTCTGCACCCAAGAGCAGGAGAACCATTGGTCAAGAAGTCTGCTTTAACCAGCGATTCTTGTGCTTCAGAAGTAGTGCAAGAGGCTGGATGGTCATCAGCTCTGCCGGCATGGAGCAGTGGGGCTCAGAAAGGAAGGGCAAGAAGCAGACGGATAATTGCGGTTGATGGAGATTCTTCGAACTGGTTTGAAATTGAGCGACAGAGAGTCACAGGGCATATACTTAAATTGATGCTGCTTCGTCCACCTGCTCTGATTGTGTTCAATCTGCGGAGTGCAATCTGCCTCTGAGAGCTAGAACAAGTAGCCAGACTGGGCACCTTTCAAGACACCTCATCTGCGACCACCTTATTAATAATCAATCTGCTTGGATCATTAAGCCTTGGCGCACCTGAATGAAGCCACCACCTCGTCTCTCCGCAAGCAACATGCTGCGCTCCACCGTCCCTTTATCCGCTGCCCGCTTCAAACGCTCTTCTCTGCCCTTCTGCCCAATGTGCATCTTCTTGACGAGCCCCCGGTGAGACCCCACGGCAGCCATAGCTCCGTTCCCTTCAGCCAGAAGAAGCTCCTGGGCTAGCCCCCCCAGACTGTCCTTCCCAGCAGCTCCAGAGGAGTCTTCAGCTGGAGCAAGCTCTTCGGCCGTTTCACTATCCTCTGACGCTGTTGGATCCACAGCGAGCATCGAGTCCTTCCCATCCTCGCCCTGAAGACCCTCGCCTACATCACTGCAGCTGACTTGCTCAGCCTCCGGTCTGACTTCTGCCAGAAATGGCTCTAGAGTATTACGCTGAACGGACCCAGGCTTTGGTTCCATTTCCTGGCTGCTATCTACCGACTTGGTTATCACCTCATGCCCCTTCTGCACCAAGTCTCCATCTGCTACAGCATCCTTCCTGCCAATTGCAACCTCTGACTCTGAGCTGTTTGCAGTGTTTCCCTCCAGCCTGATGTCCGTGCGGGGTTTGGTTTCAGCAGGTGTCAAATTGCTTGGCCCATCTTTTTCAGCCACTGACTTTGCCTGCAATCGATACGCAAAAAGTTCAAGCACCAAAGCGGTTTGAACATCATCAGAATGGATCCTTGAAATGCAGACGGCATGAGCTATCCAGCTCTTTCAAAACAACCAGGGGCGCTTGGAAAGATGGAACCAGAGCATTCAAAGTAAAGTGCTTTGATGCGGTTCAGCACCCAAAACCACTTACAGCCACAAGTAGGCCAGGATTTTTGCGCAGGTGAGATGAGGATTTCAGAGGTCTGTGATCATCTGCTGGGCCTGCGTTATTTTGCATATTCAATATTGCAACAGAAGCAGCGGAAAGGTTACGTCTGCCGGGCTCGTCCTTATCTCAACGGAATTTGCAGCTCAAGCTTCAGAAAGCCAGGTAGTCCCTCATCATTCATACCTTTGCAAGTTTGCTAAGGGCCTCTGCCATCTCCTTGTTGGTTGCATTTGCTCGTAGGCCAGCCTGCTTGCACAACAGCTGCAGCTTCCGTCGGGAAGGTCAGAGTACATCTGCTCGGAGTCCATGCTGGCACAGTCCTAAGGCTTGGCCGCAAGAAAGCCGCTGCTTGATTCGCTTCTAAGTGGGTCTGTGGGCCACCGGTGGCTATCAGGGTTTGAGATCTACCTGCAACGCGGAAAGTTTTAGGCGCCTCCAGACAATCACCTTCCTTCAATTGGTACTGTCCAAAAAGATGATCTCATTCTATCTTTAACTGGCATCTAGCGAAATAGGTAAAAGAATGGAAAGAATCCAAAAGAGTTGTTTGACGTCAAGGATTGTATGGCAAGCGCCCTCAACCTTGACGAAGCTTGAGTCCACAACGCGAGCTGGCCACAACGAAAGCAAGAAGCTGTACCTACTACCGAGGTATGGAAATTTTAAATTTCCCGGAGTTTGAATAGACTCGCAATCGGACGGTTTCAAAGCCAGACAATCCCAAGATCGACGGCTGTCAATAGCCCTTGGCCAGAGGCCCTGTTTCTGCAGGGTTTCGCGAGCCCCACACCTAGACCTGACTCCGAGTCCTAGCACGCGGTCATCGTTGCACTGGTACGGATATGAATTTTCATGCCATATGCATGGATGCATTCGAGTTTGACCATACGGTACCTATATGTTAACGGCCGGCTGCATGCTGGCTATATCTCAGCATGTCTATTGTGTCGGCATAGCATACGCCTTTTATTCACCAGCACCTAGCTAGTTGTAGGTGCCGACCGTAGATACAGACGATACCCTTCACATGTCAAGCATGCACCGTTCATTGAAAACGTGAACGTCACTCACATGGCCGCCATGCTCAGCTAGCATGATTCAGACATTGCATTCGGTCGATCTCGTATTCCAGGTTCCTTCATGTGAGATTTGGTGCTGATCCATCTCTGACGATAATTTTGCTTCAAGTTGTTTGCAATCTGATTTTGTATGCACGCAAAATACGGCTCTCAAGAATTCACATTGGGGGCGATGCGCACACAAAAATGACGCCAACCCTGATCTCAAAGTAGTAATGCATTGCAAAGTAAGACCCGGACGTCTAAAAGGTGCATGCGGCAAGCTAAACGGATTGAAAGACACTAAACGTAATACCTTAGCTCTAAAGGAAGCGGGCACTAAAACTGGGCATGCGGAACAACATCAAGAAGACTTTCGTCATGTCAGTATCCGGTTCAACCGTTGACCGTCCCTGACCAACACAATCTGTCTCGTTTTCAATGCGCAAGGAGCTTGTCATTGACGCGCAACAGCTCTTTACAAGCTCCGGGACCACCGTTCTCAACGGAGGGTGTAGGCAACAGTCGTCGAAGAGAACGTCTCATCTCAGGCGCCTATAGTGCGGTTTGTACATGATCTCGTGTGCGAAAGCCATCAGGTCGTCGGGCTTTGGTAGTCGGGTTCCAAACCCTGCAGCAATTGGCAGCTGTAAGCACGTGGTTTCTTAGAAGCGTCCATCCGTCTTGCAAATCCGTATTGCAAGCAAAAGGAGCTCTGGGAGCACATCCATTGTGACTGCTTCTCTTGACACTCTCGGTACATTGCTGCGCTCAGCAGTCAGGTTAACGATGTAATGAGAACCAATCCAAAAGAGGCCTCCAGAGCAAAATCTTTATATGAGCGTCTGCCGCCAGGCAAATTGAATCAAAATGGAGCGGTCTTTGTCATCCAGGCACTTCCTCAACGCAGCCACTCCAACTTCAAACCTTTCAGAAGAACCAGGGCATACATGCAGAAAGGTTTACCTGCTTCGTACGACTTTTGAGCGACCGCCCTGGCGATGTGCGCCGAGATTGTCCGGATCTTCCAGAAGGGGGGGTAGATCTGGCCGCGCGCTCGGTCCTCGTCTTCCACCAGGCTCGCCAACGTGTCGGCTGCACATCATGACGTCAGCTAAAACACAGGCCTTTTTCACATCTTCCCCCAAAGGGAAACAGGAAAGACGTATGCAGAGGAGAGAAGTCCGGCAATGGAGGAACGTCAAAGACGAGCACTCAAAGACACAATAGGCATCGAGATCAGGAGAACAAGTGAGAGCAGACAAGACCGTGTTGCCCAAGAATGCGAAAAGAGAAGGTTGACCCAAAATTGCAAACGAAGCGTCAGTGACGTCACCTGCTGCGAGAAACATTTCGTCTCGTATCCGCGTTGTACCCGCGACCAACAACCCGAGGCCAATACCGGGGAATATGTACGCGTTGTTTGCCTGGAAGGAAAGAGAAAATGAGCTTGAGAAGATACGTCGCGAGAAATGACCCGACGGGAACATTGCTTGCGTCTTTTTCGTTCGCAGGTTAAGCAGAGTGCGAAAGGCACCAAGGAATTGTCAATGATAAGCAGGTTATTAGGGTCCGACCCCAAGAACGATCGCAAACAGCAACTCGCAACGGAACGCTCTGCGGAACAGATTGGCGGAGCGACGGAAAGGCTGAGGAGTACCTGGCTCGGCTGGAAGGTCTGCCCGAAGATCTCGACGGGCTTTGACGGGCTCGCGCTTGCAAAAATGCCGCGACCCTATAACGCAAAACCCAGGTTGAGTCAGCCTAGACATACGCAGGTGAGCTGCGGCGATCGTGCATGCTGAAGGCCGAAACGGACTTGTAAGGCGGTGTGAGAAAGTACAGATATTGAGTGCGCTATGCATCTGCGTCCTTTCGGCAATTAATTGGAACAACGGCCAGCTCCCTTCAATTAATTGGAACAACGGCCAGCTCCCTTCGACCTGGATGCTGTACGTCGGCACTTCAACCAATCGAACCTTTGTCAACCCGAGAATGATACGAAGTGGATTGATTGGAAACTTCAGAAAACTTCGTCCGTTACTTCAAGTTGGTGACCTAATGCAGCGCATGTTCCCGCAGAACGACACGACCTTCAGAAGAGTATTACTGTGATGACGACCGCACTTTTCTGGATCACTGCGGCCGTTGAAAGCGGCCATAGCACTCCCTCCTTTGCTTTAATAGCTTCGCAATGCCAAAATAAGAATCTTCCAGAGCAAAACGAATCGCCCCGTCGTGAAACTCCTCGAAGCGTTCGTCTTTACCTGCGTGTGCTGGTACGCGTCCTCCGCAGAGCACTCGCCTTCTTCCGAAGACGCCGGGTTGGAGAGGGGGAAGAGTAGCGGCCGCTGGAAGAATGGCCGCTTATCTCTCATATCTCAAGATGAAAAAACGCCAGATATATCTGCTTGCTTACTTGTGTCTGTTCGCAATGTAAACAGGAAGGTTCGAGAACTCAGTAAAAGTGTTCGAGTCAACCTACAGACGCGCACCAAAAGAACGAGTTGCCACGTCGATGCTTACGAGAAGAGTGAATTTAGCGGCCCAGACTCGCGAATCCTTCCGTCACCACTTGACGTGAAAATAGCCCACCGACTGCAACCTTCCAAGTTACTCACTACGGAGAGGCGATTCGGAGGTTGCCCATTTTCTAATAGGTTCAGGGCGGCCGTCATCACGAACTTTTCTAAATATCAATCTTAGATCCGACTATTGCGTATGAAAAGAGGACCTCAAAACCACAACCTGCCCAATTGCGACCTGGCAAAAAGGAGAGAAGGTCGAAGGAAAGGGTGGAATGACGTCCAGAAAAAAGTGCAGAGTTTCAGGTACATCCTTCCCATCGCTCTTCCCGCTCGTCTGGACGACAATATCGGCAGCCATACCGGCAAACCCTCGCCTCACGAATCCGGAGATCCAAGGACTTAAACGGTTGAACCCCGGGATGCAAGCTACAGGAGCCTTGTTCCAGATCTCCAAGACTGATGGACCATGTGCAGATTTCCGTGCTTCTTTCTGTTGTCAATGTGCGTCGTTTTCTAAGTACACGTACCTTCACATTGAGCGCCATCTCCTCCAGGACTTGTTGTGTGAATGCGCCCCGGGGCGCAGACAGCCCGACCAATACGGTGGGCTTCACAACCTGGATAAGCGAGTCGGGGAGCCTGCTGAGAGTTTTGCGGACCGTTTAGCATCCATTGAAGCGCCTCTTCAGAGAGATGTGCAGACTTCCTACTACTGATCAAGGGCCCTCGGATTGATCGTCTCGAGTCCGAGCGATGGAGATGCGAATGACTTTCTGGAAAAGATGTTACCCTGCAGCTGCTTCTCAGGAAGAAAAATCCCAAGGGCAAGCTCTGAGGGGCCGTCGGCGGGTGGGTCTCGTTTTAGACCGCAATTAATCTATCAAGAAACAGATTCTTTACATTCTGACTCACCAAGCTAGAGGCAATGCAGGCATTCAATATAGACCGCTCGGTACCATGTAAGCCATAATGCCTCCGACATACATAATTCGCCACAGAAAAAAACTGCCAGCCGTGCAGGACGAAGGCGCACTTGTCCAGATTGTCCGGTTTTCCGAGCTCAATATAGGTGCACAATACTTACCAGTGCTCAGTGATCAGCAACCATCTCATTAAAAAAAGATCAACCGCCCTGCGAGCGGATGGGATAAGGAGAGCGGCGGACTCACCTTGACCGCCGCCAGGAGGTCGGGTGCCTCGGCGTTATTGTGGGCAAAGGGCAACTTATGGGGCCTCAGGTTTTCTGCACGTGCGCGCGTCACCAAACCCTGCAAAGAAGGAAAGTGTAAGCAATTGAAGGCTGTGGCAAATTGCCCATTCCCCCAAGCTGTTGTGGTCGATGGGATTGGCGGCCGTCGCTTCTCTCGTGCTACCTATGAGTCAATGATAATCGCAGCAACCAAAGAGAGTGTGTAACTATCTTTTCCATATCCAGACAACAAAAACCGGTGGGTGACCAAGGACGTAAGAATCGAAAGGCTGGTTCTACAAGGTCTCAGCACCTTGAAAAGGCAGCAAGGTTGGCGTCCTTTTCTGAAGTGAAGTGCTGAACTGGACTGACAAATCGGCTTGCTTTGAACTACGGTGAACTGAGGTGAGAAGTCAATTTCTTGAATAAGCAACTTTTGGAAATGAAACGCACCTTTGAGTCTACGAAGCAGATCTTTTGCCGAGCTTCTTGGATGGTGATCTTGGCCTGTAAGAAGAGAGCCAGGTAAACATTTGAGTCAAAGGAAGGGCTTCTAGTAAAGTCCGACTGGCTCGTTTTGAGTGCCAAACGCTTTCTTCAGACTAATCAAAGTGAACCAACGCCGATTCGTTCGCATGAGAAACTTGTCAGCAAACAAAGGTTTGAGAGCTTCCGGCTTTGATGAAGGTCCGGAGTAAAGATTCGAAGAAAGAGATGAGACCTATCCTTCAAGGCTGGTCAGCATGCGACAGATTGAGAAGATTTGGAGGATCTTCAAGGCGGTTGCACCACTGCCTTTTGATAAAGTACAGAAAATCCGCAGGTGCCAAAGCCTCTTCGTTGGTTTTCCTTTTTGTGTGCACGGATGGAGGGAGGATATGGACCTCGGCCGGTCCTTGAGAACCTCTTCAGACCCTCTCCGCTCCAGAGAACCGACGGTTGACGTTGATTTTCTGGACCATCTAGTTGGGGAGTTGCAGCCGAGGACACGTTGCAGCCGCGTGTCCCGTTGACAAAGCGCGGGAAGTCCGCAATCTTCTTCCATCCGCTCTGTCCGAATCTCCCTTGACAAACGCGAATCACTCGGCAACGTTTTTGTTTCCGCTGGAGCGAAGGACAATGAAAAGGAGCCTCACCTCTCGGCTTATGCCGAGCGCCACCAGCTCCGCTATGCTGCACTCCAACTGCAGCAAATGGAAAGCATGACGTCAGCAGGGTAGGGTTGCAGCCAACTCGCATAGACACTGACAATGAAGCTCAATGCTTAGGGTCGAGTGGCAGTCCTGCTGACAATCCAAACCACACACCCTGCTGGTTGGCAGAAAAGCTTCTCAAGTAGTCACTGAGACGTCAAACACTGGTCGGAGAGCGTTAGAGTCAGAGAGTATGCGCCAAGTATGGCCGATGAAGAACACGCAGCGCGCTTGGGACTCGATCGCGATTGCAAGACTACAGGCTTCGCTTATTGAATTGAAGTTCGGATCGATCTCAGAAACACCAGAATGAAACGTTTAGTTGACCCCAGAATAACTCCAGTCCTAAGAACCAGAAAGCTGATCAAAGACTTCAAAATTCAACCAACAAAAGTATCGCGTCAAACCAGGAGTCGACAATCTAGGCGAACCATACGGACCACTTCGCAATTTGTGAACAGCCACGGTCTCTCACTTCTCCGGCGCCGGTGAAGAGATACGTGTGTTGCGAGACGGGACAGTTGGTGAGGGGCTGCGCTGCCTTGATGCCAGCCAGCAGAACCGCAGCAGTGCCCTGAATGTTGTCGTTGAATACTAGGTGACTGCCGCGATACTGGAAGTGCAACCGGTGCGCGTTATGGTTTGCCAGGTCTTGGAACTGCAAAGGAAGAAGAGACTCGAGTAAGACCGCTATCAGAGATACTGCGTCGCTGTCCTGGATGTTGTCATCAAATACTAGGTGACTGCCGCGGTACTGAAAGTGCAACCGATGCGCGCTGTGATTGGCCAGGTGTTGGAACTGCGGAGGAAGGGAGAAACTCAATCAGGACCGCTTTGCCGATTTGCGCCAGTACTCTGAAGATTGCCGTTGAAGACTACATGGCTGCCGCCAACTTCTGACCGCTTGTCGACTATTGCGCCTGACCTTTGTCCGGAGTGGCTCCCAGATGCGTTTGCAGGTCCACGGGATAGATTTTTGATCAGTGGACGGCACAAAGAGAGTGCAGCCTGTAAGCTTCTGATCGCCTCAGGGGTTTAGATCACCGGGCGCCGAGAACCTCAGCGGGCAAGCATGTGGTGAGAAAGATGTCACTACAAGAAGCAAGACAACTAGACGGGATGGTCCTGGAAGGGCACGGGATAATCAGAGCTTTGCAAACCTGAGTATCCAATATACTAGCGTGCATCAAGTGCGGCCCACCTGGATGAGGCACTTGTCGCCAAAACGCGCCTTGGCTGCCTCCATAAATTCGTCCAGCAACTCGTCGTACTCCTGAAGAGCAATCAACAACAGTTTTGATACGAACGCCGGAGCGCCGTCAACGAGACCCTCCTAAAGGACCTCCCTCGTTGACTGCCTGCCTTTGCCGGAAACTCCTTGAGTTTGACCGCCTTCAGATTGACCGCCTTTGTTACATAGGAGTATTCAGGCCTCGAGCTCTGAAGCAGCGACTGCGAAGAATAACCGGCTGTCGGGAAGAGAGGGTGGCACACGACGCACTGTCGACTCCTTCACACAAGCGGAACAACTCACTGGAACGCAGCCCAGGGGCCGGCAAAATAGGCACGATATTGAGATCTGTTATATGCTAGTCCGCATGTATGAATCAATTGTAAGTACGTTAAGAACCGTAAACAAGCTCTCGGGCCCCTGGATTGAAGTGCGTGAGAAGAGCAAGCTACATCAGAGACCGGTCAAAGCTAACCTCTCCCTTAACCCGGCTATGCCGGACGCCTATGTAGAAGGGGTCCTGCAGAAGCGCCTGGTTGTTCGTTCCCACGTCGATCATGACTGGGAGACACTGTACCGAGAAAGAAAGATCATCAGATCACCCATGGGTAAAATGTGCGCATCTCGTTGTTCGGAAGTCTTCACCACTTGTCGAAGCAAACCGCTTTTCGGTCTTCCGTTTGCCGTACGTGTTTTCCTCTGCCCATCATGATAGTGCTTGTGTTTCTAGCACACCGTCATAGCTTCGACGGCGAAACGGAAGAAGCACGGAGAGACAGTCTGCCTCGTCGAAACGGTTCTGGCTGCCCAGAGCCTCCTTGCCGCTAAAGCGTCATGATTTCGTTTCCAAATGTGCTGCGGCGCTCTAGCAGCTTGAGGGTAACTCCTCCTGGTCGATCCTCTATAACCCGCTTCCGAGCTACTGAATGCTCTCGAAACGCCACGTCAACGCTGCTCGAAGCATCCTAGCAGCCCAAAACCTCGCTACTTCGCTTCGTGAACGGCACCACTTCAACTCGGACTTTGAGAGATCACAGCTCTCGGACGGCAGAAGGGGCGCTTCCCTTGGTTGGATAACGAAAATGCTTCGAGCGAACGTCTAGGCGGGGTGCCAAACGCCTCACCTCGGAAGGATTGATGCCCCCACACGCAGTGTACAGAGAAAGCTTGCCCACGGGGATCCCCATGCCCTGCACAAGCCACGTGGCAAAATGAGACGCGTCGACGCAGGCGGTTCAAGAAAAAGCGATAACTTGCGTCCACAATTACGATATGCGCATCTGGCAGTTGGCCCAGAGCAAACGAAGGCAAGGGGGGAAGAGTAGAGGAAGAGATGAGACTGCTTTCTTGTACTCGCAACTCGAATCTTAACGGCAATTAAAGTCGACACGTCCACAAGCTTGGACGACAAGGCTAGTGGCTGTAGAGAAGGTTGTTAGAGTGCTCACGTTTGCACCCAGGTCCCCAAGTCCCATGATCTGCTCCCCGTCAGTGACCACGATGAAACGCACCCGCTTCTCCGGCCAGTTCTTCAGGAGGGTCAACACGCGGCCCCTGCATGTACAAAGAACGGGATTACGACAAAGATGATTGTTTGAGATCGATCGTGTGTCAACGGTTTAAGTTACTGCTCAAACCCGTTCGATAGAATTATGTGCAGTTCATAACACTTCTTTGAGTGAGAACGCACATCGACGGATCTCGGATGGTTCTGACGACTTGAGGAGGAACAATGTCGATTCTCTGACGTCGAGCGAATGGTTGAAGTCCTTGTCGAGGGACTCTGAAAAGCTTCTGAGCACCTGTCACAGTAACCAGATAGTGCACGACTTTGCGCATGCTGATTGTGGCCTCCCAGGCAGGGACAACGGTGTTTTGCGAAACGGCAGCATTTCACTCAAACAGTTTGTGCGCAAAGCCCTCCTCAATGTTCTTCAATATTTGATCCGCATAGGAGACCAAGCAACCACACAGAAAGCTATACGGGCAAGGCGTGAACACCACCAGCAATAGGCTTCAAATCCATATTCTCCCCGCTGTTGATCCTTACGTCAAAAGATCTCGTCGACCTGCAAATGGAACACGGACTGACTCGCATAGTCCGTAGCATGCCAACGGACACTTTCGGACCCAAGGGTTGGCATTCGTGTTGGAACATTTACTTGTCGTTGTTGGTGATGAAGATGCCACGTGGTCGTCGGAAGAGCAGCCCGTAGCGCCGGCAGGCGAGGCCCACGGTGGGGCCGCTGATGATTGGCATCAGATCCTCAATGTAGTCGAGCAACACCCGGTAGAACAGCCGCTCATTGCGCTCCTGCGTAAAATGATGCAACATGTCTTCTGAAACGTCGATCTGAATTCGGAAATTTCTCCTGTTGCTAGTCATTCTGCTGAGTTCGTGTTGTTTGAGTTACAACAGCCGCTGACAGAGCCCCCGCAGAGAGTGACGCAACAACAATCTGGGACTCCGTTTACAGACTTAGAAGGAACGATAAGGGGCGACCTTGTTCTTCAATTTGTCTTGAAGTTGTTCTCTCTCAACAATGAGGACTGGCACGAGTTGGGCTTGTTCCCTAGTGAGCCTCTTTCCAGCGGAAGCATCTGCTGAATGTTGAAGTCCTGCATTTATAGATCTGACATGTATCTTAAGTTCCGTGGACTTTAATACAAAGAGTAAACTTCTGTGACTTGATTGACACCTCCCAGCCACAACAGTGAATCAGCTAAGGTATGTGCAAGCAGGTCTGCCCCCAGCAGAAATACAGGCCTTTGAGTAGACATGGGATGAACAAATTCTGGCCGCAAGCACATAAGCAGTGGCTCCTTCAAATTCTTGTCTCAGCACTAGAGAACAAGTGATCTTTTGGAACTTACTTGGAGGGACATCAAGTGGCTGTACTTGTGTAGGTTCGAGGTGTACTCCTTCAAGTTCTCGAGGACTCTTTCAACCTGCAAGACCGGGCCGTCTGTCATATCCAAGTTACCGGGCACTTTCATCGACACCATGATGTTCTCTATGATACATGACGACCTTTACGCTGGTGAACACAATTCAGTGAGGGCTCAACGATAGGGCGCATACTTTTCCTCGTTGAAAAGGGCCCTAGCCATATCACATGAGGAACCCTTTGGAGACATAGGGCAAAGTGCCTCGCATTCGGTACAGTTCACCTAGTAATGTTTCAGACCTGGTCAGATGCACTTTCTTCACGGGTGGCACCAGAATCCGGACATTGACCAAACCAGAAGTAACTGATTAGAACCAGACGATACAAAGGAAAGTACCTGCAAGTCTTGTGTCATGTATGCAGGTGGCAGTAGTCCCAGAAGGTAGCTGGCTTCCCTCTCAGCCGGAGTGAATGCCATGCCCTTGTTGTACTTGGGATTGCGCAGAAGGTCAACCCCACTGCAAATGAAGAAGTCAGCATCAAGAGACATTTTATGTGGCGCAGAAGTTGAGAGTAATCAGAAGGAAAGCGGCCAGAGACCCGCCGCAACCTGACTTTGTTCCCTTGAGAACCTGCCTGCATTTTGTGTTACGCATCATTCGTTGAGGGGAATGCTGGCAGGTGTCATGTCGCATCGAAAGTTGGCTTGCAATAGCAGGAGTTTCATGAAGTTGATGCAGTCAAGCCTGGAAACATTGGGCCAGAGAGGTGTTGATGACGCCCACATTATACACACTGATCTCAATTGAACTTATCTCGTTCAAGTCAACCTGGTCGGCTTTGCTGGAAAATGTGCTTCAAGCCGAAGCAGCTACGGCTTGCCTCAATTTGCCTTCAGACCTTCAATGTATATTGAAGTTCTTTGTTGCCTGACTAACCTTGACACGGTTCGTACCCAAGGTGTGGCTGGTCGCTCAACATCTTCCTCTTTCACTTGGCCCCAAGTGTCCGAGTTGAAGCTCCGGACGGCCAGGCCCTCAAACGAGCCGGACGCTTCAGGTTTTGCTGCGCAAGGAATGTGGTGATTCGCAATCACACTCCGCCTCAAAATGCTGCTCAAGTGTCTAGTAAACCCGGCCATTGGAAGGATGTTTGCCTCAATCAGCTGTATACAAAAGCAGAGGACCTTCTTCTTACATTCCCTGTACTCTTTACGCCCACCACCATTGATCACGCATGAGTTGCAGCTCTACACAAAGTGCAGGATGCAGAATGTGAACGTACTATGCACACACTGTGCAGCTTCATACCAATAGAATGCCAATGCCAACTTGTGCTGTGCAAGTAATTCTTCCAAGTGTTGAAGCAGGCAGCGGAATGGAGCAGAACGCAACTGAGCGGAATGGAACACAAATTGCCTCTGCAAATGGACGTCCAAAACGGCAGAGTACCTACAACGTCCGCAAGGATTATCTGCAATGCTGTCCGCAAGGGAACAAAGAGAGGCGGCACGTAACGTCCGTATCAAAGCTGGGGAAGCGCTAGCTGCGTCTTGCATTCCGCATTCTCTGACTTTTCTCTCCGCCAAGTCACACGGACATAATGGCGGCCTCTTCCCTCCAGGCTCGCTTTGCTTGCAGCAGGGCTGCATTTGCGGCTCCGGGGTCTGCCAGACAAAGCAGCAGCCGCACATTCTGCGCACCTATCGCCGCTTATTCTGCGCCAGCATTGCAATGCAGGTTGCAGAAGACAGTTGCGGCAGGTTCCTATGCAGGACTTAGAAAGGCGGGGGTCCTCGACGCACAGGAGAAGCATGCCAGCCTCGCTCAGCAGGTGTGCCAAGATTCCTTCTAGTTTAATTCACTTGAAATACCACATTGGTGATTGCATTCTGGCAATGTGGCATTGGAGATCCGCATCTGAAAAGAAGGCATTAGAGAAAGACCTTTGCGGCACTCCCTGTTTTGAGGGGAATTAGCAACTGGCGCTTACCGCGTTGAATGGTCTAAGTCAAGAAAAGCCGATGTGGGATGCACATCAAGGTCTTCATGAACCTCTTATCACCGTACTTCAACTCTGTTTGCTCACCACTGCACACAAGGGCCGAGCTCTTATGTTGCCTTCGAAAGTTTATTCTGGTCCAAAAGGTCTCATCAGTAAACTTTGTGAGAGAGAAGCTGAAAGACAAAGCCAGAGCCGGGCAATTTCTTGGTAGAGATGAGAGACTCAATTTGCATTTTGAATTCAAAACTGCATACCTAGAAGGCGCCAATACTAGTGCCACCGCTTTGCACAGCATTCGCTGCATTGCATCAATGCCAAGGCCTACGTAGTGAGACCTGTATTGATACAGTCTGAATGGGTAGCTCAGAAAAGCAAAGCTGTACTTCTTTCCTCCTGCGGCACTCTATCATCGTCAGAAGCCACACTTGTCTAGATATGACAAAATGGGCCACCAAAACAACTACAAAACGTCTGCATTCAGCGACTTCATTTTGTTTTCGGCTTCTACTTGAATCCTACCGAACACGACTAGCTCCACCTCATCCAGGTCAGCAATGCGGCGCCGAGGGCGTCCTCCCGGCGCAGTGCCGGCGTGACCATGAGCGCCAGCGGCGAGCCAAAGAAGATTCTCATGATGGGAGGCACGCGCTTCATCGGCCTGTACCTCGCCAGGCTGCTCGTCAAAGCTGGCCACGAGGTAAGGTCACGCAGTTTCGCGGCTCCTGAATCTGAAAGGGATTGCTCTACAAAACTCACTGATGAAGTCCGTCCTGGAAACCCTTTAAGTGGAAGTGTTAAGCAGCATACTCTTTTGAAGAGTACCACCTTAAAGAATGTCTGGCTCTGGGGCTAGATTGCTGAATCAAACTGCTAGGTGACCGAATCCTCCTAAGCTGTGGGTAAAGTACGTTATAAATCAATGCGGCACGAGACCAACAGATGATAAGTCATGGCACACTGTGACAGGCAGAACTTTCTGGTGGCTGCTCATGAACAAATACCTTTGCGACGCAGTTCATGCATGTCAAATGGGCATGTTTTCTTTACGCTCTGCTTACACGCACTGCCCTTGAAGGGAAAATATGCCACAAACCTGGGGTGCACCAGCGTCTTCACTGCAGTGTAGCATCAGACACGAGGGTTCCACCGGTGATAAACGGAGCTGCTTTCTCATCTTTTTCATTGCCGTCGATGCAGGTGACGCTCTTCACCAGGGGGAAGACGGCTGTCACGTCACAGCTGCCCGGCGAATCTGACGCTGACTACAAAGAGTACGAGTCAAAGGTCGGCGCAGCCTGTGAACTACTTGTTTCTTAAGCAGAGCATGTCTTGAAATCCTTTCCGCTGAAATCACAGTTGGTTAATTTGGTCGTCAGGCTTCTGCATACAGGCCGGGATGTTTCGCATCTTACCAACTCTTTGAGAGGTTCTAGAGGTCGCCATCTCGTCTCAAATCAAAACGCATTGGAAGGCCTTTCATTCGGGCTTTACAGGGGTTGTGTTAAACCTATATTGTGCACGGTTTGTCTAACCTTCAAACGTTCGCCATTGCCATTTCTGCTGCGTCTGTCATTCAGAGACAGACGAGAAATTTTGGATGTTTCATTTTGGAACTGATCAGTGGAGAGCAAAAGGCTGAGCTCAGTCGATAACCTCCTTCGTCGCTGCACAAACCATCAAACTTTTGGTTGAGCTAGATGTTGAGATCAGACAGACACTCACGATCTGACAGTCGTGGGTCCTTGTTGACGTGAATCGACGGTTGTGATTTTCTTTTGTTGTGATCTGACGGTCATAAGCTGTCGACGTGCAGGTGAAGCACATCAAGGGCGACCGCTCCGACCCCGAACTCGTGAAGAGCCTGCTGGAAGGCAAGGGCTTCGAAGTCGTCTATGACATCAACGGTGAGTCCGCGCTCTGGCGTCTGCATCTTCGGACGCGAAACGCACCTAAATCTGGTAGAAATACATCTAAGTGACCGCCTGCACAGAATTCCTGAATACTGCTCAAAACCTGCTCGGACTTCCCACTCTGCTTCCTAATTTGCTTCGCAATCGCTTAACCCACAAACTGTGAGGCTCCAGACGCAGAGACGTCATTCCCGAGCTGGACCGGCTAAATCTTTCTGCTCGTCCACTGGGTCATACTAACTTCTCGCTTGACCCCCTCAGACCTTCTCAGCCTCAGCCACCAGGTTCCCGGTCTGCTTCTTAATTTGCTTCTTGATCTGCTTTTGTTTCTTGACCCGCGGGCCGTGAGATATCGGACGCCGAGCCGATTTTGGCGCCAATCTCCGACCTCGACCAGTACATCTTCTCCTCGTCCGCTTGCGTCTACTTTATACCTCTTAGTTGTCCCTTTCACACCCTCTTAATCACTCTTAACCCACTTCCTAATCTCTCTCTCGTTTGTTCTTCACAAGCCGCGAAGCTTCGGACGCGGAGCCCATTTTGGACGCCATCCCGGACCTCGACCAGTACATCTTTTGCTCTTCTGCGGACGTCTACCAGGTTCTCATTCCAGGCGTGGTTCCCAGTCCGCTCCTCAAGGATTTACCAACAAGCTTTCTAACCTGCTTCTCAACTTCCAAACTCGCAGGCCGCGAGGCTTCCGACGCCGAGCCCATTTTGGACGCCATCCCCGAGCTGGACCAGTACATCTTCTGCTCGTCCGCGGGCGTGTACCTCAAGTCCGACCTGATGCCGCACTTCGAGTCCGACGCCGGCGACCCGAAGTCGCGCCACAAGGGCAAGCTCGACACGGAGTCGCTCCTCGAGAAGCGCGGCGTCAAGTGGACCAGCGTTCGTCCGGTTTACATCTACGGACCGCTGAACTACAACCCGGTGGAGGAGTGGTTCTTCCAGCGGCTCAAGGCGGGGCGGCCGATCCCAGTCCCCGGGTCGGGGATGCAAATCACGCAGCTGGGGCACGTCAAGGTGAGGGCGAAGCTTTGGGGGTTCGAAACAGAAACCACAGAAACCAAATTTCTAGATGCTTTGCGAAATATCTATTCCAGCCTCCAAGAAAGCTCTGAGAAAGCTCGATTGATAGGGAGAAAGAGGTTTTAGATGTGACTTGTTCGGAATCTTGGAACCCCCTCGCTTTGCTGTAGAAGGCAGAGGAAAGTTTGAGTTGGGCTTTTGCTGAGGCTTCTGGATGGGCGCCGCTGCGCTGGAAAAAAAAGGACTTTTAATAGTTCCGCGAGCCTGGACGACCCTTAACAACGGCACAAGAGGGAGCCCAAGTGTCGTTAACTTTCCACTTGATAAGACAATAGTTTCTCTTGTAATACAAGTCTTTGCGCGCTGCACAGGATTTGGCGGAGGCGTTCGTGGCGGTGCTGGGCAACCCGAAGGCGATCGGCCAGGTGTACAACATCTCGGGCGCCAAGTACGTCACCTTTGACGGCATCGCGCGCGCATGTGCCAAGGCGGGCGGCTTCCCGGAGCCCGAGATCGTGCACTTCAACGCCAAGGACTTCGACTTCGGGAAGAAGAAGCCGTTCCCCCTGCGCGACCAGGTGAGTGGGCGTTGGTTTTATTGACCTTATCTTGCTTTTGGTTTGAATGGATCGCGGCCGGACATTTTTTGCCGTTCAAAGGAAGGTAATCTTTCTTGCTTCTTGACACGCACAAAAGATGAGAAGAGCTTTTTTGATAAAAGGTCGTCCACTTCAACGCCAAGGACTTTGACTTCGGAAAGAAGAAACCGTTCCCCCTGCGCGACCAGGTGAATGGGCCGTGGGGCTTTGTTACAAGGAAGCATTTGGTATGAACCGATTCTGAACCAAGGAAATCAGCGATCGAAGTGAAGGGGGTCAATTTTATGTGGCTCGTGCAGAGACGACAAGAACTCTTCAAAAGAAGCATCGTGCACTCGACGCCGAGGATATTCACTTGAAAAGAGGCCGTTCCCGCTTTGCAACCAGGCGCCCACACGATGAAAGAGTATACGACACAGGAACGAGGCTCGAAAGCTTAAGCTTATACTGCGAAACGACGACCCCCTAGACGAGAACGCAACCTCCTGTACCAAAGTCACTTTCGTCACCCCTCGATAGGTTGGCGAATCTTTTTGCGTCACTCTCCCCAATACAGCGACTTCCCAAACGCAGTTTCGTTTCCTGCAAGAAGCTGCGCTGATATGTTTTGCCATATACTCGCAGCACTTTTTCACATCCATTGAGAAGGCTGAGGCTGACCTGGGGTGGACGCCCAAGTTCGACCTGGTCGGTGGGCTCAAGGACTCGTACGACCTTGATTTCGGCCGAGGTACTCAGCGGAAAGAAGCGGACTTCAGCACCGACGACATGATCCTGGAGAAGGTCGGCAAGAAGAAGCACTAATCAGGAAAGGACCAAATTGCACGCCATGTTTTTGCGCGAGTTGACACTGGCAGGAGTTGTAACTTTCTGTCCGACCAGGTATGTATTGGCAGTACCTTCTTGATAAGAATATTTTTGAGCTCTTCGCACATCATTAATTTGCTGTACGCATGACCTGTTAAGTTTCGGTTAGGTTTGAGGGGGACTGCACGTTGTCATTTCTCGCAGCTACATCACAAAATCGAGCCACTATCAGACATGTAGCATTCGATGCAAATGCACTCCATCTCCGGTATGTTTGAAGTCTAGCTTCTCTGCATCACCTTCAGTTCAGCCGCCTAGCCGCACTGGATCATGAGTGCAATGATTGCATACGGTCAGTCCTTCAATTGCGCCCATCATGTTGGATGTTATACAGAAGATCAAACATGGTAAGCTAGGCGTTAGTAGCTGTTAATAGAAGTTATGAACAGTTGTGCATGCATATACACTCTGCCCGATGGCTCTACGTGTGGCTCAGGGCGTTGATAAACCGTAAGTTACCATATACTATGGTACATATGCATGATATCGAAGCCCTAGCTCGCATGTCAGGCCTGGCCGGCGCATACATGGCATGCCTGCACTCGAGGTGCCGCCAAAGCTCTTAGTAGCTGAGGATCATGTAGCCGGTCGATCATATGCCATGACCATATATCATTTATGGGGTGCGGGCAACTCAAAATTAATGATGTAGATAGGTAGCTGACTTGGCATGTACTGTAATATTAATGTGCATACCGTATAGTCCAACGTGATGATTCCGAACGAATTTATTTCGAATTATTTTTTACAATCCGACCAGGAAAGTGGAATTATTTATGCTGATTCCGACCAAAATCCGAATGCCCTATGCTCTCACTCAAAAGGGGAGTTTTTGGCTGCTTTTGGCAGTTTTACGGCTTCCGAGGACCATTTCAGGGTTCTTTTACCTTTCCGAATTTTTACTTTCCGAGTGGGAGATCCAAATTTCTGACTTTCCGAACGCAGATAATTATTTATTTATTCGGAATCGTCACGTTGGACTACGGTAATGGCGACCACGGCACTGCACACGTGAATGATTAAGCTTGCATGTGTGTACTGACCGTACCTTCGTTCGACTCGATCTTGCTTGAGTCTTATTCTCCACTTAGCAATGAAGGCGGTGATCATTGGATGCGGCCGCCAGTCTGGAGCTAAGAGTACTGAGATGATTCTTGGAATCACTTGGATTTCATGTGGCTTGTGACACAGCCCGCACAAGCATCGAACCAACGTTCATGCGATTGAAGGCGCCTAAATTGTCAGAAGCTAGAGGGTATGCGGGCTCGTACACAGCTTATGGTTCGATAACTTGACGCCGTGTCGAACTGAAAGATACTCCCTTTACTTGTTGCTCAAGCAACTAGGCATCATGTCGGTGAGCACAACAAGCTTAGGCGTCTAAATCAAGTGACTAAATAAGAACGGGAGCACTGAACTCATACACCAGGTGGAGCCTTCCCGAGTTCCTCGTCTGTCACCTGAACGTCCTCAAGACCCTCCCTGCCAACGTGTCAGAGCACATGATCACAGGTCCAACTACAAGAATTGAGCCTGTTGAAAAAGAGCTCAAGCTGCCAACAAGAAGTTTCAGACTCTGCTTGGATCTTATCAAGCAGACAGGACACCGCAATCGGCATCCGCATCAAACCCCAGATCCCAGGTTTGCGAACAAGATCTATCCATTTCAGAGGCCCGAGTACCTTCCCCGATCAAGCACCAAAGTTCCTCGGCGTGGCTTTCCTCTTTCTCTCAAAACAGACACAAGCATGCTCCTGCGGTCAGCACGGCTCACCGGCTCTTTGCTTGCTTGACTGCCTCGTAGGCTGCTTCCCGCATCGCCTCGACCGTGTCGACCGTCTCCTCGTAGTCCACCGTATCCTCCAAGTGCTCCTCGTCAATCATCTCGAGGTCGTGCCTGGAAAGGCATTTCGCGGTTTTAGGGTTTTCGAATTTTAGGGGTTTAGCTCGGGAACTGACATCAGGTTAAGCAGGGTTAAGGTTGAGAACACTCAGAGTGGGCGTCGGGGTTTGCCTGACGTCAGCCATCATCTCCGACTGCGTTACAACGTCAGCATGACGGCGTCACAACATCAAGGAATACGGATTCGATGGCAATCTTGTGTGGAATATGGCACCGAGGAACCCGATTCGGCAATGCATGGGTTACGCCCTTTCCGACGGGAAGGGGGATGAGCTGCGGAGTATAGCACGATCGGATGCTGAAAGAAGCAGCTTCAAAGGTACGGAAAGCAAGATCAACGAAAACGAGCGTAGAAGAGCGGGGACGAACATTAAGCCCAGGCTGACGTGGCAAAGAGCAGAGCAGCTCGAACAATGGAGACTCGACTTGAGCGAACGAACCAACATGAGCAGAGAAAAGCGTCAAGCCCAAATGTGAAGACGCTAGAAGGCAGGCTTGATGACGAACCCAGAATGTTGATTAATAAACTTGTAACGAAATTGGGAGTATGAAAAAAAAGATTAAGGTTCGTGAACTGTCTAGCCGTCAAGCATCATCGTGAAGGCTGAGATGGAAAAGCACAGGACGATAACAATTTGTTTTTTGAAATGGTCAAAGAAAAGCGAGCGGAGGTGGGGCTCAGAAGAGAAGCGGAACAAAATCACTGAAGCTCGGATGAAGGTTGTCTATATTCTTCAACAACCAAGCTTACAAATATGGTACGCCCTCATTTCAATCTGCTTATCTGCTTATAACCATATCGAGCAGGAGAGAATCAAACCGACCTTCTTTGATTAGCCGGATGGTATGCCGGAAGCTGTAGTCATGATACCACATTAATAGTCACAAGCAATATTGAATGGGACGAAGAGCAGAGCTTTGGAAGCACTTACTCTGCAAACTTCTTATCCAGCTCTGAGTCGTAGACACTGAGGCCCTGCTCGTCGCTTGTCTTGAGCGTCCGGCCCAGCTGCTTTTCGACCTGGTCCAGCGTGCCTAGCAAGATGGCGTCGATGTCCTCGTCCTGATCGATGCCGACTCTGCACACACACAGAGGGATGAATGAAGTCAGCTTCATGGCTGACACCTGATGAACCTCACAAATACCTTTTCGTGTTCTTCGTTTGCAAACTCCACAAACTAAAGTAGAGAATCTCCTGACTCGTTAAGGCCAGTAGGTGTACATGGATCTACCATTGCTTTACTCAGCGAAGGACATTATCCATGACATTCAAACCGTTGGGCCGCCCGTGTAACTACTCTGGCCACAAACCCCTCATGTACAGAATCTGACTCGAACCTTCAGGACTCGGTCATCTTTCAATGCTCACCAATCCAAACCTGCTCAAATCCTGAAAACACTACACTCAAGACAACTGCAGAGAGGATGACAAGGCCAGCAATTTAGAGTAGCAAGCTTGGCCCACCCGTGGAGAGCAAGAACTTACATTGTTCTGATTTTCTTGGTCTCGAGCAAGTACTCTCGTAAAGTGTCGGCGTCTTCAAAGGCTGATGATAGCAGGTCGTCAACCTTCTCGATGAAAGTGGGAATCCCCGCTCTGCAAGGGCAGATGTCTCACCAGTCAGTACCATCGAACTGGATCAAGCAGCAGCCTAACAAAGGATTGAACCTGTATAGCACAACCTTGATGTCTAGGTACATTGAAACTCGACACTGCTCGGGACTTGCAGAAAGCATCCTTTGGGCCAGATTACCTCTATTTACTCTGTGTCGCATGGTGAAAGCTTGAGAGGCCGCAAGCTGAAAGCTTGAGAGACCTGCAAGTCGCAATGCAGTGGCGCATAAAGGTCCAAACTTGCAAGAAGTCCTGGCCACTTACTTGTGCTTGATCTCTCTGAGTTGCAGTGTGAACGCCTCCATGGCTGGCCTGTCGTCAGGGTTGAGGGGGATTTTCACCTTCTTGAGCTCCTCCAATACTGTTTTGACTTTCTTTGTCTCGTCGAGGAAGATTTGCTTGACCGGATCATCTGCACGCCAATTCCAGACAGCTCAACTCCAATGATCATCCCTTTTTCTGATTGGATTCTGACTAAGATTCGTGAACAAACAAATCAACATTAAGCAGGATCCACCCCCAACATGACGAAGATGCCTCGCTCATTGTAGATGGTGTAAGCGACTCGGTGCTTTTTCCTTTCAAAAACACTTCAGCCCCAGAGGGTGGCCTGCTGCAAAGTGGTCCTACTCAATGAAAGCTTGGCTTAACTGATGGTGACACTCCATGTGCAATGAAAAAGCAAAGCAAAGTAAACCGTTTGAGAGTGCTGACCTCCTTCTTGTGCGGGGGCTGCCTGTGCATAACCTCTGCTCGGCGTGCTTGTGACAGCGCTCACCAGTGGCCGCGCCTGAGGAGAGTGCAAACAAATGAGCCACCAAACAAAGACAAACTTTGCACGCAGAAACCCCTGGAGAATAGGCCCGGCAAACGAGATTCAGCAGAATTGATCGAAACAACGCTGCTTCTTCCCACTTCGTGCTGTTGAAATAGCTTCAAAGTGTACTTCCTCTGACCACGCTATGCCCTTAACAGGTGCAAGGCTGGCCGATAGTTTAGGAAAATCTCGTCAACGTTGCTGATTGGTGTGATTAGACCCATCTTCTGCCACCTTACATCGGGTTTTTAAGAAGCGAGCCGCTCAATTGACGAGCAAACATTGATCAGCTTGTGTCACCCAGTACGCTGATCGCAAGAGCTTTGATCCAGGGGTTATGCTGTCAATAAGTCTGATACTCACAGTTTGCCCAGATTCAACACGCCGGCACCAAATAGAACCGGCAGCACGAACTTTTGTACTATCAGATGCTACTGCAAGCTTCTATGATGTTCAAAATGTAGATGACCTGCTCAACAGATTGTGTCCCATAGCGTGCATTCAGATGGACAGAACAGTACATGCACAATTTGGCAGCGGATTTCTTCCAATAAGCAACAACATCAACCCTTGACGAGGCACTGCATGTCAGGTATCCAGCCGTCAAGTAGTAACCGCAGAGCTGAGCATCTCCGAACTAATCCTCTGAACATATTCAAAACTGCATAAGTGCATTGGTGTGTGCACCGATCCCAACAAAATGCAATCAAAAAAGGCAGCAAAAGGCGGAAGCCAATTGATAGGGGGAGGCGGAACACAGCTATGCACCATTACCAAGATTAGGGTAGAAAACTTTCAACCTGAATGCATACCTGTCGGAAGGCCGACCGCGCTGTCCTGAACATCATAGCCATCTTGCTTGATCGGACAATGCTACAATTGGTCTAGAAGAAGCAATGCACCGACGAGATCCAAGCAGCCCAAAGCTGGTTGATGTGTACGTCAATGTAATGTCATATAAACGATGGTCAGCAAGTTCGAGGAAAGATCAGATGGTCCTGCGCCCAGATGCACGTTGCTTTTGCGCCTGCCGATCAACTTTTCACTACCCCAATAACTGGACACAGACCTCTCCTCAATTGACTAAACCTTTGATCAAAACCTGGCTTTTTGGAAGGTCCACCAAGATCCTTTTGTTGGCCCAGTTCCTTGCTTTGAACGTGGAGCGGCGCAGCTAGGGAGCATCAGCCAAACTCAGAAGGAATGTAGATAGCTCTGCAAAGGCGGTCTCGAGTGTGCTTCTTCCGTTGTCGTGGTGATCAATAGATGGATGATTTCTCAAACGAAGCAGGATCCAAAGCAAGGCAGTCAGTACGCACGCTCTGGGACCAGCCAGAAAAAGTTCAGATCGATGGGGGCAGCCCCCAACTTTGACCCTCTGGATCGTCCGATGGGGTTAGCATTAAATGCTCTCTGGCAACCGCAAATGTAGACCCTAAAGTTTGCTGGCGACGCCCTCCGGTAATTAAAGTGAGGGCGTCGCCGCGTTCCCGAACTTTCGTCTTGACACAGCCTGCCAACTGGGCACAGAAAAGGACGGTGGTGTCAAAGCCCCAGACTGACTGAAGGCATATTCTGTGAGAATGCAGCCGGCCTACGAGAACCATCTCAGCCTACTTTTCTAGTATTATTTTCAGTGGACGTCTGATTTTATAAGCACATTACCTAAAAGTCGGACGGAACACATGCAGGCACCGGAGATTTCCATACCGTACAAATAAAGTTTTACAGAATCTTCATACGTGAAAAAAAATCTGCTTGAGCATTTCATAGAAACTTCGCACAGGATTGGAGTCGGAGGAAGACGACGAATCAACAAGAGCGCGCCAAATCCTGGCACTGCCAGGGCGGCGCAGCGGCACTGCAGCCTCAGGGCCCCTCTGTCGATCCTGGGGAAAAGGTGGAGGCTACTGAGCCACGGTGCAATCCGCTGAGGTTCAGAGATAGAGCCAAAGAGAGGCAGGGCTTGCAAGTTTACGGCAGCATATAAGGCCGGTCGACCGCCAACCATCTTTAGGGTTCTACAGTGCATTCCCCTGCTGCAGAGATGCCTTTCGAGATCCTGGTCGCGGGGGCGGAGCTTGCTGAAGTGGGATGGAACGCGTACCAGCACAGGCAAGAGCACGTTCACACCATGGAGCATGAGGACGCCACCACAGAGCGGGAGTTGACGTACATCAAGCACGAGAATGCACGGTTGCAAGCCACGGTTGAGGAGTATAAGAAGGCGTTAGAAGAGCTGCAAGGACGCACGGAAAGCACTGAGAGGTTGAAGCACGCTCTCAGCACACGGGAGGGCACATTAGGGGTAAGTGTCCGAGATAAAAGTGGTGAAGCCCGCGTCTTATTTGGTGCTGGCTCTTGCTGCTTGTGGTGCCAAAAGTTGAGAGTTGCATTCTTCCAAGCAGGACCTTCTGGTATGAATATGGCCTTGGCGCTGGTTGTGTCTGTTTGTGAACAAAATACTGTTCTGATTTTTTGAGGAACAATGTCCACAGATGCGTCGAACGTCTGAACTTTCACCCCCGGAATTACAATGAAGAGATCAGGTCAAGGCACACAAAGAAGTTCTTTCAAAGTGCAGATGTGGTATTTACGTTCTGATGTACTCCTTTAGCAGGTTATCTTTGCGAGCATAGCAGACGAGGGTAAATGACGGCAATGAAGCCCGTTGAGGTGGACTGAACCACCTTTTTCCCTGAGTACTTTATTACCGGTATCTCCCACACATGAACTCATGTTCGTTCATCAAATGCTGCTGCAGGTGTTTGAGCAGATCCAGAAGCGTGTGGACTCCCCCGAGTTTCTTGAGAAACTTGTTCGCACGGCCGATGCGGGGGCAGAGTCAACGAAAAGCACGGTCGTCCATACAAAAGGTATAGCCACTTGTCCTATCAGACTTTCTCAGAAGCCATGGTATTCGTTGAAGTGCAACAGTGAGCAAAGTTGCCTCTTTCCTCCTGTATGTTCTATGTGTCTACACCCTTTTCCAAGAAGCGAGCGGTGCGGGAGCTGAGGAGACCCTCAGTTGTGATATGGTCCTGCTTAGTACTCATCAAGCCAGCCGCATCTGATCTTCGTAATGGGGACATGTTATTCAAGTTTCATGCCTCCAGTAATCTCTCAATCTTTCTCCTTTAGTCCTGTGCTACAAGAACATTCCAAGATTGAAGGCTCTTCATCAACAAGGCAAAGCTTGTTTTTCTTTCGATGTGACTACCAAGTTTATGTTTGGATCATTACAGGCCGCTTACTTGACGCCCAAGACAGCCCTGAAATTTCACAATTGCGTTATGTGCCAGAAGTTGCCCTGTTGTCTCTAAAAGATTGCAAATGGTCTCTCGCTGAAGGTTTTTGTGCCATAGTCAGTATCTGAAACCCCAAGGAGGCTGAAAGATCAAAGAGATGACTTGATTTGTTTTTTTAACATTTAACACAGATCTTTTCACCCTGTGCAGACGGGGTCTCAGTACAAGTCGATGTGAACGACCCCTCCTGGTGGGAGTTGGTGACGGAGCAAGACACGTACGGGGGCCCCCCAAAGGAGGACCTCGAGCATAGCCTGGACGGGGAGGCTTACGTCATCGTCGACCAGGATGACGTCATCAACGGCATCGCCGATTTCGTGGCGCACTACCTCATCACGCTGCCGCAGACGGAGGGCATGCCGCCCAAGGAGCTCCAACAACGTGAGTGTTTCATGTCGGCACTCGCAATCCTTTTTGTACAAAGCATTCTGCTCAACTGCTTGCAGTGTTCTTCAGCATCCCGTCGACCTGGGCAGGTTCGTGCAGGAGTTTACGGAAGGTATCAATGTGACGAGTTGGCGGCAAGTTCTGTGGTTCGTGTCGAAACCTGCAGCAGTTGTGGGAAGAGTTGGCCCAAAAGCTAACTTTTGCCTGAATATCGCCACTGCAAGTCCATTGTCTCTTTGAAGAAGCGCACGCCTTGCTCCCACTCCGTTCAATTGGTGTGTCCGGGGGCCTGCCTCCTTGTCTCGTCCATTGAGAAAGGTATGGGGAGTGAGAGTCCATAAGAGAGGATTCCGTGGACTTGCGAAAACTGACTTTGGCTGGCTCGCCCCGTGCCTGCAGTGCTATCCCAGGCGTTCACGGAGTTGCGCAAGAAGAACAGCTACCGGAGACTGTGGGACTGGGGCCGCTTCCTGTACAACACGGCGTGCTGGGCTACCACTGCGTTCGGGTGAGCTCATCGATGAGCGATGAAAAGGCGCAAACCTGCGAAGGTGGCGGAATCATATAGAGTCTGTAGCCATCTGCCTTCGTGTCTGGCTGCCAATCACTGTGGGTGCTTTGCTTCGAGCTTACCCAATTGTTTTACATTCAGCTGCACACTTGTTGAGTTATTCGCCAATCGCAGAGACTCGTCATCTTCGTTTCAATTGTCTGTCGAACTTCGAGGAGAATGGGCGTGAGACAGGCGTTCATCGAATCGGTTTTGAGCGACCGCATGACTTCGTCGCATGCGCAGAATCTACCGCAACCCAATTGTTGTGCGCGCTGCCGTTGTTGGAATGTGGACGGCGTCGAGGATAATCCTGGGCTTCTTCCGGTAACCAAGGCAAAAGAGGAAGCTTGCGGACTTGGATGACTACCAAAAGCTGTGTGGGTTGACACGTTATTCACGTCCTTAATCTTGGACAGCTTGTTTGTACACGAGAGAACATTCGTCATTGGGTCGTGCTCTGGCCCGATTGTGGAAGTCAGCTTGTCTAGAAGCGAGAAAGTATATAGAACAGGTATCAGGAATGCTAGGGCAGCGGGTTAATACTGCAGAGAATGCAGAACGCAGATCCTGCCCGAGGTTAATGCTCAGCAGACACCGCGAGCAGTGTACATAAACAGGTCGCCTGTATTTTTAACTAATCAGTCTGGTTTTTGTACGGAGCTTGTGCAGTTCAACCGAGGGGTTTGGACTCAATGATGGCCTGTCCAGCTACTCATGATCAGTTTGGCAAGCCGAGCTACTTGACATGCATGGGGCTACCGCATGCCACGCATACAAATGCACAACGTGTAATTGCAGCTTTGCAAACGCTCTTGATCGAGGAAAAGAGTTCGACGCGCGAAAAAGTGCACGGTTGCCCGCACGTATATACCGATCTGCAAATGAAGAGCAATTTGCATGTTATCAAACATGATGGATTGAACCGGTGCAGTATACTGAGCACAATCGAGTCCGAGAACTCTTTGTGCGCGGCGCAACTCGCAAGCTGACGTACGTATGTCACATTGATGCACGATAAACATGCCGGACGCGATCAGTGATTGTGACATATGTGACGCGGCCGTCGAAAGGCTGAAATTAAATGCGCGTACAAAGACTCGCGCGCTTTGCAAAGAAAGCTCTATTATGAAATAAATTGTAAATCAGGCCGTTGAAGGAACTCAGTGTGCATGCGTACTGCATCAATGGAATGCATATGATCGATCGAACCTTCGAAAAAGCTAATGCAATGATCACTGGATTCGCGTACGTGCACGACATTGAACAAATGTGAACATATTCATTCCAACATTTGTCACTGCTACCATGATGATCATGATAACGAGTGATATATCGCGTTCAAGTAACAATCCGCAACTGCATGCAGGTGAGCCGCGCACCGCACAGCTAAATTCTCTGAGCAATTGACTTTCATCAGCAACAGGCTTAGCGAACTTAGCCCATAACAAATGGACGAGTGCGATCCCACGCCATAGTCGTTGATGACGGTTGCCGTCATCCTTCGTGTGGGCCGCCACGTGGTACACCAATTCATTACCTAACGGAATTCGGCAGCTGAAAGGAGTTCCTCATCCTTAGCCCTCGTTATTGGTGGTTGCGCCTGAGTCACATCCCGTGGCGGCCTAAACAGAACATACTGTCCGGTCAAAGGCGCCCCTTTGCTCCACCAAAGTCCTTGAGCACTTTGCAGCAAGCCACTCCCTGCATGCACACCCAACCTCGACAATTGACACCAGATCCTTTCTATCCAGGCTATCTGAAATCTCACAGCCGTCACTTTTCTTCACTCTTTCCACCTCCGACCGCGGCCTCCCCCGTCGAGCGCAGCTCTGCCCCCGCGTCCGTCAGCTTCTCTTCCAAGAACTTCTTCACCGACTCGAGCGCGCTGTACGTCGTCCGTTCATGCTCGTCCACCCCCGCGGAGAGCTCCAAGCAGCGGCAGTACTCTTTGTTCTTTCCCAAATTCGCCCAGCTGAATCCCGTCTTCTGCGCCTTTCGCACTGGCCGGCCCCCGCGCTCGTCCCGCTTACCCGCGCGGCCGCCGCCGCCGCCCCGGGCCATCATGCCGGCGATGCCACGTCCCCCGCTGACGTCAGCACGCGCCCCGCGAATCCCGTCGACGTCGCCGCGCGCCGTGCTGGCGTCAGCGCCGGAGCCGGACGGGCCCGCTGTGACGTCATCGTCGGCGGCTCGCCCAGCGAACTTCAAGAGCGTCTCCTTCATCGCAGGGTCCGTCTCCCGCTCGGCTGCCGCCATCAGACCGCCCTTGTCCGAAATCTCGAATACCTGTCCGGTCTCGTCCGAAGTAACGTCCGGCCCGCTTCCGCCGGCCGCCTCTTCCATGCTGACGTCATCGTGTCCCGAAATGACGTCCTCCTTTTCGCCGCCAACAATGTCCTTTTCCAGGCTGACGTCGTCCTTTTCCCTGCTGACGTCAATCGCCTCCTCCTCGAAGAACCCTAGCCCTGCGGCAGTGGCGCCGACGTCAGCAGCAGAGACCTCTCTCTCCTCCGAATCCTTCGGACCGACGATCACAGCCTCGCTCAAACCTTCTGTCCTCTCTCCATCTGATCCCGTCCCCTCCATTCCACCACTTTGCTTCGCTTTTCCCGTCTTCTTTCCTGACACTTCCTCCAAGACTTGGTCATATACGTTCATCGGCTCCGACTCCGCCTCTGGCTCCCGCTCCGTTTCCGTTTTCGTTTCCGTTTCCATTTCCGTGCCCGTCTCCGTGTGTATTTTCTGCCCCGTTCTGACACCGGTTCCCATTGCAGCCTTCGCTCCAGGTGTCCAAGCGGGTTGCATTTCCCCTTCCGTTTCCGATTCCGGATCCTTGTCTTCCGCCGGAAGATACGCCTTCTCCATCAGCGTGTTAAGCGGTGCCTCGCTCTGTGCCCAGTTGACGCAGTGCCGGACGAAGAAGCGCTTCGAGGCGGACGAGAGAATGTCCGGGCCCCACGTGCCATGCACCGAATCGGTAAAGGCGATGCAGCGCAGGCGGGGCAATACCTCCTCCTCTGCGGAAGCGACGATAAGATCGTAAATCTCGTGAGAATATTGTCCGGATATTGGTTCAGGGACTCCGAATGAAGTTCAGAGGCAGCCTGGCCTTGAGGAGATGGATGCCAGCAAAGGCGGGCCACCACTCTTTACACACTTAAACGTGCCAGAAGGGAAGTCTGGTCGACGTCCGAAAGGTGCGGTTTTGTCCTCTCCATAGGCGCCATCTTGACTCGCAAAAGAATCGTGGGAAAGACACATCAAAACCAGCTGTTGCAGCCAGACGATCGGCTCCAAGATTGGGAGCATCTCTTGCGCCCCCTGCGGCTCAAGGTAGCAATGTTCACTCCTGGCTCCCCTACGACTATAACTATGTGAGTTTCCGAGCACTCTTCTGAACTCTGATAAATGGACAACAAAGAAGCGCGCCAAACCCTCATCAAGAGAAACCAAAGCTCATATTAGTTGTCGAAGACCCACATACGAAGTAGTCATAGGCGCCCACTCCTCACCGCGTTCGCTGAGCAGCCGGCACGCGCACACCCCCCCGTACGAGTGCGCGACCATCGCCACGTGTTTCACCGGGAGTCCCGCAATCACTTGATCCCACGCTTGAACCACGTGCAGTTCCGCGTTCATTCTCGCGCCCCCAGAGAGCCGGAAATTGGGATTCAGAACGACGGTTGCGACTTCGCGCTGCGCCGCCCAAACTAGGAGTGGGATGACGGAGCCCTGATGAAGGGAGTCGTTCATGCACAGCTTGCGGGCCCACTGGCCGGCCATCACAGCACCGCTGGAAAAGCACAGGACGTCGGAGTCTGATTTGAATGTCCGATTCTCCACTGAAATAGTCGTCAACTTCTGAACGAGAGTTTGATTTGGGCAGGTTTTGAATGTTGCACAGAAGAGTGTACCAAAACAAGCGGACTCAAGATTGAAAGAAAAGCAGACCTAATAAGGCGTTGAGAAAGCGCTGCACATGGGATTGGCGGGTCAGGAGACGTTTTCAAACTCGTAAGTGACCAGCTTGAGGCCCCCCGGATCGCCAATCACAGACCACTGGAAACGCACAGGAAGTCAGATTTGGATTGAGTATCTGAATTTGGCAAGCCCTCAATAAGGCAGAAGTGAGCATCACATAAGCAGATTGAAATTTGGGAAGCAAAGTGGAAGTGATAGACACTGCACACTTCAGGGCCCCACAATCCAACCGTCACGGCTCCATTGAAGAAGCACAGGATGTCGAAGTCAGGGAGTACTGGAATTGGGCGGCTTTCAGTGTTACACGGAAGACTCTCCAGACAAGTTGGGCTCAGGTTTCAGAAGACAGCAAGACTAAATGATACGACAGGGCCTCAGTGAAGCACTCCAGTTGAGGGGTTTGGAGGCTGCCTCGAAGAGATTAGAGCTGGTTCTAAGTCTTGAAGAGGCTGTAATGGCAGGATGCTGAGACTCTACGAAACTTTCAAGGTTCGAGGCACTTGGAGTCAAAAGCATGATAAGAAGCTCCGAAGTGCTCAACAGTTTACATAAGAATGTGGGCAGCATGAAAGCAATGCAAGAGCAAGAAGATGCTTATACGAACAATCATATTGGGTCATCTCCAAAGCCAGAGACAGCTTTATATCAGCGGCTTTAGGAGTGGCAGCTGCTGGGTTTTCTGGCTTAGGTGTTTCGGCAAGAATTGGGCATCAGACCCTGGACGGTAGGAACCCAATCGGAGGCAGCCAAGAAAAAGTAGGTGAGCAAGAGCAGCAGCCAGAAGCATATCAACATGAATTGCGGAAGACATGCAACAGTGAAAATACCATACGTCTCCAAGACAGGCTTGTCGATCCTGGTTGTGGATGCCTTTACTCCATTCCTGCTTTTGTGAGGGCGGCTTTCAAACAGCAACCCCGCTAAACCTGGACATGAAGCAATCCTTCCACACAAGTTTTGTTCAGGTCTTGTCACAGTATAGAACAGTTTGAATGCGCTTCTCACCTGCCACACACAAGCACCAGCACCGCCTGCGCTTCCTTTGCATTCTCCGACACAAAGATTGGCACCCCCTCCCCCTCGTCCTCCTCATCAGCTTCCAAAACTCTCACTCGTTTCGGGCCCCGCCCCACCGGCAGGATCCACCGTTGCATCCCGTACTTTACCAACATTAGTTCCTGGATGTAATCTGCTACAGAGTCGCCCAACTCCTCATAGTGCGCCTGCGTGCGGAATTCAAACGGCTCATCGTTTGCCACCTGGCGCATCTGCAGCGCGTCGTTGAAGTGGTACCCGAGCTCTGCTAGCTTCATCTCGGCTGCTTCGAGGCGCGTCTTGGGTGGTTGGGGGATCGCCTCCTCAGCGGCGGGGGATTGGGCATCCCCTTCTGAGACGTGGGCACTTGACATTTTCTTCTGTGACAAGGTCTTCTGGGCAAAGTTGGGAGATGACGCGCTTGATGGCTGAGAGTGGGCACTTAAGTTGGGTGAACAAGCGGGATTCGTCCAACGTTGTCGAAAGCCAACGCATATTGTGCACCAGTTGATTGAAAGCAGGGACCTAATACGGTTCTTAAAGCGGAAGCACGGCTATCAAGTTTGACGCAAGAAAGGACAGGACATGTACTTATTGAGCAATGAAAGAGCAGGCGGCAGCGCCCAGCATGGGGATGGCAAGGGTGGTGGTGGCTGTATTGCTGTAGAAGGCACTGAGGGAGCCAGCTCTGCGGCTGGGCAACAGAAAAGATGAGCCCACATATCAATGACAAGGGGCGCGTGCTCTCCAGAACGACAGCATTGGACTGAATCACGTTGCATCCTACTATTAGCAGGCTTAGGCTCCGCCCGCTCAGGCCCAGGGCCAGGGGCCAGCTCGGAGGCCCACACCGGGCGAGGCAGAGGAGAGGGGAAGAGGGGAAGAGAGCGGGCGGGGCGGCAGCCCCCCCGGGGCTCGGGCACAGTAGGCCGGGCATTGTCCATGATAGTCAAAACTACACTTTATAATATTTTGGAGGGAAGCCGAATACAACAACACCGGCTCGTGTAACTCAGTGGATAGAGTGTCTCTTTCCTAAGGAGAAAGTCGAAGGTTCGACCCCTTCCTCGAGCAGGCTTTTGTCTGGATCGTCAATCTTTTTGCCTGCGTCGTCCGTTGGCGCAGATTCGCTCCATCGGACGACGCGCGTTGAGCCTCCGCGAGAGTGACCGGCGATGAGTACCACGGTGCATACTTCTTGGGGCGGAATCCTGCGCCGGTGCGTACTAAGAGTAGTCGATGTAATTTCGGACAACTCGAATTTCGGACAGACACAATATTTATCGAATTTCGGATGGCCTTATCGAATTTCGGTCTCAGTAGGGTTCCAGTTTCGCAGTCTGCGGAGTTCGGTTCCCGAGTGACGGGTTTGTCGACGGACTTTCGTCGGCATGCCGGGATGCCGGATTCCGGCGCTCACCAAATCGATCGGAGCTGCGACGGCTAAGTCCCAACCCGCAGTCTGCGAAACTGGGTCGTTTGCTGAGTCCGAAATTCAAAATCTCTTGCCTGCCTGCCTGCCTGCGCGCCGCCTATCCATGGGGTCTTAGGAGGGGTGTAGTTGGGTAGTGTAAAGGCTTGCTCTGCCTGGGTTAGAGAGCAGTGGCAATGGGGATTCTCCTCTTTTGAGGACCTACCCACCGCACGCCACTTATCTTTTCCCCATGATCAAACGGTGTGATGGTTGGCCAGCTATGTGCAGGGAGCTGGCAGGATAACTACACACGATCAGCTAACATGTGCGGAAACCATGAAAGCAGGCGTTCTCAAGCGATGGCGCAGCTCAGAAAAATTGTTGTCTTTCTGCT